CCACTGTCAAGAGGGAGAGCCTCACACCCCCCTCTTCTCAGTCACAGCCTACCTCTGTTACCCCTCTGCAGGCCATGCTATGGCCTTTGTCAATATCATAGGAGTGTTCTCAAGGCCAAGGAACACATTTTCTACAGCACTCCATCCATCAGATGCTCATTTCACTAGTCCATGAGATATGACCACCTCTACGTCAATCATCTCACTTGTCCCCTTTGCCAGAGACAGTGGCTATGTATATCTGCCAGGCATTTCTACTAGCTTCTATCCTGAACCCCCCTTGTTTATTCCATCATCACCAGCCCCACCTCAGCCCATGCAGCTTGGTCAGTGTGTTCTCCTTGTCAGTATGACATCCAGAAGGACATTCTTTGGTGGCCTCAGGTCTGTCACTTGGTTAGAAAGGTCTTATGTGGTCATTTTGGTCTCCCCACTTGATGAAGCATATGGATTGTTCCTCCCTGCTCCCTGCAATGTCTTTATTCCAATCTTGTCCATCATTCTCCCCATGTGGTAACAGCTGCAGTATAATCTGCTGTTCTCTAGCCTCCCTGATCAATCCATGATGAGTATGATATTCATCTTGCCTTCTTACTGCAAGATGCAGCTGAAGATGTCCCCCTTCTCCCTCTCCTCCATCAGAGCCCCATTCATGAAGTGTTTATTAACTTCACTGAGAGGATGAATGGGTGGGAGACACAATTTCCTATGCTCCTGTTACCCCACAGACCCCCAATGCCCAAGCCCTTTGATGCCTGACTCATGCCATCCATTTCTGGATTTAATACTTCCACATCTGGAAACACCACCCATCTGTCATCCCATCATTTGATCCAATGATGTCTCCACCAAGATCTGACATGCATCACCACCCCCCAATGTGATACCAGTGTGCCTACTCAGTTTCTGACATTCTTTGACTCATACTGTGATATTTTGACTGTCCTTGACTCGTTCATTGTCAATACTTACCAATCTTCTTTGCTTGCTTACTTTTCATTTCTTGCTTAGTCATCATGATTACTCATTGCTTACAGTCCCTAATCATTACTTACCAAGCATTTGTGCCTTGTTTTTCATAGGCTGCACTCCCCCTACAGTATATAAAACTCCCTGTACTTAGCTACAAAAAAACAAATCAAGTCACTCATGAATCAAGAAGTCAGTCAGCTCAGAAGTAATTCTCTCAGAAGTAACTCATCATTGATGGTTGAGGCCCAACAGAAGGTCTATCTGTCATCATTCATCTTCTGTGGTAGTTGAGGCTCCATCAAGGGTCTATCTACCACCATTCTTTATCTGAAGTATCATCTGAGCTTAGTCAGTACATATGCTTAGTCATCCATCCACTCCTGCACAACTTGACATTGACATCTGCCAGGAGTCCTTTCTACTGAATACCTTCACTCTATTCAGCATCCCCCATCTCGTCATCACTCACTCATCTACTCCTGCATAACTCATCAACAACTTGTGCCAGGAGTACTTCACTTGAAAAAAACACCCACCTTGGATTTTTCTGCCCTCCAGGTTCCAATGGAGGTAAACCACCACTCACTTTTTATTGTCTTTGGTGTTGGATTTGGTTGGTTCACACCAGCTTTCCACACTTTGACTCACACCAGATGGCTCTGGGAGTGATGGGCCAAGTCTGACATGTATCTCCTCCATAGTTAAGGATTCCATGGCCTTAGCTAGGCCTGCAAAGGCACAACATGCTCGTTTGAGACAGTAAAGACCTTTTTGCATTGGATTTTCAGCTACTTTCTTTTTCCAAGCATCAAAAATTTGACAACACTTGTCTTGGAATAATGTGGCATACCCAGCAATGTCAAGTTTGCTTACAGAAACAAGCATAATTCCCATTTTTGGAGTATAGAGCATGTCCTTTGAGTCAAATGTGGGTGTGCACAGTGCCATTTGCAAGTGAGATTGTGAGATCACCTTTTTCAATGGCATGGAAGGTGTAACTGTTAGCAGTGGTGATAGGTTTAGGTACAATTGACTTGTAATCAGGGAATTTGCTGTGGTAGGATGACTTATGACATGAAGCACCTGAGTCAAACAGGATAGTTTCTTCTGCAGAATTTAGGCTTTCACCTGTGAGAAGAGCATGATCAAAGGTGTTCATGCATGCATCTTCTTCATCAATAACAATGTCCTGGGGGTTCAGAATTTCATCCTCTGTGTGTGGGTGCACTAGCCAGACTCTGTCAGGTTCCAAGTCAGCACTGGTCTGTGCACTCAAGCTGGCCATTGCACTGGCCACAGTGGCAGCTTTTCCAGTGCCCTTCTCCTTCTTTTTCCCTTTGCCTTGTTCTGGAACCACTTGGGTGCTTGCACACCCTTTCCACCACCCTCTTCCCAGCATTCATTGTTCACATGACCTTTCTTTCTGCAATTTTCAAACTAGACTTCTGTCCATCTTTCACTGAGTAAGCTGCATCTTTGGAATTTCTGGAGTTTCCAGTATTGCTCCTCTTCATCTCCATTTGGTGCCTATCATATTCATCAGAAATTACTTTGATTTTAAGGTCCAGAGATAAGTCTTTTTGCATAACCAGGGCCAAAGACATCATAGCTGTAGGTTGGAGTCATAGGAAGCAGGGAGTGAGCTGAGAATGATAGCTGTGAAGTCATTGTCTGTGATGGACTGTCCAAGTGCAGCAAGTTGTTTGTGCAGTGCATTCATCTTGTCAAAGTGAGCACAGACATCACCTTTTCTGTACAGCAAGATTCTTGGAGTTTTCTCTGAAGCTCAACTGCAACAACATGAGAACAGTTTTGGAAAAGATCAGTGAGGACACCCCACACACTTTTTGCAGTCTCTATTCTGGGAGTGACACAGTGATCACTTGCTTGACATATCCATTGTCCTTTGCCCATTGCTGAAGTTTTTCCAGGTATTCACTGACAAGTTTTTGCTCCATGGCTGTGGGCTTCCAGGAGGAGTCTTTTCCTGCTGAAGGGTCCTCTGGTTTCACATTCAAGCTGGTCAGGTGTCCAATCAGCCCTTTTGGACTGACAGCCCACTCAACCTGAGCCTTGTAGTATAGCCAGTTGCTGCCATCTGCATTTAGGGTTGGGACTTGTAAAGAATGATCATCCTTCACCATAGTGGGTATTGTTGCTATGTAATAACTCTTTCAGAATTAGAGCACATGAGTGGGGCCCATAACCTAATGAAGGTATGAGTTCTCAGTGTATGAAGTAGTCACTGAGGTAGAAAATAACAGTGTGGAAAATTTATAGTACTGTAATTAGTAAGCACAATGAGATCAGAATTTAATTCCAAAGGGCAGAGAAAAACTCCAAGCACTAGGAGCAAAATTCTGAGACATTACTGCAACTCCAGAACACATACCCAACATCTGGGACAGTCTGGACAGAGCTAGCCAGTTAGGTACCTTGTTGAGGGAAGCTGGGGGTCCAGGGTAGCTGTCCAGCCTGGACAGGGTGAGGTTAGTTTGCTGATGATCACCTTGCAGCTGCTCCTCCTTGGGGACACCCAAGTCATTCTGAGCTTTGTCTGCTTGTGTGAAGTATGGGTTTACCCTCAAGTGACCAGGCTTCAAGACTGGGTGACAGGGGCTAGGTCTGGTTGACAGGGGCTAGGTCTGGTTGACAGGGGCTAGGTCTGGTTGACAGGGGCTAGGTCTGGTTGGACCAGAGTTAAGGCTGGAGGTCAGGGGTTAAGTCTGGAGGTCCAGACTTAAGACTGGGAGCATGGGAATAAGGCTGGTAGCATGGGAAACTGACCAGTCTTGGAGCATGCACAGGGGGAAGCCAGTCTGGGGTTGGATCTACCTCCCTTGGTCTCAGCTTACATATGTGCTGTACCCTTATGCAAGCTGGGGAGAGGTCCAGGACAGGGGCCAGGGATAGCTTAAGGCTCAGCCTTAGCTATGGAGTAGACTCAAGGGGTAATACAAAGTTGAGGGTAATACTTAGTTGATATTCTGACTGGAGTGCTATGAAGTATGCACATGGGTTAAATTCATGAGGCTGGTCCAGGGTAATGAACATAGAGCCAGACTTGTTAATAAGCTATTAACAAGGTGATTAGCAAGAGAGGACAGCCATAGAGGCTGTGCCAAGACTAATAGTTAAAGTCTGGGTGACCAGCATAACCAGAGTCAGACACAGGATTTGTACAGTAAGCAAAGTTCAGACAAGAGGGCTAGACAAAATATAGTACAAACATCAGAAAACAGACTGGAGTTATGTCTGGGTGACCCAGACATGGACCTGGGGGGACCAGGGTGGAGCAGTGCAAGGCTGGGAGGCTGGGATGGACCAGAGATAGGGGTAAAACACCAGACTTGAGTTATCTAGGCCAGAGTTGGGTTTCTTAGGGCTGGTGTTAGGTTTTCTAGGCTGGACTAGGACTGGACTTGACCAGAGATAAGGGCTAGGGGTCCAGACTGGACCAGGATTGAGTCTGAGAGTCATGGACATGACAGCTTGGCTACAAGCAACAGATTCTCACTTTGATTCCAAATGCTTGACCCATAGATGCAGAGTATGCTCTACATCCAGTCATGTAACAATATGCTGCTACTTCATTAATAATGCATTAGGATATTCATGAACTCATGCTTCAAGGTTCTGCTGGTCTCAAAGTTTTTGAGACAGTGTTAACTTATCAAAGATAAGGGTACCCTCAGGGCAAGTCTTGAAATGCTGGACAACTGCATCTTGTGAAAGGCCCAGGTGAGCATCAATATACATGAAGACAGTCATCCAGTCATGCAGAGTAAGCATGCTTGAAGAAGTTGGGCAGAGCTCTTTGGAGAACCCTTGCTCATGAAGACTCAGGGTTTGTGGGGCTTGTATGGAGCATGCTCAGCACAGGGTTTCCATTTGAGCTGTGGGACACTCTGTTCAGGCATGGTAACAGAACCAGAGAAGCACTGGGGGAAACTTCTAAGAAGCAGCAGCATCTTCTGATTTTTTTCACTTGCATTGCTTAGGTAACCAGTGAACATGTCCCCCAAATGTCAATCTAATAATGCATCATTGGGGGCATATCTTGATGCATTATGTGAAATGTGAACTCCCAGGTCACCCAACTCAGGACCTGGCCAAATCTGATGCAACATTAGAAATATGCATGGTGAGGTCATGCATGATGAGAATATCTACTGTATGTGGAGGAAACTGTAGGTTGTGCCAGGCTTGGCACTTGGCTAAGTTATTGGAGATGTTGGAATCTTGGCTAACAGAAATGGTGGGTTTGCTGATGGAAATGATACTACCATGAATATAGGTAACACACTCTAGTCATTGTCTGCACTTTCAATGGAGCGATGCGACAGGACATGAGCTCATATACTGGAGCATTGAGTTCCTCAAAGCCTTACAAGCGCTTAAATTTGCCTACAAGTCAGTCTAGATCATGTCCACAGCTAATACGAGAAGGTCCGGTCACTGTTGAAGCTGTAGCTACATGGGAGAACAAATTGAAGAGGATATAATTTGACTACTGAAAAGAAATTAAATTAATGACCTGCAAACCTACGAAATGAGTACGGAAAGATTATGGAGGGCCACGAAGGAGTTGTTTTTTCTTTGCCAATGTCATAGTCAAGCGAAGTGAGAGATGCTGCTCTTCGGATTTGCAAGATAAGGTGACAGCCAATTGTAACTCCCAAGAAAAACCCGGTGTTGAGTGTCCCAAGAACCCACTCTACCTGTCTGAGATATCAGAGGTAAAATCGCTTTGAATGGTGAACGTCAACTTACATTGAGGGTGAATAACATCACAACACCAATCACAGAATAAAGCATGGAACTGCATGCAAACCTCATTGATTCATCACCTCAGAACCGTGTTGGAGTACGTACGTGAGAAAAGAAATCACATTCCCTTCGATGAGAATGTCCGTTAGGCGTGTTAATTGATTCCAATTGGATAAGAGAGGGTCAAGCTCCTCTTGATATCTCCGGAGGGCAGCAGAGAAAGCAGCCGAAGATAATAGACATTCATACACTATCATGGCAGCATGATGGATGTAAATTTTGAGGGCTATGTTGGAGGACGTGCTAATTTTGACGCTAAGGTCCAGTCGAACGTTTTCTTATGGATATGGGTTAAGTTTGCACCTCATTCAAAATGAATCGAGGTATAACTGACCTACGAACACAGTGACGAGTGTGATGCATGCAATCATAATGATCGTTTCCGCAACAAAGCCTGGGACCGTCAGAAATAAAACCCTCCTCGAGCCACTATAGAGGGCATACAGCCGCAGTTGCAAAACGACTGAGTAAATCAATTAGGATGATTCTCTGGCAAATAATGATAAATCTACTTTGGTTGGCCGCTAAAACCAAACAGTTGGCCCACAGGCTGAGGGCAGGGTAACTACGGGTAGCTGGGACAGAATCAATTAGATAGAACTTAATCCCCATTCGCTTTACCTACCACTGTGCGTTTTGATTGGTCAAGTTGTAAAGTGTCATGATCTACATTACAGGAGTGAGTAAAACCACATACAACTGGTGTGGCCCTTGATAAGTAAGCTAGTATGACACTCACTGACCTGAATAACACTTGCCTTGTCTATGGAAATTGTGTTCGTGACGAGTACTAGTGGGGGTAACCATTTTACCGCAAGCCTGGGTGATATATGGCTTACCTACTGAGGAATACCTATGGTGGGTCTAAGCTCTGAAAAAACACGCACATGATCAACGTACAGCATATATATGATACCGAAATATCGAAGCTAATATTAATATTTATGCTGAGCTCTACGTCAAGAGTACGTTCATGAAACTCACCATTAGGTAGATGACTGAGACGCTCGAGATCCGTTTTTTCTGTTACGATGGTCCATTAGGGTCCCAGAATCCGAGAAGAGATTGGACATGTACCCATATATATTTGATCTTTGAGCAAGATAAAGATACTGGTCAGCTACTGTGAACAAAAGGAGACTCCAAAAAAACTGCTGATACCTCATCATCCAAAGAAAGTACTGACCACCATTGTGAATGCTCACCGCCATTGAAAATGAAATACTTACCATGGTTGTACATCAACAAAACGGTCAGCGCAACTGATATTGATAAAAGTAAACTCTCAATGCCACGGATGTCAGAGAATCTCGGAGAATCACCTTGCAGGAACCGAATTGTTTGAGCATCCTTCACTACTCTGAGAAGACCATTGTCTGCTGCGGCGTCCATCTCTGAAGTGGGTCACCTAGCTCCTCAGGGTATATAAAGCCTGGATCCGAAGTATAGGCCAAACTATGTTTAGTCGGCTGAAACCTCGACTGATCGGTGAGTCATAAGGCGATACCCTGTTTGCTGATTGCTGTATCAGCAGACTCCGCGGTCACAAGGTCTCTATGTATCGATTCCCAAAGTCTCAGTGGCATGAATGAAGTCGGTTCCCTAGTATCATTTCCCAGTGCAGCGTCAGTAAAGGCTGCGGAGGGGAAAGCCCACCATTTTGGTTTTGCGTCGCATATCCTAGCATTCACCGGGAGAAGGTACCCGCTGGTACCGAAACCTGCCATACTTCCTTTCCTGTAGCATCCACAGCTTCAACTGCGGCAGCACACTTGGCATGCACTGCCTTCGAGGTGGCGTCGATGAAGTGTAACACTGCATCCGTATTCAGTCTCTGATCCTGGAAAAGTACAACCGTTTTTTTCCCTTTCTCTACCGATAAGGGTGTTACGAATCGTACACTCACCGCGAAGCCTACAGGGGAACGAGGCGACTCGAGGTATAACTGAAAATCCACGATCGGTTGACTCGTAGGTGTCGCAACCCCCAACATCTTGGTCTGTGGGTAGATGAGAACCGTGCAATTGACACGGCTCGTGCAGATTCTCCTGAGTACCCGCTAGCGTAGTTTTTCGGGTTTCCGGCTACTCTGACCCTTGATGAACGTCGTAAAATTGGAATGGGGTCCAAGAAAGGATATACATGAAACATACAAGAACGCATGGGCATGCAACGAAGGTGGAATGGTACTTTCTTTCTTCGTAAGATTATGTTATGTAAGAAAACGAAGGAATCAGCACCCTGCTTGCAGAGCAAGGTAGGCTTGTGGAGCGAACACAGGAACAAACGGATGCTCCTGCCATGTGTGCACACCCTACCTCTGTAGACCTTGATCGATATCCCCAACAATTTCCCCTGATAACGACAAGTAAGGTCCCCACAGACAGAGTTTCGATTACTCTACTCCCAGGGGCAACACTGCCCAGTAGTTCCACTCAGCCACGTCTTCGTTGACATATCCGAGATTCCTGGCTACTCTGGCTCTCGATTGGAACGCCGTAGCAATGGAGCCCAAGAATGTACACAAACATAAAAGAACACACGGACACGGGATGGTAACTTGGTGGAATGGCTCTTTTTTTTTTGTAACAATTACATTTCAAAACAAAAAAGAACCATTCCACTTGCATGTCCGTAGATTAGAGAATAGCTAAGATATAAACAGGTGCATATACCTCGTCAGTGGTCAGGCCTACACCGGTCGACAGTGGCCAGCGAAATATAATTACTGAAGGAACCCAATACATACACTCGGTGATGACTACGCGCGCGCACGCTGCAATCTTCGGGGCCATTATGAATAAATGCATAGATATAGGCACGTTGCGATTAACAAAACGATAAGCATTCATTGGGATGAGCAGGGAACATGATGTCATCTAAAAAATCGTCATGAAAAGGAAGAATCAGAAGATGGATGCGATAGCTCGGCCAGTCCAGCAAACGCGAAGGCGCTCAACTCCATACATCCAATAGCAGCCGTGACCGTTCTTTGAGTATCTTCATCTCTGCAGCACCTTCCACCTCAGCGTTCCCACCCTTTGCCTCACCGAGTATCCTTGCCAAGGTATCCTCCACAGCCCTGCTCATCGCCTTGGCATCTCCACAGATGTACACGTATGCCTTGCCCTCCAATATCGCCTTCGCGATGGTCTCTCGTTCCTCCCATATCAGATCCTGAACGTAAATCTTGCTGCCATCGGGTTTGTACGGTGGTTCACGAGAGAATGCACAGTGCATCTTGAACTTGCCCTTGAGTTCCTCCGCATATTGCGGCCACTCTTCCTTGTATAAGAAGTCTTCGTTCGATTTACGGCATCCGTAGAAGAGAGTGATCGAACCCCAGTCAGCGAGCGCGTCAGGTCCATTTTTCTCAATAGACCGTTTCGCCAGGGCAACCCGTTCTTGTACAAACCCGCGGAAAGGAGCAACACCCTGCAGAGCAACGTCAACTCAGGCACGTCGTGAGAAGCACGGGTAACTTACAGTACCAGGTCCGACCATGATTACAGGAATCTTGGGGTTAGCAGGCAAACGGAAAGTCGAGCGGCGCACGTGGATGGGAATCTTGTAGATATCATCCTCTATGTGCGCACCACGAGGGCCTTCGATCGCGTATCTCGGGAGAGATACATGAGCAGGTTCTGAAATTACTGGCTCGGCGATGAAAGGCGCCATCTCTCCGTTTGCCTGCGTATTTAACATTTAACAAGAAGTTCGTCGCGACACCGTAAACGAATCGCGATTCCGCAAGTCGGTTGGGGATGGAATCGTACTTGAGAACGACAGCGGTCACGTGGATTGCATTCGGGTATAGCTTAGGGCTGGAAGAAATCGAGTAGAACCGGGGTTGGAGGCGCGGAATGGATGACACGATAATGTCGAAGGGTATAGCCCAAGCAGTGGTATTGTCGGGCGCAGGGCGGAGCTTGATGTCATTGCCTGCAGCGAGTTGCAGTACCTCACCCAGCTTGAAGCATCCATTGGTGACGATGTTAGAGTACTCCTCCTTGTCGCTGTTCAGAGTCTTAAGGAACGCCTCCGCATTCGGGTGAGGTGCGAACTTGGACAGTACACCGAGCATCTGACGACCAGCCACTGCACAAATGTCGATGTAGTGACGAAGGACGGTGGCATATGTTGTGGGGACGGGGAACGGGACCTTGGCGAGGGCAGGGTCGAGAGAGTCGATGTTGATGACTGCATCCTTTTTGCCGTAAAGTCCGAGAACGTAGAGCATGCGGTCGACCTCCACATCGGGGTTTGAAGGCCAGACACCCACGTGGTCACCGTGTTGATATGTGATTCCAGAGCCTTCGATGTCAAGCTCAGCGTGAACGCAGTTGCGCTCAGCACCAGCCTGGAATAGTTCACGGGCGTGCTTGACGGCAGAAGGGTATGGGTTCTTTCCGTCGTAAATACCCTTGGTTCTGGTAAGCGCACGGGCGGAGAGTTCGCCTGAAAATTGTGATGAGTGCTGGGGGTATGGTGTAAACCGAATACGTACCGAGATACACTTTCTCGGGAGGATGTGAATCGAGTTCGGTGACTGCAAAGTCAGGCGTGTCACCACCCTGACCTTCCTCTACGCCCATTGCCTCTGAGAAGGCTTTCCACATCCCGTCTTTCCACTCCAAGTAGTCTTCCTCCATGCTCTTGTCGTCGTCGCCCTCGCCGCGTTCACCGATTTTCGTTGCACCCATGTCGGTAAGTAAAGCGTCTACCTTGCGTCCGATAGCGTTATAGTGTTCGTAAGTCTTGTTGCCGAGAGCGAAAACTACGTATTTCAGGCCGTCTAGTCTGTGGGAGCCATTACTGAACTCGAATGATTCGTCTTCGAGATTTTGCATGAGTTGAACGGCGTTGTCGGTGGGTTCACCTTCTCCGTAGGTGGCCATGACGAAGAAAATACAACAGTCCTCAGGGACCTGGTCCAGGTTCTCAAAGTCATATTCTTCCGGATCACAGACGAGAGAGGTAAGACCAAACTTGGTCTTTGCCTCCTTCGCGATACGGATTGCATACTCCTCGGCTGTGCCTGTCTGAGAGCCATAGAAGATGACAATGCGTTTTTTCTGTGTGATGAGGGTGAGAACGGTGTGACGTTCGACGAATGAAAGATGACCTACCCCCTCTTTCATCTTCGAGACAAAATTTCGTGGGTTTCCATGACCATTTGCTAGCTTTGATGGTGCAGGTACAACTACTTTGGGTGAAGAAGAGCGGAAAATCTGATCACGGAAGAGATAGGCAGCGGCGAGAACTACGCCCACCGTGACGATAGCGATGTCCTGTGAGGTCGCTACGGGCATGGTCGCGCTGAGGAAGGGAGGGAGAGAGGTGAGACCGAGTAAACCGACGAACGGGAGAGAGACGAGAGAAAAAGCGATGAGGTGGCACTGCCGAATTAGAAGCCCAGGGGAAGGGGGAGTTCACACGGTGTTGGCCTATTAGACAGCGGTTTTAAACAGTCCCAAAAGTGACTACTGTACCAGTACAAGCTGTCTCAACATTTGATGCACGTAAGCGATCCGAAGCCAGCGCATCGGGTTGCAAGCACACAGCTTGCTAGTTGGTCATTCACTGTTAGTCACAGCCGTGGCGCTGAGACAACCAGTCGATGTCGGACGACCCCTGGGACGAAGATCCCCACTACGCCCAACAGGCTGATTGGCAAAGCATATCCACTCAATTCACCAACGTGTGTAGTAATCGGCCGTCTACCACGTCATTTCGCTCACCTCAGCCCCCCTCACAGTCCGGCTATAGAGAAGGCATCATCGCCGGTAAAGAAGCTGCTTTACAACAGGGCTTCGATGTCGGTTTCGCCGACGTAGGTGCCCCGATCGGTCGCGAACTGGGTGCTCTACGGGGGATTGCCTCCGCTCTAGTCTCCTTCCTGTCATCCACAAACACTATCCCAGTGGAGATCGAGGAGGCTCGCGACATCGCAGCCTCCCTTTCCCACGTACGTTTTACCGATATTGTGCCACCAGACATGGAAGCCGAACAACACGCACGCGAGCATCTTCAAGATGACGATCCAGGTCTTGCACAAACTGAAGCGCTGTCACAGAAACGAGAAATGGAAATGTTGGAAGACATGTTGTCTCACATGAATGCTAATGGAGGAATTCAGCAAGTGAGACCTACCCGCGAGGATGTCGTAAAGTTAAAGGGACGTTTGTCTTCGTTGAGCGAAAGGCTTGGGATAAGCCTGTCGTTTCAAGACTTCGACACCGATACCTAAATGAGTCGCTCTTTTCACTTGTACGGCAGTACCACATCAGTAGTACTTAGTGTTTAGTGCCTAGACTCCATGGTATGAATGCCGCGGCACCTACTTACCAACGCAATGGATCTACACCACCGTTACTATGTACAGCCTATCATTATATGCCAGGCCAATTCAAGTTTATTGCCCCGGGTGACTAATAAAACCATACTTGAACAGACCACAGCTGCGCGATCAGTCCTTGGAAGGTCCCGTGGGTATCGCCATCTAGTGATAGGTCTAATCGGATATTGCACAAAAACCTAGAGCGTCTTTATCTTCGCCTTCTCCTTCTCTTCGATGACTCGTTTCGCATGCACATCTACAGCTTCTTCAGTAATGGATCACGCAAGCGTTGGAATAAACAATACCTTTTCGTTTGACCCAAGCCTCTACCGATATGCCTGCGAACACGATAGTCGCTCCAACCCATTGACCAGCTGTGAGCCAGTGGCTGTACACAAGCACAGATAGTATCATCGTAAACATCTTGCGCGTCAACGTGATCGTGCTAAGATATTATTAGCATCCCCTATAAAAAACGCGGTGATCAGAAATACGAACACAAGTGTCAGCGACCCAAAGTGTTGCAAAGTCTCGAATATAAACAGCTGTCCCAGTGCACTCGTAAGAGAGAACTGTAGCAACGGCACCACGATCGATGGGTGCTCTCTCACGAATACCAGGGCACTTGCAAGTTCGAACCGTGCATCAGTCGACGGATGCAGAACAGGAATATACGGGAGAGGTAGCGTTCCTAGTATCAAAGTAAGCAGGGTACTAAAGATATTCATCCAGAACATCATCTGTTGCCCAGTAACCTTGTATCGCAAGAATATTTCATCCTGAGTCGAGTTGACAGCACCATCAAGGAAGATATCGACGAGGACGTATGTGATACCTATCAATTGTGCGTATGGTGATTGGGAAGTCGACTCATTGGATCCCTTGGAAGGTCTTTCCTTTCCAGAGAACATGAACATCGTGATCCCGGTTGTCACCATTGCAACAACGAGGTATTTGTGAGGGGCAAAACGGCGACGGTACAAGATGATATTCATGATCATGACAGGAACGAGTTTGCAGGATTTCGCCAAAACCATGGTCGGATAAGTTATGTGAGACAGAGAGGCGAAGCCGAAGGGGGCAGCGATTGAAATGAACAGCGAGCATTGTAGATAACCCAGTAACAACAGGCTACAAGGAGATCTCCGGCCAGACGTTGCAGTGTCGGCTTTTCGCGCGCGTTCATTAGAGGACACTTTCGTACTCCGGGATCCATCAGTTTTCTCCTTCGAGAGTCCGTTTGTTGTAACAACATCGAGTCCAAGGAGCGAACAGGGGGAAGAGCCGCGCTCCCCACGCATATAGATATAAATTAATGCGGCCAAAGAGCCGAGACAACTTTGGCATATTCCAATGAATAGTGCTGATTTGAACCTATCTGCAGACTGTCCGTCAATGGACTGGAACGGGACTGACACTGGAAATACAGCGTTATACCACAAAGAAAATGACCCTCAGCTACGGTCGTGACCTACGACGTTCCTGTGCAACAGCCCAAAGCTGACGGAAGTTAGCAGGGAAGTAAGCGTGCGTCCGACAAGACTTACAAGAAACATGGCGTATACGCCAGATACGCACAGACCCAACCTGGTAAAAATGTCGAGGTGAATAGCTCGTCTTTAATATGCAAAATTCGAACCTTAGGATAGACATGGCACACGTTTAAACGAGTGGATGAGTAGATGCCAAACAGTGTTGAGCCTCAGGCTGACAGTGGGAGTAATTACAGTAACCCTAACCCTAGCTGCCGAGTGACAGTCTATGTCAAATATCCTGACAGCAGCTGTAACACTTGGATGAAGTCCGTACGGTATGATATTCTATGAAATGCTGGTATGGACCACGACAATAAATAGACATGCCCTAGAGCGACTTTATCTTCGCTTTTTCTTTTTCTTGGAATACACGTTTCGCATGGATGTCTGCCAATCAGCCAGAGTTAGTGCATACAAGCGATAGAAGGATTGAATGAAAACCTTTTCGTTTGACCCACGCTTCCACTGAGATACCTGCGAATACGACGCCTGCACCGAGCCATTGGCCGAACGTGAGCTTGTGGTTGTATATCACCACCGACAGCATCATCGTGAACATCTTTCGTGTTAATGTTATGGTGCTATGGCGTGTCAATACTATTCGAGATGGAAAGCAAGATCTGAAAAGACGAACACGAGCGTCAAGGACCCGAAATGTTGCAGGGTCTCGAATATAAATAACTGTCCCAGGGCACCCGTCAGCGAGAATTGCACCAGCGGAACCACGATCGACGGATGCTCCTTCACAAACGCTACGGCGCTCACAAATTCGGACTGCACACCCGAAGTCGGGTGTAGCACGGGTATGTATGGAAACGGGAGCGTTCCAAGTGTTACACTCAACACTGTGCAGAATGCGTTGATCCAAAACATCATTTGCTGTCCAGATACTTTATACCGAGAGAATATTTCGTCCTGAGTCGAATTGACCGCCCCGTCGAGGATAAGATTGACCAGAAGATATGCGATGCCTAATAATTGACCGTACGGCGAGTATGGTTGCGTACCATTAGAACTCATCGACGGTTTCTCGTTCCCAAAGAACATGAATATACTGATCCCGGCTGTAACCATCATGACGACAAGGTATTTGTGTGGCGCAAATCGGCGACGATAGAGCATGACATTCATCAGCATGACGGGAACGAGCTTGCAGGACTTGCCCAGAACCATGGTAGGATACGTGATATACGACAACGCAGCAAAGCCGAAGGGGGCGGCGAGTGTGATAAACACAGAGCATTGCAGATATCCTAGTAGCAAACGATTTCCATGAGAACTCGAGCTCGATGGAGAGTCATGGGATTTCTGTGTACGTCCATTAATGACCACCTTCCCATTCGAGGTCCCGTTGGCCCTCTCCGCGCCTCGGTCGAGTCCGAGCAGTACGGGAAGAGAGGAGCCGCTCTTCCGACGTATCCAAATATAAGTCAATGCAGATAACGAGCTAAGGAAACTTTGACATGTTCCAATGAAAAGGGCCGACTTGAACTTGTGTGCAGATTGCCCATCGACAGACTGGAATGGTACCGACACTGGCGGGATGCAGAGTCACATTACAGACCGAATTAAAGTACAGCAACGGGTGAAAACTTACGCCGTTCCTGTGCAATAGCCCAAAGCTGGTCACATTGGATGTAAATTCCCTGCCAACACCTACATAGCAATCACGGAAAACTCACCAGAAACATAGCATAGACGCCTGAGACGCACAAGCCCAACCTGTTATCGACAGTTATATCAGGACTCCCTGATGCACATCAATCATACCTTATGATAGACATGGCCGCTCAAGGAAGAGGAAGCAAGCACTGACTACCACTCTTCGGGCAAAGTCTAACGTGTCACTAGCAAAACCCTAACCCCTGGTTATGGTTAGGTCGAGCTGCCACGTGAGCGAGCGCGTCAATGTTCATATTGCACGTGACCGTACTGCTCTAGCCAGCAAGTGGACCCCACTCATCAGGTCTTTCCTCGCCACCACGTCGTCTTCGCGAACGGGCCCGTCTCAACGTCAAACAGTCCATTCAGCAAGTTCCTAGATGACCAACATGATGTGGTCCAAGATTTGCAGCGCTCTCAAGTCACGACCGGACAACGACCACGATAACGACTCGGAAGAAGATCTGCACCCCGCTTTCTGCACTAATGCAACGACCTACTACACACCCGAAACCATGATCGCGCCACTTCCTCTTCAGGGCACCCACACGCGTACTGCTTCGCGCGAGGAGGATATCATCTGGTCGTTAAGGACCCAACTCGCATTTCAGCAGGAATTGTGCACCCAATACGAGATCGATCTTGGTGCACGCGATGAGCTCGTACAAGCTCTCACCACTCGATTTGAAAACGCTGAAAAAGAAAATGAGAAACGGAAAAGCGTTATCCGCTCGTGGAAGAAGAAGGCCGCGGAACTGGAGAAGATGTGTCGACATCTGGAAGAAGAGGTGGATAGCAGTCGACAGGAAAGCCTCTCACGGAGTGTCATGGACGAGGCAGCCGGCGAAGCCCTGCGCCAGTTGCATCGTCAGATATCGCAACTGGAACGGGAGAAGAGCGACATAGAAGCCAAGGAGATCGCTCTTCGCAGCGAACGTGATATCATCCAAGAGACGATGAAGAGTAAGGAAGATGAAATTGCCATGTTGAAAGAGGATCTGAGATTACATTCGGATAATGAATCTGCGATGAAGGAGAGGGTTCGCAGTGCCGAGGAGCAGGAGGGGGAGATAGCAATGCTCAGGGAAGAGATCACGGGCCTCGAAAGCAAGATCTCTGCCATGGAAGAGGATTGGAGTGAAAGCGAGAACAAGAAGCATGCCCTCGAAATGGCACTTCAAGAGGCCTCAGACCTCAGGCAAGCTTTGGAGAAGGAGCGTGATGAGGTACGTTCTGTGTACTGCTACCTTGGGGAACATATTTGTGATATGTACCTGTTCGCAGCTCAACGAACAGCTGAACCAAGAGCGCGAACACGCTGATAGTCTCACACAAGCTCTGCAAGAACAGGAGGATCGTATCTCACACTTAGGTGATGAACTGCAGTTCACGAAGGAGAATATCACGCGCTTGGAGGAAAACACTAAGATGCGCGACACACAAATCACCTCACTGTCTGAAAAGGTGTTACAGAGTGCAAACGAGGCTGAGGAGCTGCGGGAGCAGCTATCCTCACTGCAACGTGAACAAGCTCGCATCAGTGACAACCAGAAACGCGAGGTGGACGACGCGCTTGCCCGCGAGAAACAGGCGCAAGAACAATTTGAGGACGCCCTCAAAGAAAAGGCTAAATCTGACATAATGCTCGGCAGCTCGAAGGAGCGTGTCAATTCACTGACGGATGAAGTCGCGCGTCTGCGCAGCCAAGTCCATCAATTGCAGCAAGAAAGCGCAGACAAGGAAGTGAAGATTCTGCAATTAACCAAGCAACACCAGCAAGATAAAGACGACATCGGCGGGCTCAACATTGCGCTCGATTCAAAGCAGCAGGAGCTTGAGCTGGTAGGTTTGTGTTTACATAGCACCGTTCTCAGCTCACAATTTCGATCTAGGTGAAGCGTCGTCTCGGGGTACGTGGTACAGGCGGGACTACACCTGCCCCAACCCCGAAAGTTTCAAGTCGACGCGAGTCGTCCGCATTTTCTACCCCCACAGTGGCACCACGACCACCCTCAGCCCTTTCGGATGTATCCAAGGACGGTTCTGAGCGAAAGTTGGCCGGAACGCCCTCTGGAGCGCCGCGAGCCAGTCTCACTGCCTTAAACAAAAGCATTCGCACGAATGCTGGCACTAATACAGCGAGCAAACCCTCAGGGACCCCAGCTCCACATGGTGCCAAAACGCCGCGGTCCTCTATATCCGCTACTCCATCTGCCCCCACCAGAGCCCAATCAGCTCTGGGAAAATCCACCAGCACGCGTACTCCGGTTCCTGGCACCCCAAGTAACGCTGGAGGGCTGCGCCGTGCCTCCGTATCAGGTACTGTCCCACAAGCGAAAACCCCTATTCGGCGACCTAGCGTGAGCTCGGCCTCCACAAGTGCGGATGAGAAGGAAAATCTTTCATTGACACCAAAGGGCCTCGGAGTGCCAAGACAGCGTGTACTTGCATAGCTGCTGTACACACGCTTCGCTATGATTACACCACCTTGCACCGCTTTTTGTTTTATCGCTATCTTGCTGCTTTCGGCTCACTCAAGCTATCTGCTGTCGACTAGAATGTTCGCTTCATCAGCGATCCCTGGGCATTTTGCAAATATGGATATCTTCGCTAGCATTTTCGATACTGCGTCCCTATGTTTGTTCTTCATATGACTTTTATCTATGCCTTATTGCCAAGTACTTGTGTTGTGTTGTTGTACATGTAGGTCTAGTATGGTGTCGACCGTGTATTGCATCTTTCTTCATCTCACCACCCTGTCTCCTGATCATACTTACTCAGCGACGGTGAAACTACGTTCACACTTTGGGCGCCGGATGTTGAACGGAGAACTGCTGGGTAGTTTCGAACCATAAGCCTTCGAAAGTCTGCCTGCCGAGCGTTTAGGTTCCACCGATTACCCGAGACGCTCATATCCCTTCCTCCTGAGACCATGTGGAGAACTAGGTAAATTCCCAAACATAGACCTACAGGTGTGTCATTGAGCAATGGAATTAATATGTAGTGTAGAGGAACCATGGCTGCAATATAATAAAGCGGGTTGCGTCGACGAACATAGGGATGGCAGTCACAAACGAATGAGTCTACCACGCTACGAATCCGTCGCCATAAGCGCGTCGTCATCGTCCACGAAAACGCGTTTGCGGCCGTCGATCCTGTAGGGAATGTAGGTTAATACAGTGGTGGAAACATCAAGGTCCCCGTGATCCTAGTTCAACTTACCTAAGGTCGTCATCATCTTCGTCATTTCCCCTCTTTCTCCGCGAGACGCTTCTCTGGGTTGGATTCAATGGGAAGCGAGCGACCGCTGCTTTGGCCCTGTAAATTGACTCGTATTCCTTTGTAATTCCATGGGTTAGCATATGCAGCGAACCAACCTCCAACGTCGTCTACCTTGATCTGAGTTAAGAACCCTCCATTGGGAGAGATGCAATACCGCCGGTTCTGGACTAAATGCAACGCGTCCTCCCAGGACAGCTGACAGTGCCGCATGACGAACATGACGACGAACGCAGGCGACAGGGATATACCACCTAACGGGAGGTATGGAAAGAAATGAGCTTCCGGTGCATAGGCGCTGCAACTCACCATTACAGTGCACTAAGACTTTGCCTCCTTGGGATATAGCTTGCTGAATAAACTGGTCCGCTCTGACACGACCAGAAATGAGACCTAAGTGGAGATGACCAACCGCTTGCATCCTCACTCTGGGAACAGTCGAATGACGTTCTGCTCCTCGTTATCCTCTACATCAAGCACTAAGTAGTGAAAGTGGTCCGGAAAGCGAGGCTTTACAGAAAACGCTTCTTTCTGGTCACGTATGCAGACTCTGTGGATACCGCGTCAATGAGATCGTTCTTGCAACTAACGTGAGACGTGACAAAGGAGAGGGGTAATTGACCCATGGAAAGTGGCGACTATCGTACTCACATGTGAGTGACACCAAGGTTTTGAAGCGTGCCCAACGACTTCGAAGCTTGGAATGGGCCAAGTAAAAGACCAGGAAGAATCTCTTGACACTCCCTCCTCATCTCGTATCTAATACAATGAAGTACACAGGAAGAATTGAGCAGCGATCAGGCCATGTGAATATTCTTTACCTCCACTCCACGTCTCCGGGACCTTGAACGAGATTTCTAATATATTCGTCCGACAGGTTGAGCATGTCCATTAGTCCAAGTAAGAGAAGAAGGAAAAGGCTCAGGAAGCGCTATAGGAGTGCTAGTGGGATAAATAAGCTAACAAACAATGCGACATGAAGTCTAATGAATCTATTTACGAGCAAACCGCATCTACAATTCGATGAATGAGATGGAAAGCGATGATGATATACCGTGCGGTTGACGGGTACTCCATGAAACTTTTCTTGACTTTGATAATAGCACTCTCATAGATTCCGGTGAAGTACCAGCTACGTCGTCCTCTGAAACACCGCAGGAACCGCGGCGTATTCCTTGCACCATCATCAGTGGATTTCTCGGCGCCGGCAAGTCCACCTTGCTCAAGTGAGTCCCGCGCATCTGATGTTACGGATGGCTGACTCTCCCATTGTAGACGGATTTTAACAGAGAAGCACGGGTACCGCATAGCGGTCATCATAAATGAATTTGGTGACTCTGCTGTAAGTGACGATACCTTGCACGCCCGCAAACTAATCTATAGGAGGAGCAGAGCATCGAAGGTCAGTCGTCCTTGATCCTTAAAATGACACAATAAGTTTATTAGGCGGTACGCAGCGAAGGCCATCAATGTAACCTCGCCGGATGACCCGGCAGTTCAGTCAGAGGAGGTACTCGAGCTCGCCAACGGATGTCTTTGCTGCAGCATCAAGGATGCCGGTATCGCTGCGATCGAAAAGTTAATGCAACGCAAAGGAGCGTTCGACTACATCGTACTTGAAACTACGGGATTAGCTGATCCGGGTTGGCGAGAGTTCTTGTTCACTTTCTTGCAGCTCTCATACGAATGTTTAAAGGTCCGATTGCGTCTATATTCTGGCAAAACGAGGAGTATTCCGCTGGCCTGAGTAAAGAAATCATCCTGGACGGCGTAGTGTGCGTCGTGGACGCGGTTTTTGGTCGAACGGTATTTGATCTTCTTTCTCGCTGGATAAAGTTAATGATCATGTTATTAAAGCAAATGGAGGAAGATCACTCGATTGACGGCATTGGAGAGAGCTTGCGGTAATTTGACGTGGCTTGTATCATCTGTTAGCTAACGTGTCTCACCAAGGCAGATTGCATGCTCCGACGTCATTCTTCTCAATAAGGTCGATCTCGTTCATTCAGAGAATGACTTGTTCGAGACGGAGGATATGATACACAGGGTCAATCCATCAGCACCCGTATATCGGACGACCCATGCCAACATTAATATCTCTCGCATTATCAATATCAACGCGTACCGCGTGGTAGATCACATACGGACGGCTGCTCTCAGCGATGGAATCGCCAAGGCCAATGCTAATCTCGGGCACGGGGTGGTGCCTCAGCCGAGACACTATGAATTGCGGGGAATATCTAGCCTTCAAATGACCATCCCACCACTTTCCTTTGAAAAGCTTGCGAGACTTGAAAAATGGATACAACGAGTGCTCTGGGACAAGGAATTACCCAAAGAGGACTCAAGCCCTAACGATCACCCGGTTCAAATTTTACGGTGCAAGGGCCTCTTGGTGATGGAAACCGGAAAGGAGTATATATTGCAGGGCGTACAAACGATGTATGAAATATCGGAGGTCAGTGAGCAGGATGTGCATGGGTTACCGTCTGCGGGAAAGCTGGTTTTGATAGGGAAGGGGTTGGACGAAGCCGCGAGGTCGAGTCTCATGAGCGTGCTAATGTAGCCGAGGTGCATTACGTCAGCTTAAAGATTTGATTGATGCTTTCGAGTCATAAAGTGTTTCATGGTGCTACCGTGTACCGGCACCGGCACCGTTTAAATACTTGCTGATTCAAAGTCTTGTAGAGTGTCTTCTGCATCTACCGAAATGGCCAGTCGTCTCGGTACTGAAACCCCCGATCCAGAAAACATACGGATCATCACGGCGCTAGGCCATGTCGATCATGGGAAGACCACACTAATGGATGTGCTACTTGCCGCGAACAATATAATCTCTCCTAGGATGGCGGGGAAACTGCGATACTTAGACAGCCGTGAGGACGAGATCGAGCGAGGAATCACGATGGAGAGCAGTGCCGTGTCATTGAAGTTTCAAGTTATGGAGCGTAATGCTGATGGTAAGTGTCCTCAGAAGGGTACCAACGATCTACATGACTGATATGACTAGGAAATCCGCAAAAGACTTATATCATAAACATGATTGATACACCAGGACACGTAGATTTTTCTACCGAAGTCTCTACCGCGTCCCGCCTTTGCGACGGGGCGTTGATTCTTGTAGACGTAGTAGAAGGCGTCTGTACTCAGGCGAGTCCCTCTCCGCTGCATGTACTAGTATCATCTAACATTATGGCAGACTGTTTCCGTCCTCCAGCAGGCATGGCGAGACAACCTTCGTCCAATCCTTGTCATCAACAAGTTTGACAGGTTGATTGTTGAGCTTAAGCTATCCCCTGTGGAAGCATACCACCACCTTTCACGCCTCATAGAACAAGTAAATGCAGTGATGGGTGGATTTTTTGCTAGCGATCGTATGGAAGATGACCTGCGATGGAGAGAAGAGCGGGAAAAGCGATTGGCTGCCAAGAAGGACCAGTATGCTGACGAAGGCGAGGCTGCAGCTAATGATGCTGACACTTTCAAAGAGAAAGACGATGAAGATATATATTTTGCTCCAGAACGTGGAAATGTCGTTTTTGCCTCAGCGATAGATGGTTGGGGTTTTCGCGTCGGCAAGTTCGCACAGTTGTATTCCGCTAAACTTGGATTCAAGGAGGCTAATTTGCGACGCGTCTTGTGGGGAGACTTTTATTTGGACTCTAAGACTAAACGAGTTATCAGCTACAAGCACCTGAAGGGACGTGCTTTGAAACCTCTTTTCGTGCAGTTCGTCTTGGAAAACATTTGGGCTGTGTACGATGCGGTAGTTTTGAACCCGTTGGTGAACTTCGTTCGTTGTGTAGTGTTTGCCATGATCGACTTGCCATCGACAGGAACCCGGAAAAAGTCACGAAGATCGTATCCACTCTCAACCTCAAGGTGTCGCCTCGTGACCTTAAATCTAAAGACAGTCGTCAGCTCGTTTCCCTCCTCTGCAACCAGTGGCTTCCGCTGTCCACCTGTGTCATTCAGGCAGTCATCGACATTGTTCCTTCCCCTCCGGCTGCACAGGCCTTCCGTCTTCCCAGAATGTTGTATCCAGATAATTATGAACAAAGGATTGCACCGAAGAACAAGTTGGAGCAAGACCTTTTCACGTCTAACTCAGACCCCGATGCTAATGTGGTTGCATATGTCAGCAAGATGATAGCGGTGCCACGCAAGGAGTTGCCGGAGAATAAGACCAGACCATTGACCGCAGACGAAATGCGTAGCAGGGGAAGGGAAATCAGACGAGATCAGTCTTCGGGAGGCGATACCAACGCTCCAATCCCGGAACTCCAAGGAACGATGGAGGCACTAGAGATAGAGGACAAAGCCGACGACGAGGTTATACTTGGGTTTGCACGCCTGTACTCTGGATCAATCACAACTGGTACAGAAGTATACTGTGTCTTGCCGAAGTACAATGCCTCCCTCCCCCCTGAACATCCTAGCAATGTTCATAACTTGGTTATCGCAGAGGTTGAAGGCCTGTACACTATGATGGGAAGGGAATTACATCCAGTGGAAACTATACAAGCGGGACATACCTTTGCTGTTAGAGGTCTCGCAGGCAAGGTTTGGAGAAGTGCCACGCTCTGCGCCCCGGCTCGTACGGGAATTCCACAGGACAGTGACGTGAACCATAATCAAGCCTGTCTCATTAACCTGGGGGGTGCCAGCCGGATGGTCAGTTCGCTGAAGCTCGGATAGGGGAATTGATAATCACGCTTCTTTGCAGGCTTTACCCATCGTGCGCGTTGCGTTGGAACCTGTTGTTCCGGCAGATATGCCCAAGTTAGTTGCCGCACTTGCACTTCTTGCGCAAGCAGATCCCTGCGTGGAGACGTTTCAACAACAAACCGGAGAGCATGTTATTCTTACGGCTGGAGAGCTGCACTTGGAGGTACGTGTCTTAGTTTGCAGAGATTCTTTTAATTACACCTGCTCGTACAGAGATGCCTAAAGGATTTGCATGAACGTTTTGCACGGGTAGAGATACAGGCTTCCAAGCCCATTGTGCCTTTCCGCGAAACAGCCGTGAAGGCTGCAGGTATGTGCTAAGTCGTGATCAAGTTCATGTCAACCCCTGAATGTCGCCGTGATAGATATGTTACCCCCCAAAACTCCAAACGCCACTCGGGGAACAATGAAGGGTGCAAGCACCCAAAATTTGGTCTCCTTTACGATACGCTCCGCTCCCTTACCAACCATAATACATCAGTATATCTTACAGAATCTTGCAGTGCTCAGGGCACTTCTGCAGGAACGCCGTGCAGCCGACGGAGATACCTCGGGGGAGACTGTGAGTCCTGGCGAGGCGGAGCGAACTGGAACGCAGGATGATATCCTTCATTCCCCAACCGTTCGACCTGAGCAATTCTGGGATGTTCTGGAAGACAAGTGTATGGAAGCAGGGGGGGAATGGTCGGGTATCTCGGAGAGGATATGGGCGTTCGGTCCCCACGGTGCTGGTGGCTGTATACTCATTGATGCACGCAAAGACGTGGTGCTTACATCGTACGTCGTTCCCACCTATTTAGTCTGGATTAGGATGAACGATGCGGTATTAGGTTGAGACGTCGCTTACTACGGGAGAGGTCCGTTAATTCTTACGGAAAAGACGGGCACGAAGGGAAATATGACTTTAGTGGGCATATTGAGACCGGATTTCAACTGGCCACGTTTCAAGGGCCGCTTTGTGCAGAACCGATGGATGGCCTTGCTTATTTTGTCGAGAACGTGGAAGTCGATTCCCGGGCAGTTCAGAAAGAAATCGGTACGTAGACGTTTCAGGGGATAGTGAGATTCGTGACCTGACCCGCTGACACCACCGAGTAGTCCAGAATAGGCTGACTCAAGTGACCGGTTCCGTGATATCAGCGGTAAGGGATGCGTGTCGAAACGGGTTGTTAGACTGGTCTCCGAGGCTCAAGTTGGCAATGTATTCCTGTGATATTCAGGCATCAAGTATGTGCCATTCTCGCCCCTGACTCGTGTTCAGCTGATTTCCGTGTTATCCCTACTTAGCGGATGTCCTCGGGAAGGTTTACGGAGTAATCGCGAAGCGCCGTGGGCGAATAGTTGGAGAGGAGATGAAGGAGGGGACGTCGTTTTTCACCGTTTCCGCACTGTTACCGGTTGTTGAGAGCTTCGGGTTTGCAGATGGTTGGTGTTTACATCCGGTGACTTGCTATTTGTGTGATTACATTGTTGCAGATATCCGCAAGCGTACGTCTGGCGCTGCGAGTCCCCAGCTCATTTTCAGCGGGTAAGTGGGAATTCCATTACTTAACAAAGCAAGGGGTCTGAGAAAATACCCCAGGTACGAGTTACTCGATCAGGACCCATTTTGGGTGCCGACAACGGAGGAGGAGTTGGAGGATCTTGGTGAAAAGGCGGACCGGTCTAATTTGGCCAAAGAGTATATGGATGCTGTGCGGGAGAGGAAGGGATTGTTTGTCGATCGCAAACTCGTGCAGTTTGCTGAGAAACAGAGAACACTGAAGCGGTAGTGTGAAAGGTACCTCATCACAGGCTGAAAAACATGAGTGATTGAGAACGCGACAAATATTTCTGCCTTTGTGCTTCTCCTTCCAGGCATTTGTTTTTTTTTCTAGATGCCAATATTCAGAAAGAGACAGAACCTCGAATTAATTAGTTGTTGCACTCAGACGCTATTAATAGTAGTGGGATAAGCTGACTAAGCTACTGATAGCGCTCCATCCTTCCATATTGATTACGTAATCTGTTTTCGGTACTTGGGACGTCTGAGTTAAACCGCTGCAGAGATCTCAGAGCCAGGTCGCTCATCTTATCCGTCAGCCAATTCCGCCGTCCTGCGCGCTCTGTCACCTACCCGATACCTCTTGGCATTATAAAGGGTCTATAATGGCTGTTGTTGGGGTTGCATATGGCAACCTCGGTGCATACCACGGCGGCGCTACTACCGGGGATGACCTCCAGGCTGCGCAGGTACCCGAAGAGTCGACGATCACAACGTTCTTCTGCCGAGCCTTGTACGACTACCAGACTCAAGACTCCTCTTCCCTTTCCTTCCGCAAGAACGACATTATCGAGGTTTTGACTCGACTAGAATCCGGATGGTGGGATGGTTTACTCGGAGATGAGAGGGGATGGTTCCCTTCAAATTACGTTACGATAATTTCAGACGAGGAGGCCGAACTAGCGTTGTCCGCAGTTGAGGACCAACAAGAAGTACAACCGAACGTTATGGGGATGAACGTCACTGGGGAAGCATATGCATCGGATGCTAGTTGGGGCGGTGAGCCCGCAAACATACCGGGTATATTCGTTGAGCATGGGAACACCGTGTCTAACGGGGGTGTGACATCTAGTGATTTCTGGATGCCTCAGGTCACAGTCGATGGACAGGTAAGTAGCCAGTACTTGAATGATTATCAACCGTACTACCCGCAATTCGTTTCAGATTTACTACGTTAACACCCAGACTGGTCAACATTCGCGTGATCTTCCTCTCGAGGTGGATGAAACTTCGGATGGGGATCTCGCAGCCTTGGCCGTTTCTCAGCCCAGTTCTCGTACAGGAAATGGTGCTGGTCTTGGTTTCACTGCACTGACAGAGAGTAGCCTCGCTGGCTTCGGTGTTCCTAAGCGGACTGGGACGCCCGAACCCTGGGTCAGAAAGCTTGCTGACGATGGCATAGCTTATTATTTTTTGAACAAGCGTACTGGAGAGGTGAGCTGGTCGCTGCCGGACGGCGATGCGCCAGTCACCAAGGGTCGCACCCGTGCACTGACCGGTTCTTCGACAACTCCGGCCTTCAATGAAACTAAGGCGACCAGTCGTATGCGCTCAGACTCCGCAACATCGCAATCGCGGGGTAGACGGGATCCATACCAACATATTTCCGACCATGTCAGCGACTCAGATGACTCCGGTCTCTACTCTCCGGATCAAGAGGACGGACTTTCCACAAGCGGGTATTCTCGGAGCAGTGAAAGGGATCGATCCCAGGATGCGACCGCTGGGCGCGCTCAGGCTATAGAACTCACTGCGGCAGAGAGGATAGCTCAGTCTCTACAAGAGACCCTTGCGCCACCCTCGCCAGATCTGGTTTCTGATCTGTGTCACGTCGCACGTGACGCGGTTGCCTCTGTCCTGCGAAAGAACCAATCCTTCAGCGGGGTGCCTCGCCAGCCGGAACATAGCCAAGCACTCGACGGTCTGATTATGAATGTCGTTGCTGCTGTTCGCAACCTCCTGTACATCTCCACCTCAATCCCTGGACACATACCAAACCATGTTATCCCCCCAGATCCTCGGGACCGAAGTGAAGCTACCGCTTCTCAGGCCCTTCTTAAGCCCGCACAACGCAAAGTGACGGCCACTTTATCCAAACTTGTCTTATCCGCCCGGGCAATGGAGTATGATTCAGGGCCAGCCGCTCACGACGTTGCCACTCGCATCCAAAACGATGCAGAGGAACTCGACCGGGCTATTGTCACATTCGTTGCAGAGGTACAACGATATTACAGTGAGCACCAGCGTGAAGGTACAGGAACCAAGCGCATTCAAGGGTTCTTCTCCACCCTCTATCTTGGCCTGGGATTGGTCGGTGCCGGTTGCGCGGGTACCTGGAAAGGGTTTGGTTGGGTTCCGATGGATGATACCGAGGAAATACCCGAACGAATACTGGGTGTTGACATTTTTGCTGAATTCAAGACACACATGGCTTCGGTACAAGCCAAGTTCGGCACCCTCCACAGTGCTTTGAAGAATAAGGGTAGCGGTTCGCGTGAGTCCCTTCTATCTGATGATTTACAGCCGCTGACATGCCAACGTGTGTTTACAGAATATGCAGTATGGGCTGCAGGCAAAGAAGTCGTAAGCGGACTTGCGACCCTACTATTATTTGTCGGAAATATCCATGTTGCAAGACATGTAGACATCGACGGCTTCTACATCCAAACTGCTGACGCTGAGCATGGTGTTTCGTATGGCCAAACGGTTGAAAGCGCTCGGATACTGACCCGCACTTTGGAAGCCGTTGCTCAGTGGTTGTATGATGATGCGTCAACTTTGCTATTGCTCATACAAAGTGTAAGGAGCTCAACGGGAAGGAGTTACTGGCAAGACAAGGATGCTCACTACGAAATGTTGGACTCCATCGCGACTTGGCTGAAGTCAAACTTGCAGTTTCTCTTGCAGACCCTCGATGCTCTTCTAGAGCTTGGGCATACACAGGCCGAAATAGCTCAAGGAGATTATCAGGGCGCGATTGAATGGCGGATGTCGCGTCTTAGCTTCATGGACAGCCACTTCGACGTTCGTCCCATGTCTATCCTCAACCCTGCAGACCCAGAGAGCGAAGACCTAGTTGACATCGAAATTGCGCTTGGCGGCGCTGTTGGGAGGGTGCACAATGATCGTGTTCCGACGTTCCGCAGCCAATCTCAGTTATCCGACACGACAATTACCCTCACCGATCGGACTCTCCGTGATTCGCGAAGTATCTATGACCCTTCCGTGTCCGCCCACACGTTGGTTCCGTCGGAGACGCACCGAGACGCACCGTCAATGAACGATTCTACGTTATTGCTAGAGGATAGTTGTAAGTGTTTCGTCCCCCCTTCGAATCCCATCCTAAACTTGTGCAGCTCCGATGGCCAGGGCAACGTCCAATGCGCAGAAGATCAGAAAGATCCTTGGAGACGATGCCCCGGAGCATTTAACAACTACCAAACCGTGGTATTTGCAGCCCGACTATACGAAGGAAGAGATAATCATCGACGTGGGTGGCGCCGTTAGGGCTGGAACGGTCCCTGCGCTAGTGGAGCGCCTTACAACTCACGAAACTGGAGGTAAGATGAAGTATTTATGGTTTCTGACGGGAACTGACCATGGCTATCATAGACACGAATTTCATTAAAACTTTTCTCATGACTTATAAGTCTTTCACGACTTTGGGCGAACTCTTCGATCTACTAGTGAAGCGCTTTTATATAAAGCCTCCTGAGGGCTTGTCACCCTCAGAGTTGGAACAGTGGCGAAGACTTAAACAACACATCATCCAGACGCGGTAGGTTTCAATCTAGTTTACACGCATGCAATCCTCACTGCTGGCATCGTAGGGTATTAAATACCATCAAAACAATGATTACAGATGATGACTTCCTTGAAAAGGAAGACATGTATATTCTCGATCGCATGAAGGAGTTTCTGCTGCGTTTAGACGAGACTTCACAAAAGACTATGGCGACCCACCTTCTAACTTTGATTGAGCGTGCTGTAAGTCATTTCCGCTCACGTGTGAAGGTGGATCTTAACTACGCGCTTAGCGAACCGGCGGGCTAAAGAAGACGATAACTCCAAACCTGGTGTCACCCCCAACATCAATCATGCCGAAAACGAACAAGAAACTTAAACTACCTGACATTGAACCCCTGGAGCTCGCGCGGCAATTGACAATAATGGAAAGCCACCTTTATCAGAAAATTCGGCCTATGGAATGTCTTCAAAGGGCTCGAGAACAGAAGACTGAACATCACGACAATATCGCCCGAGTCATCCAAACTAGCAACAGAGTGTGTACTTACCATCGATATTGTGACTGACGAATGACTGCTCATCTATAACAATTAGATTGCCAATTGGGTCGCAGATACTGTCCTCAGCCACGAAGATTCAAGGAAACGGGCCACAGTTATAAAGCAATTTATCCTTGTTGCCGATGTGAGTAACTAAGCAGTTTCCGCCTCGCCGAAGCTGACTATACCTTGCATTCAGCGTTGCCGAAACCTTCACAATTATTCCAGCATGGTCGCCATCGTATCTGGTCTCAACTCACCGCCCATCCGTCGACTGAAACGGTCGTGGGAGCAAGTTAACTCGCGCCACCTGACACAACTAAATAACTGCGAAATGACCATCGACTCTGGAAAGAACTTCAATAATTATAGGTCGACGCTAGCAAAAGTAGCTCCTCCTTGCGTACCCTTCATTGGTAAGGTGTATTTTGGCGTAGTCTTTGGATCACGCAGACCAACGGGTGTATAGGTGTCTTCCTCACTACTTTGACTTTCATCCAAGATGGTGCCAAGGACACTTTACCAGCAAATTTGGTCAATTTCCGTAAGCGCCAGAAGGCTTCAGAAGTCATACAAGATATCCAACGTTGGCAAACTATACCCCACCACTTTCATCCGCTTGCCTCGGTTCAGGGGTACCTGGAGGAATCGCTTAATAAATTCAATGACCAGGTTGACGTTGGCGACATGTTTTGGAATCTTAGTCTTGAGCGGGAGCCCCGAGAGAGGGAGGATGAGAGGATGGCACGCTTGCTGCAGGAGAGTGGGTTTTTATGAGCAGCGCTTGGTTAGAGCCGGTGCTATGCAACTATTGCCTGTATTATTTGTTTCCTTCGCTTTCGGTTCATGTTGTACAGCTATTATACGGAGGACCGCTTCCACCACCAGTCGCTTACATAAGCAAATCCAATCTGACATCAAACTGGTACGAAGAGATACCATCGGTGAAAGGTTTCCGCCTCAGATACATGTCTCAAAGAGAGCCTTCGTTTTTTGAACGAGAGCGCGACCGGCTCGCTACTGAAGTCACAGCGGTACGTTGACGATCGTATCTGATGTGACGAGTCAGCGTGACCATAATATAGGGCTTTGAAGAATTGTTGTCCTCGAGCAACGTCCTGAACCGCAAGCTCGAAGAGGTGTTGGGTATGACGAGAGAATATGAGACGATTGCTGTTCTGTGGCAGAACTTCCACGAACTTATGCGTGTTCAGAACGAGCCTTCAGGAGACCCTCGAACCGTACCAGGCACTGGTACACATGTTGTATCCAACAACACTGGACAACGACAATGATCGTATATAGCATGTACAACTAGAGTCAAGACAGTGAACTACTACATCGTCATCGCATTTCGGAACGGACTATCCAAGTACACGCAGTAAAACAGGGTTTGTGTTATGTATCATCGTGACTGAGCAAGATGGATGAGGAGACGAAGGTACAAGGTCCATTTAAATATCCGCCCACGATGCCACCTGAAAGAAATTCTCTAAGAATTGGCGAAGACGCTTGACGCATTCAACACTTACCCAGGAGAATCCGGCGAACTCTGCTTGGTCCCTCGTGGTTAACTGCCCGTGTACAGGAGTCAAAGTTGGTTGCTCCCGAGTAAACTCTTCGTCGAAGTTACTAGTGTCGGCGACGCCGTTCTGACGAAGCAAGCATCAGTAGTTGCTCCGCCAATTTGTCAACGTGGCCTTACAATTGTAGGGAAATACGGAGGCGGAATGCGTTTGTGGAGGATGTCGTCAAAGCTTACGTCTTTGAAGAAGGGATGTCTCTTGACCTCCTCTGCGTCCTCCTTACCAGCGCCCAGCCGGCGTGTGGGGTCTCTAGTTAACAACTGCAATTTACTTAGTCTTCGCAAGGGAATGATCGAAGAAGGACACAAACCTTTTGTAAAATGGAGACCGCATCCCTCGGCATAGTAATCGGGTATAAAGGTTCATCTTCTAGAATGGCATCGAAAATTTCATCTTCATCGTCACCACGGAATGGCGATTGGCCGAGTAGCATTTCGTATGTCAACACGCCGAAGGCCCACCAGTCCACGGCACGCCCATAGCGTTGTTCGAGCAGGATCTAAAATTGCGTGTCATAAAGCGAATCTCCATGACACAAGCGAGCCAACCTCGGGCGCCATAAATTCTGGAGTACCACAGAAGGTACTTGTGGTCATACCATACCACATCTCCTCCTTGCACAGTCCGTAGTCTGCAACTTTGACGTGTCCGTCAAGAGTCAGTAGGATGTTGTCGAGTTTGAGATCGCTGCCAAACCCGGGCGTGAGTGTGAATGTCTATCTGACATGAATTACGAACCGATAAATGATTCCATTGGCATGGAAGTATTCCAGAGCAAGGAGAACTTCAGACGCGTAGAATTTGGCTTGACGCAGGGAAAACTGCTTGCGTTGAATGTGCAGCATCAAATCACCACCACTAACATACTCCATCACGAAATAGATTCGTGTCTCCGTCTGGAAACAAGAGTGAAGACCGAGTAGGAAGGGGTGGCGCTCACGAGCAGCCGCAAGAAAGACGCGTTTCTCCGAGCGAGTACTAGCATCTTTTCAGCATACAAGTACATAAAGAAGGAATGGACGTACCTCTCGACCTCATCATTATCGATAATGAACTCCTTCTTAAGCACCTTGATCGCATATAATGCGTTGGTTTTCTTCTCTTCCGCTAGCATGACTTTCCCGAAGTTGCCCTTTCCGAGCACGGCAAGAAAGTTGAAATCATCCAAGCCAACTTTGCGCTTGCGGAGTGGGGCTCGCTGGGCAGGCGAGAGTTCAGCATGCTGGCTCCTTGGTGATGTATACTGTTGTTGAGAGTACGCCTGTTTCTGTCCGCCGATGAACGGTTTCGTCGGAAGAGCGATAATCATTCCGTCTCACCTGTTGAGAAATGCTGTAGCTATCCTGCTCGTAGGCTGCAGGAGGTAGCATCTGTTCGTTTGGATAAGCAGGCGGGACCGGGATTCTTGCCCCAGGGGGTGGTCGCGGAGGAATACTAGATGTCTGATAATGTCGCACGTCAACTCCATCCTGTGTAGGAGGTCGGCGGGCAAACGGATCTGCTCCAGGGGAACCGATATCGACACTCCCGGTCAGCTGCAGTCTGTCCACTCCTTGACTAAGGGAAACATCTGCGGAGGGGAGCGATGACGGGCGGGCTTGCGGTGTCGACGTCTGGGCTGTAGTTCGGGCGGCAGCAGCAGCCTTGCCTCCCCGGGCACGGTTTATGTCCCGCCAATCACGTAGAAGTTGATTAGCTGTTTCCATCGACATGCCACAGAAGTCCGGTACGAGATGAGCACAATTGGCGTGACAAGTAATATCGCATTCTGAACATCGACGAGCGTTCTTCCGCCCCAGGGGAAGCATGTAACCGCAGTGGCAGCACCAATTGGCACCCATGTTGGTGAGTGGCTCGAAGCGATGGGGGATGCGGTGGTTAATTTTCTCTTCATCTCCCTCCTGAAAGTTTCCAAATAGATTAATTGCGAGCACCAACACAGGCTACCAACACTTACACCCGTATTGGACTTGGCGATACACTTCGTGATGACTTTGTCGTAGCATTTCTTGTGACATGTATATCGACAGTCCTCGCACTGGTATCCCAACGCGTTCAGGAGAAATTCACCACAAAAGGCGCAGATCATAATTTGGTAGAATTGCCGTTGAACGAACTTGTGTCCATTCATTTCATGGACCTCTCCTTTGCGTTTCCTGACCGCTCCTTGACGACCTAATCCACCAAGCCCATCAAGTGGTCGCTTCCTCACATTTTCCTTGACTTCGCAACGTTTAGTGTTAACAACTTTCCCAAGATCTCGAAGCACTCACCGAAATTCAGATGGAGGTAAAGCGCACCAGCAGGTTCAACAGCAAACCAACCGTCGATACCTTCACTTTGACTGACGCAGCCACCTGGATTAGACGTGCCCGCGGATGGACCGAGACTAAGAGGCGCATTGGTGTCTCCGAACGTTCCCGTTGCTGAAGGGTGTGCTCTCCCGCCGGGAGAATCACCGTCCATCGCACCTGCGGTGACCCAGCCACCTTGACCACTGTCCATCATGACCTTTTGACGTCGGAGAGCTTCCACAAGGTCACCAATCCTGATCCAAAGAAAACCGATAGGGAAAGGATGCGGTTCGGACAACTGTTTGTCGTAAATAGCTATTTCAACCTCATTCGCTTTATCTGCTGCAATTTCAAAATCTTCATTCCAACGGTCCGTGCGCGAGGGATGCGAAAGAGCGCGTTGGGTACCCTCTACCTTCATGGAAACGTATGTTTCGTTGACCTGCTTGGAAGACGGCCGCAAACGGCTCGACGACACGATTGGAGCGTGATCAAGTTCGCGGGCAGCTTTAACTGTGATATACAGCTTTCCAGACAGCGGTTTCGCCCGAATGTTGTCTTTTCGGCTTCCATCCACTCCTGGGTAAAGACGTTAACCTGCGAATTGGGACTTCACAAAACACTACTGTACCCTGCTCTTCTTCCTCGACATCGTCAAGGATGTGTAAAGTCTTGTATCGCTTGAGAGCTGACATCAAGAGCTGGATTTTCCTTTCGCTCTCGACTCGCTTGCTGTCGGCGTCTGCACGGGACTTCTTATCGCCATCAGCCTGGTATAACTTGACCATTTTCTCGATTCCCTGTTTATATTGCATCTCAACTTGGAGCTTGAACTCCAATTGGTGAAGCATCCGGGATATTTTAGCAGTTGTATGGGGGGTATCAGCCTTTATGAGATCGAGATTTGAATACTGCTTGGCGGAGGAGGCACCATCACTTTCTCCACTTCCAGCGATATATGTCATAGAGGAAGCTGGGGAGTGGCTGCGGCGGGCCAGGGCGTCGCGGTCGGATGGGATTTGTGGGAGAGAACGATCCCTATCAGACGAGCGAACACTCTTTGAACTTGCTGAGGAAGCCATGGAAGACGACTGGACAGTTCCTGATCGGGAGAGATCTTCCCGCATCGACTGGGCTTTCCTGCGGGCTTGTAGCTCGCGGAGGGTGTCTTCAAAATAAGACAGAGAACGTTCTGCCTCCTTGATTTTAGCATCGTTGCGGCGCAGAACATCTTGGTTCGTTGTAGCCTGGCGGAGGAGCCTTGAAGCATCAAGGACCTTGCGTTCCGTCTCGATGCGCTTGTGGACATCTTGTATTTTCTGGTCGAGTTCGTCGGGCTACGCGGGTGCATCAGACATCATATATCGGTCCATGACTGTGGCGTGTTCTGTACCATCTCAGTCCAAGAACTACTGTCCGATCCCCCCTCGCGATGGGGATCTACTCTGCTCGTTGTACGAGTCGACAACGGGGTCACTATCGAAAGTGGCTATGGATGAGGCTGTGAACTTGCAACAAAAAAGGTATTTATTTATATACACGACACTTAGCTATGTCCATTTTAGTCTCTCCCCTCTGTCGTCGACGTCGATGCCGTCGTTCTCCTATGCGTCAACAATTCGTTCTGTCTCAGAAAATCATGTGCTCAACCTCAAAATCACCCACATTCTCACCCATGGCTCGCCGTCAAAGGTTGTCCGAAAAATGCAACGGCGGCCTCCCAAGGAATTGGACGTCGTCTGGTTCTCCGACATTGTCGTCGTTCTGACTGGCTCTCTCGACAACCGGGAAGCCAGTGCGTCTGAAATAATGCGATCGGGACTTTTATCGCATGTACGAAAACAACTGAAAGCGGCACGCAACCTTGACATGTAAGCCGGACCATTTACTGACCCCAACACGTAGAACACGGAACAAGTTGGACTTAACAACATCTCATCACCTTACATCGATCGCGAAGACGGTCGAACGAAAAGTGCGCGTTTGTGACTTCCAAAAGATAATAATACGTTACGCCTCTTTTGTAGTGACACTGACACCCTCACGTTCACTATCGCACACGTTGCGCCCCCACATCGTACTGACTTCGCTGGAACTATCTTTTGCATGGAAGACAGTCAGAAAAGATACTGGGGAGTGGGACGGTCATTTTCTGGCCGTATGCGATAGCCCATTTTCCACCACTATGTACCTTCCCGCAGAGGCCCTCCTCGGGCGGGTCACGGAACAATTTCTGGTTCATCATCTTGTAGGGTGCGTCGAGCCGATCAGGCCCCCGTGTATGCGTGCTTATATGCACGCAGCCGCTACCCGCTTGTATTTGGCCCGTGGTGCAAGGTGTGCGAGATGCATATTCCCTCGTTTCGTGCCAGTTGAACGTACTCCGTAGGCGCTGGATCTTGAAGCGGAATACTTTTCACCAATCAGCCGCTCTGTTATCGAGATTTTAGAGCATTCGCAGAATGCTGCATTTCGTTCCAAGTATCAATGGCTCATGAAGGTGACGCTATTCACCATTTACTGGAACCAGAACTGATCCCTGCAGGTCGCTCGCCATACGCTCGACACCACCTTTCAGGCCTCAGTAGCAGCCATAAATTCCCATCTTGCAGAACCGGCGGTAGACGGGGCGGAAGAGGAACAAGACGATCATCCATCCGCTGTACAATTATCAGACGAGGACGTCCTGTGTCAAGTTCTTGAGCAGTTATTTCGCATCGGCGTTCCTCAACGCCGTCCAAAGGTGAGGTTCGTTTTGTTGCTATCGGGATTTCCCTATCGATGTTTGCGTAAAACTGCACATGTGTAGCTCGCCACGGACATTGGGACCTTACTAAAGGGGGACGATCACAATCTAATAGACTCACAAGATAACGCGACCCTCGAAGGCGCAACTGATGTGCCGTTATCGTGGCCTGACGCCGAGATCGCTGATGCGACCGCTGCCACGGCTCGTCCCTCCCAACAACATGGTCATATGACAGAACACGCCCCCGATGGACGGGGAACTATGGAAGAACAGTTTCCTGAAGGTGATAATCATGCTTTCACGGAACATATGTGTGAGGACACGTGTCTGGCACATGGTTCCGCACCTGACAGTGATTCCGCAACACCGCTGAGCAACCCTCATATCGGTTTGGCCCTCGATTTACCGAACGAGCGAAATCACAGTGGCTCTATTACCACGCCTCACTTTCGACAAACTTTGGGACCTTCCTGTTTCGATTATCTTGATGCTGTGTGTATGGACCTGGACACCGTTACACGTCATCACCCAGGGGAAGAGTTTCCTTTCGAAGAATTGCTGGAGGTTGACTCAATTCCTCTCACACATGGTCAACCAGATGTGAACCTGATTTTGGATGACAACTTCTCTTTGGATGACGTTGAAATTGGGAACACTCCAAGGCCCTTCGTAGATGTGCCCCTTTCCAGCGACTTCGACTTCGTGCTCTTTGACCCTGACGATGTGGCTGAACCTGCTGCAGAGGATTCAAACACTGACTTGCTGGTCAACGCCAGCCCCACGAACGACGACGATACTTTTCGGATCTTGGAGGACGAGTGGTGGGATGCTATCGAGACTGCACCGCTGTGTGACGAGGATGCAGCGGCCAGTTTTGTAGCCGATCTGTGGGTGCTGTAATTAATTACAGTAATTCGAGTTCCAGTTGAATTTGCAAATGCCTATGCCGAGTTCCGAGTTCCGAAACACCAGACGACAATATTGGGAGTCCGACACTCCGACGAGTTGGTATATTTCATAACGCCCACAAACGGAAGAGGCCAAAAGGAAGTCCCCTGCAAAGACTAGGATTGCTGGTCACCGTGTCTTGCCATCGACAACAACAAGCTCAAGCTCGCTTGCTAGCTCCTCCTCGCTAGATCTCCCGCGACAAAGTCCCATCGCAATGCTGCCAGCTAAGCGCAACAAGATCGACCTCAGTGTACGTGCATTGTCGTCCAGTTTCGGCGACAACATCCCGTCATATCTGCAACACTCGCTAACCTGCATCCCTCCATTTAGACACTCACCGAGGAGGAGCAGAAGCTCTTCCGTCTTTATGGCAAACTACCCTCACATAAGAATGTCCTCACGAAGATGCAGAAGGTGGATTCGTCCCCGACATTGTTGCCGTTGGAGTGTACTTACTGAAATGGGCCGATATCTTCAGGATCATCGTAAATACTTTGATTCTGGAGACTATGCACTGTCCAAAGCTGGCAAGGTCGCTCAAAATACAGTGGGAACTGCCATCCCAAGCCCAGAAAAGTACGCATACGTACTTCCATTTGATCGCATAATTGTTGACCACTCTTATTGTGCTTTCAGCATTCCCCACGCATCATCGCCTCCTACCCATCAAGGGAGTTTGTCCATATCACCAACAAATAGCACGAGCTCAGTACGAGAGAGTTCCTTGGCACAGTCCGAGTCCGAATCCAAAGACGATGAAAACGAAACAGAACAGTCAAAGGACAAGGAGAAATCAATTTAGCCTTGGACCTCGCTCGGGCCCCTGCGCAGTCTGAAAACATTGGCCTTTCCGCTGCTGTACTGTGTGCTGTGCGCCGTTTTCTCAGCTCGATCGTATGCACCTCCATCTGGTCCGGATTTCGATGTAACGACTGCTTTCCGCCGTCTCTATAGCGGTCTACACTTGCTTGTAATACTGTTTTGAGTTGTATGCAATATGTATCGATATAGTGGATTTCATGCAATGCGCACGTGACATGTGTGTGTGGTGACTGCGACGCGTCGCGATCGCACCGACTCGGACCAAGTCTACTGACGATCTACGAGGATGTCGACGGAAGACCTCTGCAGTGACATAGCGAAGCACTTTGGGGACACCGTGGCTGGTGATGATTCGCTTCTCAAGGATTGTGAGTCCATCCACAAACTTAGGGACACGACCGCGCCAATGATGGGTCACGCTAGGTATGAGCCTGTGCAGGACGTTCAACTTGTCTGCCGAAGACTTGTTATACAAGTGGGAGGCAGTCAACTACAAAAACCAGCGCTCTTTTCGGATTTTCACGCCAGATTCTGTCTCTGAGCTCAGAGCGCATCTTCACTCTGAACAGGCAAAAGCCTTCGCAAGCAGACAAGGAGCAGTATCTCGCAACTTCGGTATTAAGGGAAGAGGAGGATTTCGCGGTTTATTGAAAAACGCTACTATTGCCCCAACGAAACTTGATGAGACGACGACGCTCAGGTCGGCCTATTGAGGCTTAGTGTTGCCGGGGTGGAATGCACTGACATCATGCTAACTCTAGCCAAGTTATTTTTCGAGGTCCAAGAATGGACGAGCTGTCCCGCAAGAGTAGATATTGTGAGTCGAGTGCTCAGCGCGATCGCAATCAACCTCGAGCGTTTATGCACGTATGATCAGACCGATACATGTACGAGCAGGTGTTGGAAAGGAGTGAGGGTATGTATCTGATTTTATCGACACTGCTATGCGCTTGTCTCATTTGTCGTAGTCCTGGACGACCGAATCGACTGTTTTGCAGAACTCGTTCAGCGACACTATCGCATAGACGAACTTGGCGATCCTTTCTGTGCAACGACGGTCTATACTTCCCTTTATGAACTCCGACGAGGCGCTGATTTTCGAGCAGGAAGCCGTTACTGTTGTTGGCCGTATAGTTCTCGATGCCGAAGCCGCCAGTTCCGGAATCAAAATCAATGAATCTTCTCTTGTTCTCGAGTCATCGCGGATGATGGGGTCTGGTGTTCGAGTACCAATCCGGCTTACTTCTGAAACAAAACTCCGCGGAAGCATAAAGGGAACGACTGGTCTGAGTTTCTTTCCTGGTGCGATTGTCGCGCTTCGCGGAAGAAATGGAGGGGGTGGGTTCTTTTCCGTTGATGAAATTCTAGCTGTAAGTAGTCGACCTTCCACTGATCTACAGTTCATTAATCCATCTCATTCAGCTTCCCCTGTTTCAAACTCCGTCCCCTCCTCTAAGTGATCCCGGTGCCAGTTTCTCCATGTACATCGCCTGCGGACCATTCACAGCGGATTCGGACCTACATTACAAACCCTGGTCACAGCTATTTCAAAACTTGAAATCAACGAAACCCGCAGTCGTTCTACTTGCACGTCTAACTATAATCCCATATATTTGCGTTATTGACGACGGCTCCATAGATTGGACCATTCGTTGACGCGGAGCACCCCCAAATTATGGCAGGCGATATAGGTAAAACCCCAAGCGAAATATTCGAGCGCCATTTCCAGGAAACCCTACGAGATTTTCTCCTGCAGTCACCTGGAAGCATGGTCCTGCTCGTGCCGAGTGTCCGCGACCTCATCAGCGACCATGTCGTATTCCCCCAGTGTGAACTTAAATTGTTTGGCACAGACTCAGTAGGTTCCTTCCGAGGGCCTCCCAGCGAAATCACAAAAGTAACAAGGCCCTACTGCTCTAGCGAATACACTGCCTTCCCAACCCATGCCGTTTCTCTTTGAACGGCGTATCGTTTGGGGTGACGAGCGTGGACGTGCTTTTCCACCTCCGGAAGGAAGAATACTTTAAGCGGTTGCAGGAAGTTGACCCTTCAGTATCGGATCTTGCGCCCGCTAGCGACGCGATGACGAATCTAGCACGGAACTTGCTTCAGCAACGAAGGTGAGGCGCTGTGTGCAATGTACATACGGTACTCACTCCATGTGTCTTCTTAGTTTTTATCCGATCTTCCCGGTTCCACTGGAAATGTCACATGAAGTCAATCTTGACGTCACCCATTCTGAAGGACTGAAGTTGGGGACTGAAGACGAATGTGCACCTGACGTCCTCGTTCTTCCCAGTCGCTTGAAGCAGTTCTCGAAAGTGAGTGTTGACGTATTCCTACCTCTTTCTAAGATTTATCTCCGGTGGTTCCAGGCGGTGGATAACTCTATAGTCATAAACCCATCCTTCGTGCACAAAGGATTTTATGCAAAGCTATCTTACGCTGGTCAAGCTTCCGGTATTCCCCGCGACCGAGTCGATGTTGAGATATCCAAGATCGCCTGATTACTATCTTGCGCCGGCGCGTACCATGTATCGTTATTTAGAGGTTGCTTTCCCGTAATGCTGTATTTCGGATTTGGATTAGGTGTGCGTCATTCGGCCCGGTAAGCCCTCCCAGAAAGCCACTAGTATGATTTGAGCACGTATTGTTTGGGTAACGGTGTGGATGAAGGGAGTGCAGCTACGTCACGCATCGTGAACAGGGGCTTCTGCGCTAAATAAATAAGCTAAGAAATTTGACGGAAAACTGCCCGTTATGGTGGATTGTCGCCATTAGTTTCGAGGCGGTTTTGGTCCCAATTTCAGTGTGTTCATTGACCATGGGCGAGGACAGCGACAAGCGTTCCTCGAAGCACAAACGAAGCCGCGACAAAGACAGCGGAGGAAAGAAGAAAAAACACAAGTCGAGCCATGAACAAGGCAAAAGACGCAAACACAGCGAACGCGATGCTCTTCACATCACCGACGACGATCCAAGTGACGATATGTGGGTGGAGAAAAACATTGACCTCGACGGAGAGCGGGTACGAACAATAGTGGAGGATATCTTTTCAATTTTCACGACGCACAAACACAGGTTCTTGCTACGGATATTCCAACGGCAGAGAGCTTGAAATTGACGTCTCGGGCTCAGGCCTCTGAATCGGACCCATCCCTGCCGCCGGCCTTGGTAACAGAGAGCAAATTGAAACGTGACGACTGGATGCTTGAACCGATTTCGAGCAGCGCCGAACCTTCCAGGCCTCCCGCTCAACAATTCCCCATCACGGATGATTCTCTAACTGACGGCTACGGCGAGCCCTCAGGAAGTGGACGAACTTTTGGAGGTGCTGTTGACTTCTTCTCGTCTTTGGGTACAGAAAAGAAACGCAACAAACCAGAGAAACCGAATGTAGATGAAGTTGGTTTTTCAATTCCTTGCAACTTCCGTTCGCTCACGGCCGAGTTTAGCCAAAGATTAGCTCACGAGAACTAAACCCCGAGCTCCGAGCTGGCCGTCCGGGTGACCAAATCGTTGCATCTGCACCCCCGCCTCCGAAATCTATTACTCCAGGTGGACCTGGGTCCAGCTGGCGTATGATGCGCCTGCGCCGAGTGTACGAAGCTGCGGAAGAGGAAAATCGCCCCGTTGAGGAAGTAGCGTTAGAACGCTTCGGTACAGTGCAGGCATTTGAAGAGGCCAAGGAAGAGCGTCGTATCCTTGACGAACGTGAGGGACGACGCAGTGCACAGGAGAGGTGGTGGTCAAAAGGACAAGGGAAAGGCGCGCGACGTGAAAGGAGAGCAACGCTTTATCTTCACTGACGTAGGGGCTAGTGGTGCATCGAGCAGAAGTTCGTCGTTCCGCCGACCTGGCTCTACAAATGGCAATACGCCTGCCACACCATCACCTGCTCCGCAAAACCCGCCTGCTAGTCGGCAGTTCGACTCCCTCCGTCTCCCGTCTCAAGCTGCGTCACCGTTCCAACAGTCGCATACTCCGATCCCAACGGTGATGGCACCCTCTGTAGCTGCAGTGTCTACGAGTCGACCCATGTCACCCTCATCATTAAATAAATTACAGGCAAAGGTGCTCCGTGCGAAGCTTATGAATGCGCCAAATGCCGAACAGTTGGAACGAGAGTACGAAGACGAATTACATAGGGCGAATGGCGAGCCTGGGGAACCGGTTGTTAGGACGAAAGTTGAGGTGCTTCCAACACTTGACGCTCGTGGAAAACTTTACGACGTTGGGCGTGGCGAAAACGATGCAACCCTACCGCCAGGAAACCGGAAGAAAAAGGAGAAAGTACTGCATTAATTCCCAACTGCAAATAGCCATTGACAGTTCCTATGCAGTTCGAAACCCGTGACCCTAAGACAGGAGAAATCGTGCGGTACAATGCCGATGACGACACGATTACTCTGAGAGAGATGTTGCGACAAGAACGTTTCGAAGCTGGTATGACGGACCAGAAGAACTTGGATGCTCAGTTCGCCAAAGCTATTATGGGCGACGGCAAGTTTGAAGTGAGTGTCGCGGACTTGTTAATATCGGTAGCGAAATCTGACAGGTGAATGTACAAGAACGACCTCGAGTATATGGACGATAATGCTGAGCGCCTCGGACGGCAAAAGATGCGCTCTGACGCGATGAAGCGACAATTTGCTGTACATGGTGAAGTGCCTCATCCGCATGCCGTGTCATGTCCCGCTCATGCACGTATCAGACTACAAGCGCACACAGAAAGTGTTAGCAACTTGTCCCTTCTGTTATGGAGAAGACGATTCACCCCCAAAAGCTCCGGTGATCGCAATGGGTACCCGTGCTTACCTTTCTTGCACGCTTACCGAGGAGCTACTAGAAGGTCATTGTCTTATCGTTCCCATTCAGCATCACTTGTCAATGTTAGAAGCTGATGACGATGTTTGGGATGAAGTTCGGGTATGTAGCTTGAAGTTTGTGTGGGAATATTGACTAATGCTTGGCACAGAACTTCATGAAAAGCATTATGCAAATGTTTGCGGAGGAAGAGAAAGGGGTTGTTTTCTATGAAACTGTGATCAGTCTCAAGTGGCAGAAGCACACGTTTATTGAATGTGTGCCTTTGCCTTGGGAGCAATACGATGACATTCCGCAGTATTTCAAGGTCACGCTCTTCTCTATCTTTAACACATATGACTGACCCAAAGCTCAGGAATCGATTCTTGCCTCCGAAACGGAGTGGTCGCAGCACAAGAAACTGATCGACTTCTCCTAAGCGACCCGGTGGTTTCAGGCGTGCCATGGTCCCCAACCTCCCGTATTTCACGGTTCAGTTCGACCACAAAGGTGAGCGTGGCTACGGACACGTCATCGAAGGGACGGGCGAGTCCGCAGCCGCAGGTGAGGAAGACGGCCCCGTGGACGAAGGTGACAAGGGCGGAGGTGAATTCCCGAGGCATGTTGTTTGTTGCTTGCTACGAAGACACGGAGTTGACAAGTGGACAGGTACTTTGCAGGCGAGATCATAGGCAATGTGATGGATGTGGAGCCTAGGCGCTGGCGGAGACCCAGGAGGGTCGAGTTCCGGTATAACATGGACCGGAGAGCGCAGTTCAGGAAGAAATATGATAAGTTCGACTGGACTGGTATGATTGGGAAATAAGACGTTGCAGATGTTCTTTGTGTTTTAGGACTGTGACTTGAGAACTTGTTACTTGACCAAGTGAGAGGCTGGAATTTGTGAACTTATATCCGGAGTGCCTTCCTGACTTGTTAGTCAAGGTCCATCTCTCTGGTGCTTTGCCTGTTACTAGAGTACTGTTATCCTCATGTATATGAAGATCAACCCAGGGCGACACGCCTCGCTCCGCTCGCTGCATTCCCTGCAAGGTTCTCCCGCAGTGACATCATGGATAAATTTAATAAGAATATGCAACGGGCCACGGGCGGCACGAGCGTTCACTTTGACATGACGATTTTTAGAATCAATTGTTGGCCTCTCCGCCTACCCAATACCGACTTTACCGTTCTATCCAAAATCATCTAGACGTATGGACGTTCTTAGAGGTACTATCAAATGAGATACAATGGTCGCAAGCTGACTTGGCTCTAGAACTATCCCAAGGCTGAGCTCACGACCGGTTACTTGGATAGGAGGTGTATCCTTATGACAGGCTCACATCTGATGACCATGCTCCTTCAGTACAACAAGCACGATACGCTGACACTGGATAAGTTAGTTGTGGCTACTGCGATCAAGGAGGATATCCTGGTACAGGCCCTTGCGCCGCCGCTTGTCAAGGCACGGATAAGATAACAGTCAACCACACATCAGATCAGTATGACTTGGACCCAGGGACGTTGGTGTTGGCCCCGTATGTGAATGTCCTTCTGGCATGTCTCTGGATTTCAAGCAAACAAGGATCCGAATGAATTTGAACGAGGCCATCCGGGTCGAGACGGGAGTTGAATCAACGGAAGTATTGAAGGACTGTCAATGAAGAGCGTAAGCATGTGTGCTTATCTTGTCCACTGCCTGAGACCCTGGAAGCACAAAAAACGATGAAGAGCTGGGCCTTAATCCAAAAGGTTGTCTAGCAGCTCTTTCAGAGATTTTCTCTAAATATATCAAACGTCAAAAAGGTACGCAGCATGCTCAAGAGGGGTTTTCCCGTGCTCAGTGCAGACATCGGCAGCTGGTAATTTAATGTATTGTTGGAGAAGGATTACATTGAGCGAGTGGATGGTATGGCAGACGTTTGTCTGTGTTGGATAGGGACGTTGCCTAAGCCATAACTTTTCTTTTCGTGACTACCGGCCACCGGACCATGTACACCCGATCTTGTACGATTATGACATGTATCTTAGTTGTATCCATTTTGCTGCGAAAATGTCCGCCGACCGTGGACGACCGGCGATCAGTCACAAAGTGACGGAGGGCAGCAAACACAGGAGGGTTGATGTTGGAAGGCAAGCGTGAAGTTTGATAGCAACCGGTGCTTTGGCATTGACCAGCACGAGCCACGATAACCATGAATCGAAAGAAGGAAGTGCGAAATGGTTTTGACATCAGCCGGCAAATTGTGTTACATGCTTACCGTCTGACCGCGACTCCACAAGCGCCAGTCAAGTTACAATGTATCCACTGGGCATGAGCCTGGGCCTCAAGTTTGCGTTAAGAGCCTCTAGTCTGGCAGCATTTCCCCCTTCCGTAGCTATCAGCGTTGCTTTACGTGCTCCCCATGGCGGCCGGGTGATTCCATTCAGGCGTTCGTTGAGTACCTCGCATGGGTCACAATACTTTCCCCTGCAACGCTCGTATCTGTATGGTCTGCGAATGCTAAGCTACTCTCGGCGGTTCATTGCTGAATGCATTGGTTGCAGTACCCGCTGCGTCGGATCGCCTGCTCGCAAAATCCTTGTCTTTTGACATACCTCCGGATATCGTCATATACGACTTGGAGGACAGCGTACCTCCCTCCGCGCAGGACAAGCACAATGCCAGGCGGCGGTTGTGTCATTTCCTCAACGTTCGTTTCTTATATACTGCTACGTTAAAACTCGTTAACTCGAAGGAATGGTAACAGAGCATTCCTCCAGATAAAGTCCCGACTCCCAAACGCGTCGCGGTTAGAGTAAACGACGTAACCACTCCATTCTTCGAGAGTGACATATCAGAAATAGTAAGGGTCATGGCTAAGCAGTGGTGACTACTGGAGAGTAACCGTGCCTCCAGCTCAAATCCCCAGCCGTGGGCACCCTAGTTCTGCCCAAGATCCATTCAACCGAGGATCTTGACCATGTTTCCCGCGCAATACATGAGCATTCGACTTCCTCGTGCCCGCCTCGCATTGTGGCGAGTATCGAGAGTGCTCGTTCAGTCTGGAATCTCAGAGAGATTGTACAATGGAAATCTAAGTTTGGTGCGCAGAAGGGGGGACAGCTCGGGGCACTTCTGGCATGTGTCTTCCTTCCTTTTCCCGACTTACAACTCAACAACTCCTCAGTTCGCATCAGAAGATTGTAAGAGCCATTGTCTAATCTTCCTGGTGCATGTTGATTATGGGTCACTTAGACTGTGCAGATACGTCCGTTGTGCGGACCACGTCACGGCAGGAGCTTCTTTTCGTGCGTTCACAGATCGTTATTGCGGCCAAAGCTTCCGGACTCGAGGCCATAGACATGGTATGCGTATCACTTCATTTCGTGGCACGAGGCGACTAACGTTATCCAGGTTTGTATAGATTACAAGGATTCAGGGTACCTTCGTGATGAATGCGAGGATGCACGACGATTGGGGTTCACCGGAAAGGTCTGACCGTCTTCCGGTTTGGGGTCCAACTAACGGTCTAGCATACAGCAAGTCATTCACCCTGCACAGGTGGAGATTGTGAATGCTACATTCTTGCCGACAGAGAAAGGTTTCAACACTGCCACAACGGCTACGTACGCCAGCTGACGACAAGTCACCAGAGATCCTGCGCGCTGCCAAAATTATCCATCGAATGGACGCAGCCTACGCGTCAGAAAAGGGAGCATTTGGCCTTGAAGCGGAAGATGGAGGAAAAGAAATGATCGATGCGCCTATGTTAAAGCAGGTATTTCCATCCTCCAACTCAGGTGGCGGAACACTGACTGGTCCCCATGAGGCCAAGAACACGATACGACTCGCGCGAGCCGCGGGGCTAGAAATCCCAAAGGTTTCGTGATAGGCGTTCATAATGCAGGGCATAGGAAGCACGTATTCCCAATGCACACTGCCCGTGTTTGATTGGACTCGTACCACTGAATACTTCCTCGTGGCTTAAGGGCTCAGGCCCGTATTCTCCCGTTGCGGTAGGCTCCATACTTGCTACATAATAGAACTTGTGATAGAAAACGACGGTACGACTGTTGCAATTTGTAAACTGAATATGTCCGAAGATGGTATAGGCGCTCATAGGAAATGACTATGTACTTGCACTAGGGTGTATCACGGAGGGTTGCCCGGATACCCGCCTGGGTTGACACCCATGAGTAGTACACAGTGGGTCGGGTGCTATGGGTAAGTATGGGTAGGCGGGTACGGGTAAGGGGTTGACTTACCCGTACTATCCTTGAGGGATAGTACCCTCTTACGAACTCACGGGCATGACCCTGGTAGTGCCCGGGTACACCCGTGATAAACCCTAAGCTACACAGGTATAAAAGTCGTGAAGCGCGGTCGTACGACTCTTGTACGTTTCTTGTCCACATACTCTTGCCATTATATCGGCTTTCAATTATGAGCGACAAAGGAAGTTTCGCGGGCAACGGAGGTGGAGGGCCTGGAGTGGAGGTTTTTCAGGCAACCGAGGCAGAGGGTCTGGATGTGGGGATTTCCGAGGGTGGTTATGTCCAAAGCGGCGGCGGTCAACAAGATGGTCCAGGCAGTGGGCCAACAGGTGCAGGGGTTCCTGGAGATAGGATTTTTGGAAGCCCTGCACCTGTTGACAAACGCCTTCAGATCTCAGACGCACTTGTACAGGTTCTGAAGAAGCTGCCGTACAAGCCAGAGCATCCCCATTGCCCCGGTTTTGGTACACTGGGAATTCCAATCACAGTGGGGGCGAACTTCGCAGTCAAGTTCAAAAAACAGCTCAGTTCCCGCTCGGAAATTGCCGCCGCCGGTCGTCGTCCGAATGTCAAAGACGGTAGCTGGAACATCTTGGACGTTGAGTTCCATCCAGGCGCGACGGTTAAATCGTGGTGTGTTCTTGTGGTTCTCGATGGTCGACCAGCCTTCGGTGGCAATCCCAATGACCAAGCCTTGACGTCAGTATGGCAAGGGTTTGCCCAGAAGTGCCGGCGTAGCGGTATGAAGGTGGAGAAGGATCCCAAAGTTTTATTCACTCCCCAGCTTCCGCCGCAGGTAGAGGATCCCAACCGCCAGCGGGCTCTCGATATGATCCGTCAGACTATTGTCGAAAGCAACAATCCACGTGAAAAACCGTCCTTTATTCTCGTACTCTTGTCGGGACGGGATAATTTCATTTATCCAGGCATCAAGCGGCTGTGTGACATGGTCCTGGGAGTACACACCCTTCACATGTTAATTGAGAAGGTTTTGAGGGATCACCCCAAGCAGGATCAGCACTTCTCGAACGTTGCTCTTAAACTCAACATCAAGTTAGGTGGTATTAACCACCTACTGGATCCCGCAAGCACCAAATGGCTCACACGGAAAAAGACAATGGTATTGGGTATGGACGTAACCCACCCGAGTCCAGGTAGCCTTGAAGGCACTCCGTCTATTGCTGCGGTTGTGGGAAGTGTCGACGATAAATTCGTCCAATTCCCCGCGAGTTTACGTTGCCAGGAATCAAAGAAAGAGGTACACCTTATTCCTGACATTTTCCCTCTAACTCATCAAATTTTAGATGATCACCAATTTGGCTGAAATGGTCACCGAAAGATTGCGCCAATATCAAGAGGTCAGTAAAGCCTTACCGGATCGCGTCTTCGTATATCGCAACGGTGTATCGGAGGTACGTATCGTTCTCAATCGGTTCCAAAGTGTCACTGACTCCTGTACCCTAACAGAGTCAGTTCGACAAGGTTTTAGCAGAGGAACTCCCTGGTATCTTGGATGCCTTCCGATGCTAACCGGGGGAAGCCATATCGCCCTGCACTGACCATCATCATCTGCGGGAAATGCCACCATATGAAATTCTTTCCCGTCAGGCCCGAGTTTGGCCTCGGAACCGTCGTCGATAAGGGCATCACATCCGTGTACGTGTTTCTTGCACCAACAAGCCGTGTGCCTCACCTGATAATGTCTCAGCTTTGATTTCGATTTTTACCTCCAAGCACACGCAGGCCTCCAGGGCCATGTCAAAAGCACCCATTACACCGTGGTGTACGATGAGAACAAACTCGAGGCCGACGAAGTTCAACAAGGTCTAAACACCGCAAGTTACTTGTATGCGCGTGCAACCCAGGCCGTGAGTCTCGTACCTGCAGCCTATTATGCCGATTTGGCATGCAAACGTGGTCGTTGCTACCTCAACGAATTCCTCCAAGCAGACGATAAGTCGAGCACTCTGGTCTCGAGAGGGAGTGGTCACTCTAGGCAAGCAAAGGAAGAGGCTAGGCGTAAAGTGTACAACGATGCGGTGAAAGCATTGGCTGCAGGCGCACATCCAGACTTGAAGGATTCCATGTTTTACATTTGAGACTAACCTTCTGTTACTGTTCTGCTACATATGCTTTCGCGCTTTTTGTATCCAGGTGATTACTGACATGTACTATATGTAAAGAACTCTTCTGGCGCAACTAGCGTAAAGATTTGAAGCCATGAACGCAGCCTACGCGTCAGAAAAGGGAGCATGTCACGGTAGCCTTCTGATGTGCGTCGGAACGAGTCTTATAAGTCGTCGACCTAACGTACAGAGGCTGAAGGTAAAGTATCGTAACCCAGTATGACGAAGAGGCATACCTCAAGAAAGATAAAAGGTCGAAACTGGAGAGATGGACGGTGGCGACAGATGCTTGACTGCAGAGAGGAAAATGAATGACCATATGTCAAAGGTTGTCAAAGGATGACGAAGGTGAAACAAGACAGCATCGGGGCTAGGCACGTTCCATCACAGAGCGTTTGGCCTTGAAGCGGAAGATGGAGGGAAAGATATGATCGATGCGCCTATGTTAAAGCAGGTATTTCCATCCTCCAACTTAGGTGACGGAATACTGGCTGGTCTCCACAAGGCCAAGAACACGGTACGGCTCGCACGAGCTGCGGGCCTAGAAATTCCAAAGGTTTCGTGATCGGCGTTCATAATGCAGGGAGTGGGAAGCACGTGTTCCCAATGCCCACTGCCCATGTTTGATTGTGCTCGCACCATTGAGTACTTCCTCGTGGCTTAAGGGTTCAGCCCCATATTCTCCCGTTGCTGTGGGCCCTATACTCGGTACATCATAGAATTTGTGATAGAAAACGACACTATGGCTGTGCTGCAATTGAATATGTCCAAACATGGTATGGGCGCTCATAGGAAATGACTAGGTTGCACAGGTATAAAAGTCGTGAGGTGCAGTCGTACAACTGTTGTACGTTTCTTGTCCACATACTCTCACTATTACATCGACTCTCAATTATGAGCAACAGAGGAAGTTTCCGTGGCTCCGCTCGTGGCGGTGCCCCTAGAGGTGGAGGTTTTACAGGCAACCGAGGTGGAGGGCCCGGAGGTGGAAGTTTCGCAGGCAACCGAGGTGGAGGGCCCGGAGGTGGAAGTTTTTCAGGCAACCGGGGTGGAGGGCCTGGAGGTGGGGGTTTCCGAGGTGGTCCGCCCGACCGAGGTGCCTTCAGGGGTGGCTATGCCCAAAGCGGTGGTGGTCAACAACGTGGTCCAGGCGGTGGGCCAACAGGTGCAGGGGCTCCTGGAGATAGGATTTTCGGAAGCCCTGCACCTGTTGACCAACGCCTTCAGGCCTCAGACGCACTTGTACAGGTTCTGAAGAAGTTGCCATACAGTCCAGAGCGTCCTCACCGCCCCGGTTTTGGTACACTGGGAACTCCAATTACAGTGCGGGCGAACTTCTTCGCAGTCAAGTTCAAAAAACAGTTCATCTATGATTACGCCGTCGCAATCACTCCAGACAAGTTTCTTAAGCAGAAACGTGCAAGACTTTTTACGCTCTTGGAGCAAAGCGAAGCATCCTCAATGGCGCGAATTCGTGCCGTTCATCGTCCATGACAAAAGTGCCAAGTTGGTTTCGGCCAAGGAACTTCCACGGTCGTTGGAGGTTCCAGTCGTATTCACTGAAGAGGGCGAGACTCGGCCTTCCCCGCCCGAGGATAAATACACGTTCAAGTTTGAGTTGAAACACAAGCTGGACACCCGTGAATTGGACAGGTGAATTCGTTCCGGTTCGCTTACAGAAGTTGGGTTCACGTCTTGTTAGATTCCTGAACGGTGAAACATCACTCCGCAACTATGATTTCTCTCTCGTGATGGCGGCATACAATTTAGTACTGCAGTCTCATGCTTCCCGCAATGGAGTCCGTATCGGGGGCAAAGGCGACAGTGGTGGTCGACACTTCTTTTCTCCTAGAGAGGGGGAAAGATTTGATCTCTCTTCAGGGGTGGTGGCGTGGAAGGGCTTTTTCATGTCTGCTCGCCCTGTCTACAAGGAGTTGATGGTGAACATTGGAGTTTGTATGACTCCTTTCTACGAACCTGGTAACTTGGCGGATGCCATCCTCCAGTTTCAGGGGCGTTCTCAAGGCGCTGCACTACAAAGATTCGCCCAGAAGCTGAAGGTTACGACAACGCACCTCGGCTATAAGAGCACCAAGCAGTTACAGAAGATCGCGACCACATCTGCAAGGAAGACGTTCTTTCCATGTGACGAGTTCAACAACCCCAAGATGTCTGTCGAAGATTATTTCAAAAGAAGTGCGCACCCAAAGATGTACCTCCACTTCCTGCTGACATTATAACAGAGTACAAGATCGCGTTGAGACACGCGGACGACCTTCCTGTTGTCGATCTAGCTGGCAAGAATGCGAAGCATCCCATCTACGTTCCCGCTGAATTGTGCCAAATTGCAAGTGGCCAACCGTTTAGGGGGAAACTCAGCGAGACCGAAACACAGAAGATGATTCGCTATGCGTGCAATCCTCCGGCGGACAATGCTCGCGCCATTACCGGTCGTGGACTTGCCGATCTCGGCTTGAGCCAGACCAACAATACGGTCCTTCACAACTTTGGGATCGAGATTGATCACAACATGACCGTTATTCCCGCTCGGGAATTGCCACCGCCAAAAGTCAACTACGCCGCCGGTCGTCCTCCGAATGTCAGAGACGGTAGCTGGAACATCTTGGACGTTAAGTTCCATCAAGGCGCGACGGTTAAATCGTGGTGTGTTCTTGTGGTTCTCGATGGCCGACCAGCCTTCGGTGGCAATCCAAATGACCAAACCTTGACGTCAGTATGGCAAGGGTTTGCCGAGAAGTGCCGGCGTAGCGGTATGAAGGTGGAGAAGGATCCCAAAGTTTTATTCACTCCCCAGCTTCCGCCGCAGGCAGGGGATCCCAACCGCCAACGGGCTCTCAATATGATCCGCCAGACTATTGTCGGAAGCAACAATCCACGAGACAAGCCGTCCTTTATCCTCGTACTCTTGTCGGGACGGGATAATTTCATTTATCCAGGCATCAAGCGGCTGTGTGACGTGGACCTGGGTGTTCACACCCTTCACATGTTAACTGAGAAGGTTTTGAAGGATCAACGCAAGCAGGATCAGTACTTCTCGAACGTTGCTCTTAAACTCAACATCAAGTTAGGTGGTACTAACCACTTACTGGACCCCGCAAGCACCAAATGGCTCACGCAGAAAAAGACAATGGTATTGGGTATGGACGTAACCCACCCGAGTCCAGGTAGTCTTGAAGGCACTCCGTCTATTGCTGCGGTTGTGGGAAGTGTCGACGATAAATTCGTCCAATTCCCTGCGAGTTTACGCTGCCAAGAGTCAAAGAAAGAGGTGCGCCTTATTCCTGGCATTGTCCCTCAAACTCATCAAATCCTAGATGATGGGCGAAAAAGGAACGGAATCAAAGAAAGAGGTACGCCTTATTCCTAACATTTTCCCTCTAACTCATCATATTCCAGACGATCACCCATTTGACTGAAATGATCACCGAAAGATTGCACCGATATCGAGAGGTCAGTAAAGCCTTACCGGATCGCGTCTTCGTGTATCGCGACGGTGTATCGGAGGTACGCGTCGCCATCAATTTGTCCCCGAGTGTCACTGACTCCCGTACCCTATAACAGGGTCAGTTCGACCAGGTTTTGGAAGTGGAGCTCCCTGATATCCTGGATGCCTTCCGGCGTGTGCCTCCCGGTGTTAACGGGGGGAAGCCGTATCGCCCTGCACTGACCATCATCATCTGCGGGAAACGTCACCATGTGAAATTCTTTCCTGACAGGTCCGAGTTTGCTGACAGGAACGGTAATACTCGCCCTGGAACTGTCGTCGATAAGGGCATCACGTCCATGTACGTATTTCTCGCATCAACAAGCCATGTGACTTACCTGATGACATCTCAGCTTTGACTTCGATTTCTACCTCCAAGCACACGCAGGCCTCCAGGGCCATGTCAAAGGCACCCATTACACCGTGGTGTACGATGAGAACAGACTCGGGGCCGACGAAGTTCAACAAGGTCTAAACACCGCAAGTTACTTGTATGCGCGTGCGACCAAGGCCGTGAGTCTCGTACCCGCAGCCTACTACGCCGATTTGGCATGCGAACGTGGTCGCTACTATCTCAACGAATTCCTCAAAGCAGACGACAAGTCGAGCACTCTGGTCTCGAGAGGGAGTGGTCAGTCTAAGCAAGCGAAAGAAGAGGCTAGGCGTAAAGTGTACGACGATGCGGTGAAAGCATGGGGTACGGGCGTGCATCGAGATTTGAAGAATTCCATGTTTTACATTTGAGACTGACCTTCTGTTACTATTCTGCTACATATGCTTTCACGCTTTTCGTATCCATTTCGTATCCAGTGATTACTGACATGTACCATAAGTAAAGGACTCTTCTGACGCAACCGCACCAATCAACGTCCATCCGAATCCTCTTACAGAACACAGCGTAAAGATTTAAAGAGATGATTGGATTTGGATTCGTGATACAACGAAACAGAGGACATCACTCAACGAATGAAGTAGAACCAGAGTTCACGAGCATATACTAACCTCCCTCCTCCACGCACCGATCCACGCCATCAAAACATACAAGAGACCTGCAGGAAACATACACACCCTTGCTACAACTCCCCAGTCCCATCGACGTCCGCTGTGCCGTCCTGGTATAGCTCCAGCTCCCGAAAATGAATTAGGAGATTGCGGCAGTAAATTGCTGGTTACCCATATTTGGATGCTCCGCGAGACACAGGTTGTAGTCCCTATGACTGCCCAACAGACGTCAGGCCGGATAGTGGTCCAACGAAGGACGGCCACATCAGGTACGCTAAGAGCATCATTATCTAACGCAACATTCATACCCCAAGTCCCCAGGATGTTGAGGGTGAAATGAGTGGCTGGCCAGCAGATCGCCTGGAGAGCAAGAAGACGGATAAGGGTGGATAACGGGTGGTAATATGCACGCCAACGGTGCAGAAGACCTGTTGTCAATTTCAGACACTGATGTGCTGTAAGAAGTGCCTAATTCCAGACAGGAGAAATCTTAGGGCGCTGTATACAATAACTTTAGACCAGACAAGCACAAAAAACGCACCCACAAAACCGCTAGGAAGTAGTCTCCCCTATCCGGAAGTGTTTGTCTCCCCCAAATTTCAGTGTTGCGACTGCACCCGCCGTCTAGAGTATGAGGGTATCCTGGTGGACTCCAGAGACACCATGCATTGACGGACGCGCCTATGAGAGCGGGTACTACGGATAAAAGTCTGGAAATTTCGAAGAGCAGAGTTGTCATGGTACTTGGTGGTATAAGAGGTTCTGATCGTGGCAAAATTCGGGAAGTAGGAAGGTGCTTCGGCTGAACGAAGGAGTAATAGCATTCAGGTACCGCACGGACGAAACGGAATGCTAGTACCCACGGGCTCGTCTGCTTCGGTTTCTGTTTCGCCTGCACCCAACTGACCGAGTGCTGTCGTTATTTGAGCACTCTTTGGTTTGCGCCAGCCTAGGCCCTGTCCGAGGAGAATATGCAGATTGTTTGGACGACCAGCGGTTGGAGGATGTCGAACTGGTCCAAACGACTCTTGAGAAGTCCTACGCCGCATAGCAAATGTTCTGTTGTCGCCTTCGTGGCTCCGCTCATCATCCTGATACGCCAAGGACCCCTCATAATTTTGCTGAGGGGTTTGGGGATGGTGTTTGCCGGTTGCCATTGACTCGACCAAACAACTGTCGTGTCAGCCAAGGCGCTTGAACAAAACGGCAACGTCGGAGGGGGCACTATGAAGGCGAATGGCACGACAGAAAGTATGAAAGAAAGAGGCTGGGGGACGGCGAGCCAAGTAAGCTTGCGCTCGATTTCTCCAAGTGTATGGCCATTACAAAGGCGCCGAGGGCGGTTACCAGCACACTGGGCAGTCACATCAATGCCCCTCTCTAAAGGTCTGAACGCAATTCCCATCAAAAACCCGGAGTTCCTTGTCACTAAATACGCATAACGGTCGCTGTGATGCACAAACTCGAGTTATCGTTGAGCCAGACAGCACCTATCTATTAACGAGCGCCATGTTGATAACGAAACAAAACTATGTCACACTGCTATCACTAAGTCCTAGACATGTCAATTCACGTTCGGGGTCCGGGGCTATGAAGTCGTGCCCGATGACGCGTTAGCTTTGGCGTTTGGCATTTTCTTTTGTCCCGTTGCAAGTTGCTCCACGTCCGCCGCTTTAAAATAGTGCGGAGCAACTGATAACATCGAACTTCAGCCACGTACTAGACCCAGTGGATCAAAATAGCTTACCTTCCATCAACCAAGCTGGCTTGATCTCCATCACTTGTCTGTTCATGGAGTTAGCTGGGGGGTCGTTTCACAACTCCGTTCGACTCACCTCATATACGACTTGGATGTCATCACTAGCTCGTAGTATAGAACCGCTCTCACCGGGGGCTGGTGTTGGAACAAGCTTGATGATGGATGGATGTATACAGTATGGTTAGTCTTGAGTGTCCTGTACGAGTCCCCGCTCTTTTGTAAAGCAGCCTAAACCCCGAAACCATGAGCACCAACCAAAAGCGCACTGGCCAGATGAACCAGCTCACCGTATTGTAAAAGTATCCTGCGGTGATCGCCTTTTGAATGGGCGTGTTATCATTGGCGTTCGGGTTGCTCCTTATGATGACTTCCACACGTTCACACAGGCCCGCAAGCTGATCTCGAATATCCCGAGCGCGATTAAGGCTCTTGTACTGAAGGAACTGTTCGTAACAGAATTGCTGGGAATAATTGGTATCCGCCCATTGTTCCCAAATGTTCAAGAGTGTGAAATGGTCGCCGCCTGCACGAACGAAGTTTTGTCGAGCCTGATCGGCGTGCAACTTCTTGTCCTTTGGTCGATAGAACAGCGAGGACGATTCCGAAAGCATAGCTATGATAGTTAGTACCTGCGACACACGTCAGATAGTTCAGGGATAACCAAGGTGAGGAAAATTACCTCGTCTGTGCACACATATTTCTCGCTCTCGATGATGGCCTTGCTAAGCATCGGATCAACAGGGAATTCCGCCATCCTTCGGCCAAGTTTCGTCATTTCACCCCGGTCATTCAGGGCACCAAGCGCGTATAGCAATTCGAGCGCACGGATCAGCGTTTCCCCGGGCGGTGGGTCCATGAATTCAAACTCCATGAAATTGTTGATCCCAAGAGACTTCAAGACAAGAACGGTCATCCCGAGGTTTGTGCGCTGAATTTCAGGGACAGTGTTCTCCTCGAGTTCATTCGCATATGCCCATTTTGTATAGAGCCGGAAAGCTTTTCCGGGACCTACCCGTCCCGCACGACCCGCACGCTGATTCGCCGAAGCCCGTGAGCACTATACAAAACCTTGTCAGCGGATATAAGGAATTTCCAGGAGGGCGACAGCTTACAGGAACGACCACCAAGGAACTCATACCCGTTCTCGGATTGTAAGCATTCTGCTTCACGAAGCCAGGATCGATGACGAACACAACACCATCTATAGTTATACTAGTTTCCGCGATGTTCGTTGCTAAAACCACTTTGCGTGCTCCGGGGGGCGTCGGTTCAAAAATCTTCGCCTGCATATCTGACGGTAAGTTGGCATAGATTGGACAGATTATGAGCTCCGCGATCTTGTTTCCTAGAGTACGGGCAGTTTCCTGAAGGCTCTCGTGAGCTGCTTCGATTTCATCTTGGCCCTAAGAAATTCTTCATCACGAAATCAATAGAGAACGGAATGTGCAAGAAGGCTTACAGTCAAAAAGACGAGGATATCGCCTTTGGGCTGGGTTGTGTGGATTTGGAAGACAGTCGTTATAGCCGCGTGAAGATAGTTGGCCTCCGGCTGAGGTGTGTAGTGGATATCAACGGGGTATCGCCGACCCGGAACTGAAGGGAACGACGTAAATCGGGCTCTGATCAAAAGATAAACGACGCTTACCATAAAACACAGGTGCATTATCGAAATATTCACTAAACTTCTCCGCATCCATCGTGGCACTCGAAATAAGTAGCCTTAGCTCTGGTCGAAACCTTGCGATATCCTATTTCAATTTCTTGAGCTCCTGCAAAAAGACAAACGACGATGGGTAACACACCTTAACGAGAGCAAACAAAATATCCGTACTGAGTGTGCGTTCGTGTGCCTCGTCGATGATCAACGCCGAGTAAGATGCGAGATCTGGCTCCGTAAGGAACTCTCTTAATAGCATTCCGTCGGTCATGTACTTGAGTACAGTCTTGTCACTCGTGCAGTCCTCGAACCGAATCGAGTATCCAACCTCGTAACCGACCTTGGTCCCCATTTCTTCTGCAACGCGAGCGGCAACGGACATGGCTGCCACCCGCCGTGGTTGGGTGCAACCAACTTTCATGCCCCCAGCCGTATAGCCCGATTCATGAAGGTATTGAGGAAGTTGTGTCGTCTTCCCGGAACCTGTCTCAGCTACGACAATCAATACCTGGTGCTCCTTGATGGCTTCCAGAAGCTGCTTGCGGTAGGTATATATAGGTAGCGACTTGCGGGTTTCCTCAATGCCCTTGGCTAATGTCGACAAAATTGTGAACCCTTCGATTATGAAGCAAGTTCGGTTACTCACCTCTCGTCTCGGCTTCTTCGATCTGTTGTTGCAAGATCTTGTCTTTAGCACTCAGCATACCTTCTCCCTTCATTGCCTGGTCCATGACAAATTTGATAGTCTGGCTCTCGTCGAACACATACTCATATTGATCCACGAACTCGGGTTTGTCCAAGGCACCCGTTTTAAAGGTGCTGTGTCGTGTTTGACTTGCCTCCCATTGATCGACGTCCGTAACGAACTGATCATCCTTGGGCTTCGCTTCCTCGTAGCGCTGGTACAACACATTCTCTTTCTTCTTCTTGTCGATCTTCCCCTGTTCAGTGAAATAATCGTCAGGCAACTGATACCCTTCCCACTTGTCGTTGATTTTAAGGCGCTCCTCGACCAGCTTCAGAAGCTCTTTCTTCCGCTCGAGTTCTCGCCTTTCTCGTTTCGAGACTTTCATCCCGACGAAAAGAGCCTCATCATCTGCGATCTCCCTACGAAGCAACTCGATTTGCTGGATCTCACGCTTGGTGAGGTATTCCTGACGAGAATGTAATCGCAGAGAGGGTAAAGCCTGATGTCGAGCTTCGGAGTCGTCCGCGAGCTGCCTGCGAAGGGCGGCGTCTGTAGCACCGGGGCCAGCTGCACGAGAGGATCGATCCTCGACCATTTTCTTCGTCTTCTCAAGGTCACGCATACGAACGCGTTCGGCAAACTCGTCACGGGACTTCAAATCCTCTAATCGTTCTCGTTCCTTGCGCGCCTCTTCGTCCTCCTCGATCTCAATATTGAGCACTTCATCGTCGGATGGAGGTCTGCCTCGAGGAGAAACAGAACCTTGAGGCCTATGTCGCTTTCGGGATTGGTCTTCCCCATCACTTTCCCACTCCTTTGCATCGAGTTCTCTCTTCCTCAGATTCCTCCCTCGCTTTTCTCTCGATGATGTGCCTCCTTCGCCTCCCGCAGATTTCTCTCTGACCTCAACGACGACTGATTTCTCCTTCTCCTCTTCCGCGAGAAACCCATATTTCCGCGCGCTCAACTCTCTAGCCTCCCGTTCCGCCTGTTTCCTTGCAGCTTCATCTACACCACCAGCTTTTCCTTTGTGCTTCGATTTTCGAGGGATGCGGACGAAGAGTTCATTTATGAAGGTATGAGCCTCGGAAGTGTTGGGTAGACCACTTGCGGACAAGAATCCAAAGAGCGCATCTGGCGACTTCGCTGACGATGCTACAATATAAAATAACGCGTTAACAGATAATGGAAATAAGACAAGCTGAAAAAATCGACTCACCGGAAGCGGCGACGAAGTCAGTGGTAGTTTTGTCTGCAAGTCCGAAAAACTGAGGGGAAGAAGTGTGAACTGCACGAACAAATGAACATATGACTGGGCTTACCCTGAGACAATTGTCGCTAATAAATCTGTTAAGCTCTGTGGACATCCGAGACAGCGTTCCCCAGGTTGTAAGCAGTCAGTGGGCTGGTCACCCCCTGGTGAGTCCGACGGAGAGAGTTACTAGTAGTCACGGGAAGACTAGTGAATGTGACGTGTGACGTCACAAAGGGTCACATTGTAATGCACTGCGCACTGCCTAACTCGGGGACAAAGTAACTAGTGCTGTCAGCAAATATTCCCCGCCTTTTTTTCTTCTCTTTCTATGATCTATGGGTCCTAGGTGAGGAGCAAGAGATGTGGGAGAAAGGATCGCGGCCTCTGTATGCTCGAGCGTTTTCGACCATTGACACCAAGGCGTGCGTACTACTACAGACTACGAGCCTGACGGCGGCAAACACGCGATACAGAAAAACGGTCGTCCGCCAATCAGTGACCGGTGACCAGCGTAACTACATATACCGCGGACGACAAGTGGATTTTCAGCCCCCCAAAACAATAAATCAAGGTGGTGGCTTTTGCGACGTGCGTTTTAGTTATTATTAAATGAAGAAAAGCGCGCTATGTACCACAACGAGCCACTTCGAGGTCCATTCCATTCTATCCAGTAAGTACGGACAGCTTCTCTCACTCGTGCGACAAGTACGCAACAGTCGGATTTGCCAGTGGATGTCAGATATCGATGAGTCGATGTCTGCCCCCCACCCTTTTTTTTCTATTTTCAAACGGTAAAGAGAAGAAAGGCACGTGTTTCATGCACGCGTATTCTAGCCAATTTTCTTGACTTTGCGTGATTCCAATATCCCTCGAAACCCCCATTCTTGGAAACATCGATGTCGGTTTAAGGTATGTATAGTATAGCAAGATGCACTGAAAAGTCTATAGGCAGAGATTGACCGTCTGTGGTTCAACTGGGCTAGACTCACGCAGACCCTTCCGAGTAGGATCTGCCATCTCTTTCAGCTGCAAGATCGCACAGGCGAGGAGAACCGAGTGCTGGTTATGGGTACGTCTATTGCGCCTAGGAGATGTGGCTCGAAAAACGGCAGGCAATCTGATGGGAATACTTCCAAGAATATTGGTCAAAGTGTAGAAGATTTTGAGGAACCAATCACCCACTCTGACTTGGGACCCTGTGGCTACGCCTTGGCGTTCATAAGAAGTCTCCCCCTCGCTCTCTTCCATTCGAATCTCGAAGGGCGAGTTCCTCAGCCTTCCCAACAGACCCTGCCCTGAACAGTAAACGATGCTCATATGTAAACATTCCACCCGTTTGGCCGTGCCTCGTGGGGATTGAGCGTACACGGCGCCGGCGTAATGAACGGGGACTGTCCTTGAATCAGTTGCAACTTGAAGGATATGAAGGGCCCTTACCACACAGGCCGGAGGTTCCGCTTAGGTCGTTTAATATGACGGTGCAATTGCATCATGTCGTGTAGGCACCGCCCGTGTCCCCTCCCCGATCACAAAAATTGACAGATTGGTCACCTAAGTACTGTCTGTTCTTCGGCGTGGCTTTCCCGCAGTAGATTTTGGGGTCATCACGGTAGCACAGCCAGCCCTTCCGAATGGTCTCCTGGTGACTGCACGCTGTCCCCGAGGAGGCGACCTTTGGATCGCGGACATAGCTGACCGTAAAACTTGACGTTCACCGATGAATTCGGTCCCGTTTTCGCATCGACCAATCCCAGATGTCGTATCGGTCTTTAGCCTTACTCATACAATTTGGCTGTACGATGAACTGTCTATCAAGTATCCGTCAAATCGTTATCTGTCATTAAACCTGCTACGTGGTCGTATGGTATCCCAGGCGCCGTACTTGTATGAAGAAAAAAGTAAACTAGAAAACAGTTCGCGTCCATACCTCCCAGCAGGTAGCCGTTGTCCGTGGAGGAGAGGTTGATACGCGGCCACGTTGGAGATAGATAGTGGGTGAGGTAAGGAGCGGATTAGGTGGGGTACCATCGGCACTGGGGGACAGGCATCATGGCATGTGGTTTCAATGAGACATGCGCAGGCTGTCCGAGAATGTGTGGAAGGGAGGAAGGACAACATGCCTGGGAGGAATGAACGTGGGTGACTTGAGAGGGTGTTGGATATATGTAAACAAGTTACTTGAAAAACTGGTTCAGCAAACTAGAATCAAAAGCGCCCCATCCGCGTAGCGAATAAGTCAAGGGGGTGCTGTCACGAAGTTACCGAGAACGAGCGAGGAAGTAAAGGGGGAGAAGGGAACCTTGCAACGGTCGAAGGGGGTTGTCGTCATCGAAAGTGTGGAAAAGTGGCTGCTGGGGGGGAAAAAGGGACGAAAGGGGTCAGAATGCGAGAAGCAGGTGTAATACCACTACAGGTCAGAGGAAATGCAACAATATGATGGATGGGCGTGGAGGGAGGGGGACTGCAGCAAAGCAGACGAGGTATCCGGACAGGTAGTTATGAGAACCGATCTTCAAATAAAATAAAAAGCAGAGACGCGTACAGGAAACCTAGTGATCTTGCGCTCTATCACCAGTTTCACTCAAGGTTTCCACTCTAACTCCTCGCGATGAACCCACGCTGCGAATGTCCCTGCCTTCTTCTGCCAGTTCACGATTTATAACATCGTCCTTTCCGTCGTCATTTTCCTCCACGGGTGTTGCAGCGAAATCGGGTTTTCGCAGGGCCTTCCGGAATGCATCCGCCATGATCGCCGCGTCTGCGCCCGAGAAGGGACCTGAGTCCCCTGCAGAGTGGGCTCTCGATACTTCCGATGCACCGTCTGGGGAAACGACAGAAGGGGGACGTTGGTGTTCTGAAGAGGATCGGCCAAGTGCACCACCAGCAGTGCCGGCGGCTACTAACAGAGGAAGGTTGGGCGATTGCTGGTGATGAGCATCTGCCATCATGGGGGAAGCGGAGCCCATAGACCCACGATTCGATTGTACAGCCCGTCTTCGTATACGTCGGAGTATTAGCCAAACCAAAATACCACCTGCAACGATAGCCAAGAATCCGAGTACGACGATGACTGCAATTGCCCAGTGAGGAAAAACAGAATTGTCCTGCTGTGGCTGAACACTAGAAGACGGGGCTTGCGATTCCGGCTTGGCTCTCGGAAGCGATGGAGGCAGCGGATAACGACGAATGAACGGAGAGTGTTGACTGAGCAGACACAGAAGATAGCGAAGCAGAAGACGAAAGCATAGTTGACACGACGGAATCGGCATATGTCGTTTCTAGTATGACGTTGTTTAAGATGGAACGGGGAAGCGATAGAGAGATTTTTTGCACGTACGGACTGCGAGGAATGTCGGATTAGTTGTTTGGGAGCCATCGAGACCATCTTCGTTGCTGGTCACAATCCAAAAGAAGGGGTATGTCAAGTTTTGGCCGGGCTGCCAAGTCGCGCCAGTGGTACCAAACCAACTGTCGTTGACGAGCACGTTGTACTCTCCAGCTGTACCTATTGGATTTTGCACGTCGGTAATGGTGAACAGCGGTTCTTGAGTGTCAGCGTTGACGAGGTAGAGATTGACGAGGTTAGTATAAGTGAGTTGCGGTCGTCGGCTGTTCCCTGTGGGGGGAATGAGTATATATGAAAGAACGGATGGGAAGCGAAGGGGACCGACAGACGACAGCGGCCCATTGGTGCTGATACACCTGTTCCCCGGCAGTGGGAAAGCATGTGACGTTGTTGTTGTTGGCATAGAGCTGGCAATTAACTTTTGCTGTTTCTGAACGACCATGTCAACGAGAGAGATACGAGTTCAGGCGCGTCAACCAACGTATAACGGATCGCGCGGGAGGAGAAATGACACACACCTACGGCAGTGGAATCAGAGATGGTTGTTCCATCTTGTCTAGGTCGGGGAGGCGGAGCAGGGCCTGGTGGATTAGCGTCTCTCTCCAATCTGAGGTATGACGATGGAGGTGGTGTTTGGGCCGGCCACGGCGCAACCGGGCTACGTGACATGTCGGCAAGTCGTACTAGTCAGAGTGCGGGTATAGGAATTTTCTGGGAGCGAGAAGTGTGTAGACAGATGGTGGGGGAGGAGTAGGGTGGGTGATATTAGCGGTGTGAGGGGGGGGAGAAGGGGGGGGAGGGGATCAACCAAGCCAGCCCAGAAGGACACCCTGACAACACCGAAAACAACCGACAACGGCAGCGACACGCTCAGCGACGACGGGAGCGATGACGGCGACGACGACAGCGACGGTGACGACTGCGAGGGCGAAGCGACGACTCTGCACTCAGACCTGCTTGCAAAATGCGAACGGATTCTCACAAAGACCTCGTGAACCCCTCATTAGGTAATATCCCAGATATATACACGACAAAATGGCGGAAATTCAAAATATCCCCGCCCAAGGCACGACACCTGATGTAAGGTCATAACTAGCCGTGAGAACCCTCTCGGCAGTACCCGGCGCCTATCTTTGTTTTTTATTTTATTTTTTTATACGGAGAAAATACCCGGCCCGGCCCGAGACTCCCCCCCGCATAGTTCGGAGACTGTCTCAGGAGAGATATCAAATGCCAGTGGCAGCATACCCGCCGTCTCTCTGCTGTCATCCATCGACTGATGGATGAACCCGTATTAGCCGGTCGTTGCTAGATAGCCAAGTAACTCGACCTCTTCACAGATCGACTCGCGCTCGTTGATATTCGTCTGTGCAACCCGCGAACGCAACAGCCCTCCTCCTACTGACACACACAGGGAACTTATTTAGCCTGACTTGAGGGTCCTACGGCATGTTTGTAAGTCCGCGGTTCCCATCGTCGTTCTTCCGTCCGTGTCTCCTGAGACTGGACAGTCGACCAACGGCCAAGCAGTCCCGGAAACACGTGTTGTTCGAAGGACTCGCACCTCGTCCACGTGGGAGCCTTCAGTTCCAGGATCGATCTCCATCTTCACCGGCATTCGTAGTACACAACGTGTGCAGACTCCTGCTAATAGTTCTCGACTTCTAAAATCCACGAGACTCGTCGGGCCTGCATTATTGTCTCACACATACTGTGGCATTTTCTTTTGTTCCTTGACGACGAGACCAGTCATCAGCCGTCGAAGCATGCGAACAGGCACCAAGTTGTCCTCGCAATGACCATCGCTGTTGTCGGATGTAATAGAGAACAGCACAACATGTGGGTACGACGCATGAAATAACAGGTTCTGTGGTCACCAGTTTTGCAATCAACTGCGTTGGACGGATAACTGTGGCCATAAGCTGCAGAGAATCCAGATTTTATGTACCAAAAATCATCCATTCCAGACCAGCTAGTGGACATTTTGAAATGAGTGATTTGACTTCGTATGAACATACGCGGCACCGTCTAATAGTAACTAGTAATGCCTCGGACCGTAGTGTTTTTCCGGTGCCAACTCACGGTCGCGAACCATGTCAGCAGCTGAAGGAGGGTATTCCGTGCTGTTAAGCTCGTTGCACAGGGCATCGGCACCCACTCTTCCTCTGTCGACACTCCAGGGTCTCATCGTTCACTACCTCGCCCGACTATCGCCAGCGCCCACTCCATTAGCGGCCACCATCGTCGGCAGTCCGCTGTTCCGGCCGTTTTCGCTCACTAAGCTTGACGCCCTCAAGACATCCTTTCGACATGCGGTGCATACCAAACTTCATCTGCTGAAGGACGCACCTCCCAGCGTGTTCCTTCCCAGCCTGAATGTACAGCTGAGCGCTTGGCTGGTGGCAATTTTGAGAGGTCTCGAGGGGGGTCATGCTATCGCGCGACTAGCCTGTTGCAGCGGGTTGCTATTGGGTGTCGAGGACATTCTAAAGCGCCTGCCATCGAAACAGCGCGACGTGGAAAGTTCGGTCCAAGACGAGATTGTTCTCGCCTTTGCAGATCTCATTGATCTGTTCACTTCATCGGACTCATGGAGAAAGGAATTCCGTCCTGAAACGGAGGCCGGAGGTGCGGATCTCCTTGATACCTCGAGACATGCCTTTGAACTCTCATCTCAGAGGAAGATGCCCTTACACTGTCATTGATAACGTCTGCCGAAGCACTTCTGGCCGTCCTGCCAGAGAAGTTTGTCGCGTTACCTTTACAAGTGAGTTAACCCACTGTGGTGAATGTACCGGCTGACCGTCCCACAGCAGACGTTGGCCTTGTTGGTCCACACGATCAACAAGTCGTTCATGTCTGGGATGTTTCTCTCCTCCTTTAAATCATCCACGGAACACCATCCCGAATATAAAATTCATGTAAAGGTGAGGTTCTTCTCGTACTCTCACGTCACTGTGACACCCAACTTGTACGATGCCACTAGCAAGGAGCTCCTGCCTTCCAAGATGTGCACAAGGTGTCTTCGTCGCCCGCAATGTCCAATATGGGTTCGTTATCCAGATTATGCTCGAGGAGCATAACGTTGTTCGTAGATCATCGACCTAAACTTGCTCTGCCGCGTGTCCAAGAAACATTCCTTTGCCTGGAGTCCATTTCCCGGAACGTAGAATTGGGCTGGTTGGCTAGTGACCTAGCAGGCGCGACCGAGGAATCGATAGGTATCTCTTTCAGTCCCCCCATTCCAAATGCCCATTCTCACCACCCTGGCAGCTGCTGAAACACGGAAACTAACCGAGTCCATCTGGACTATCCTCAAGACTCTACTTTTCTCGACGATTATGATCGTCGAAGCCGGTCTTTCGGCTGTAGTCTATGTTCCTCCCGAAATCGGTCATGCCGCACCGTCGCTTGCTCTTGCTGTCCTGCGCAGTCTCTACCATCTGGCTTTTGTGATCGAAAAGTTTGGTGGTGCGGGACACAGCGCATTCCCCGAACTGAAGCGGGCTTTCTATCTTCCGCTTGACGTTTTGGCAGGACACAAAGCTGAAAGCGAGCACCTTGTGCAACAGTTATGTGAGGAGTCGTGGTCTAACGCGTATGACCTGTCGCATCCCGTCCAGAGGGCAAAGAAAGCGTTCGCGTTGTCCACTATTGAACAGCTCATACCCGTTCTTCCGACGTCGGGCATTGAAACTTACGTCTTACCTTTCTGCTCACCGTAAGATGGCGAATATCACGTTCTGCAACCCCTTAAACTAATCATGGTTTCCATCAGACATTTGGATGATGCGCGTTACCATGACGTATTCGAAGCCGCACATAGTGTGGTGTTAGCAATATTTTCTCACTATCATCATACTCAGGTCACCAGTTCTACGTCGCCCAGTGGTGCCGAGCGTGAACCAGAAAGGGCTATGTCCCCTGCGATCATGGTCCCATTTTATACGCGGTGCCTTATTGAGGTGAGAGTATCTACAGCCGATTTGTTGAATTCTCACCAATTTTCTTGTACAGAATTCAGCGAAAGACAGGCTCAACGCCTCGCAGCTACGCCTCGCCTTTGCTGCGCTGGTCAAGAGTGCCTCGGCATCTGGCGATCATGCGCTCGCCTGGTTTTGCATCGATTCGCTGTTAACAGCATGCAGGGCATCTTCACCGGCATTTGACGAAGACCGGGTGCACCGGTTGTATCTAGCTCTCGTGTCCAGCGTGTCATCTCTGCCTCTGGATCTGCTATCACGCGCGCTGCTGGAAGTGGACGGCATCATCGAAGGTGTCGAAAATGACGATATTAAGCGCGATGAGCTTCTAGAGGCGCTGTTTCAGGAGATTATAAATAACGTTGGTGACGCGGAAAAAGAATTTGCTGTGTGCTGGTGGAACGAACGACGTGTCAAGTGGGCTCATCGAACACGACTGGCGATCGCAAGACAACGAAGAACGGAGAAAGACGAAGAGGACGATATACTTCAGGAATCCGAAATACCCTCGAGACTCTGATTAACGTCAGCTGATATCGTCTCTTTGGGCTTTTTGCAATTTCATTGCGGTTATTTTATGCTATTGAACCAGGAAATTGGTAATCATTCCACCAACCCTGAAAAAAATAATGGCAAATGCGATTGTCATGCTTGTGCCCTGTGTGTTGAGTCCCCACGACACCCTTCTCTGCGCGTAGTGGGATACGCTATTGGTATTTCAGTCTCCAACTTCCTCATAGCATACGTGTGTACGACAGGTGAGCTGTGCTTAAGTGTCCGTAAAAGTGATGCAATAGTAGCGAAATGTGGTACGTATAGTGGATCTGGGAGGCCAGAGGGATCACATCATGTGCTGGACATCCATAGGGGGAGGGCATCAGGCAAAGGTAGCACCTCCGGTGGTACCTCGCCATTCACAGTACTGTCAAGCGAATGCCGGCCTGTATTTCCGCCAGCGGCTTTCACCGAGACTAGTTTGTAGAGCGGATAATACTTCCGTTCACCACTATTGTCCGCTTTCCCCTTGAAATATCCTGTCTTGTTAGTCCGCACCCATCTAGGATACGGTTGTGTGGACGAAGAGCCTTCCGACGCTTTGGAACTCAGCCCGATGACGACGTCTTTGGTTTTCGAGGAAGCCAGGTAGGATGCGTAAGAAGCACAGCGGTGTGCTTCCGAAACGACAACCCGATCACGGAGCGCTTCTTCTCCGAGAAGCTGGCGGAGACTGGTAGCAGGGTCAATCGTGGTCACTGAATCGTTGACCATGATAAGGACCGCTGCCTCTCCACCTCCGGATACGAATTGAAATCCTACTTTCACGGAGCATTCCGCTAGCTCGGGCGTCTGCCTGCCGAGAGAGAAGGTTTAAGTTACGACACCCTCCTCGCGTGGCAGGCAACATGAGAAAAGACGTACTTCCCCATACTCGTAGAAACATCCATATCTCGCACATTTAGGGACGTGACCCAGGTCAATTCATTAGGATTCTCCTCTCCGAGAACTTTTGGGAGCGGAATGCCATACTTCTCTGCAATCTTGTCCTGGTATATATTTCCCTCCTTCACAAACACGCAACGTTCGGGCCGCCAAAATGCCCAGAACGGATGTCCAGTGGCGAGTCTACCCCAATCGCCGACCTCCAAGTGTTTCTCCGGATCCCAGCTGGCGAACTTTTTTGATGCGCGGAAGAGGAGGTCGACGTACCGTCGCTCGTTAGACATGAGTCGGTGCGAGGTACAAGGTTGGGTAAGGGTAGGAAGGGCGAGCAATGGGATCGGAAGGTGGAAAGAAGGATTGTCAAGGGATCCGCTATATATTCTGCGTATATAATCCACGCCTTGAAGTATAGCCTTGCTCGAACCAGCTGGTGCTTACCTTCATTCCCGCTGCCACAGTCGTACCATTCGCCGTCACTGACTCCACAATAATGCGTATGCCCAAGATCACCGTTTGCGGCCGCGCCCAGATTTTACTATATGCGCACTTCCACCGAGATCCACTTGAGAACACTGCAACTTACCTAGTATGCCATTTACGAACTTTGCGCAGGCGTTTTGCGTTTTGTGCATCCCGTTGCATAGACAGCCGGGGGATAGGACCGTGCAGACAAGTTATGTTGTGAGACGAATGGCTCGATTTCAATTTTCAATTACCGTCACCATGAAGGAGTGAACGTTAGGAAGAGTCGTGGTTCCAACTGTTGCCATGCGGTCGCAGTCAAGTGGTCACCATTGTCACCGTCCAACGTGGTGCGCGTCGTTAGCCACTCGTTGAATTTTGTTGAAATTTTGGCCGCGAACTCGGCGCAGGGTGATATCCAGCAAGACGGTGCTTGTAGTTACTGTACAAGCTGTGCGAGACTTCAGTGAGTTGACCGCAATCGATGGTGTATTGCTTGTCGCATGAATTGCTTGCGAACTCGAAAAGTGTCTTTGGCGCTCTTTTCCACGACATGTGGAAGAATACTGAAGACGTAAAAATCGATAAGCGCGCCCAGACTCGTCCCGCCGATTATTCGCGACGCTCGTGCTTTGAATAAACTCTGTCGGAAGGTCTAACGAATGGCTGAACTCGAGTCCCCTTCGGGGATCCTTCCCCCTATTCCAGATGACCTGACGCTCGTACAGTTTGTATTAGACTATCAGCACAGCTCGAGGCCTGTTCGGAACCATGAATATGATGTGCCATGGATCATTGAGGATCGTACTAGGGAAGCCCGTGGACTGGAGGAGGTGAGTGGAACTCGTTCTTGGATATGGAAGCAACTAGCTCGGGCAGTTACTGGCCCAGAGACCTGCGCTATGTTCGAGAAAGGCTAACGTCCTATATGTAGTTGCGTACAAGAGCATTCGGCCTTGCAAATGGGTTGAACATCAGGTTCAATATCAGTACGTGGTACTCGCGGATGCAATCTTATCGCGACTACTTTCTAACGTCCATTTGCAGAGGAGGATGACGTCTGTGAGATTTTCAGCTGAACAACGTCCCGTGCACACTTGTACTGAGCCGTGTCGCAGTCCTCGTTTTTAGTCCGAATCATCTTGGTATGCATCACGTCATCTCACATTGGCAGGCGTTGATCTTAATGCCACAGACTATCTCGTCGCTGTCTGGGCTATTCACAGGCTGGGAGCCGTCATGTCGTGAGTTCTCCATCATTATCCTTCATCTGAGGGACTTCACCGTCGTACAGTGGTGCAAATCCTTCCTTCACCTCAGATGAACTGGTATATCAGGTGCAAGCCACACACGCATCAGTGCTGGTTGTCCACCCAGAGGTTCTCCCTGTTGCACGATCCGCTGCGCATATTGCTAAACTGTCGGAGGAACCACATCGTCTTGTTCGATACCGCGGATACTCCGTTGACTCAAGGAGTATTCCCTACTGTGAGAGGTTTGATTGATCAAGGGCTGTCCGCCTTTCCCAGTTTCCGTGAGAGACGTTTAAGTCCCGGTGAAGGCAAGACAAAGGTCGCATTCCTCAACTTCTCCAGCGGAACTACTGGCATGCCAAAGGTAATGTAGATGCCACAGGACTGCCAGTACGAGAGTTGATGCGGAACAGCCCATTGCAATTCCTCACTATGCCCCAATAGCCAACATCATTCAACTAGCTGTACACAATAGAGTAAATGACGATCGTATTCCATGGGAAGACCAAAGATTCCGGCCCGGAGATGTTTGCAGTGCAGGTGGGTCTTCGTCTACAGCCAGTGAAGTTTTGAGACACATTGACGGACATCCCGGAATAGTTTTACCCCTGTATCGTAAGTGACTACCCCTATGTCATGCATGGGAATTCTGTTGACCCCACCCAGATATCTACGGCATGGTTTTCAATGTGATGTTTTTTGACTAGAACGCTTTACGGTTTCACTCATGTGCTTCCAAGGCCCACTACATTTTATTTTGTGGGGTTCGTGGCGTCTATTGGTCACTGTCACTTGGAATTAACAGACATCTCAGATGACTGTCGTTCTTACCACTGGTCGATTCAATTTCTTGGACTTCCTCGATACCATTGTCAAATACCGCATTACACATCTTATGTGAGTGAAGCACTTTTTTTAAATTCACACTGACGTAACCCCTTCGCTTCACAGGCTTGTGCCCCCTCAAGTCGTCATGTTTTGCAAGGTCAGTTCACATATACTTGGTAGATAATCCAGCTCTCCAGCTCAAGACCGATTGATAGCATCCTGCTGTTTCACAGTATGATTTTGGGCACGTCCGATACGTAACTTGCGGAGCGGCGCCGCTCTCTCGGGAAGTGATGAATAGGCTGATGGAAGTCTTCCCCAATGCAAGCGCCGGACAAAGCTATGGTTCGTTACTCGCCTTCATTCCAAACATATCGTGTGGTATCCATGATTCTAGGGACTACGGAGTCGTGTACTGTGATTACAGCTTTCCCGGTCGACACAAAAGCGCGACACCAGTGGAAGTGGCGGTCAGCTTCTACCGGGTATTACTGCCAGGGTTGAAAGGAGCGATGGCACGCTCGCTGATTTCGATCAGCCTGGTGAGCTTGTCGTAAAGACGCCATCATTGTCACTCGGGTATGCCGGAAATCCAGAAGCGTACGTGGGGGCTGAAATAATGATTGCTCATTGACTAACGCTCCCATGCAGTACTCGAGAAACGTTTGTGAACGGGCGAGTGAGGACGTCTTCTGTGTTGTCTCATCTAACTGTGTCACAGATGGTTTCGCACCGGGGATGAAGTTAAAATGAATAAACGCGGAGAGGTATTTGTGCTTGACCGACTCAAGGTCTTTCGCTACAATTCTGCATTACATCAGACTTTCAATACTGACGGTTATATTAGGAAATGTTGAAAGTACGAGGATTCCCCTGTTGCTCCAGCGGAACTCGAGGGTTGTGTCCTCGGACATCCTGATGTCGAAGATACGTGCGTTGTAGGCATTCCAGACGAGTACAGTGGAGAGCTTCCGGTGGCCTTCGTTGTCCTTCGTCAGGAAGCAGGTAAGCGGGCACAAGATTCGAGTGCTGCACACGAAATAAAAAGTTCGATCGCCAAGGTGCGTACACCAGCTTTTGCCCGCTAACTTACTCTTACCGTATTCCACCAGCACGTATCTGATCATAAAGCTGCGTACAAGCGACTGGCCAGAGTCGAATTCGTTGATTCTATCCCGAAGAATCCCAGTGGAAAGTTACTCAGGCGTGTGCTTAGGGACAGGGCTCGACGGTTGGAACCCCGTGGAATCGCGAAACTGTGATTGGCTCAAATTGATTAAGCCATTGATGCGATCAATCTTATCTTATCGCGGTAGTGCCATGTACTACGAATGGAACTTGAATGGAACGATCGAGAAGTGTATACACACTTACGCGTCCATGAACAGCCTCACGTACACATAAGTTCTCGTACATCGATTCCCCACAATCACTGCTGTTCGGTTTTCAGTCGTTAAATGTCTACACCAGTGCAATTATACGTTTACGACCTCAGCAATGGCTTGGCCCGGCAGATGTCCATGCAACTGACGGGTCGACAGATCGACGGTATATGGTGAGCGGGCTTTATTATAGGTCATCAGGACCATTCTGACAACTTCCGTGCTCTCTTCAAGGCATACGTCTGTAGTCGTCTTTGGCAAGGAGATCTTCTATGGGCAAGGTATCAGCATTACACCTCCAGGCAAGTCTCATGTATGTAGCCGTCCCCTCTCCAGTCTCGTGCAATCATTTCTGACTAGCAGTTAGCTGGGACAACCATTCAGAATTGTCGAGATGGGGGAAACTGCTATAGATGAAGATACCTTTGAGCAATACCTCTCAGAGATGGGTCAACAGTTCACTGCGGACAAGGCAAGTGAGGCACTTCCTTTATGTACAGACATTTCATTTAACATGTCTCAATCCCGTTCGCAGTATCATTTACTAGGTGAGGCGTAGGTCCTGCTCAGACTAACCTGACAGTTCTGAATCGGCTTTCCGCAGATTTCAATTGTAATACCTTTAGTAACGAGTGCATCGGGTTCCTGACGGGAGGGAAACATACCAGACTATATCAAATGTAATCCCTAGAGCCGCTAATTTTGTCAGAGACAACTAACAGAATGTACTAGCTCTCCCGGCTGACTTCCTGTCAACGCCGTTCGGTGCAGCGCTTCGGCCCTAGTATAGATGCCATGTTCCGTGGGGGTGCACATTCGGGGCTTCCCACTCCACCCCCAGAAGCCGTCCGCGCCGCTGCACAAGTTTCACCAAATCCCGCTCTCGCCACTGGCCTACTCGAGTCCATCGCAGCACGCGCTTCCTCTAGTGGTCACGCGGAATCATACATTCCTACGCCTGCGCCAACCTCTCCACCTACTCCTGTCGCTGCCGATGTCAAGGACTGCACGAATCTCACACACTTTCAGTCTCTTTTAAGGGACAACCGTGTTGTCATCGCATTTTTTACGAGTAAAACCTGTGGACCCTGTCGTGTGGTTGAGCCCGTATTCCAGGACCTTGCTAAACAGAAAGCCAAGAGGAACGAGGGTGTTGTGTTCGCGAAGGTGGATTTGGCAGTTGGCGCTGGTGCTGCTGTTGCGAGTCGATATGGGGTTCGTGCGACACCCACATTTATCTTCTTCTTAGATGGCAGGAAGGCAAGTGTGTATATAAAACCAAATCGAGAAACGTTCTTATTCGCCGCTATGCCCTGCAGACGCACGAGCTTAGAGGAGCCAATGCACCGGAATTACGAACTCAAGTTGACCTACTCCTCTACGAGGCATTTCCCCGTGAGTCCACCTTGACTGTTGGATTTCAGTGCTCCTGTTCGTCAGACTTACTCAGTCTATATTCAGCTCATCCTCACAGATCGATTTCCCTGCCGGCCACCGACTCCATAACCCTTAAACCTATTCTCTTCACCCAGATACCTAATCTGGATACTCTACTATCCAAGCTCAACGAATTCATCGACGCCGTCTCACCATGGACTGGTGTACTCACCCAAGCGCAGATTAAGCAGGCACTGTCGAAGACCGTCATCCCATTTCTCAAGGCTTCTTCTTCTACACCACCACCTCCCCAACCACCGACGGCACCATTCGACTATTGGCCGGCTCTCGTGTTGAGCTTGGTGTCAAACTTGACAGTTGGCGATTTATTTCCACTGGCCGACATTTGGCGGATTGCACTTCTCAACCCCAAATTCTCTGAGTGGAGCGCCGTCAAGAAGGGTCCGCAGAACCCTATGAATGTGCTGCTGTCTAAGGCTCTCGGGTCAAAGGATGTTCCACGGAACTACCTACTTACTGTCCTCAGAATGCTTTCGAATGCTTTTTCTAACACCAATTTAGCACGGGAGTGCACCACGTCCATGCGAAATGACCTTACGGCAGTTCTAGTGTCGTCTTTGCTGCATGAGAATGCAACAGTCAGGACGGCTGCAGCAAGCCTGGCTTTCAACGTTGCAGCCCACTTCCAGAAGCGGAGGTTGGAGACAATAGAGTCGCATGGCAATATAGATCCCGAGGAGGAGGATCTAGACTGGGAACTCGAAATAATTAGCGCACTCCTTGAGGCAATTGGGCGAGAGAACGCAAGTGAAGATATAGGTAAGATGGGTCTCGTGCATTAATTACAGACACCGATCTTGACGTACTTCCGGTGGCAGTTCATCGTCTAACTGCTTCGTTGGCTCTCCTTTTACGGTTCTCGCCCTTCACTGGAGACCTCACTCCGCTCATGGAGGTATTGCGGTCACGTAGTGTCTTGACAGGAAAGTTGCAGAAGGGCAACACTGGTGGCGTCACAAAAGTGGAGATACGCAAGTTGATTACCGAAGTTGCGGAGAAGCTTTGTCCTTAGATGTAGTGTAGTATGTATTTCTAGGGAGCAGTCGGGAACCACTTTTAATCACGCGCCACTTGCCCCAGTGACCGGCTAAGCTCAAATAGCATGCCTCTGCCAACGACACCATGCTTTCTTTGCTTTTTCCAGTTGGGTCTTTGTTTTCCCAGTCTCCGCACAGTCACTAGCCATTTCATATCCCCTCTAACTCCGTCTTATAACAGATCTCCGAGTCGGCCCTGTGGAAGTGTGGTTCTTTCATTCCCCACACTCTCCTAGACCCTCGGGTTTCAGGCCTTGCCAACGCATGCTCAGATCGTTAAACAGTCTGGCCCATCGCTCGTCGCGTGTGCCGGTATGTTAAGCTCCACCCGTATGATCCAGAGGCAGCCCTGAACCTTTCACAGCTCACATACCACATGGCATCTCGTTTCCTGAAGTCTTCTGCCGTTCATAGATCGCAACATCAAGTCCCGGAGGGATATTCCGTAGACCAATCGGCCGGAAATATGTTACGTTTCCAGGCCTCGTTACCCCATCTTCCAGTGCCGTCCCTTTCTTCGACAGTTACCAAATACCTTGAAACTGTGAAACCGCATCTAACTGAAGCAGAGTACACCGTGACGGAAACGAAGGCGAATGCATTTCTGAATTCACCACAGGCAGTCGAGCTTCAAGCACGTCTAGAGGCACGCGCGGCGGACCCTTCTATGACCAACTTGGCTTGCAGACTGGTGGAATGAAGCTGGCTTACATGGGGTATCGCGATCCTGTGGTAGTCTATGTCAGCTACTTTTACGTTCATGTCGATGATCGGAGGATACGCGACCCTGCAAAGAGGGCAGCTGGCCTCATCAAGGCCATGCTTCCTTTCAGACACTTAGTCGAGTCGTGGGTCTCCTACTTACCTTGAGGTTTAGAGCAGGCGTCCCTTATGATCGGATTGCTACAGGAAGGAACTTGAACCCGACAAGATCAAAGGAATCCCACTGTGCATGGATTCATACAAGTGGCTGTAAGCAACCAATGCGTGCCCTTTTCAAGGCGTTCGTGCTGAATGTGTTGATACAGTTTTCATTCAAGTCGCTACCCTGTTAAGCCGTCAGACACTGCTAGAAAGTTCGATGCTGTAACTCACAACCACGTCGTGTTTGTGCGGAAGAACAAGTTCTTCGAAGTGCCATTGGCGACTGTAGACGGCAAGGAGCTCAGTGCTGCTGAACTGGAAGTGTGAGTTATTATTGGTATATTGAACTTTGACACATGTGAAGTTAACCTTGCTGTGCAATCAGTCAGATCGAACGCGTGATTCGGCTGGCAGGCTCAGAAAGCGGTGTGCCTGTGGGGGCATTGACAGGCGAGAACCGTGACATTTGGGCAGATGTAAGTGGCCAGGATCGTCGATGTGTTGAACCCTTGAACTGACGTAGTTCATATGTCCTCATTTCAGGCGCGCGAAGCCTTGCTGGCTGCCTCACCGCTCAACGCTAAGTCACTTGAGCGAATCGAATCCGCTGCAATAGTAGTATGTTTGGATGACGCCAGACCCGTAACACGAGAACACGTCTCGTGGGCTTGTTGGGTAGGAAATGGCCGCAACCGATTTTATGACAAACATCAATGTGGGTGGAGTCTGGCGTACATGTGCCAAGGAAGCTGACAATTTATAGTGATCGTGTTCGATAATGGGCGTTCTGGTTTCCTTGGCGAACACTCATGTCTGGATGGAACTCCGACTCTTCGCTTCAATGAATTCATGCTGGCAAGCCTTACTGCGAATAAGGTTGACCTTGGGCCATCACGCACCACCTCCACAGGCGCAGAACTTCCGCAGCCAATAGAACTGAAGTTTGAGCTAGATGCGAGATGCATGACCTACGTTGACGAGGCGTGCAAGCACTTCGATGAGCTTGTGGGAATGCACGACATGGAAGTAAGTATATGACTCCTCTTTATTCAGCATATGAAACCCATGAGGCTTATCATCACCACCTTTGTAGGTGTTGCACTATGAAGGTTATGGAAAAGACTTGATGAAGAAGTTCAGGGTATCACCAGATGCATGGGTGCAGCTCGTCAAGCAGCTTGCGTTCCACAAGATGTTCAACCGCCCTGGCGTCACGTATGAGAGCTGCCAAACGCGCAAGTATCAACGGGGTAGGACAGAAGTCATAAGGAGCGCTAGTTGCGAAAGTAAAGCATGGGCGGAGGCCATGCTGGACCCTGATGAAACGGTAAGTGGTGGCACCCTTGATTGCGAGGGCCCTCGTGTGGTGTGCTTCGCAGTGATGTCCCTCTTGAAATGGTCTGATTTATGTGTGCAATCAAGGACGAGAATCGGAGTGTGTTGTTCCGGCGTGCTGTTGCACGTCACCTTCAGTTTGCGGCATGGGCTGCTGATGGACAAGGAGTTGATAGGCACTTACTCGGACTTAAGAAGATGCTTCGAGAAGGCGAACCGATACCCGACATTCATTCAGATCCGGCGTTCGGAAGAACTAGTCACTGGGAACTATCGACTTCCCAGCTCTCTTCTAAGTTTATCGACGGATGGGGTTACGGAGAAGGTGATGACTGTGTTCGATCTGCGCCGTTTGTCGGAAAGTGACTGACTATGTAATAGTGGTGCCAGACGGCTACGGCCTTTCATACTCAATTGGCGATCACTACATTCGCTGGACAATCACGTCGTTGAAGAGGAGAACCGCGGTGCTGAAGCATTACCTGGCGGAAGCTGCTACCGAGACCCGGTTCATGCTTGAACGGGCACACATCGCTGAGAAGAAGCATGCTGGCACTCACGTAAGCGCAGAACTGTGACGCATCGTACTTCCCTATTGTCTATTCGACTTGGTAATGCAACCCCACATGACCTGCTTATTGTCAGAGAGCGCCCTAGGAGCGCTGGCTCGGTAACACTCGCTTGAAATAAACATGCCGTACACGCTATGTCACAGGAGGACACCATCGGCGTGCGAGCACTGCCACTACTTCCCGATAAGATGTACGGCGAACACTTATTAGGCGAAGTGCGAAGGAAGAGTTGAAGGCCGATAGCGTGCCGAGGGGGGTTCCCTGGGATTCCGGATGGCTCTGCTGACCAAGGCTACAGGCACTTGTGCCGACCTAGTCCGATCGGGCAAGCTGATCTCCCTGTCACCAGAATGTCACGTTCTGTGAGTGATGACTCTTCTCTCCCCCCGAAACGAGGAAAGTTGGTCAACCCTGAAACATCCGGGGTTTTCCCTGCAGTGGTTCCTGAGGGTGGTGCCCTCACGTATGTCTGGACAGTTGCATCTGTACTGTCATTCCCATGCAAGGCAGGGCGGGCTTGCCGTGTCCGGAATGTGAGGAACGCCAAGGAGCGCCGAGGCTTACAGGTGAGGTTACCTAACGAGTTACGGGATCGTGAATCCTGTGGTGTGGTGTCAGTGGCTTGGCTGAAGTTAGGATCGTGAAAATGTGAATGGATCGCGCAGCTTGAAGCTGAAACTGTTTGGTGGTGTAGTAGGTGGTGGGTGTGGTAGTATGCACGTGGCTCGATATGTTGTCCATTTCGTTCGGATGTGATAGGGATGGGATGATAAGGGTCGTGATTGGATAACAGTGCGAAGCTGTAGGGGTCGGCCGCCATGTCTACGGATCGATGGCCCCATTTCCGTTTATACTTCACGTTGGCTGGTCAGCAGATGGGTCAGTGGCAGGACGCCCTGCTGCCTGTTTGCAGTTGAGCCCAGTGGACATTCACCTCGTGGAGAGGAGTATATGAAAGTTCTGTTGTTTGCCTGTAAACTGTCACATTCGTACGTCGACTACAAAGTTGATCCAGTGCCGGCATTTCATTGCCGTAAGCGTTTGTGGGTGCTTTAGTATAATATCTCTGTCCGCTGACGGGGTCCGTTCGCATCGGGTCTCTCTCTTGCAATTGTGCACCTCTACAGCACCACTGCAATACTATCATATCGACCATCTCACTGCTCTGAGCCAACCGACCCCCCATGATGAACACAAATACCGCCTCCAGTTCATCTGCTCGTGCGTACAAACGCGCTAGGAGCGCACACGAATGCGCACAGGACAGTAGCCAGAACGCACACTCAACCCCTGAGGAACGTGCACACTCATCTAGCAGAAAGAAACTGCCTCTCTCCTGTGCAGAGTGTCGCAGGTAAAGTACATTCTCGCTTTCCCAGCTACCACCCCTGCTAAAGCTCGAGCTTCTCAGGCTGAAACTCAAAGTATGTCTTCTCGTGCAACTCATGTTGTGCACATCACCTACCCAAATTCCCCAGTGCGATCGAGTCTTTCCATGTCAATCATGTTCGAAGCGTGGATGTGCCGAAATATGCCCTGATGGTGTGTATTCATCGGATCCTTATCTGCAATTTTAGTGTCGTCTGACGATTTCCTTCTCATCATACCAGGTGCTCTCACGTCAGGCAAAGGAAGCAGGTCGGTCCATGCGCTTGAATACCCCCTCAAAGTCTCAAATATTTTAGATTCATTCTCGCGAACACTGAGCGACTCCACTCAAAGATCATACAGATGAGCGATCGCATAAGGCAGCTGGAAGAGGCATTGGGCAACCTCCAGGCAGAGCGTACCCAGGAGCCTCACCCTCTTTTGCATCAAGACCTGTTGCGAATCAAAAACTCACTCGAGCTTTATAACCCTCAAGCGCCCACGTCGCGACTCTCCCACATCGACTCTCTACAGCATCCGCCCCCCAGTGACAGACGCCGACACTCTGTCCCAGACACTGGTATTTCCCGGAAGTCAGAGGTAGGTCTCATACAATTACTCTTCTTGTGTCCTTAAACTTCCACCAGGAGGATGCAAGCTCGACAGGGGATGCAATGCTGGATGACTCGAACCTTTGTCCAGAAATTGAGAAACTCAGTCAAACGTTCCCTTATCCCTCTCTTCCAAACAACCTCGTGCGCGAACGCATCTATCAGATGCTGCCACCTCGCAAGGAGGCAGAGTATCTGTGTACTCAGGCCCGTCTCAACGCCCTTTGGCAGTAAGTTCCCTATTTTTGCTTATTGCAACACCTCATTACCGTTTACCAGGTACAACCTAGATCCGAGCGAGACGTGGCTCCCAAATTTAGTCCACCACGTATACACCACACCAGTCGAGGAGCTGTCATTCCGTAGACTTTCTTTACTATTCATCATGATGGCGATGGGCACCCTTGTCGACCTCAATCAACGAAATGATTCTCCCAAGGCAGAACTCTACCATCGCCTTGCCCGAGCCTCTCTTTGTGAGATGAATCTCATGGATGAGCCAAGTCTAGACCTCCTGCAGACATTGGTGTGTTCTCTTTCCTTTCACTACACGATGTCCGCATGTTCTCATGAGATGACAGTTTTATATGATTTGGTACCTCTTAATATTCTCGGACAAAAGCCAAGCAGTGGCACAGGCATGGAGTATCATGGGTCTTGCCGTAAAGTTAACGCAAAGCGTGAGTCTCTGCTTCTCTTCTTCTCCATCCGTTTAATACAACTTGGTTTCCAGTTGGGACTACGTGCGTGAAGTAGGTCGTTGACGTGGCATCATTTGATTACTGAGGTTTTGCAGATCGTGACAGTAACAAAGGGAAGGTCATCCCAGAAGAGTCTCAACGCAGAAGGATGCTTTTTTGGGAGCTTCTTAGCTTGGACGCGCGTTTGGTGCGCAAGTTGATCGCAGTTAACTAAACCCCTTCTGAATGGTCGTGCTCAGGCTCTCTCCCTTGGTCGACCCCCTTCAATTTGCTTGGAACATGTGGACTGCCGGCGCCCCTCCTATTCCACCCCAGAAATGCGTACTGTCGGTGGATCTCAATCATGTACGTTTTAGGACGTCTTCTAAAGTTTAGGACTAAAGTTCAAGGTCGCTCAGACCACGAATGGAAGCACGGGTTCTTCTATCATTGCTTAACGCCTGTGTTGAATGCAGCGATATCTGCCCAACATCCGCCTTACTCGAAGATTCTTGAAGTGGATCAGAGTGTTCGCAACTACCCTGTGCCTCCAACGCTCGACATATTCAATCAAGAATACACTTTAAGCAATCGACAATTGGGTATGCAGCAAGTCCTCGTATCCAGCGGTCGTGAAATAGGTTCTTGTCGCACTTTTGGGTCGAGTTTGCCACCTGGCTTACACACTCGTTGACAGTCCTGCTCCAACTCCATAGGAACTTCCTTACTGAGGCCCTTAACACTCATGATGCCTTTTGCTACCGACACAAACTGGCGCCGTCCGTCGTGGCGACCTACTTAAGTGCTACCCGCCTTATCGCCACGTTGAAAATCATGGAAGAGCGAGAACCACAATTGAGCAAGCGCTTCATGTGTTTCTGGTTTAATGCATTCTCCGGAGCTGTAAGTAACTACGGCGACTTGCGTGTGATTCCACTAACATTAAATTCAGGTTGCCCTGTCGCTTATAGTGTCTCGAACTCCATTTCTCAGCTTAGGCGCCGTTGGCTCTTCAAGAACTCGGTACCAGTATATCACTTGTTTGCAAAAGTTGCCGAGCAGTGTTCGAAAATTGACCAAGCATTGGTATTTTTTCTCTTGTTTTGTTCTACCGAATTTTCCGTTTATTTGCGTATTTCGGAATTATAGCCCCTCCTAAGAAAGATTGTTGAGAAAGCCCGAAAATCCTATTTCCAATGGCGGAGCGCGGCGGACGCAGGTTCGTCAGTCGATGGAAATTGATGGAGGAGAAGAACCTCCACCACTGAGAGTTACTCGTATATTGTCGAATGACGGAGAAACCTCATTCGACGCCGCTCATTCTGACCTACTGCGATGTCTGCAAGACATCGAAAGACGACCCTGTCCCTCCCTGCACGACTTCCCAACGTTTATCTCGCGGACCCCACCTCCCTCAACTTCATGCAGCGACCCTGACATGCACTCTGAGCAGTCAACTGCCGGCGAGTTGTCGGCGAATATGTTGGCTCTTGAGCTTGGGCGCGATGCGGACCTGGGTTCAGTGAAACATATACCTGATTCCACGACGTCTGGGAACGGACCTCAGAGGGTAGGAAACCACACTTTTAACTTCGACTTTGGTGCCTTGGCTTCCAACGTAGAAAACCAGAGTAATACATACATGTCATGGTTCTGACGACGTACATTCAATCCCATTGTAGACCACCTCGTAGCTCGTGTACCGTTGCTACTAATATTAAATTGACGAAGCGATTACATAATCACTGTTTTTGCACTTGGAAAGGAGGCCCAACCACAAAGCGGCCGAACGACGACGTCGAGGGTGGTGTATTGTCCATCTACCCCCGTACCCGATTCAACATGTCTCGAATACGGGAAGTATGGGCGCCTAACCTTGAAGCTGAGATGCGGACCATTGGAGACATCATAGATGAATATCCATATGTTGCAATGGTATTCATCCACGACACATGTCTCTATCCAACCTCATTGATCTTTGTCGGTTATACAGGATACCGAATTTCCTGGCGTTGTGGCGAGGCCCATCGGCACCTTCAAGACGTCCTCCGATTATCATTACCAGACTATGCGGTGTAACGTGGATCTGCTCAAAATCATTCAGATAGGAATCACTCTCGCAGACGAGGACGGCAACTTTCCTCAGGATGGTATGTCGTGGCAATTCAACTTCAAATTCAGCATCAGGTACGAGTGCCGTACTATACACAACCTGTACAGTGTGCTAACGTGTCGTCGTTGCTAGTGAGGACATGTACGCCCCCGAATCGATCGAACTCCTGCAGAAGTCGGGCTTTGACTTTCAAAGACACGAAGAGATGGGAATAAACCCAAACGACTTCGCCGCGCTTTTCATAAGCTCAGGGTTGGTGCTGAATCCCGAAGTTAAGTTCATATCATTTCATAGGTGAGGCGTGTTCCACCGTAGTATCCTCACCTAATTGCACATTTTTGGTGACGCGTATGGTACCCCTCTGTCATCAACATCTTGTTTAATTGGATTTACAGTGGTTATGACTTTGGCTATCTGGTCAAGCTATTGTCCGGCGAATCTCTGCCAACATCAGAGGACTTATTTTTTGAGCTTCTTCGTGTCTGGTTCCCCTGGTGTTACGATGTCAAATTCATGATGCGCGCCTCCAAATCGCTCAAAGGAGGTTTACAAGATCTTGCAAATGACCTTGGTGTGCGTGACTCGTCTACCCTTCTGCAACCTATTGACTGTCGAGTAGGTTCAGCGGATAGGGACATCCCATCAGGCCGGCTCGGATTCTCTGTTAACGGCTTCGACTTTTTTCAAGATGAAAGAAGTATACTTCAATGACTCGCTCGACGATGCGGAGTATAATAGCAAGCTGTACGGTCTAGGCCAAACCTTCGTGCCAAACGGTATCACCGATCCGTCAAGAGGGGGTGCAACAATCGCAGAACGCGAGGATAGAAGTGTACCGAGGGATTCACGGAGTCAGACGCCTGGTCCAAGCACAAGTAACGGTGTTCAAGCCCAGAATGCGATCTTGGGTGTCGGCGTACCTCTTCCCACTCCCGCGCTGGGTGGCGCACTGCCCACACCGCTCCCGTCAGGCACATCATACGGTCCCATGGCGGCTAACGGTCCGTATATACGTACAGCTATCGGTGTTGGAGGGAGATAACCTGCAGTCTTGCCTATTTTATCTGTGTTTACTCGGACGATCAGTGTTGTTTTGTGTAATTATTCAATTGTATCCGGATTATTTTCATTTTCGCGTTCGCTTGCTGAAGTTCATTGTTGGGTGGGAAAGTATCTGCAATGGCGTGTATCTGCAATGGCGTGGGCTCTCTCAGTTTTAACAGTACGAAGCATACCTCACCTTCTGTTTTTCAGGCATGCGGCAGGTCGGCCGATTACATTCCCTTTCTGCATCGTTCGGGCCTAAACGTCGGTCAGTCCCGCCACTCGTTCATTGGCAGGCTTTCGGCGATGTTTGCTCGGCGCGAGTACCCGTACAGGACTGCAAGCAAGCATTAGACAAGGGAAGATGTGTGTAAAGCCGTAAAGCCTGAAGCATCCCTTACCTTCTGTTTTGCAGTGATGAAGCCGGTCAGCTGATCCTATCCAATTGGGCTATCGCCTCTGTGTCGACCGAGCCTATACGTTAGTCTGTCGCGTCATCGTTCGTCGGTAGGCTCTGAGCGAGGTCGGCCTGCCGCGAGTAACAAGACGGAAGGTTGCCTAAATCAGGCAAGAGAAGAAACATGATGTAAGTACTGGAAAGCCCGTATGGCGTGAATTTACAGGCCACACGACAATTGCTTCCTGAGGATCGCCGTCGCAGTCATCCATCGCAAGAGTACCGACGTTATCTTGTTCTACGAGAACCAAGGTTCATCGACGGTATTCGTTGCGTGGACCCGCGACAGCGATGCAAAGGAACAACTTGCGTGTTGACCTTGCGCATTCAACACCGAAGGACCCGTTGTGTCCAGGAGTGCTGACCCATCCTACGACTTGCCCACCTTGGTTTTTATATGGGGACCCACTGCTGCGGTTCTATTACTTCTCTCTTACCCTGACCCTTTTTTTCTTTCCGTTTCATGCGGCAACGGCTTCCTCAGTGGAGTTCTTGACATGGCGATCAGGTTATTTTCGGAAGTTCTGATCATCTTCGTCCATTTCATTTTAGAACATCTCCTGCCACCGCTTGCAGAGCCTACAGAACAATATGGACGTGTATGTGCTTCATGCACGGCGTCCACTGCTGTTCAACTGGCCGGCTTCGAAACGTTGCCGACAAGTGCAATTGCAGGGACATCCCCAAGGCGTGGGTTTGGCCTACTCTGTTGTCTCTTGCGGGTCCATGACCTGACACATGTCCTCGGTGTGCACTCTCACACCGGCAGCAGATGTATACACGTCCCCCTCCCCCCCATTCACAAGTTTACCGATGTTGTCACTAGGATGCTATTGCAAAATGCGAAGCCAGCCGTTCTGTCGAGATCACACTTGAGATAAAGGTGCATGTGCAACCATCGCTACGCCACAGATAATCACTTTGGAACCCGATGAAGTGGTAAATTTCCGTCTGAAAGAAAAAAAAATGCTTTGATGCTTTTTGATGCATTCCATCACTAGAAGTCTAGATCGCAAACTGAAGGCGTGACTTCCGGTCTGTTCCAACACAACGTGGTCCCTTCAGATCGTCGGTAGCCGAGTCCCACCCTGCAAATGGTGCGTTAAGTTGCATGCTATAGTATTGACCATAGACCGATATAGGCTGGCCAACACCTCCGAGAACCAGGTAAATTGAAATCACAACGTGTCGAATTCATCTTTGCATGAACACGGACAGGGTCTCGGAACTTGCGAAGGGAACCATATGACAGCTTTAGCCTTCTCTCACAGCCATCTTCTACTTGTATCGGGGGCAAGGAGCCTACCCACCATTGCGGCAATTTGAACGAAACTAACTCGTAGGAAATAGTAGATCGTCAGCTTTCCCGGCAGCAATACCACGCAGTTCCTGCACGAGATATTGGAGCATCCCATGGCACCGTTGTCAAATTGCCATTCTCACTATATTTGTCTTATCGTGCATGTGGGTCCCTGCGCTTTACTGCCTCTTGCTGCCCGCCAATGTAACCATTAAGGATCCCCCTTGAGAATGGGTTCCTGAATTCTGATAAAGCAGCTGCCTGCACCTGTCCGGACGCCGCCGGCGTGCATGGTCATACGGAAGTTACAGTATACCAAGCTTTTGGTATGGCGGCGACTCGATGAACGTGTTGTACCTAGGAGTTGACGAATATATGTAGATTGGAGCTAAAATATGATGCCAAACCGTGTTCCCCCACTACATATGGACAAATCAGCTTGTATAGGCCATTTAGCCATCCCGAATGAGCTTCTACCGCATATGTTGACAGCTGATAACTGTAAATCTTTTTTTTTTTGCCATTTTTTCCCCTAAGTTTGTTTCTCCGTGCTGGCTGTTTACGAGAAGGGCGCACGCGAAATGAAGCATTTCATGGCAGACCGCAGACGTACTTACATCATGCAACGGGTGATCTCTGTGATCTCCGTCAGACAAACCAGACTTGCCAGTAATTAATTGATTAGATTGGTTCCACCTAATCCGTGCATACTCAGTAACTCCGTTTCACAGGTGGCGCATACATACTTAATCGCCGGGAAACACTCTGGAAGCCTGAGTTTGTTACCCTACATTCGTAAGCATTGACTCAGAACCAATCACAATTTATCTTAGGTAGGTTCCAAGCGTCCTAACATTCCCTCCGCATAGCTGTGACCACCGTCTGGTCCCCCAGGCAGCTCAAGCATTTTATGTTCGGCGATAGTCATCTAAACCGCTCGAATGCACGAGCACAGGCAATGCGGAAACTCGTATCAAATTTGCGAGAGGTCTCTATGCGCAAACGCACCGAGAAAGTACAAGTTTCGACGGAGGTCTCCAGCAATCAGCATAGCCAGATGGCCCGTCTTACCCAAGCATGCAAACAAACATGTCCCCTTCACAACCGCCAGGCCGCGTCCACCTACCAGCTGGCTTGAAACGTTCACTGGCCCAATTGAGCGGGTGGCAGAGGAGCCGAAGATCATCGAAGCTGGAAGAAACGTGGGTCCCTGAGCAATTCATTTAGCTGAACGCGGACCACACCAAAAATTTCTGACGTATCATCAATTCCAATGGTCTTATGAAACTACTCACGAGTAGCCTCGGACTTGCACAACGTTGCTGACGTCCTACATTTTTGCACACTTGCGATCAGGTAAACACCGCATCTGTGCATTGCGCTAGGACCTCTGAAGCGAGGGAGAATGATGTTGTAGGCCAGCGAACGGACAGACGAAATGCACCCCTCGGTAAAGTTGACCTAGTTCTCGCCTTTTACCGACGGAAGACTGTATCAAAGTGAGGTTACGCTCTCTGACTTCAATAAGTGGAACATCATACTCACGCCACATATCCGCATGTAGTTGAATGAGAAACGAGGAGCTCTTGGATGCGTGTGAGCTTGGCACGACTGTCATCACTTGCAGTAAAAATAATGCGTTCTTCGAACACAATGTAGTACGTAAAAGTGTTTGAACGCGCCGCATTGTGACAGGCATTGCTACAAACGTATCCTGATGCTTGCCGCCTGTAAATGTCACCGAAGAATGTAAGCATGCCGGAGAGGTAGGATGGTTCTTAAAATCCTTACTTTGACAGCACCCATCGATGATCGACACTGTCGACGGAATTATGGTAGTAACAAGCCCCGCAGATTCCTCGATATCACTTCCTTACTGAACTGCAAACGGAGCACTTCGGAGGAACTTCCTTATTCATACAAAGAGGTGTAGAGTTGCACACGGGTGCACTCACCCTGGAATAAACGTTGGGATAAAGCATTAATTATGGAGATGGCCGGTGGCGTTGATGAATAGTACGTTGGGCTGCGCTTGGCTAGTCCCCCGGTGCAATGAATGGATGTGGGTAAATAGCTCTGCTCAGGATGAACGTAGTTATCCAGGGGGCAAGATGCATAGTACAACTGTGCACGTGTTAATGCGCTCGACCTGGAAGGGTTTGCAAATCCTGAACGTGCGAGTGATCGGCGGTCGGCTTTGAATTTGCGGTACGGCGCTGCTACAGCTTACACCCACGATGGAGCTAGTTCTCTAAAGTTAGCTGGCTCTGACCGATATCGTCACGAATCTACGGGTGCAGTCGCTTTCTGAGTGAGGTCAGCTCACGCCTTGGAGGCCTAGCAAGTCATGCTAGATCCCCTGTACCTGGCTGGTGGTAGCAATGGACATCAGGCATATGCTTGGAATTTTATTGTTAGATGAAGCAACCAAATATCCCGAACTCATCTTCTACGTCTGGTCAAAGCTAACGAGTAGTGTACTTAGATGACAGAAAACTAGGTTGTGATAGCTCTGCACAACTTCACGCAGAACCGGTTCCTCTTCGTGTGGTATGTGGTTATGTAAAACGGTAGTAGTACAGTGGAGTTTACGAGCTAACTGACAGTGTTGGGATACTTGTAGCTAGATAGCCCCAAATTCGAAAACCCTACGTAAAAGATATTGTACACGTTGTGAATGACGAAACGTTTATAGTCGTGACTTTATCCAACAGTTCGTGAGAAAGTTCATGCGACACCACGAAGGATTAGGGAGATCCTATAAAGTTCATAGTAGTGGGCTGGCGCTTAAAGCTGGCATCACAGAACGAAAAGTGATGCCAGTACAAGACAAATAAACAGGCTGTAATGTGAGCTGGGGACAAACTTGGACCCAGCTGCATTTGTCTGTGATGAGACCGCCGCCTGGGATGTTGCTGAGGCAGAGGCCGAAGAAGACGACGTCCCAGAAGGCGAAATAGTGATAGCAGAGGTGCTGGTTACCGTCACCACAGGAGCCGAAGATTGGCCCGTAGATGATGCTTGGTTGGGCAATCCATTTGAAGGCGTGGTTGTCGGTGATGGAGACGAGGGTGTCGTCGATGTCATCACAGGGGGTGACGTCGCAGTTGCTGACGTCCCGGAGGAAGCGCCATTCATGATCGCAAATTGAGGGCTAGCATTACCGGAGTCTCCGAAAACTAGCGAAGCAGTTTTAGCTACTGATAGGACTTGAAAAAAAAAAATAGGGAACTCACGAACTACGATGTAATTAGTACCGGTTGGAACGTTCGGGACCGTGATTTGGGCCTGTCCGACCGAGTAACTAAGGTTCGTAGCAAGCGGAGATTCTTCGTGTGCGTGTCAGACATATAGAGTTGCATTGAACACTTAGCGGTACTTACGCAACATGAGATTCTCGCTGTTATTCGCCACATATCCCAGCACCAACATCCCGTCGGGGTTCGTGATATTAGCTGGCAAATTAGCAGTGCTCCTGCGAACCATCAGTATACCGGAAGGGAATCTGGTCGCAAGAACCGTTGCTTACCAGGTTACTGTCTGAGTCTCACCGACATTCCAAACAGTGCTCGCAGTTGGGCTCGTGATAGGCGGGTCCACCACGTCCCTCGCAGGCAGTGGCACAGTGAGTACACATGAAACCAAAGAGAACAACGACAAGGCGAGAGTTGTGAACATTGTTAATGATCTCTTCGTGCACTGTACGTTTGCCTACGGGAGAGCAGGGAGCGCCGCCAAAGGGACGTTGCATGGTTGGAGTTGGTGTCCGGTTAAGTATGGGACCCCAAGACGTGGGAATGTAATCCGGCGTTATATAATAGCCTGTCACTGGTGCAGTGGTGTCCCAGATGTCCGTTTGCAATTGTCACATCTTTCGGCTCTGCATACCCACTGCTTAATACTCGTAGAGAGTGTGCTTCAGTGCCAACTTGATGGCATCGTCCTTGTACCATCACATGAACGAATGCGTTATTGTCGGAGCACGCGCTCGCTTCCGGCTATCGCAGGCGCCAATCATGGGAATTGGCGCTTCCGCAGTGGAAGCTACCGGTGCCTGGTCGATCCGACGACCTAGGTCTAACAGCCTTCAAACCAGCGGAATTGAGTTTTCCGTGTCTGTAGCTCGTTCGCATAAATACGATGTAGGGGTGTTTGAGACTTGACTGATAACGGAGATGAGTAGGTGCATGCCTCCAGCAGGCCTTCACTGAGTCCCTGTCTGGCCGTAATATTTCACACGGGCGACTGTTCATGAAAACGTTTCATGTATTTCGCCAGTTTAATTAACCAAGTGTTATCTTGTTCTAGCCCATGGTACATGTGACCCTTATCATAATTCATCCGAGCAACCGGGCTCTCCTGCTGCAGGACTTAACTCACTTCTGGACGATGCTGACCGTCAGTCTCAGACTGACTCACAATGAAAATCACGACGGTACGTGTAAGACATATGGCAGTTGACATTTTTGGTACATTGTCGCCTAAATTTGACGAAACTTCGAAACCAGCAGACAGATCGAAAAGCTTCCGATGATCCTGACCTTCACAGCCCTCACACCCAAAGGCACTTATATATGGTTAAATTACCCCTAACATCATGTCTCAGCTCCCCTTAAAATTGAGGGTTCTGCCCAGCAAGTGCCGGAGCATACTTAATGTGTACCATTGAATGGTACATGGAACCTTGAGACTTCAGCCCTTGAATTCTCAATCTGATCCTTCTCGCCGACGGTGAGTATTTAATATCTACACTGTGATCCGACCCTTTAGCACTTTAGGGTAGTCCACCTTAAGGCCCTACGTGTCGCAATAGCCCTCCCCCAGAACAGTAGTCCGGCCGAAGGGAGGGACTTAGCATAACAGTTTGCCACCGGCTTGCCTCGTGGATCAGAATGAAGTTTGCCGGATCTCCGATACGAGGTGCGATATTGTCGTCAGTATCTTCAATGTCAGGTCCAATAACCGTCTTTTCAACCCCGGTCACCGAACGCTAGGTTCGAAATGGCGGTAGATATAATCAATGTTGTGGAAAATGATCAGTTATTATAAGTGTACTAGAAGCTCCCTCCACTCTGGCTCTGTCTAACCCCAGGACTTGCCAAGGTGAGTAGGTCGAAATAGCCCTGCGGGGTGAAGATATTCTTGATGTTGTTGACGCTCATGGCAATGCGAGCACCATGTCGCTGTGATATTCGCGCAGCATCCAGTATTCGCTGTCCCAAAGGAATGGCGCGCGTGCCATATTCTCAAGGTCTATCCATCATATACAGGTCGTTTTGCGGGAGGGAGACGATCTCCAAAAAAACTACATCATTGGCTCTAACACGACCGTTCCTCAGCCGAGAATGTCCCGAGTCTAGCTGATTAGTCACTCGCTTATGACCAGCGGTTCCCTTCTTCCACCCCATTTCTCGCATTGGCATATGGGTTCCCATACCGTTGGTTCCGCATCTGCATCGTGACTGTAGTCCAGACGGAAATCAGCGTGGAGATTGCGAGCCTTGGCGAGCGCGAGAATTTCCGCACCACTCTTATATGTCTTTTCGCGGGAGGGCTCTACCGAAGGGGAACCAACAACAGACATACCAGGACGGTCGAAGGTCCTTACAAACAGCTCAAGGTTTTCACCTGGTGCCTCAGTGTCAATGGAAGTAAAAAGGGTTTCCCTAGGTGGATTGAGAGTAGAGCTCAAGGTACGGGCGATTCCTCACCGGCGATCTGAATCTCGCAGATCCCCTCCCACTCAGACTTGAGTCTTAGCCAATCTCCAGAGAAACCACGCTGACAGCTGTGTTAATTTCCACGCGCGCCCATATTATCGTGACACCTGCCTCGATGCCCTCACGGATAAGCCATGAGGCACGGGCATATAGATCAGCTTGACGCTCAGGGAAGCGGGCTTTTGCTTTGTTGTCGACACGAAGTGCTTCTTTAAGGGAACTTAAGCTCTTCTCGCATCATAACGAATCGATACGCTGTAGGAATAGTTATCCGGTAAGGTGTGGGTCGCATTGTTCGAGCACGAAACGCTTGTCTGGGTGTATGTCCTTCATTCCCCGCCTGCATAGGCTGTGTCACGCACGGCGAGAAGGGGGGTCATATGATGATCAGGCCTTCGTCACAGAATTCTTCCATCACCCTCAACCACCGCAGGTTCGTCATTTGACGCAGCTGGCCCCAAGTGACACGAGTCAACGTCAGCGAGAACGATTATCTCGACACGGCCGTTCCGTACAGTACAGACCCCAGAGTTGCTTGACGAGGGGTGCATCTTTGAGGAATAGGTGAACACATTTCTCCGGCATGGTGTCGCCAGTCATCGTGATCAAGACGTTGAAATGTGAAGGTCGTGGAAAGGACCCTGTAATACCCTCAGACCAGCGCTACGACTTTCATATTTATTGCTTTTCACTGTTTGCGCCAAGGGGGGCTACGGGGCAGCGATGATAACGAAGCGTGTGGGCTGACGCAGGCAACAATGATACATGACTTAACCTACGTAAATAAGATTGGAATAGAGCGGGTTCGTTCACTCATTGAGCGTCTTCCGCAGCCAAGCTGCAGTTTGCTCCAAACTTTTCTCAAACGCTACTTTGACATCTTCAAAAGCCAAGTTCGGACGACATGCGAAACCGTGGACCGTTCCTGCATGCGTGCATGCGCATGATTGTGAGCCCGGGGTTATCATCTCTGAATGGATTCATGCAGACCTTTGTAATCGACAAATTCATACGGGACAGCATCTCCGCTGTCCTTGCGTTCTGCGAATACGGCTTCAGCCCGCATTCGTGCTGTCTTGGAGAACGAACTGTCTTCTGCTTAAACAGCGTGAGCGAGAATGTGCCCACTTGATGCAAAACTGCAACGACCTTCTGCGCACACCCACGAGCTGGGAATCTGACAGAAACGACAGTAGGTTTCTCTAAGTGCTCCGGGGAGGGGTAACATCACAGTACCTTAATCTCCTTAATCGAGTTGCTCGAGATTATCGCAGGATGACATATTACGGCGCTGTCCAGATAGTCGACAGTCGTGGCAAGACGTACTGCCGCACCGCCACCGTAGCAATATCTGTTATGGCTTTAACGACGGATCACAGCACCAAAAGTGTTTATGTTATACTACCCGACACCACCGACTTTGTGGTATTTCTTGTCTTCGCGAATGGCTGTAATGAACTAACGGCGAAGTCATCAACCATTAGCGAGAAAACTCAAGGCATCGGACGTACCTGTTTGGCGCGAAAGTCACCAACAGAAGGGCGGCTTCGTAGAATGGTGCCAATGCGAGGGATTATAACGAATGCTATGAGACGGAAACTGTCCCAAAGCGACGAGTAGCCAGGGCGGTCTGGCAGTAGCTGGGTTTCCATCCCCTCGACTCTGAGAAGGGGAGCTCCTTTATAACACAAATTGAAGGTAAGTTGATGAGGCTGGAACCAGTCAGTAAACATACCGTCGAAGAGGTCGGGGACCCAAACATCGCATTGCAGGTCACTTGCAAGTTTGTCTGCAATGAGTTTTATGTTCACCAACGGGAGGCCAAACGCGTCTGAGAGCAGGACCACCGCAACGGAGCCATTGGATCCCGATTGCGCACTTTCCGAGGGGGGTGATGGTGCGAAATAAGCGTCTGTTCCATTGACCTTGACAATAGAGCCCGTTGGCTTGCCGGCGAGGATCGAACCTCTGTTGCAATCAGGACAGCTCATGGTCGCGTACTTGCCAGGTGCGTTGACGCCGACTGGTCTCCTGATACAAGTTACTATATACTAACTTACCTGACTTAGTGCCTGATAAGCAGGTTTAAGGTACCGAGCGGCGCGACTCATGTTCATAGCACATGGCGGCTGAGTGATGCTGGCGCCTACAGCAAGTGGATATCAAACTGACTTGATGGCATCCGTCATCTTTCGGCACCAGGACATACTTAATAAATGTACTTGACTGACCAGCATCTGTAAAACGGTCGAATTACAGCATACACTTTGGACAGTTTTTTGAATTGTTTGAGAGCTCGGCACGCACTGTTACTTCACCGGGTAAACGCTAAGCGTCAAGTTGGCAGCCAACTTGACGCTTAGCTTTTGCAGATGCAGTACGGCTCGTTACCCGTGCTGTGCTCTCAACTAACCCAAACCATGGTATTGACCAAGACGTAAGTTACCACGCGACTCGATGACGTTCCGCTCTCACATGGACAGTGGCGTATTCCTGCTGCGTTTTGACAACGGAGCATCGGCCGCAGCCAGGAGTCTTCACTGTCCGCAGCAATACGGTACATCGATGCGGGGAGTTTCACTTACTTGTGCGTGCCTTGGTTTATGAGCGCTTTCTGCAGAGTGCATCGCGGAGCGTCTGCACCGCGTGTCCCTAATGGAAGCGCAAGCAAAGTCAAAATGACTTTCGTCTATACCTTTTTTCCATCGGGGGCGTCTCAACGGAATTGGCATGGGTAATGCATGCTGCGATCAACCAGTTGGGGTTCGGACTGCGCAACCAACACATCCGTCGTGACAGTCCTCCCAATTGATCCCGTATAAAATCAAAATACTCCATATTTGCTCAAGCTCTTCCACCCTCTCATGGCCGGCTTCACTACAAAGCGTCTCCTCCTGTGCCCATACACAGAGGCTGATTTGGACGATCTCACGAGTCTCTGCGGTAACCCCCTCGTTTGGCCTCTCGTCCTCCACGACGAGGTTTCACCTCGAAGTCCGAAATTCCGGGAGAGGCTTCGTCTGAGCATGGAACGTGCAGCCTTCGCTGCCATCATCAGACTTAAAAGTACTGGCGAGTTTATGGGACAGGCAATGGTTACTGTCACAGATACCAAGCACTTCCTTGAGGGCAGCTTCGCCATATGTCTCCTGCCGAAATTCTGGAATAACGGCTATGGGACGGAGGCAACACATTATATGGTCGACTATTCGTTTAGATGGTTCGACCTTCAAAGAATTTCGTTAACGGTACTGTCAAGTAATCTAAGGGCCATAGCAGTCTACCAAAAGATGTGAGTGAATGTATACGACTCAAGTTTATGCGCTTCACGCCTCATTCGCGCCGCAATAGAGGTTTCAGGATAGAGGGGAGAAAACGGCGGTTTTGGTGGATGAGCGGGCGTTGGGATGATATCTTCTTGATGGGTATACTATACGAAGAGTGGGCTGCTAGAGAATTGCAGTGGACGTTTGGTGCTGACGCTATCCATCATCACGTCCATCCTTGCTCATTGTGCTCGCCCGTCTTCCAACCCCACTACTGTCTCTATTCCGAGTACTTCCACTGACAAGAAAATATATATTACACGATGCGGCCTGGTGCCGCATTCCACGACCAATCCGTCACAAATGTCGTCAAACATCTGTGAAATAGTCCACCAGGGACTCCTGAATCTCCCTTATCTTTCCAGCAGTTGCTGTCAATGTTTGCTCCTTACACCACGGCATGGCCTCCAGCAATCCAGGTGCCGGCATATCCCGTTCCATAAGCGTTTTCAACATCCCCTCAGCAAGCACGAGCTTCCCTTCCACATCAGGGTACTGCAGCAACACACCCTGCCTGCCCATGTCCATCATTGATTTCCAAAGCGCTGCCCATGTCTGATTGCACCGCACCAGAGCAGCACCCATACACCGGGAACTGTGAGTGAGTGGCGGGGGTTCATTCGGAAGACGTTCCCAAAGTCGGCCAAGAGCATAATGACCAGAAAGCAATCGGATAATCTGCGTCCGCGTGAGGTACCCGTCCGCATCCCAGACTTCGCGTCCCTGTAGTAACATGGCATAATATGCCCGTCCGAGAAGGGCGCGCAAGTTGAGTCGTTCGGCGACGTTGATAGCAAGGGAAATGTCTTTGCCGGAGGCAATGCGTCTTCTCCACCTCTGCGTAGCAGCCTCCAGCAGATCACGTTGTTCGCAAAGAGAAGCAAGCTCCGTGAGTTGCTCTAAGGTTGGTCCATCCAATTCTTTAATGCTGGGAGAATGCATCGGTCGAGTGTATACTTGCGTCAGAGCATTCAGTGCCCATGCCTCTATGGACCGAAACTCGTATTTATGAGATATGCGAGCGAGGTTGAATAGCTGCGAAGGATTTGCTTCGGGGGTCAACGCGACGGAAAGTTCGTGGGGCCTGGTCACGACATACGCATCAGTAAAAACTCTCCACTCTAACTATGTAGCGTCGGGTGGGGGGACAAGGGGAGTAAATGGTATACGTACAGCGAGTACAACGCCCACAATAGGGCCCGGAACTGATCTGCGGTATCACCCTGCAACCTAATTGGGTTGTCGTCGTTTTCGCCCTCAGGTCCGACAGTCGTTACGGCCGAATTGACAGACTGTACGTGAGAGCTAGAGCGCAGATCCGAGTCAAGGGAAAACATGCTGTCGAACGTTGAAGCATCTTTGGTCAGTGTCGATCGGTGAACCTGGCAGGGAAACCACACAGGATTAGGGGCTGAGATCGCCAATTTTTTCACGATCAAAAGCAGTGGTCTGACCTTGAATAGCGTATTCTCGACAAGCAGCACGGTATTACCGTCTGCTATGTAATACGTGTGGTCACGAGAAGGTATTGGGATAGACAGATGCAACTGGAGCTTGGGCGTCGATGGACTGGCTTCCCCAGAGTGCATGAAGGAGTCCCCAAACACGTCTGCCGACAGGTGGGCCATTGGGGTAGCAGATTCAGACTTGGAAGCGCAACTCAGTAAAAAAGGTGTTCATCATGAGGGAACGTTGGGAAAACGTCCTTGACAAGCGCCGGGGTAACACGTCATCAGAGCGGTAGGTAGCTTGCCAACCGACGGATGTTCAAAGGTCTGCCTTGTATTTCTACACCATATGCAAAGGTATATACAGGTCGTATCATATGGACGCCCGACCGCGGTAGCCAGAATACCATCCAGATGACTCTCGAAATACGAAAATGAACAATAAGTGAATAAGGAAGAAGAAACTTGCTGCAAAATGCGAAAAGTGAAAAGGTCGAAGAGACAAGAGACGGGTGAAATGCGGGCGACAGCTAGGATAGCGAAGACAACCAGAGACGAATGCAATAGTGTCCGAGTATTCGGTTTAAAGCCAGAGATGCAGAGTTCTAGCCAAGAATACATGTGTGGCGGGAAAAGCATAGTGGTAAATCATAGGTGTACATACATGAGTTGGAATGTAGGCTCGCCGCATACAGAAGTGCAACGGAGATAGTCTCCTGTGGTTGACATATACAATGATGCGTCAATGCAATTGAGAATGCGAGGGTGATGGTATCATCAAGTTTCAAGTGCTTTGAGCTCTTGGACGAGCCGCTGTTGTAGTACAACATGAGCAGTTGGCTTGCAGACGACAATGCAGAACCTACCTCAGCCTCCTTGGCCAAATTCTCCGGATCGATGTTACCAGATTGCTTCCCGAGTTTTATACCATATTCCAGCAATTGTTTCATATAGTATGGATTAATGATAGTCTCGTCGCTCGCGAGCGAAGGTTTCGCCGAGGGTACCTCAGCTGTTTCACATGAGTCAAATAATTGGGGAGATGTAACTGTGTGCATGCTCACGTTCTCGCAATGCTAACCACTCCTGCTCCAAAAGCTCTGGGATAGTTGCCCTTTCCTTTGGATTCCGGGCTAAACAGCTCCGCATGCCGCGGATGACGTCAGCCCTAACACGGCGTTTCAGATGTTCGAGCTTTTTGCGTTCTCCATTCTTGTTGACTATGCTGGGCACGCTGTACTCGGGGAAGTCGATAACGTGAGCAAGATCGGGAATGGCCTTCATTTTTTGGTAAACTGAAAGGTGTTGGAAGGGAGGCTGCCCATAGACCATCTGGTAAAGAATGCAACCAAGTGACCATACGTCGCTTGGTCGGCCGACCTTCAGGCGTCTCATGCCATCAGGCAGTTCGATGGCCTCCGGAGACATGTAGTTGACGGTACCAATCTTCACACTCGATCATCAGACCACATCAGTGAAAGGCAGAAGAGCAATATACCTGATGATCTCGCTGAATATTAGTCGTGTCGTTGGCAATAGCATTTGCAATCCCAAAGTCAATTAATTTCAACTGCCCTCGAACAAGCACGAAGTTCGCAGGTTTCAAGTCCGAGTGTACGATCTTCTCTTCGTGTATTACGTGCACAGCTTGCAGCATCTGCATCGGGCAATTGGCACATGGATAACATCATGTCAAGCGATAAGCGTACCTGTTGCCAGTAATATGATACCCAAACCATATTCAGCGGTTCTTTCTGCTGTTCTTGCAGCAGCTTCGCCAAATCAACTTCGCCGCACTCCATCACGAGCATCAAGTGTCCTTTCGTTCCCCCCGGTCCTCCCTTCACCTCTGAGTCAAACAGCTGAATGATTCTATTGTTCCCCTCGAGACGCTTCAGCAGGGCAATCTCGTTCATGTAGCCCTTCATGGTTTCTGCATCTGTTTTGTCGAGCGACACGCGCTTGATGGCAAATATTTCATTTGCCGCGTTCATTACCCGATAGACACGCGACGACCCTCCCTTGCCGATCAGATCAAGCCGGGCGTAGACTTTCTTGTTCACGCAGATGTTGTGGTTCCGTACAGGCACTGGTGGAGGGGCCGATACTGCAGGAGCTGCTGATGATGGTGGGGGCGGCGCTGGCCTCATCCGCTCTTTCGGGGCTCCCTTTGCTTCCGACTCGCTCTCCACACGTTCGTCACCAGCTGTCCACGTCTTTCCGTTTGGTTGCACGCCCGTTCCTGGTGGGGGAGCGAGTGCACCACTGGTGGTAGGTGGTTCAGGAGCAGTCGGGCTGCGACGGTGATATGCTTGTCCTTGCGCATGGGATGCAAGAGGGGGTTGGATTTGAACAGAAGGTATGGACTGCTGCTGGGAAAGGAGTGACCTTGTTTTGGGAGATAACCGGCCAGGTATGTGTTCGATCGCTGTAGGAGAGGGGACGTTGGGTAGATCGTTTGCAGGTGTGCGGATGGTATCTGAGTCCCGTCTTTGGTGAGTCTGTGCACGTAAGTGTGCTGCCTGGGACATGTGCGTAGGAGAAGGAGATTGCCGGGGATATTGGGAGAGTAAGTCTTTAGGAGCGTCTTCCGCCTGTCGCCGGGCGTATTCTTGCGGATAATCTGAGTAGAAAACGGTTTAAAAAATTGTGTTCCGAGAGACCTAAGCAAAACTCGCATACCTTCCTGGTCAACTGTCATGCGTCTTGCGCGTGGTGCCGCGTTGAGACCTAGGCTTGACCCAGGTCTCACAGCAAATTGGCTCTGACCGGTCGGAAGAGCGGACTGTGCTCGTGGTGAGTGACGTTCGTCGCCTTGGTGTCATGTGTTCAGCATTCCAGTCAAGGAAGAGATCAAGTCTCACTTACCGGCAGAAGCGTCGCTCAGGCTTGCCGACCGCCTTGGGCGAGTATTGCTGGATTGAGTGAGAGTAGGGGCATAATTCCGATGACGATATTGACCGTTCAAGGGTTGTGGTTCGTCGCCAGCTGAGCAGCCGTTACCTGAGTTGGATCACCTCAGATATTGTTGGGCGCACACGTACCAGGATCTGTATCTTCCCCCGCGTATTCTCCGCCAGCTTCGCTCTCGCTCCCCTCGTGTTCATTAATTCTGTCAAATCCGTTGGCGCCTACGCCATACTTCGCGCCCATCAAAATCCGACCTGCGCGATTCGGTCCCGGCATAATCTGCCGGCTAGACTGTAATGGTGGGCGGGACGCGCCCACTGCGCTGGGTGCCATGGATCCATATGCACGAGTGGGAAGCCCCGAGATTGCACGACCGTCTACCTGGCTGAGAGAAGCAGATCGGCCTACTAACCGGGGAGATACTCGTTTCACAGCATTGTCGGAAAGCATCCCTTCGCCGCCATCTGATGATGAGATGATATTTTCTTTCTCTTCTTGGGCACGTGAATCCCACTCCCCAGGAACGCGTAGCAAGTCATCGCGTTCTTCGACCTGCTGTTCACGATAGTCGTCCAGAGGAATGCGTTGTGGTCTACCGAGTTTACGACCAGTACCACGCAGTCCAGTAGACACAGGTGCTCGGAGTGCAGTTTGTGCGGCTGGTGTCAAGACCGCAGGACCAGACGCGACTCGTTGGAAGGACCGCAAGGAGGATCCGGTGGCCCCTGATGGAGGTCTATGCTGAAGCTGATCGGGAGGCGCGCTGTAGGCGCCATCCGATTGGGAGAGCGAGTTACGAGTGGGCGCTGGGGTGTTAAGGAGAATAGGCGAAGGGGGTTTAATGTAGGCGTATGATGCTAGCGTGCCGGGCGGAGAAGAGGATTTGGTAATGAGTGGACCGTCGAGCAGTATCTCGTGAGGGGTAGGTGGAGTTGAGTCATTGGAACGCGAAGAGCCTTTTGAGACGCGGACATAGTTACCGGCGGAGTCAAGTTCATAGTCAAAGGAGAGCTCGATGATGGAAGAGTCATCGGAGGGTGAGGTGGATGATTGGCGAGGGATCTTCAGAGCATCCACGGCACTGGTTGGGGGTGTCCGCGGGGGAGAGACGCGATGCTCGCCGAGTGTGGGCGACACGGAGCTGGAAGAAAACATGGACTTGATTGACTTGCCTTTGTCGACGACAACCTGATAGAAAGAAAACGAAATGCAAACGCACAAACCCTCCGACAGCTGTTTGTTGGTAGCCCGACGACGAAAGACAACCGATAGCCTTTGTGCAACTCCAACTCAAACTCGAACAGACACGAGGCAGACGCGTGGTCACGTGCACTGTTCTATTTCCTCAGAAAGACCGCGTCGGTCCCATGGACTTGCACTTCCCACGGACCCAGAGATGGATCAAAATTCATAGCAGTACATCGGTAAACACTACACAGAAACAAATTTACAGACGGAGCAGTCGTAACGTGGCAATCAGTCGTAGATAACACGCATCAGTGGTCATGCAAGTACACCGGCCTAGCCGCAGACCGTGCTCACTGCGCGGCCCATTTCATCTCCTTCAGGGGAGGAATCCGGATTATCTGGAGTCGGGGGCCGCGCCTGTTGTTCTTGTCCGGCGCCCTCGCCCGGTTGGGCCCCAGTCTTCCCTTCAGATTCTTGTATCTTCTCGAGTTCCTTCGTAACAAACTTGGCATGCGCGCTATAGTTCATTGTAGCGCTCAGTACACCTCTGCAACGGGGGGTTAGAAAAAAAGCCGAATTTGATTTGCGGGCAAGTGCTCTAAATGTACCTGATGATGCCTCCGCTATCAATAACAAATGTTGTGCGAGCATCCGTCAAACCGAGCATGCCCCTTCCGACTTGAAAGGCATTGTGGGCAACATGATCTTGATCGCTCAGGACTGGGAACTAGAGCGAAAGGTAAACGTAGATTAGCAAAACCATTCGAATATTTCAGGATCACCACCCGGCTCACGGAAAGACGATTCTTTTCAACAAAAGACTTTTGCTTTTCCACCGGATCAGCGCTGATGCCAATTACTTGAACATCTGAGCGCTTGAATATCTCGTTCTCTAGAATGCGAGCGAGACAGTGAGGTCAACTCTCCCTGAGCCCCTGTCCGCTACGGAAGCGGTTGCCCACCAGCCAGCGCATCACGAAATTGACAGGCTTCACGAGTGCAGCCAAAGGTGCCTGTGTGCACATGAGATACCAAGAATATTGACAGCCTGCGAGTGTCGATACCAGACTGAGGGTAAAAGAAAACTGCTATAGGTTTCTCTATGCGTTTGCCTCCTTCCTCCGGTGGAAACTTGAATGATTCTCCATTTGCATCAAGAAGCGTGAACGACGGTGTTCCCTTATCGACGAGAGGATGAGGAGCCATAGTAAGCTACGTGCTGACTTCACTAAAGGGTTGGGACTCAGTAGTTGGCACTGCGGACCTGAACGACTGGGCGTAGGACGGGCATTCCGTAATTAGGAAATACTACCCACAAGCGCTCTTCGCAGCATGCAACTGGCCACGATAACAACAAACTTCGCGGGTTATCGGGACAACAGCAAACAAAGTGAACGACGAGTGGAACACGTGTGACGACCGCCTAAAAATTAGTTACGGTTCACATTACATCCTGACAGGGAATTGCCAGGGTTCCACGGAAAACTATCCATGACAAGCCACTGAATATCGAACGGTTTGTCTTTCGCGTATGGAAAAGATTGTAGCATTCGTGAAAGGCGTGTCGTTCTGCTTGCGTTAGAGTGTATAGTTCCACGATATCGATCGAGGCGTTCCCACAGTACAAGACGAACGTGGGGGACGCTAGTCGGGTTTGCAAACTTGTTGACAATCGCATACCCATCGAGACATGCACCCGGTTTTCGTGCGGAGTGAGACAGATGATAGCATTAAGATAACATCGAAGGATCATTACTACGACCGTGTAGGGGTAAATTGTGCAAACATCTAGAATCAAGGTTTTGGTACGCCCATCGCCTCTGAGGAAAGAAAAAAAACTGTCAATGTCAACTATAAAAGACTTATCAACAGGACAAACCTGCATTGAGCTCTGCGAAGCGCTGCCCAACACGTTCCGAGTGCTTCAAGAACTTGTCGGAACAATTCAGGACACATTGTTCCTGAGGACTGTCTAAACATGCGAAGTGAATGGAGCAGGGGTTAACATACCTCTTTAGAAGACAATGCCTTGCTGGTGAAATCGTTACAGCACGAGGTGAAACACCTCTCTACGAGACCAGAATACAGGCGCAAGAAGTCTTGCATCTGGAATACCCCATGAACCCGGACAATGAAAAAAAAGGACGGGTCCACACGAACTTGTTTCTTCTCTATGATTTTTGTCATGTGAGCCTGTTCTGCTGAATTAAGCTGTGAGAGATCCATGATGGTGTGTGTGTGTGCAAAGGAGTGAAGAATGCCGCTGAGGTGTGAAAGTTGCTGTCTGACAGCGTCACCGGACGCCGGCCGGGCCGTTACAAGTGACGCATCACTCCATGATGACTCGAGTAATAAGACATGGACACGTCAAGACATCCTCAATAAAATTGCATCAGTGACGCCAACCTCAAAGATCTTTAAGGTCCATCGGAGCCCAACCGACGGTACTGTGCTCCAAACCATCTTTGCAGATTGCAACGGAAAAGTATATAGACCTCAGCGTAGAAGGCAGTAAGTTTTTTAATCCACTGCCATCGTCTTCAACAGGCCTTACTTCTCTCTCTCTCCGCACAGTGGATCCCACTATGGCTCTCCCATACAAAGATGCTCTTCAACGACTTGAAAATCGACGTGTCAAGGCAACACGTCCATTGATCCCCCCACAAATTCTTCAAGAAGATCTACCCTTGTTAGTTGTCTCTGGCTTTCGTATACAACTTCTGACTGTGTTACAGGACGTTCCTCGCAGCGCACACAGTCCTCGAGGGCCGTCAAGCTACAGAAAAAATCATTCGGGGCGACGACGACCGCTTGATGGTTGTTGTTGGGTACGTTATCTTATTGTAGCATCTACATGCACCAGTTCACAGACTCTCAAATAGGCCCTGCTCCGTGCATAACGTCGATGCTGCTATTGAGTACGCTAAGTTGCTCAAGCAATATGCGGACAGCGCAAAAGACGATCTTCACATTGTCATGCGTGTCTACTTTGAAAAGCCGCGCACAACCCTGGGTTGGAAAGGCTTGATTAATGACCCGTGAGTTTGTTTTATTCTATTTCGTAGATTAAACCAATCCCCTCGCAAGTGACATGAACGGAAGTTTCCAAATAAATAAAGGACTCCGTCTGGCTCGCACTCTCTTGTTAGACATAGCCAAACTTGGCTTGCCTGCCGGTTGCGAGTTTCTAGATACGATCAGCCCTCAGTATACCGCAGATCTTGTTTCCTGGGGCGCAATTGGCGCTCGCACAACCGAATCACAGGTGCATCGGGAACTTACCTCGGGACTTTCAATGCCTACGGGTTTCAAGAACTCCACCGACGGTTCAGTGAACGTCGCAGTTGATGCCTGCCGCGCAGCTCGGAGTGGCCACGTCTTCCTTAGTGTTGGCAAGGAAGGGTTGAGCAGTATCGTAGAAACAGACGTTAGTAATTGGTGCTCCGTATCGCATCCCACACCGTGACTGAAATTCGCTTCAGGGAAACCCCGATGTGCATGTTATACTCAGAGGAGGGTCAAAAGGACCCAACTACGCTGCTGAATTCGTTCGCGATTGCAGCCAGAAACTACGCAAGGCTGGCCTTCCCGAGAAAATCATGGTATAGTGCCCTTTTTCTCTCTTCGTGGCGTCATTTTCTCAATTCTTGGTTCAGATAGATTGCAGTCACGGAAACAGTCAGAAGCAGCACCGGAAACAGCTGGAGGTCGTTGAAGACATCGTGAGTGGCCTCTATTGACCTCACTCGAATTCTTTACTTAGTGTGGCTTAGGTTCAGCAACTCAGTTCGGGCGACACCTCTACCACTATCATGGGGGTTATGCTCGAATCTAATCTTGTCGAGGGTCGACAGGATATACCCTCCAGTGGCCCGGCTGGGCTGAAATACGGCCAGTCCGTAACCGATGCATGCGTTTCCTGGGAGATGACTGCGCCCGCTCTCGATCGCTTGAGGCAAGGGGTTCAAGCTCGCAGGGACCTTCGTGCGCGATCCGTTATGGAGCACAACCCACTGACGAACGGCGTGAATGAACTGAAGCTCAACGGCGCAACCAACGGGGTGCATGTCAATGGCACGAGTATCTAACATTATATCTGCGGGTGAGGGTACAGAAGATATGTTCAAGTTCAAACTCTGTACGATGTCCGATGTGTGTGTATCCATAGCAACTATGCGGTCGACTTATTATTATGCCATCTATTTTGCCAAACTTATCAATGATCTGGAAAGTTAGTCTGGTAACCAGACGTCTACGAGGCAGCTGTTGATTATGCTACGGCTTGCCTCATTATCATGCTATGGTCTGGTCACTTGACTACTGAACAGGTTGCCGGTTTGCCCCTGTTTGCTGGCATAACGTCACCACAGCCGCGCCACGTCGACATGAGAATAACTCAATAATGCTAAAACATCTGCCGCAGCATCGGGCTCTAGTGTTTGAGGGAACTCGGAACCAGCTCGACCTCTGCCGAGAACACAATACTATCTTACGTTCATTGGTTGGCCACGATTGACCATATGGCGATCGGGGAACACCTGAACGCGCTTGCTTTTCCCTCTAATGCTACCCTCATGGTACGCCTGAGTATCCCCAAGTTTTAGGCAATGTGTATCATTCCGGCAATTACTAGGTCTCGGCGCTTGTGCTATGGATACTCGCCGAAGGTTTCCGTGCCGTTGCGCCGGGTGCGCAAGGCTGTCGGTGGCAGATTCTCGCGACTGAGCTTCTCAAGTCGGGGTACTTTCTTGCCGCGTGGTTCATTCAAGGAAGATGCGACCGAGGATCGTTTCGCGAAGTAACGACCGAGGAGCAGGCGTTGGATGACTTCGTTCCATCACCTGAGATTGTCAATCATGATGATTCCCCGGACCTGGAAAGGCGCTCAACCCTGACATCATGGAGCCCCGGGGACGTGCGATCGATGCTGGTAGTTATAATCGCCAGCGCGGTATACGCGCTTCGCACCTTTGTTGTATGTCCGATGTAATCTTCATTGATTCCCTTCTGGTTGCTCAAAGCATTCCCATAGGATTCCAGGAGTCGAGAATCCGCGGATACGACAACATTGTACCTGAACATCCCCTTAACCAACCTATGCATACTATTAATTCTGCGTACATTCCTTAACCGCACGTTTCCAGCTTCGTTTTGGCATGCCGCAGTTATTCAGGTAATATAACGCTTAATAAGAGACAGAGGTGCAGCACGATACTAACAATATCCCGATCTTAGTTCTCCGGGCTATTCATTTTAAGAGTGTGTATTTATGTGGAGCCATCTTTTACTAAACATTGAAAATTAATCTGAAAAAAATGGTAGGATGGACTCATCGACCATATGCATGCATCGCCATGGTCCCTGTTGTTGGCATTGGCACTCTGCAACTCAACATTCTTTTCTCTAATAGACATGGTTTGTAGTCGTGATATCCGCAATCTACACGTCTCACCGGTCCTTATTGGCAGCTTAATAGACTTCACCAATCAAGATCAATATACCTTATCGATGCCATCATTTTTGCTTCCTCATGCATCATAGTATTGGCTCTTTCCGCTTTCCAAATATTTCCTACCCACGAATGTCTCGGTGGCCTCACACCCGCGAACGTATTCTCAGCAGTAGTCGAGGCAGGCAAGGATATCACAGCAATATATATAGTGCATCGTGGGTGCGATTTTTCTCCATTGGTGTTCTCGAAATTCTCATATCTTAACAGGGTATGATGCGGTAATGCAGGGAATCTCAACTTCCCTGGCCTCGACCTTTCTACTTACATGTTTCGCACTGCGATTCTACCAAGCATCGTTCGCTCTCCTTGGCTGTCTCCTCATGATCATTGCTTGCATTATTTACTTGCATCATCTCTGGCAAGCACCAGAAGGATGGTGTGAGACTCCAATCCGAGTACATGTTTCGAATTCACATGTGATGATCGCTTGCTAAATGATTGTTGCAGAAAACTCGGCTGGCCATCGTCGGGCTAGCGTTTGTTTTCTCTCTCGCTTACAGCTATACTATCCCGGCCTACTGGATTGCCGGCTTCTCACCGGTTGCGTCTTGGAACGGTTATCGTCTGGGAGATATCGAAAACACCCAACTGTGTACACCAAAGCAATCGCCTTCCCACTCGTTCTCACAGCCGCAGGGCAACTACTCACATTTTGACAACATACTCCTGATAGTATTCTTCAGCCATGCCCGATACAATGCCAACCTGGATTACCATAAAGAAGTATACTCAAGCTACTTCCCAAACGCAAGTGCCCTTGAGTGCGAGTACCAAACACCCAAGGCTGACCGCAAGCTTCCAGATACTCTACATCGGACCTGCCAGTCGCGAAGATGCAGGATTCGCCCATTCCTATGATGTTTATGTGGATTCATACCAATCTGATGAAGATCTTAGTGATCCTTGGAATTATAAGATGGCAGGACGGGTGCGTGCGCACGTGCTTGTGGTGGCGGACTTATCGCAGCGGTTTACTGATATGCTCGGTGAAGATGGCACACCATATGCTCTACACCGCCTTACAAGACAACGAATGCTTTGACGGGTACCTGTGGGCACCGTTCGATACGCTACTCAATGTCCCTCGCCTCCAACAGTTTAATCAAAGCCTCTTTTGGTACCACTCTCCATGGGGTCATCCTGTTCCTAATCCGGCATTTGGCGAAACGTATTACGAAGCAACGCTGAATGCGAGTCGGCACGCACCTGTTGCTAACATTTCTCCCGATCCATCTGTGAATCTCACGGAGAGTTGGAGAGGGTGGGGCCTAGACTGGTGGTAAGTGAGCTGCAACGTCAACCCCACGAAACGACATTGAATCCACGCCTATTTCTGACTTTGCAGGTGGGGGTGAGTGTGTTTCCCTCGCCAGAATTTTAACATCTTCAGAGATATAATCCACGTGCTTATCATCGTCTACCATCCAGTGATCCACATGTCGGAGTCTCAGAATGCATGGAAGCTTTCAACAAAGTGCCCTTGCACCTCCGAGAAGGTTTAGCAGCACTCACGGACGGTGAGACGCGATTTATAGGCGGATCAGCCGATACTATGTACATACCGGGTCGCCACCGCAAGCTCTTCATGGAAGTGTTGGGACTCTTCCTCGAAACGAATTGTTTCCTGGAAATCGCCACTCCTACCACCCTGCACCTTGTAGTGCCTCCTGGGGAAACTATTCAATTCGTTGATCATGTGAGTGATCATCTCACTACCCTCTTCCCTGGTAGTAATTGTTATATGGACGAAATCAAACAAGTGGTGGATATATCAGCCTCCATTCAACGCATCCTTCGTGCGGCAGAAATGGGCGGAGGGGTTCGAAGTCGACACTTTCCACACCTTCCACTGGGGCGAGCGCGGAAGCGATGGAGTATGGAGGGGAGATTACCACCATGTCAGTGACGTACGAACCCTTCTACAAGAGTCTGCGAACCGGCAAGGTGTCCCCTTCCCCCCCTTCCCAGAACCGTCGTCATGAGCTCTTTGTCGCTGGTATTTGGGTAACTATGCCACGGATTCGAGAGTTGCAACGTAGGCGCTGCAGATGGGCTCCATTTACTGTGCAGTGTACGGGCAGATGCCTCGATGGTGCGGGAGCGACAACAGCTTTGCTACCAACATGCATAAAACTATCCTAGCATAATGACGAGTGTGAACAACGTATGTACATACAGGGGCGTCATAAAACGTGCAGTCTGTCACGCAAGTACCAGGAGAGCTCTGCTTCGTGATTGGGTTTCAACCCATTGCAGCTTGCGATGATCACTTGAGTAAGTGATTGGTCCGGCGTTGCGGTGTCAGTATAGCGAACACGAGTGGTCAGTGCGTCTACCAGCGCGTCGCCCGAAAACTGCTGACAGGAGACGAGCCTTAGGATCTCCAGCTGGGGTAACCGGACGCGCATTTCCTGTGGGTGTCCATCTACATCTCCCTCTGCTCCTCCAATCGGCACGGGCTTCAGAAGCCGGATGACTTTATTAGACATATCAGATCCGACGATGGTAAATTGCCTGAGATGCGAGAGCCTGTCAAAAACCCAACTGAAATCCTTTGTGCGCATGTCTGAAAGGCCCATGCTCAGAATCTCAAGAGGCGGGTTCGAGCGTGAAATGAGTTTCCGCATGCCCATGCCTGTGTGGTGATCACTTGATGGTGACTGCGAGAAATCGTGGGCTTCATCATCGCTGTCCCCTGGTTCTGCTATGTGGTAACGATGCAAAGAGAAGTCCATGTTCAACTGCCGCAGATGCAGTACACGGAGTGCAGGAAGATGCAGGTGGGATAGGATGCTCCGTTGGATACACGTTGAGTCCAGGATAAGGGTGTGCAGCCGAGGTAGTGCGACGACAGGAGACACAGTCAAAGCGCCCTCCTGAAAGCAAACACCACGAAACGAAAAACGCTCGAGGCTTGGACACTGCTGAAGGAAGCCTGAGTAAATCGGGTGACCGTACGGCATATAGAGGGTAGCTTTCCGAGATGTCAAGAGAGGTGAAGTGCAGTGGGTTAAGTGACCCCGGCGACGGGAGGTAGGATGCTGTGATTTCCATGGATACCTGGCCAACAGCATTCCCTCTGTAAGAGAAGGAGGCATCTAGATTCCTATCGTCTGCCACTGGCGTCCTGAGGTGCACTTCCAAATGTTGAAGCTCCAGGCGCTCCGAAAAATGAGAGAAGTTAACTGGGGAAGTCTGCCATACTGTACGACCCCCGAGACTTATGCTACAGTCCCTCCAGCGATGTATGTGAGGGAGGAAGTAGGATATGATGGGCAGGAGAGCCTCACAGTCGGGCAGGTCGACGTGCACGTCGAACGGCAAAGGGGCTGAGCGGGTTATCCACAACTCTGCCTGGGAGCGTATGGAAGGAATGGACCGCGACAACGTGCTGACGACGATGAGCTGCCACACATGAGGCGACGAGATGCAAACCTCCCTCCACCGCCTGCAGACAGCACTCAAGTCGAGCGGCGTCAACGGCCCACCAGAGTGACTACAGAGCACGAATATCTGAATGAGAAGCTCCGTTGGAAGGTGCGAAAATGGCCCTTCCAGAGGCACCGCAGCATGGTCGCCGGCCTCAGGGCATGCTGTGTGACTCATTCTTTGAAAGTCACCGAACGTGGGTGAGCGGAACAACTGACTTCAATTCACGCTGCCATCACCCTCCGCTGTATCAAGCACCGGACTTCGTTCAGGCTATGGGCCTTGGTCACGAAAGCATCCCAAACAATGCTACTAGATATTTCCGCCCGTCGCCAGTCAAACACACTCGTCGTCGTTTAATATCTACGCCACCATTGACAGCGACGGTGTCTTTTCCTCAAGTTTTGCTTGTCACTTCCTGGGCTCCTCCTGGCACGACAGGACTGCATGGTTGAGGTGGGTTGAAGGCATGCACGAGACTCATGCAAACAGTGAGTTCCTTCTGTGCTTCATGTTTGAAATGGTCTGACCTGCATGATTGGTCGATAGAGTGTGATCAGTGGGAACATAAATGTGTCTATATAGTATCGTAACCCTGTGGCCCTATCTCATACTCCATCCCTCTCTCTCTCATGAGTTGCTGGTACATATGAGCGTACAATATGCACCCGAAAAACTCGCCAAGGCGGCCCTGGATCTTGGCGTTAACCTCGACACTTGGGTCGACCGAGACATTACATTTCGACCTCGTCATGGCGGCACCGCGGTCGTATACCTTGGTACCCTGCGCCCCCAAGCGACGAGGGTAGCTATCAAATGTCTTCGTTTCTATCCCCACGGAGACGAGTCGAACATCGATGTATTACGCCACACTCGTCTACATTCACACGACTAACTATCAAGCCAGCATATTGTCCGCGAGATAGACATCTGGCGAAAACTACAACACAAAAACATTGTGCCAGTGTTCGGCGTCGTAACAAAAATTGACTTCGCGGTATCAATCGTGTCGGAGTGGATGGAACAGGGCAACGCATTCGATTACGTCCAGAACGAAACGATCGATCCGCGTCCTCTGGTAAGTCAAGGTCGTGTTGGAGGCATTGACGTATTGAAGTAGTTGGCGTCTAGTTGTTGGATATAGCACGTGGATTGGAGTACCTTCACGATTATGCCAAGATCCTGCACGGTGACTTACGAAGCGTGCGTCTGTTGGGCCAAGGATTGCGCCATACGCCTAAGATCCGCATGGTAGAAAAACGTGTTGATATCCAAGGATGGTCGTGCATTACTAACGGATTATGGAATCTCCCCTCTCATCGACTCGTCGTTCTCTATGACAGCCGCCGCACCTATCCGCCCGACGGTAAGGTGGTTATCTCCGGAACAAATTGATAGTTTTGGCGAAGTGACTCGTGAAGCGGATGTCTGGGCCTTTGGGATGACTGTTCTAGTACACGTGTGATTGGCGTTTTGGGGAACTGTTCCGACTGACATGCGTTGCTACAGGAGTTGTTCACTCGCAAACCACCTTACCATGACATCCCTGATACCAGGAATGTTATAGCCCGCATTCTGGATGGACCGCCTGCTCGGCCAACTGACCAGTCTACGTGTTCCCGTTTGACGGATGAATGGTGGGAGATCTGCTCTCTGTGTTGGATGGATGAATCGTCGCGGTCTGCTATTTCTGACATTGCCAACAAAATTCAATCGGTAATGGTGTGTACACTTGATGGATTTTTGTTCATCTTCTTAACCGAGTTCATTAGGATCCGGTGCCTCGCTTCGGCTCGTTCTGGTCTATATCTTACATCGTAGAGCTGGTGAGACGATTCGTCTGGTAATCTTGTGGATATCTCGTTGTGTCTTCCCCGCTAGTCGTTCGATCGTAGTTCGGATGTTGCCCTTGCCTCATAAAACGGATCGTCGTCTTCGCTACGCTCATTCCTCGTCGGGTAAGTGGAGGTGCGGACGTGATTTCTGCCTGCAACATGCGACACACAGAACCCCGGCTGCCCATCTATACGGACTGATGTGCCCTGCAATCACCCCCGCATCCTTTACTAACGCTGCAACTAGTCTACGCCAGCACAGCGTACTCCCGTTCCTCTTGCTGGTCACAATCATTACACAAATTCACAGACTATGGGAGAAACACTACCTACAAACTACTAAGTACTCATCTACTCGGCATCGAACACCAACACTCTAACCTCGATACTCTGTCTCTGTGGAGCATCTTTCGGGCTCGTATTATCTTGGAACGCCGAATGAGGCGTCAAACGTGCCTTATCGAGGTCCTGAGTCGAAGCATTTTATCAATGTCACCTCGTCTGGTGTCTGGTCTGACAAGTAATACCACTTGTGGTTCGGATTATGTCGGACGGCGAACGTTGATCCCTCGCGAATTAGCATAAATATGGCGGGTGGGGACAAGATCCCTCTCAGGGTCCAGCGAACGGTAATCAGCAACCGCTAGGGGATTATGGGCGACTGGATTCAGAATGGGTCTGTTTTCGTACTTGTGGGTCAATAAAGAGCGAGAAGAAGAACTGGGATTGAAGAACTGACCTCCAGACATTGATGATCCGATATCGACCTTTCAACAGGCGTTCAGCTTCGTCACCAAGGTGGAGGCGGACTCGTTCCTCTGCCGCCGTGTAGGTCTGATCGACATGCACACGTTGCTAACCATAACATCAGTTCTGCTTTATAGGTTAAAGAATGACTTGCGACAAACCACTGGGCCACGCTGAGGAGTCTTATCACCGTTGGTGGACGTAACTTTCTCATGCTGGGTGGGATGCCTACGGATGGTATGGTCGAAGACGAACACCCTCTTTGCGGCAGCGTATTTCTTCAAGATTTCCTCAACTTCTGGATAATACACGTCTCTGATCCTTTCTTCGTTTTCAAAGAGCTTCTCCGCACTAGGATACTTGACGAATTGGAACCCGGTGGTATCAAGGCCAACCGTGTCCTCTTTGTTCCTGACATCATGAACAACGACCGGGTGGATGTCCGATCCGACATTTGTTCTAGGAACGCTCGTCGGTGGTTCGCTCACGTACATGTACGGTGGTTCGTCGGTCAGAGGTGTGAAGTAGTTGAGGGTAGTGTGAACGTCGCGAGGAGCATGAACTTTGATGGTCATGATAGTTGTCGATACGGTAGCTGGGATACGAGGACGATGTTTCTGGGCTGGTCAGACATCCCATCCCGATGGACCTTTTATAGGGGGGCATTGATTCTCCTGCTTGGTAACAGACGATGACCAAGAACTGTTGGCGCAAGCAACTGACGGGGTGACGTGCTTGCATTGGGCACCACAGAGGTTCAGTCAGCAGCGCAGGAAGATATTATTCACCAACGGAACGTCCGACCAGGTCTGATGGTTGTCAATAAGTACCTTACTTCTATCTGCAAGGAGACTCTAGATGTGTTTGCGAGTATGCAGCCGTCGTATTACTGCGGTCGTTAGTATATCGACGCACAGTCAGATGGTGTGCGTATTCCTCTCTCTGGCACGGGGGAAGAATGTGGGTTCCTTGTGTCGGTTAGTAAGATCTAAGACCCGGCATTTCAAAAATGGCGGTGCTCCTCATCGGCGACCTCAGGGAATGAATAGGATTTAGGGTGATTGTTCGAACTACGTAACATATCGAGCAACTCAATAAAACGGCAGGTGCGGTGCAGGATGAGGCCTTAAGGGGTCTTCGGAGGATGTACCCGAATGTCCACTCCCTAGTCCAATCGACATCTCCATACCTATCTCATACTCTAACTGGGGCATCCTCAAGGCTTCAATACTCATACAGCCTGAGTGCCCTCGGCGGTAAATGGTCACCTTTGGTTTGTAGGTGAAGTCACCAACCTTAAATACTTTGGTTAGCCGAGTTCTCTCTTCCTGACCATCCACTAATCGCGTATGTAGGATATAGGCTCCAGGGTATGTGCATACCCGAAGAAAATTCTTGCAGGACACATACACATAACGCGGCGGCTAGTATCGCTGCGTGTATATAACCTGGGGCGATGCCCACCTATCACGTGATGCCACGGTTCGGAGTGCCAGGTCCTACCCAAGTAGTTTGCAATAGGCGTCTTCGGACTGAGTGGTAGGCGGACCTGTTTCGCTACATTTGCGGTACCTTGCCAAAACTACTTAGTGCTTGCGGTCCACTGTGCGGAGATATTATAAGTGGAGAATGCAGTGGGACGCCTGTGCAAGATTGTGATTATACATTCACTGCACTTCGAGCGCGTCAGAATGGGACAGAGGCAGATGTCGAAAAGCCTGGGTTGAAGTCCCTTCGTCACTTTTAAAATCCGGGTTTGTGGTCCGTTCTCGACGCCCAGCGCACACGGGGTCGATAGATTCCTGAGAGACATGTTGCGTACGATGTATGACGCGAAACGACCAAGTACTACTTACCGCAACATCGAAGCACTGATACGTGTGTACCAGTAATGAGTGCGGGCTGCGTGCACCCGTATATACTCTCGCCCACGAAGGACGTGCTGCACCTCCAGAACACCCAGCGTCCATCGATTTTTTTTCTGTACACAAATGTATAGTTCCTGTGCGCACTGTGCTTCAAACACCAATAGTACCACTTTTCAACTAGTCGCTCCACACATCGCTCTGCGGATTCGGTTTGCCAAAAATGTCGTGGAGCGTGTCGTTCGTCTCCACCAGTTTGTGCTGTTCTACATGCACGAATACCTTAGGTGACACAAACAGTCATTGCCTGTTACCCTTTACATTAAACCAGCACTCGCCTGTGGGAGCACGTTCGATTGGATCTGCACAGTTGAAAGATCATTCCCCTATACTCGCTTTGAGAAGCCAATCATACTTCTCGCTGAAGATTTCCCTGGTTACAGTTGCTTTCCTCAGATGCCTCATCGTATTTCCACCCGCCTCTGGAATTCAAGTTCGACAACAGTGAGTTGGTGTGCAACTTGGCCAGTGGAAGATCGAATATCAAATAGCTGTCGTCCTGTCAGTATTCTAACACGGCTGTTTCATTACACTCGACCAACGTACATTCCGGTATCCTATTTCTCTCAACTGTTAAGAACAGCGGAGTGTCGGATACTAGCACTTACGACAGTCAGAAAGGTTACAAGGTCGGTTACCGCAAACAGTGTGGTGATAAAGCCCGTTTGAATTGTCACTGGTTCGAGGGATATTCTCCATTAACCCGAGGAGTGAGGGGCAAATATGCTCACTTCTGATGACTCGGTCAACATCACTCGTCACAGGAAAACCATTCTTTCTATTCCACTGTCGAAAGACGGCTTAGTCCCGGTACAGCGTACATATGTTGGTATAGGACTACTTACTAATTGCCACATGAGAGCCGTAGCGATGATAAGGTCTGCGCAAACAGCACTCGCCAGCCGTACAATAACAGCAACCCCGAAACCCAGGGGACCCGAAAAAATCCGGGGTTATCGCGACAGCAATGGTTGTGCCCAGAGCCACCAGCATGCCCGCTGAGCTGCAAAAGACGATAGCAGATGCAGAGAACACGTTCCTCGACAGAACGTACACCCGCCAGGTGAAAAAAAGCTGGACTGATCCACCAATGATACTCTGACAATGTTGTCAGAACCAGCACGACTGGGAGGACTTGTGACATACAGTCACAGAGGGACCTGCGTATGAGGTGTAGTAAGCACCCCTACGCACAGCGCATTGGGCATAGGATCGATCCTACATACCAGTGGTAGAGACTAGGAAGTGACGTGAGCGATGTGATTGACCAAGTATTACCGGGCACCTACCCCAATTTTCCTGGACCAACCATGACAAGAACCCTATAGTGATTTGAGTGATTTTGAGAATTAGATCGCAGAGGACGGGGAAAGTGAACCAACCGAAAGGGTTTACGAAAGATCGATAAGTGTGCATGACACTGAGCGTAGAACTAACGGTGTTTGCAGAAAATAGGAACGCAACCTGCGAAGGAAGGAAGATGAACACCTTTCGGAAAAGTTAATGGAGTTCACTGACAAATATCTTTATCCACAACCGGTCGCTGGTGCGAGGGTTGGTCCAGGGTCCATGACTGCAGTAAGATACTCACTCTTTGTAAGTGAAAAAGTACGAGTACGCCTGGGTGATCATCATTCCATAGAGGAGAATGTCGAGCGCAATTCCAATGAAGAAGGGACCCTGACTGCAAGAATAGGCTAAGTTCGGGCGCAGCGGTGAGGATGGTAATACAGACGTACGCGAGCTGCGCTGCATGCATCAGGTTTCCAGGGCGTGAGACGGCCTCCGGAATTCAGTCACAGATACAGACCCGGTATAAATATCGTAAATGCGGCTCGGGCATCTTCGTGACTTCCAGGAAAGTTTAATAGCAATTCTGGCGCCACCGACCTAAGTTAGGAAGAGAGATGATACTGCATGGGTCGCCATAGAGTGTTCGACATGTTTAGAAGCTTTAACGACACGTATATTATCAAATTTGCGATGAAAACGCCAGACTCCCGAAGGCACTGCTTCAAGATTCTTGCCTGTTCTCCGCCCATATCGTCCTTTACTTTGCGCAGGGGCTTTGGGCACCCCCTGCTTTGATGATACAGCTGGCAGTATGGCATGGGTGCGACGCGAAGAGTCGGACGGCACCTTGGTTTATCGTTTGACATGGATACTCTGATGACATCGTGAGGTAGAGGGGGTCCGCAAAAGTCGTGGCCCTCAGCCATTGGAAACCATGAACTTGGCAGGGTTGATTGGTTATCCCGGAAATTACTGTAACGAGATTGCCGTATGTACATACCATGCAAGTACTGCAAGTGTTCAATTTCCTGGAGTTGGGCACGTATAACTGACAGAATGTGTCAAATGATAATTACCGCCCCGCGGATGATATTCTATGATATTGTCCGAGAACCAGTTCGCCATAGTGAACCCACCTCCATGAGGATGAACCGATGATAGCTCGGGTTGGACCCGAGGCCTGGGTCTTGATCGTAGTCCTGCCAGTGAGGTGCTGGCACACTTGCGTAGTGAGGAGAAAATAATGCCAAACTGATCTCATCGAGATTGCACCAAAAGTGACTGGTTGACCCCCAGTCGAGAGTTGTGTCTATGGCGTTGTCGTCGGATCTGGAGTGTAGCATCCTTGCCCTTGCCGCCGAGAAAACACAAGTCTTCAACCTCCTTAGAGGTATCACAATGTTCCTTCGCCTTGTCGAAAACATCCCGTCTGTTCGTCTGACGACTAGTTGCATTGACAGTGATACTCAGGGATGACTGCTCAATCGACGACGGCGCGACCTCTGTTCCATGGACCTTGGCCAACAAGTACTACACCGCTGACGTGCAGTTCGTCGTGGGTGAATTGTCCACGTGGACTCCAGTCGAAGAGGAACTCCAGCGCATCCCGGCGGTCCTCTTTATCTGGTCTAGTGGGCAGGTGCGTTGATGTCCATACTCGAACAAAGTATAAATGTTCTGACTGCTGGTATCCCAAGCCCTACAGACAACTTGCAAAGGTCCTTTCTCGACAGCTTTCACACCATGAATTCGAGGTGGCCCTCGCAATTAGACTTGCGCCATCGGATGAACATGCTGCATCTGACCAGGAAGACTTGCAAGATGTAGATGCCTATCTGTCATCACTTGGGTTCGAATTCGTAGACGCCGCTGACTCGGTCGGGCCTGCCGATTGTCACGGTAAAGCCAGTCCACCTCTCATTCGTTCAATTCCACTAAATGAAACTTTCGAAGGCATCCCTGGTGTACCGCGTATCATGGACGCGCTAGGCACTGTCATGTGGCCTTCGATGGTACGAAAAACAACGCAACACGACAACTCAGGGTACTCAAAGTCTGCCCACGACATCGCAGCTATGCTACGCAGTTTTCAACCGTTGCCTCACGATAATGAAATGCATAAGCAATTTGAGGCATTCGAGCGTTGGCTGGATGAGGATACGTCTGTTACTGACGCGGAAACGGGAGAGCCCGCTGCTGCACGCGACTATGATGCAATGGATCCCTGGAGCACCGTCGTTACACCAGGAAATACGACACCACATGCTTTGAGCGACGCCAACTCAGGCTCTGGTCGCAGTACACCTCGATCCGGTTTTGACGACGACTTCACGTCCTTCATCTCAGCTCCTCCTACCACCTCTCCTCAAGATTCCCTCCAGGACGAACTCCATGACACATCTCCATGCGCATCAAGAAGCTTCAGTTCTACGTTCAGTTTTGACTCAGCTACCTCGACGCCAGTGCTCGAAGGCACAAGTTTCGACGCTAGCCTTCTTACTCCCGGAAATGCCTCATTCAGCAATGGCGTCTCTTATAGGTCGCTCGGATCTGTATCCGATTTTGGCGATGTAGATGCAGACGCCCCGTCCTATGAGCGTACGAGTGCCGCTGACGAAAATGAAGATAACGATGCAGAGTTGCCCACCAAGGCTGAAATTTTGGAAACCTCTCGCCGCATCTTTGGCACCGCACCCGTTGCCACGTCCCCGACAGATACTGCCGGGTCTACTACTGGTCAGTGTCAGTCGAGCAAAGCTAGTCTCCTATCTACCGAGAACGATAATCTCGACTTCTTGGTAGAAGAATGTAGCCGAGAAAACGGAGATACAGATCTCGGGAAGTTTGACTTGCAGGGAATATTTAATGCTCTGCAAGGGTTGAAAGAAGAGATTGCTGGTATGCCCGATGATAAGGAGAAGCGTAAGGCTGCAGCACGAGTCGCACTCGGCCTTGTCTATGGCTTGGATGCAGAAGGCGATTTCTAGATATGCCACCTTTGTTATCTTGACCTCTTACACGCTGGTCGGTAAGTTTACGTTTACGAACATTTTGTACTTTATTCCACACAACACGCATCACGACCGTCTCACAGCACACCTGGAGAGAGAAGCCCCTCATGCTCGACAGGGGCTTGGGTAACAATAAATCCACCCGTTGCTAAAAATGATTTCACCATTTGCGACCAGTACCGATGCGCTGAGCCCTTACATTTCTCCGTCGGGCATCCCGTCCCGGGGTTCATACTCGGGTCCGGGACTGCAGCTTCCCGGAAGGACTCCTGACTTGGAGAACTTGACTGAAGCTCCGCGCTACTACAACCCTTACATTCTTCGTACGATACTTCCGATATGACGATGAACATGTATAATACATGGAATTTCGTACTTCCCGTCTTCTCCGCCACTGAGATACAAGCAACGCCAGTGCTACACAAATAAATCAACGTGCCTGCCCCTTCTCCTTCAGTCTCCCTCTCCGTCTCCGTCGCCCTGTCTGTCGCCCTGTTCCTCACCTTCGACCTCCGCGGCCTTAGCCGTTTCGTCCCTGATGCCACCTTCAGCAAAATTCATGATCCCAGTCATGTCTAACTTCGACACGACGTCCTCTGCCTCCGCAACTTCCATCTCCCCAAGTACCTTATTCACGGCCTCCAGTGTTCCCTCTTTAAGGGCCACCTTCAGCGGCTCGGGGAACGAGTTGAATACTTGCCAACGCATCGTCAGAGCCCTGCGGACTTCTTCGATGCCAAGATCTTCTGTGCCCGGTCCCTCGAGACGGAGATCATCCGGCGGTAGGCCATCGGGCACATTGAAGCTAATCGTCGCATTCGGGTTCTCGGGGACGAGTTGTATTTGCTCCTTCTGTGCAGAGCCAGACGATGACGCAGCAGTGGCCTTGGCGCGTGTTACGATGTGTGAATACGTATCCTCAACGTCTTTCGCGAACACGGGGATGGCGCGTTTGTCGCCTCCGATCATCCTTTAATTATCAGGTCGACGTCAGTCTAGAAATTACCCGCCTTCGTAGATGCTAACCGTACTTTTGGAAGAACACGCGAACGCCGTCTTTACCGAGCTTGTCACAGTACTTGAAGCAGTAAGCTTTGATGTACGCACTGCTTGGCGTACTTGGCCTTGCCTTCCACCTGAGCTCGGAATGCAGCCACGAGGAGCGCGTCCGATGCGCCCGGTACAAATACGGCGCGATTTTGCTGGATGAAGGAAAAGGAAGCCTCATAGTCCCACAAAGGCAAGTGAGAAAATTGTGTGAGAGCAGGTGTGAGTTCGGGAAGTTCATCATCAGTCATCACCATCACCCTCATCCTCGATATCAGCCTCTGCAGACGATGCCAGTGCTTCAGATTGGGCAGCTGCAGACGAAGAAGCCCCTGGGTTGAGGACTTCATAGGTAGTAGTAGCCGTTGTCGTCTTCCTCTTCTTGGAGGTATCGGATGATGCACTCTTGATCGGTGGGGGAGCGGGCGGTGGAGGAACGTACTGTAACGAGATGATAGAAGTCAACAATCGAGCCCGGTACGCGTACACACGCGCAGATACCAACCTTGTTCTCCCACCCTTCCTTGATGTCTTCACTAGTGATATGCTTTTTCTGCTCGCGCACCTCTTCCTCCAAGTCTTTCTCCTAGTTTCTTTGTGTGGTCCGCCAACTGTGATATATGCCGATCTAGACAGCTGAGGATGGCTTCTCTCTTGCTCATCGCTTGGGAGAGGCTTGGCTTCGTCATATATCTGTAATAGCAGAGAAAGGACCATTGCATCGTACGTGGGCTGATTCTTTGCATTCGTGGGGGGCGCAGCGGATGAAGGAGACGTCTCGAGACGTTCGACTAGTTGCTGGAACAGAGGAAGACCCGTCAATGTGCGAACATCCTCCGAAGTCTTCTGCCCACTGCCCCGTCGTCTGGGTATTATCAGCAGTCTCCCCTGTAAAACGCTCGCGTATTATCTTAAGACGCGGTGCAAGCACGTTATTGCATGCGATCTCTGCTTGGAAGGCAGCAATGCGCTGCTTGCGTGCTTCGCGCTTCTCAGTGTATGTCGCGCTGTTTCCATCGGATGAGAGAACGCTTATCGACGTTGGGGTGCCCTTCGATGTCGGAGTCATCGGAGAGCTCAAGTTGATCCCACTTAGAGTAATTAAGCGGCATGGTGGTCGACGATGGAGAAGGGAAGGGTATCAATATAAATTTATTAGATCGATCAAGTTGCCACTTCTTATACAGGACACGGATTCACAGTACACGAATGTTCGAGAAGTCGATAAGTACTACTAAAACACATAAAATGATACGAGAACGGATCGGGGTATATCGCAAGGTGTCGCAGTAAGTTTCCAGGAAATCGAGATCATAAAACAGAAGACACGAAGATGTTAGACGATCTTCCTAAGAGGAGTGGTGAGAGGCCATAAAGCCCTTGTACTGCTGACTGTGCATCTTTATACAGCGTCTCCAACAGAGCACGCTCTTCACCGGACAGGGACGGATCAGCCCAATCGGAAGGTTGGAACACCAGGTTCCCTCCCTCCCTCAGTCGGTTGATAACGGAAGCTTTCCACTGCATCCACACTTTGGTGTTGTTTGGGAGAAGATCGTCCATCAACTGCTCCACCTTCTGCGAACCGCAGGCGAGAAGGACGAACACCGCCATACTGGTGCGCGTACCAAGAACGTACTTGTGAAGTTTAGGCTGTTGGAGAACTTCATTTATCAGGAGGTCTCTTTGGATCTTCTCTTTGTCGAAGGACGAAAGCCATACGTTGTATGCCCAAGATACGACGAGCGATATGACGAACATGATCTGGCCAAAGAGCGTGCTCTGAGGAACCAGAACGAGTTGTGCAATGAATTGCAACAAGAGGAGGACTGAACACCATCCAATGTCACGGAAATAGGGCTCGGTTGCGAACCGCAATCCGAAGTTGCCTCGAGTGATAGCGTTGACAGCCCCCTCTTCCCCTTTCAACACGACGATCTCTTTCTCAGCGAAAAGAACGCCATCTCCCGGAGGAGACCCTTGGGCTGGCCCAGGATGCGTGAAGAAGAACGACCCGGACCCGAGAACGACGCAAGATATGCCATTGACGAGCATACCAAGGAGGATCGTGGAGAAGGAGTACCAGTCATGGACCATTGCGCACATAACACAAGTAGAGGCGCTGACAAGGATCGGGATGCTAGCAAAGACAGACAAGCAGGAAGGGCTCCACTTTAGAAGCGACATCAAGTGCTGGGGTGTGCTCAAGCTGAGCAATAGTGACGCCAACGCGGCGGGTTACTCTCCCGTCAATTGCAACTCCTTCCATTTCGCTGCATCTCTCCATGAACAGAGCGCCAGGGTGGCTTGTCTCCTCCATGACTGTCCCTGAGTGTGCAGCTCTGAATTTGGGGCCCTTACGTCCGTCTATTTCGAGCAGTGTAGTGGGCTCTGTACGTCTACCAGGGAAAAGGCCGCTGAAGAGGCTAGATTTGGCAAGTGAACCGTATCGCATAGCGACCACATATGAACCGGGGGAATTATACCAACCCAGCCATCTCCTCTGTTTGTAAAGCGGAATCGTCCCCGTGGCCGAGAGGGCATGTTCGCCACCGAACAAACCGGCCAGGGCCCAGATGCCCAGGCTAAAAGAGGACCCCTCGAGCGGGATAGGAGAGACAGCTGAGCGAGAGCTCGCGATCGTAGAGGATAACGGGATCTGCATGTTGGGAATGAAAAGGTTATGGAACTCACCTGCAACCTGCGGGTTATTATCTTCACAATAGATGCTGTAGGTGATGTCTATTTGCACCCACAGCAAGGGAGTCGATTTGCTGTATGAACAATGACAATACCATTTTAAGGGATATGCAAAACCTAAAAACAATTTATTCGTCATAGCCCCCACGCACCACTTTGGGGTGACAATGCATCTTCTGACAATGTGTTCCAGTAGTAGTGTCCACTGCTGGGCAGCTTCTGCCAAGAAGAACTCCACAGCTACGCCGGGAGATAAGGTGGATCAGCTCTCTCTCTCACAGGTACAAAGAAAGCAAGGAGACGCTGTCAAAAATTACACCTAGTTGGGGTATGTAACCGAGACCTTATCGAGAAGCGCACAGTGGCATCATAGTATCTGCCAGTTCTTTTTTGCTGGCAAGCGTGGTCGACGAGTACCAGACCAAACTGGATCATATGGTGACGTCAACGTTGAAGATCTGGGGGTCGCCTGAGCTATGGCGAATAGCGTGATGGGTGATTAATAACCTCCGGGATGGATGATGAAATGATTCGGAAAAAATCGAAACCAGTGCCAATTGATGGCAAGGCAGGAGCGTCTAATGGTGTGCTGTCTTGTGCTGTACACTAGCGTCATTGAGAATATTGGGATCTGGCAGATTCCATGAAGCAGGGACATGTAAGTACAAATCACGAGAACTCATCTGAGAATGTGCACACGCTGTCGCCCTTATTATAGTATTCCCCTTGGCCGGCAATTTCCATTTCGAAACAGCTTTTTTGCGTCTTGCACACATTCAATGGTGGAGGGATGCGTAAGGATACATACGTATGTGTCTTAGCTGGCATTTCGGGAGCTAAGCTCGTAACAGTATGGTGTCTCCCCACTGCAGGTCGCTCCCTGCTTACTTGATGACAAGGTGCGGGGGTAATATGTGAGGGGTAATTCTGGGGTAATTTGCCACAGGCAGTGAAACGCACGACAGGAACTACTTTCGAGAACGACATTTAATTCCGTCAGGCGTGGGATTGCTGCCGGTAACTGAAAGCAGGTCCCGTTGCTCGTGATGGAAGGTAAAACCAGTGTTCCTGATTGGCATGGATATGTGGGGTCCAAAGCGTACCCTCAGAGAGCGCTCCGCGTATGCCGAAGGCCCTTAGGTGAAAAGATGACTATTAAGGGCCATATGCACAGGGGTTTACTAGGACAAGAAACGTTCGGTGGACCTATCACCTATGGGGTCCCTGACCCCAAGGAGAGGCACCGCGGCGATGACTCATGATGTCGCTGCTAATATGATGAAAGATCTTACTGTTCTCAGAGCGGTTATCAGCTACGTATGAACGTATGTACTGCTAGATGACATCTAGTTTGTAACGTTCACCCGTCCACAGCCACGATGATAGATCAGACCATTAACGTTGTGCTTCGTGTGCTGATTGACCGTGATTGGCCTGGTGTGTCTCCGGCCTCCCGCAAGGTTCAAGCTAATATGTAGCGGGGTTTCGGATGGTCGGTTGCCAACGTCGTCCATAGATACACAGATACATAGATAGACAGCGTGATCCCCCCTCCCAGCTTATCCCTTCCCTGTCGTCAACGCCGTCGTCGTGGCAGAGTCCACAGCTAGCCGAGATGTTGTTCGGTCTGACACGCGCGAACATGTCTAGTATCGGGGCCGTGCCTGGTACCCCATCCAAGAGAAGAGTTCACCAGCCCTCTCATAGTAATAGCCTGCCATCGTCGTCCTCGAGGTCAGACGAGTCCTCGTTGTCCCACTCGACTACCTCGACATCAGCAACGACATGCAATGCAAGCTCGGAAGCTGCCATTTGTTCACCACTGGCTCGGCCTCCTACTCCTACCCCTCCTCGTCTCCCAAGACACGTTACTCGAAGCAACGATAAACGCCCGAAAACAGCACCCCCATCTGCTATCGGTACCAGTCTGAGTAAGGGACTCAGCCCCGTCGAAGGTAGACCTAGTGAGCAACCTATCGTGGTGAGCACATATTGGCTTTGGCGCCCATACACCACTGCACATGTATTCTGTTACTTCATCGTGTGATGCCGTGGCTGATGAGTGATTTCAATCAATGTTGACAAATTTTTGGGTGTTCTTGCCCGTGGCCGTTGCCATCATACCATGCTGTTTTTTTTTTTTTTTCCCTCTCTTCTTTTTCTTAATTCTCTTTTTTTACCCGTACGACGACGACTGATGGCCATGGCAGGTCTTCCGACGCTGGCGAGTAGGTAGTAATCGAGGATTTGTTGCAACGCGTGTCGCTCCACCAGCACACCCTCCGCCTGCTCGGCCTCTTCCATACCCACCGGCTCATAATAACGATCGTCGTCGACCAAGCTCCGGTGCAGCGCATAGCGTCAGCGACACAGCACGGACGAAGGTTGCCGTTCAGCCGCCCACCATGCCTCTCCTGCCTATCTTGCCTTTATTTCCGTCTCGGGACTCTTTCTCTTCCTCCCCTGCGTCACCTCCCAAACACTCCTTCAGCGATACCAGCATGCTCGCAGTCCCTCTTCTCCATCCATTCGCTGCCCATCAAGGGTCTCCATCCAAACGAGAACAGCCTCGACAGTCCAATCAACCTGATGCTGCCTCTTCTGGTCAATCCTCGCTTCACAAACACAGGTCCAAGTTTGCTCTCCCGTTGATATCAGGACCATCGCATCCTCCTCCACCCGTTCCTTTCCCAGTTCAACATACCCCATTGTCCAGCAACCTGTTGACGTCCCCATCCTGTGTCCAAGTCCCCTCATCATCAACCCCGCCTACCTCTCCCTTTTCATCTCCACCCCGCTCCCTGCAGTGCCCGTCTGCGACACCGAGTTCGAGTCTATTGCCGGCTTCACGCCATTCCCAAGATTCGCTCTCAGACGCTTCTCCTCTCACAGCTATGTCCTGTGACCCACACAGTGTGCCTTTTCGACTTCGTGGCCCCCTTGGATATCCTCTGTTTGGCCTACCAGTCGCCGCCGCCGTGGAGAGCCATCAGCCACCATCAGTGGCGACTCGTCCGCGCCCGTCTTCGATGCACGGCAAGCGAGCAAAGTCGGCCGTACGTAGTGCACAATCTCCACGCTCAGCGCCCTTATCCGATGCGGAAGATGAGGACCCACGTCATCAGACAATCGGTGGTACGCTATTCTTTATCCGGCATGCGTGACTTTGGCTGACGCCGATTCGGGCTTTTCTTTCAATCCGTATTGGAATACACAGTTGCGTCGACTAAACCGCTTCGCGCTGCTCCCGACGCGAGCTATTCTCTGTGTAGTTCATCTGTGCTCAATCCCCACGGTGGCCTTGACTCCTCCCGACGTCGGCATCATCACTTCCGACAAGAGGCCGTGCCTTACCCACGCAATTATGAACGCTCGGTCTTGGATCTGTAAGTGTCTCCTGTTGCCCCAGTGCTGGTCATTGGTGCTTGATGCTCATCCCACTGCGTGCCATGGTCTGTCACATATGCTGAACTGCGTGTACAGGGATGCCTGGGATAACCTATGGCTTCGACAAGCTTGTAAGAGCGTCACCTTCCACAAGTTCAAGGACGGTGAATACCCGCAACGCGTACTCGACGTTGGGTGTGGGTCTGGTACATGGGTCCTCGAATGTGCAGCAGCTTGGAAGGTGCGTTGTCTTTCTCTTCCATGGAATCAGAGAACTAATACCGTTTACTTGAAGGAGAGCACATTCGTCGGGCTCGACATCGTACCCATTCAACCCGATCTTTCGCGCTTACCCGGGAGCCTCTCAGAACGAATATCTTGGGTTTACGCAAACTTGTACGCCCCCGCCTCTATGGAGGCATTATCCCTGACCGCTCTTTTGGTAGCCTCGAACGTCTACCTTTTTCCAGTGAAGAGTTTGATTTCGTGTAAGTTCTGCCCTTGTCTTGTGAACTGGACGCCTTATGAATAACGGACTTGCCACGGTTGACAGTCATATCAAACGTATCGCACGGGGCGTGCCTGAAGATATGGTACGTTTATCTCCTGGCACCTATACTAGAACGTGTGACTGATCGATCGCCTGGTGAACAGTGGGATAATTTGCTTGAAGTACGTTTTCGTTACGTTTCCATCACCACTGACTTCCTGACCGTAACCAGGAACTCGCGCGGGTGATGAAACCCGGGGCAGCGCTCGAGATTATTGAAGAAGACCTTACCTTCCCAGGGCGACCTCTCGATGCAGACGACTCGAGTGAAAGCAGGAGCTCAAGTTCAACGATCGGGTGTGAGGAGATACTTCCTCGGAACGACAGACATGCACAGAAGAGGGACGTGGAGAGGGTACGGGACTTGTGCGGGCCAAGTTCCGTGACCAAGACCGAGCCACAGGATCTCTCGTTGTCGTTCGCACATATATTTTCTCCACTATCGGCCCCTCCTGAGGGAGTCGAGGCATCGGTTTTGAGCGAGGGCCGCGGCAGGGCTAGGGAACAAACCCCATTTCCTGGCACAACCAATGGTCAGGATGCAGAGCTTCCGACACTGTCCTCTATCAAGCGTTCGCGCTCTTTGACGATCTCCTCCCAGCGACCGAAACCACAGAATCCTTGGGCACCACAAACACCTGGCAACAGAAAACGGCCAACCACGGCCAATTCAGCGCCACCTCAAAGTGCGAGTCGATCCGAAAGTCAGGTCAATCTGAGAATGGCTATGGCAGTAAAGGCAGCAGCATCCTGCCTTTCACTATCAGGAAAGCGGCCTAGGTCAAAGAAATACCCTCCAATGACGGGCCCACTATCAGGGCCCTCATGCGCCTCTTCGACTTCCATTGCGACTACTACTGTTGCGGGAAACACTCCTACGTTGTATTCGTCATCCTGCTATGACTCCACGTCGACCTCCTCGGTGCCATCACCACCTCTACTTTTACCCCCTCCAAAGCGAAATGTAGATGCTGCGGCCAAGGCAACGCTCATGGAAACGACAGCGCCTAACTACTTGATGATGCCATATCCGGGCGTGAGGTTGGCTGCTGCAGGTAAAAACCCAGCGGATCTGCTTAGCAAGGATAACGACAAGACAAGTGCTGGCCTTGGAAGAGCGGGAACAGGAAATGATGGCGCAAATCCCGGAGAGGGAACAATTCCTGAAAACCCGAGGGACCACACTGTGTTGGAGACAATCTACAACGAGATGCACGCAGATCGGTTTGTGAATTTGACGCCGCTGAGCTTGCTGGGGAATTCATTGGGGCTGTGGTTTAAAGGTCAGTTGGCAAATACGAGTGCGACAGCTATTTCAGTTGATATTGACACTGCGTCGTCTGCTGCAGATGTCCGCACCCACGAACCAATTGTCTTACGGTTTCCACCGCCGCCCGAAGAGCTCAAGTGCAATCCGAGAGCCAGCAATGTGATTTTATCGGCTGCTGACTTGATGCAGGGCAAATCTCCCTACGCTGGTGTGGATGATGCACAATTTGCCATCTCTCCTGGGAAGGCGTCGATATCGTTGGCTAGCGGAGCACGACAACCAACGACGGCGATGACGTCGAACGGATTAATGATGGAGGTTGACTTGCGTACTCTGAACTTGCATCTCGCGATACGCGTAAAGGAAATTCTGGGATGCGCAGAGGCAATGTGGGATTGGGTGGTCGAATACCAGACTAACACAGAGGAGGGCGAACGGGAAACCGGGGGGGTCTACTCCATCATCGGTGAATTATCCAGGGCGGAGTTTGACGAACTCCTCGCTAAATTCGAATTGTGAGTGGTTTTTGCTCTGCTGTTATGGTTCAAGTTAGGGGGAGGTGGGGGAGGTCGCAGAAGACGGAAATTTCAGATAAGGAAATTGAGATAAGAGAACTGACGCTGAGCTTCTTTTTTTTTTATCAGGGACATGGAAGAACACATGGCGTTTGGGCGCATCCTAGAAGATCGACTTGGATGGTCGACCAACCCCGACAGTGTTCCGCACGATAGACGCGTGTTTCACGACAAATGGCGTGCCTACTTGAAAAGTGCTGGGTGTGCTGGTGTAATACCTCATCCATCGACTCGATGGAGTCGCTCCGTACGCGCGTTCATCGCGTGGAAGCCACCTTTGAGTGCCACAGAACACAGAACAAAGATCGATCCAGGGGCAATATAGGCACGTGTTTACGCTCTCGTTCGGTCGCATCATTCTTGTGGTGCAATGGAAGTCCTATCCTGCGGCGGCGCACTCGTGCCGATCTAGTACTCCACTTATCACTCTCCTCGGCTTAGGTTGAGTTCGTCTCAGTCCACACACACAGAACGTTCCAGACCTTTCAATTCGATCGTCCACCTTGTTCGCAAAGCAACCTACGGGTGGATCTAAACCTTGTAAACTAAACTCTGAAACGATCCCCCCCTGCACCCACTGCACCTCTCCACACCAGGCATTCGGTTGTTTTAGGATTGCCGATCACCGTATCTGGCTTTTGCCGGCCTGTTGATGATATCGGCGGCAAACTACAACTTTTTTTTTCGACCTATCCAGATCAGGACTGTGCAGCTCTCCGAACTAAACTCTATGTCATAATATGCGTTCATACTGCTGCTGTGTATCCATTCTATGGACTCATTTTCGAGTCCACAAGACCGTACCATACCATTGATGACTCATGTACATGATACATTCAAAGGAATTCGCCCAAGGAACGATGCCACCCACCCCCTCGACGTATCCACACCCTATTGGTCCAGCCCTATGCCGGCTTCTTTCTTATACGGACTTGTTGAACCGTATCTAGAATTAGCCTAATATCGCCGATGGAGATGCCGCCGCCGCCGCCGCTCCATTTACCCAATGAATCATATAGTACGTATGTATTGCTGTGCATGGTTCCAAACCGCCAAGTGAGTGGTGGGCGAAACGCGGAACATGGATGTACCGTTCCCTACTCGATCAGGAGAAGATTCTCCGGATATCTGTCTTCCATATCTCATTTCTATGATGGTATACCTGCTGCGCTCACTACTAGCCTGGTACGTGAAGTGAGAGTGACGAGGAGGGTGTGTCATGATTCTGGCCCCACTAATAATACAGTCATCGAGGGTGGGTGGTCGAGGTCGTGACGGAATGCACGATGCAAGTACAAGCATGCCCAGGGTGAGAGACGCGATATGATTCGGAGCCGTTGATCAGTGGAGACTCATACTCAAACCTCGACAAGAGCGTGTCCAAATTGGTGAATTGCCACATCTGGGGATACACATGCAGGATTCTCCGTCGTCCCCAGTACCATACATACACACACCTTTTAGCAACGGGCCGCTTTCCAATGCAATAGAAGAGAAGCAGTCCCTGGCACGATCCAGGCGTGGTGGTTACCACATGGCGACGATCCCCAGATTCTGAATGGGTGGCACCCGTGTTCTTAATCTTAATGGCGAGTACCTGGCCGGTCCGCGTGTCGTACTTTCAACCCCAGTTACATCTCACACACTGTCGTCAACCGAAGCCTCCATTTCCTGATTCTCCCCTCACAGCATCGCGGGAGCGCCAATAATGTGTCGGGTGAGGAAGGGGCCCGCCACATTGCGGTGTAGTGCACGAGCCTCGTGGCCTGCATACCAATTCGAGTGAGACTTGCAAGTCATCTGAATATACTGACATACTGGTACATATGCGATGCACAGCCGTGAGTTCGGTAGCAGAGATAAGTCAGGAATTCAATTCGTCGGCATGACCCTCCCGACTGAATGCACAACTTGGGCAACTTGGGGCCAAGACTGAGTTGGATTCGACAGCGTTATGTGCTGAGGCGAAACGCGGAGGTCCTGCGAACCCCTAACAATCACATGGTGGGTATGTATCCTGTCTTTTGGTTACAGCGGGGTCATATCGGCAATCGAAGCTCCACAAGAAGGAAATTTGGCTGTATGATCGGGACTCCAACGTCCACGGCATAGATAGCCAGACACCGCACGCGCGGTCAGGACAGCCCATCCTCGAAGAAGCTGAAGTGCCGCCCCCTTCGAAGGCTTGGTCTTCCTTCCTCTCTCACCTTTCAAACCAGTGGACCCACTGCGCTTCTTACCGGTTCGGAACGAGCTGTGCCTCTGAATCGAATAACTGGTGGACTTGGGGGCCTGGGTCGACCATTCTGGAACGCTCCGGTGCACATATTATGGCCTACCACCACAGCTACACGAGGATCAGCGTAATAGGTTTTGGTGTCCTCGTATGGGAGTTTCTCGACTGCCAGTTGAGGCTGTTCAGACTTAGCCGGAAAGAAATAAATAGCGTTACGGCACATGTCAGGGTTGTGTGGCAGCAGATGGATCGACAAGTCAGAAATTTGGACCTGTTTGGAAGCTATAATGAAATGTTTTTGCTGTTGCGGCATCCCTGGCATGGTTGTATTGCGTGTTAAATGGTATGACAACCAATAGAAAGCCGACCGTGCCCGTTTTTCTTTTGTTTCCGATGGAACGGTAAATCAGAAAGTGTGGCGCAAAGCGGTGAATACAGCAATGTTTGGGATGTACGCAGAACAATGATGGTGAAGAAAATGGATCAAGTGACTGGCGGGTATACCGTATACGATTGTATGTGTCTGTTGTATGTCGTGAGCAACGGGGTTCTGGAAACTTCATCGACAGGAGACAGAGGGAACATGCACATACATATTCGCTGTCATCCCGTGGTAAGTTGTGGAAAAGTCCCCCTCCATAGTGTCGGTATAGGAGGTTAACTAGAAGTATGTCAACGGATAAGCGAGTGCATCATTAGTCTGATCTAATGAATCACTAACTCCCACGTTCTAGTCCTATCACTGATCGGTCACCGTGGTGAGGCTGCTTTGCGTGATCGGTCGGTGCTGCGTTTATTGACGCAGTCTAGGCTCAGCCATGCGCCATGTTGCAATCCTCGAGCCTGGAGACTTCAGGCATCTGACACACCGTGTAAGTTCTCAAAAACAATGGGAAGCGACGACGCGAGGCCGCCGTCAGTGCTATTGCAAGTCTGATCTAGAAGGAAACGTTGCAAGCACACGAGGCATATGGTTCAGGGGTATACATACCATATTTTAACACGTCGGCATTAATCGGTCGCCATTGAGAAGCTTAGCATCGTAAACCATGGTGCCGTGTGTCTTGATGACCCTGTCATATTTTAGAGTCAAGGATCAGTTTACTGATGCGGCGGTGGCAGAACCTGGCGTAACAATGAAATCTTGTTGAATGTGAGACAAACGTGATTGGATGTGAGATTGCCGCGATATCGAGTGCAGGTTGCAACTTGCATCGCTCTTGTGTTTCACGAGTTCGTAGCAGGCTAGTATGTAGCAGTCCTGTACGGGGGTGCGCGCACACTCCATGTTAGTCCGCACAGTTAATTTATCATGTTTCTTGCGCGCTGAAGCCTGAAGACATACATGACTAACCGTGGCAAAGACGACGATGGATGCATGTGATCGGCGGTCATCAGGACATATATCCTCAGCTGCTAGCCTGCAACGTGTCATATTCGAAGTTTCGAGCTGACAACGATCAAACCATGTTATAGAAGAAAAGTGTTTCTGCACGCGCGGATGCATTCGATGTCATACTCCGAGCAAGAAGTTGACAAAATTAGGGGGGGAACCAGGCTTCCCCCAGAAAACCCCCCACCTTCCCAAACCAGAGGCTGATAAGATTGGGGGAGTGAGATTGATGGGAAGAGCTCACTAACTTCGAAAAAGGGGCCGATAGTAGTATTCATGTGCATGGAAGCGGTGGCAGCGGCCGAAGAAACCCCCATGCATGTGTGCACGTGAATGACGTCCGCTCGTTCAATCAGAGGTCTGTTGTGCATTTGATTAAAGTTCCGAGTCAGCCACTGATACCAGACCCCAGCAATCTTGATCTTCCGACGGACACGCTCAAGATGATGGGCTAGGCGATGCAACTTCAAAAAAAGTCGAGTAACTCGAGTTGCGCCCTATGGCCATTGCCTCAAATTTGCCTCCGTGCTCGGGTTCAAACTGTCCATGTCAACGATCATATATATGTGTTGCCAGGGAGACCCTTACGGCGACGTGTTCTATTACGGAGAGTCCGCGATGGCAGGCGAGTTCCAAAAAGTGCAACGCTCATCCGCTTTTATCAATACATAATAAATTTGTTCGATCGCAACTGGACAAGACAGGACTCTGAATCGACTCAATCGACGGTCCCGATAAGTATGTTCGAACAAATCGGGGCAACCGTCGTGCCATTAACTCTTTTGCACACAACCGCCTCAGCTGGGAACGGATAAACCTGTCATACGAGTTGGGCCTTTTTCGCCTTGATCGGAAAGAGAAGAAAGCCACTTCGAAAGGAAAAACCTACGAACGAGGAAGCAGTGCAATCAACCACGGTAGACCCGCTGTCAACCCAGCGCCGCGTCCCCCGTCCCCGTCCCCGTCCGTTAGAGTTTTACGCTTTTGCTTCCATCATCATGTCTTCGCCAAATACATATGAGTTCGATCGAGCACGATGCCTACGCTTTGGGCAACTCCCAGGAACAAACCACAAATGCTACATGTATGGCATGACTCCCTTAGTGGTACACAATGCGTGCATGTATGTACTATGACCAAGTTGAACGACCCAAGAACTCCGAGTGACATGGCAGCGAGGACACGCATATGTACTACTACTAAAAGTGTATCCTGTACGACCCTGGCAAGGACACATAACTGCAGGGTACTTTTTGATATTGTACACTTTTCGCAGGCAGAGGGTAAACAGCGAAGAGAAGAGAAAACGAGGATAAACAGCGAGAAACAGAAGAGACGATGAGCATCGGGGAGAAGAGTCGTAAGAAAAGGCATAAATTCACTTCGAGACAGACAACCGGCAATCACACGTAAGGAAATGATGAATGAACCAACAAAGAAGCCAACCTAGGCCTCATCTTCTTCCATAGTGTCCGCCCTGACTAACGGGTGGCGGTGGCCAGTGGTTGTGTTGAGCAGCGGCTGCTGCTGCCAGTCCACCCAAGGGCTGCCCTCCTTGTGCTCCTGGACCACCAGGCCCTCCTGGATATGCGTACCCGGGAGGAGGCATCATATGGCCGCTATAGATACTTGCGTCGGTGGGGCTGCCAGCGTGGTGCCCATGGTGCTGTCCATGGGAGGCATAGCCCCCTGAAGGGCCGTATTGGGGTGATGATGGCACCTGAGAGTGCTGTTGTTGCGGGCTCGTAGGCGAGCCAAGCGAATATTTGGGGTTGCTGGGGTTGCTGAGCCTTGCTGGTGCTGTGACGGTGGAATAGATAGAGGCGGAGGGATGGTACTGTTGGGGGTCTGGGGCGACCCGGGCCCACCACGACCGGGACCGGAAGATGCGCCTGCAGTGGAGGGTCGACGACGACGTTTGTCGCCGGCGGATGCGGTACGACCGCCACGTGCAACTTCGTCGTCACCTTCTTCGTCGCCGTCTTCTTTAGTGGGGCCCTGGGGACCACTGACGGGGGGACCGGGGATGGAGAGACCGCCCGGGAGGTTAGCGGTATTGCTTGCACCCGGGATAGACATGGACACGGAGGAGCGAGGCAAGGGGCTGCCGACGGGCATGGAAGGAGGCATGTTGGCAGGAGAGGCATTGAGACATGCCTGGATAAGGTTTTTGCCCTCTGGCTGAGTGACAAGGGGCTGGAGTTTAGCAGTGGTGAAGGTGTATACGAGTCCTGTTTCTGAGACGACGAGCAGGAGGACCTGAGTGCCAGTGAGGGTGGATAGTTCGTAAGCCTGGGAGAGGGAGATGGGTTGGTTAGATAAGCAAAGTGTTGCATGGGGCACTGATAACCACGCGCAAATACCTTTTTCATTATGCCTGCGAAACGTTTTGAGTACACGAAGGGCAGGAGAGTGCAAAAAGGACGATCGCGTACCAGCTTTCCTTTTGGAGAATGTTATGTGACGTCTCGATTTATCCTGAATAAATTCGATCTTGATCTTTCGTCTACCGGCCTTCTTATCCTTTGGTTTCTCCTCCTCGTCATCGTCGTCGCCGCCGCTCTCTGCGGCGTCTTGGTCGTTTATGAAGCCGTCCTCGGGTACGGCTGGAGCAGGGACCTGCTGGGAGAGATGAGACTGTTGATTTTGTGCTTGTTGCTGCGGTGATTGTTGTGGGTCTTGTGCACCAGCAGCGGCTGCTGCTGCTGCTGCGACGGCAGGGTTTGCCATGTCGAGGGTGGTGCGTTGGCGTTTGCGCATTGTTGGGGATGGGACGGTGGGGTCGTCTAAGGAGGAAGACTTTGGGTAGGAGGGGTAGGTGGGCGGCTGGGATGGGATATGGCGAAATGACATGTGGTGGAGGGAGTCTGTCGAGGATGTCGACGACGGTGAGCTCGGATGAGGATGCGGATGGGATGGGATGGCTGAGCGTCCTTATTAGGAATCGCTGAAGTTGGAAGGAGGGGGAGGGACAACCCAACGGGGGTGGGACTCACTCTGATCAAAAAAAGGAACTCGTGTGTGGTTCTGTTTGGCCGCCTCCCTGTCGGAGTATCATTCTGCTCTCAGGAACAAATCCGGACATTCCCGGCGACACCCCTCCGCAGTCTCCGCTCGAATCAGATCAGTCTAGCCGTTTTCGGATCTTGCATCCAGGAATGGCAATGTCCTATTTCGGTCCCATCCATGACTAACAATGTCATTCGTCACATGATCATGATCAAATACCCTATTACAAATCAATCAAATCTACATCGCTCTCCTGTGGCGCTCAGCGCTCTTCCCGGTGGTTATTGACACTCGAATATCATCATTATCATCGCCCGGGGTCGCAGGTACACCAAGCTCGCTCAACGCCGTCACGACGTCTGCGTCAAGGTCACCAGTGCCCCCGGCTCGCAGTCGCACACTCTCCAGCCCAATTGCAATCGCACGTGCATCACAGCGCCCTCGCCACGGGCTCGAAAGCCTGCTGTGCACGTAAGCCGCGACCTCCGCATCTGCGTCGCCAATATTCGTCCATGCATCAGTTCCATTCATTCAGCCCACCACACCCACCCTACCACGTACCGCTCGGCTCGCAGCTAATCCGACTCAGGTGTAGCTCTTCGCATTCATCATTGCGACATGTGCCTCCTCCGGGTACCTCGTACTGACATACCCGGATACTTGCATCACCCGCAGTCATCTCGGTTAACCTGCGCAACAGTATAGCCTGCTTCAGCGGCTTGAGGTCTGGCAACATCATAGGAATGGAAGCGTGAGCCATCCTCGACAATGCACCACGGAAAGGAAAGGAAACTGAAGAAGCAGCTAGTGGCGCTTCTATGGCACTATGATGCCCCCCGGTATCCCCACTCGCCGGTTCCAATCGAGATCGCAACAGCGGATACGCCGTCAAAGGAGAATCGTAAAACGTGAAAGCGTTGCGTGCCGCTTCTTCCGATACGTCGTCTTCTGCATGCTCGTGCTCGCGCTCGACCACCACCTATCCCACCAATCATCGTTCAGTCACATCAGCACAGATACGCCATGCGGCCTCCTTGACGCGATTGCGATAGAAAACACGCACCTGCGCCGACGATGATACTCCGGAATCACCGGCGGCAGGAGCCCGTTGCGACTCGTCTCTCCAATAGGAAACCTAGTCGCATGACAACCCCAAAATGAAATACATAGCATAGAATCAAAAGGAAACCACGTCAGGGGCAGGAATCATCATATCGAAGACGGAAAGATCCTTGCCGCTTGTGCGCTGCCTTCTCCCTCTCCGGCAACGTCTGCGTCTGGAAGTGGAGTCGAAGCCGTGGGTGTGGCGTGGTGGACGGGTGCGAGGGTTCGCAGGATAGATAGATAATTTAGCTTGGCAAACGGAGCTTACGGGAATCGCAATACGGATAGCAAACATACCTTGGTCATGATCATCAGACTCCCCGTCGCGTGCGGAAATCTCGTGCCCTGCACCCCCCCCAGTGGTCAAATAGCACAAACACGCATCAATGAAAACGAGGAGCGCGCACGAAACCAGAAAATGGGAACAGAATTGACATTGTTGAATTGAAATCAAAATGGAAAGATTCGCAAGGAAAAAAAATTTGAACGTCATGAATGAAAACATTAAGTCCACAGCAACGTGGTGGGGGGAAAAAGGCAAGCAAAAGAGGTGTATCAGTCGACTGTCGGACCGGCGGAGAACCGAAAGAGAGAACCAATCGTAGATGTCTCTGACGCCACGAGGTCGTTCTTGACGTTGATCGCGGTCGGTACTGCACTCCTCGCAGTAGACGGCTTTACCATGGAGCCGGTAGCTTTAGAAACATCTGGAACTGAGGTCAGCCAAAGAGCACGACAAACGGTAACAAAAAAATGGGGACAGTGAAAATTCTGCATTCCAACACAGACGAATGGAATCCGGTGGCGGAGGGAACTCGTTAAATGAAAACCATGCTCAAAGAAGCCACTGTCGCGAGGTTTCAGAAAAGTCGGACGTATACGAACCCCGTGCTGTACTCGTCACATTTGAAATAGGTAGCTGAGTCTCCGGATCTAATGAACATGAAGATGGATCTCTCGATCTGAGGGATGTCGAGGATGTATCATCTTGCTTGGATGGATTTTGTCGTGCTGGTGGTGTACTTGTATTTGCCGGTTGTTGGACAACAGGTGTGGACTTGCCAGACATCTACGTAATATCTCTCAACATCCTGGCTAAACAAAAGAGCATGGGGTCTTACCACAGCTAGCTTGCGCAACCTCATTTCTTCTCTCTCAGCGATGAGCTGACGCATCTTCTTGATCTCCTCTTCCTTCTCCAAGAGGGCCGAAGGAGGCGGAGCCGTTAACCCAGCTGACTGTGCACTCCCGGAAGACGAGGCTATAGGAGGCGTCGTAGTTGTCCTGGGTCGCGACGAGTAGTGAACGGGAGCAGCTACAACAGCCGGGGAGTATTCACGGCCGTTGGGGTGGATAGCTTGTGCGCGCAGCCTGCCATCTCCATCATCCTCGCTATCACTCAATTCGATAACGCATCGTCTCATGTTGACGCCAGCGAAACTTCCCGTTTTGCGTTTGAGCAGTTGAGAACCACTACCATTAGCGTAGCCATTGGAGGAAGAATTCCCATGGTTGCGCGATGACGACCCAGAATCATTATCGACAAAGTCGGCTGCGACTGGCCGTTTGAATCCCCGACGGTGAGAGTTGGCTTCGTCCGAGTCGATGCTCAGTCGTTGGCGCAGCAGAGCAGGTGGATCGTCAACCGTATCTGCAGAGGGAGTCAATGAGGGCAGTCCGAGACGAGAAGCAGTATTTCTCAGAGCGTCTGATGACGACCCTGGAGGGACAACTGCAGGCAGGTTGGGCTCTGTCTGGGTGATGGAGTCTGGCATCGCGGGAGACGCTGTCTGCGCTGTCCGCGAGCTTGTTGACGGTGTAGAATCATCCGCCGGATCACCGGTAAGGCCGGGGATGGGCTCGTCAACGTCCATACTCTCAGAACTCCTCACTTTCTGGGAAGGATGGGGAGAACTGCGTTCGCCTTTATCAGAGTTCTCAGGATGGCTGGACTCGATTGTCTTGAGGAATTCATCCACGGACTGAGAGGGGACAGCAGCAAGCCCAAGAACTTTGCCTGACGGCGAGATAGCAACCTCTAGATCGCCTTGCCTGGCACGTCGGGAAGCGATGGCAGCTTTACGAGCGAGTAACTCTTGGCGCCGTTGTCGTTCTATGGCATGTAGGGACAGGTCAATCGGAGATGGAGAACTTGGTTCCGCCTTAATTTCTATAGGCGATCGGTTGGGAGATAGCATGAGGCTGTCTTCGGTTCGATCTGCAACATTCTCCATGAGGAAATCCCGAACAGGAACGATAGGTGGGGGAGGCATTGCGGCGGCGGATGATGATGAACGGAACGACCAAGGAGTTGTTGGAGACGACTGAGAGACTGAGAACGCCACTAGCATTTCTGGTGTCGGGTACGGGACTAGGTCACTGGTGTCCAAATTGTCGGGGAGTCGCAGGTTGAGTTCGGTAAACACGTAGTATATCATATGACGGCTTATGCCGTACTCTAGAAGATATTCTGGAGGTACACCCCAGCCCAAAAGGTCCAGTACGAGATCTTTTGCAGTATCGTACTCCTGCTGAGTTACTGTAATTGGAGGGAAGAGAAGTTAGTTGGTCAACGTCAGCGAGATGATACCGAGACGAACTAGTCAGCCCAGGTCGGACATGGGAGGAGTCAAGCCGGTAAGTAGGGGTTTCGAGAACGAACGGTTCATTCGCGGCGAGATGGTGCGCATCCTGCCACGAGGGGCCCGGTTCTGATGGTGAGATGGTGTCGGAGTCGCGAAGTGAAGGCGTGTGAGATGGTGGAAGCGTCTCGGTCTTGGTTGATCCTTGGCGGCGGTTGTGATGATTCAGTTGTGTTGTTGAGGCACGCGGAGAAACTCTTGCGGGTGGTGTTGGCGTCCGTGTCCTTTGTTGAGGTACCGGTGCTGGCGAAGTCTCCGTATCACTGATTTCACCTTCTTCCCGTTGTCCGTCTTGTTCAGTGTCTGGTGTCTTCTTGGTTGTGGATGTAGTATTGGGTGGACCCTTGGTGCCTGCTAGCGGTATAGCATAACCTGATGTCGACATCGACGAGTCTTCCTGCCCGTAATCGAGTTGTAAGCTTGGTTCGGGAGCGCGGCGGGGCGAAGCTTCCGTAGCTGCGACTTTGCGACGTTTCCTAGAGAGTAGGGCGGCGGCACGCAGCGAAGAGGCGGTGTCCACCAAGCTGGCTGACGTTGAGGGCTCCGGCTGAGCTGGACGACTGTCAACGTCCATGGCTTCCAGACAGATGGACCGGTAATTGTTGAAACGATAACAAAGAAACTTGTTTTGGCGGTTGAAAGGGTGGAAAAACCAGGATGAACGGGGGCGGAGTCGCGAAGGCGAGGTTGAAAAAAAAAAAAAAACCACACAAACTCAAATTGGCAGCGAGCCGCGCACGGACCCCCCAAAGGATTCTAACCGACGCAACAGGGGTACCGCAAAACTACTACTTGTACTGTACACAAAAATTCAAAGGAGCTTCTTGCCTTGCACCCACATTCCAACGCGGTTGCGTGTGTCGCCCATGCACCACCACTTTTCGATCATCTCCAGCGTAATCCCACAACTCAACGGCTGGTCGTCAAAGAAGTCAAGCGCACCGATGCCCGCACCGTTGTCGAAATCATAGACAGCAACTATGGGGGGATCTCAGATATTGTCGTCGTGATTAAGGGAGTACTGACTTTCTTGGGCATCAAGTGGTGATCCAACCTTGAGCTCACCCACTTGGTTCAACCCCAACGCAAGAGCACCACCTCGCGTCGCCAGGTACAATGACTCCTTCCATGTAATTGCGAGGGAACGGGTCTCTCTGTTTGCGGTCTCTTTGTTTCTACCGATTCGCTCAAGGAAACGGGTACTCTCCTGCATCCTTGAGACAGCGACCGCATGTCTCATGCTACTCATGATATCGATGCTGTACCCTCCAGCAACGTCAGTACCGAGTCCCACCATTACCCCCGCACCAAGAGCCTCTCGAAGAGGGAACTGCTTCTCCGAGAAATACACATTGGACAATGGACAGTGCGCAATGGCCGTTTTACGCTCGGCCAAACAAGACAGAGAGGGTTTGTCGAGGAACGTGCAGTGCGCTTGGACAGTTCCTTCCCGCAACAATCCATACTAATACAACGTGATGGTGAATCACACCAGTAAGTAGTAGATCGCTTCTCACCTTATCGAAGACCTCGATATCGTCGATATGACGTTCATCTTTGACCCATTTCGCTTGCTCGTACGATTCCGCCAGGTGGCTTTGGATGCGTACTGCCTTCTCTTCGCTCAGCTCGCCAAGTGCCTGAAGAAGCTCATTCGAACAGGTAGGCACGAATCTCGGGGTGATAACCGGTTCTATCAGGCGTTCACAGGGCTGCAGGTTCGCTACGGAATTCCTGCACCTCTGGATAAAATCCTTGGCGTTTGCGAGTGAATCAGCGGACGAAGACTCGCGGTAGGTCTCACGCGAGGAAATATCCATGGATAACTTCCCCACAAATGCTCGAACACCCAAGGTTTGCATCGCATCTGCCAAAATAAGGCTAAAAGCAGCGTAAATAACAGGTTTCGTCTGAGAACGCGGACGGGACGTACTTGGTCTCGGTATTGATGGTGCCGAACAACAGGACAGCTCCAGTACCAGCCTCGATCAATCGTTGCGCGAGGCGTTTGTATACTTTTCTCGCTATGTCAGGCCGAGCATCGAGCATTTCTTCGGATTTGTACGCGTACTGATCTAGCCATTGCATCAGGGGCAGATCTAATCCTGTGCCCTGATACATGAATTGCGGGGCATGAAGGTGGAGATCACAAAAAGTTGGGACCAAGAAACTCCCGGGAGGAAGTGTCCTGACATCATTCTGCTTGATGTACTCGACTGACTCGTTCTCTGTTGCTGGGGACAGCTGAGAAATGACACCAGTGTGGTCAACGACTACACAGGCGAAGAGATAAGCTCTGAAGACGCCGGACGATGGCAGCTGTCAATCACCTAGTAAATGGTCTCTCAGGACCTCTACAACACCTAGACTGGGACAGTGCACGAGAGTGCCTCGAACAGCAAATCCTGTGCCAGATCCCCCTGCCATCATACGGTATGGCGCACAGTTGCACGGTGGAATGTTAAGAATCAAGGGTTTACCCGCTCAATAGTCAAGTGATGCCGACTGACGCCCAAGAATCAAGATAATAACGTGTTGCCATCATCGTGGTATCCATTTTAATCACGATAAAGAGCGTGTACTACGATAATGACCAACAACCAAAGTTCAAACGCTCGGAATGATACATGCTTTGTTACTTAGCCAGTCGATCGTCACATCCTCTAGATGATCATCAAAGTCTCCAAACTGGTCATGCAGACGGTTGTCCCTGACCAGTGCTACAGCATGTGAAGGAGATGCAGGGTTCACCAGAGTGACTTGTGAGCCTGGTGTGAAGGCCGGTGGATCAAATGAAGGTGGTCGCCATGGAGTTGCATCTGCGCCTGGTTGAGGAAGGTACGGCTTCGTTCATCTAGTAAGTGGGGGTGTAATAGACCGGCGGGAACAGTACGTACGATCAGGGCTGCTTCCCCAGATCCAAGGGCATCTCCATCGATCTATTCGTACAGATGTGAGATTCGTCAGTCTCCCAACAGTTCAGCAGGCGTACCACAAAAGCGATAGCATCATTGAACTGATTCTGTATTTGCTGCGCGACGCGCTCCCCCACTGGTGCTAGGGCCGCGTCGTCTGTTCTCTCACAGGCCTGGTAGTACCCCACCAAAGAAAGGCCCAGGCACTCGGCGTGCCCTTTGGACTGGGTCGTATTGGTGAGAAAAGTTTGTCAGACGCACACGGCTGGCAAGGCAAGGTAGAACGGCACACACGAGATCAAGCCCAATCTCCATCATCGGGCTCAAGCTCGTCCAATGGTGGAGAAGGGGGATAGCGTCTTGGATATCCACCACACCGCTGGACGATGTGCTTCCGACTAATACACCATTGACTGGCCGGTGGGGGTGTTTAGCAGCGTGCAGAAAGATTTTAACATATGCCCTGTGGGATAAGGCGTACGACACCATCGTCATCGAATACAGTACAATCTGCCACGTGATCGATTTGATACTTGATGCTATTGCAAATAAGTCTATTACCACACTGCAAGACCAGTTCATGCCTCTTGACGGCTACACCTATCTCACGTCGTATGGATGGACAGGGAAAGGCAATGGCCTTCGCAAGGGTGCCATTGAAAAGCCCATCGCTATCCCGCAAAAAAGAAGTCTTGCGGGTGTAGGCAAGGATCGCGACGAGGCCTTTCCGTTCTGGGACCAGTAAGTATCATGAAGCAGGTCTCATTAGATGATGCTGGACTTTTTCTTTTTTTGGTGTTTAGCTTGTTTACTGCAGCGTCGAAAGCTATTACCATCAAAGTGGCTAGCGACGACGATGACGACGAAAACGAAAACGAAAACGATGAAGTGTGTGAGCGAACTTTTTTCGCCCATACTCAATACTAATCTGCAATCATCGATACTTCAGGATTTATCCAAAATTGAACCACCGGAAATCAAGCGGACATCTACAGGGATCATTTCGAATAGAAGACCGGTTTTTGGAACCGCAACATCTGAGTCAACGTCTGGAACTGCTACACCGGATCCATATGTCGGTCCCAAGCTTTCTCTCATTGCAGCCGCGAAACGCGAGGCCGTGAAGCGTGGTCTGTATTCTAGATTCTTCCGCGGGCCTGTCTTGGGCCCCGATCACGATCCAAGTACGTGCACAACAACACTTGCAACATCAACATCGCCTTCGTTGTCTGCATCGTCTGAGACCACCCCAGAACCAGTGGAAAAGAAGAGTAAAAGGAGGAGGTTGGAGGGCAACGCGGAGACGAAGGAAGAGAGGAGAGAGCGCAAAAGAATAAAGAGGGAACGAAAAGAAGCCCGGAGACTGAAGAGAGCAGCAAAAGCGAAATCTTCTGGAGATCACGACGTCAAAGTCGCGGGAATAGAAGAGGGAGAGGATGCGAGCTCGTTAGATCGAGGATCACGTATGAAGCCCTCAACGAAGAAGAAACACAAACGGGTCAAAGAGGATAGTCCCGAGGTAGAGCCCGATTCAGAGAACGAGATGGCCACGCGAAAAAGACTTGCAGAGGATAACAGGGCAGCCATGCAGGATGATCTCCCTCGTCACGTCTCTAGCTTAGGCTGCGAGAACCCCGGCGTCGAGCTGAACTTGAAGAAAAAGAAAGGCAAACGGAAGCATTCCAGTTGACGTTCTGTCTCATGATAATGCTGCCTGTAGTTCATGTTCGCAGTACATATTACGCTTTGCTGGTCAACATGGCGTGCGTAGCAAAAAACAAGACAGAGAACAAAGTGTAGAAATTTTAAGCCTGAAGCATCTGTGATTAAATGGTAACTGAAAATGGGTAGGGCATATCATCCTCTAACGCTTCTCCAGGCGCTCTGCATCGTAATACGGCGAGCCTACAAACAACGCGGCAATAGTAAGCACAACACCGTAGTTGAGGCATTCAGCATACGCACTTGTTCGAGTGATATAGAATCTTCTCTCAGCTCAACCTTCTGTCGGCCATTTGTCTCGTCTTCGTCCTCTTCGTCGTCGGCGTCGAATGCACTCCTGGTTCCAGGCCTCATACCTCCAAACGAAGCCTTACTGCCAGCGAGCGAGAACGGTGTAGAAGCCACCTTCGTTCCAAATACGCTGGCGTTCGCTGGTGCGCCAAACGCCGCGAAATCAGTAACGACTTTGCGAGGTGGGGATGCAGAAGTTGCAGCTGGTGCCACCGAAGTCTTCACCGGTGGTGAACGAGGCGGAAGGTGTGGAGTGTACGAGTAACTGTAGTATGAACGGTTAGCCTGCTGCCGCGCCTGCAAATACTTGTCTGTGAATCGAGTGCCGAATACCTAAAGTTAGGGCATCACATCAACCAGAGGAGAACTGTATAAACCAGGATCAAGCATACCCGCTTTAATTGGGGTCGCGCTTCCGCCAGGGACGGAGCTCCCATGAACACAGCCACATTGTGTGCAGCCTCCGTTGACTCTTTGTAGATGCTTTCAATCACCACCTTCTTAGTACTTTCGTTCCGGAGGAGGAGCTTCTCGTGGAGCTCCCGAGCAACATCGTCCACACTTTCGTTGTTGCCAAGTATCCGCTGTGCAACCGCATGTCCAACTTCGCGGATTAAGCGCTCCATGTCAAGGTTCTCTAACACGCTGCCCACTATGGCATGTGATAGAAGATCGGCGGTTGTTAGGGGAAGCATGAGGCCGGATGTAACATTCGTTATTGCTTGGTAGAAGTCGGTTGCATACTGGGCACTGGGTCAATATTGAAATGGGTCAAGGGTGTTCGAAGACACGCACAGAGTATCCGCTCAAAGCTGGCTCGCAAGCGACAAAAAACTGCAAGATTATCAGACAAAATATATAACTGAAAGCATTACTACGTACCAGCGTGATTCCTCGGCTCGCCATTACGCGTGCCAGTTGCAATGGATCATTGCCATCGGGCGAACCTTCATCGAACCCTTGTTCATCGGAAGTGTTGAGTCAACGAAACAATAAGCGGAAATAAACGGCATGTGCTCACCGTCACCGTACTCCCCGATACCGTGCGGCGGAGCGTCGGCAATAAGCACGATCATCTTGCTAGCACGTTCCCTCCAGTCCATATTCAAGGCTTCTGCCAACGCAGCTGTGACAGCTTCGGGTCCATCGCCACCCCCGGATGCATACAAACCAGACAGATCTCTTTGTACTTTGCTGATATCTGATGAAAACCCGAAATTCTTGGTTACATATGTGTGATCTTGTGGCGGATGGTCCCGGAATGCCACCAGGCCGACTCGTAGGTCTTCAGGGGACTGTAGCTTTCCGGATTCAAAAATATGTGCGCAGATTTCTTGGATGTTCCTCGTAGCGGAAGAGATGTAGCTGCCTTGACTCCCTGTACAATCTTGCACGAACACTAGATCGCTGTAGATGTACCCCTAGACATTAGCACAACAATACGGCAGGAATGGTCGAAACCAACAGCATCTTATTTCCAGTGTCAGCATGTTTCTGCGAGTGTTGTTGGACAGGCTGTGGAGAGGCATTGGCATCGAAGTCCATATCTTCGTCCATTTCCACGGCTGGTCAAGATGGTGTTGGATGTGTCGTTCTTCCTTGGTTGTTACTCTTAAGCTTTGGGATATCAGACTCAATCGTACCGTTTGGCTGGTAGATCGGTGGCAAGGGGTAGTGCAGGCGTTGCGAAAGCCTGGCAATAAGTAACGACGTTGTTGCAGGATCAACCCTGCAGGCCACGACCTTGAGGCAGTCTCGGATCTGACTAATCGGATTTCGGATCTTGCAGCGTGCCCCCCTAGTGCCAGGGCCTCAGACATGCAATTTGGTGTCCTCTCGAATTGAAGAAAGTCCGTCTATAAGAAACGTGTAATGTACGAGGAATGATTACAAGTCCCTTCTACCAAGCAACCATGCAGCCCAATGTGTGGTCCAGCCAGGAAGCAGAGGTGTACCCGGGCGCAAAAGGCTCCTGTAAAGCATCACCAACCCCGCGCTGCAGCCACCCAGCAATGCGGTCACGGTCACGTACATGCGTAGCCGTTCTGCCGCACATGTCAATGCATGTTCTGCACCTCCTGGTGTCGCCGCGTGGCTAAAAGCGTGTCAATTCGCCCAGAAGTCAGCAACGTGCATTCCGGCACACTTACGGGTTCATCGCGATCCGACACATTTCGTGGAAGACGTCTGCGGTTTGCCCCGTTTTCACGCTCACAGCTACGGGAACCTGCAAGCCCAACCGTCTGCAGTATACATCAGGTTGCACCTCATGTCTCTGCAAATTCTTGCTCAGTGATGATAGTGAAGTGAGAGGAAAAGGCTACCTGTTGCGCAAGATCCAGATCAGATTTCGTTGCAACAAAGAGGGTCGGTATACGGTCTAGATTGCAATGTTGCTTCGACCATTTTGGTTAGAACGACCATTCACGGAGTTTCTCGAGACATACCCGTAGATTGCTGATGTATGAAAATGAATTCGTGTCGCTCGAATCGTAGACGTAAATTATGAGGTCAGCAAGGTCCAGCTTTTTGCTTGCACGGAGGACTTCCGTCTCGTATTTAGAACCAAACTCCTGCAGCTGTCGGATGTAAGGCAAGCTCTCCGGTATTGATATCGAGGAAGCACTGCCTACCACAAGATACTTCTCTGACCCATCAATGTCCACGGCATTAACGACGCTGAGTATTTTGCTCGTTGGCTCGTATGCTTCCCGGAATGGCTTCCCAGCGAAAGATCGCAGTAGTGACGACTTCCCAGAACCAGCAGCGCCGCACACATAACATAGAAAAACATTTCTTGTCACTTTCCCTTTGCGTCGATCGAGCTTTCGGGGGCGCGTGGTGTGGAGTGCGCTGGTACGTGGTTCATCTAGATACCCGAGATATGCCAGGTATGCAAGAGTTACTTTGTGATCTAGCAGTGTTGTCATACTGGACCAGGTTTAAAACAAGGGTTGTGGCAAGACAATGGCTAGCTTACCTCCATTGGGCCAGCCACCCTTGAAGAGTGACTGCTCCCGAGTCGTCGGCCAGCGTCGTGTCCGGAAATTTTTGGTTGACCCAAGGGTTACCTGGTGACGTACTAAACAGCTCTTCCAGTTCCGCCATATTTAAGGCACCATCTTGGTCCTTATGAAGATAAGAATTGGCAACAAGAAACTTTTTACTGATGACCTACCTTATCGAACGTCTCAAAGATGTCAGTGAAGAATTGATATCCCTTGGGACTCAGCTCAACGGAACAGTCATGAGGCACATCAAGCCTGAAGACCTTTGTTAGATGGTTGCCTCGTAATGCATGAAGACTGACTTCGGGAAAAGGAAAGACTCGGTCAACTTGAGATCTTCCCCGTAGCCGAACTTGCGGAGGACGGTCCATGTGGTCTCTAGGCGACCTCGCTGTATAAAGATGGTGTGGAGGTAAAGAAAACCCGCCTCCGTCAAGCCGTTGTCCCTGACGCCCTCTGCGGCATGCTCCCTGACCATTTCTCTTATGCCCTCGAGTTCTTGAAGTTGCAGGGGTGCATCAAAGCATTTTCTCTAAAAGGCACTACCCATATCAGGTGTGCTGTAGGTCACCATACAAAGATGCACTTCACCTGAAACTCGTTCAGTTCAGCAGCATCAAGCACGCCATCTTTGTTTGCGTCGCAGAGTTTGAATAGTTCTCTTCAGGGCATTAACGCATGCAGGTTTAAGGACCTAAGTATCGTTCATCAGCGAGATCTACAACTGTTAAATGGCTTACGACGTACATGATCTTTCGAGTCATACAAGGGGGCCGTCGGATGCAGAACCGCCTTCTGTGCGAAATAAAAGACCTCGGAAACATTTAGAGGAAGCTTGGCTGAACACTCGACACAAGTCTCGACTTCCTACGACGAAGTGAGTTTGTATGAAGGTAAGACATGAGAATGTTACCTTGAAATCGTTCATTATGGGTATTATTTCATCTTCAAGTGCTTCATTGGTCACTTCGCCTCCTCGCAGGTCGATCTTATTCCCGACCAGTATAACAGGTACCTAGAAGACATGAGCACACTGGTTCTCACGTGGATTTGCGGGATGTACATTAACGCCTAATTGTCGGAAGTGGGGTAACCAAAATGCTGGTATTCGGTCGAAAGAATTAGGGTTGTCGATAGAGTAAACCACGCATATTACATGGGCCTTGCGTATTTCGGATTCTAAATGTTGCCTATCTTGCAGTCCCGCTAATACAACATGCAGAGCAACGGTGGTGGAAAGGAAGTCAGGTCACGCACCACCTGAATCAACTATATATGTAGTGACGTTCTCCGGGGTTACCTCGGGAGGAATGGTGACCTCTGGAACGACATGTTGCACCTGGCGAACAAGTCAACGGAGGGAAGTTCCGGGGGAGTTGAAAAGCGTACGTGGGCGACGAAGGACTCTTTGATGAGAGAAGTGATGATTGTACTCTTCCCCACACCCTCTGCGAGACGTTCAGCGGTGATTGACCCAGAGGGAAAATGGTCACACACCATCGCCAACAAGCAGAATGCGTACATCCCTCCTCATCGGCTTGAAGCGTGCAAAGTACAGCCCACTGGCGTATCTGAGCTGCAACCTTTCTTTCTTTGCTTGACCAAACCACCGGCAGCGTTGGACGACTCAGTACTTCCTGCTCGTCTTGGAAATGACTTGGCTTGTTCGGGAATCGGCAAATGCCGACTACCTAATAGCCTGGAACTCATCCGCACCACCCGCAATTACATAAGCAACCATGATCCTTCCGCCGCGTATTAATACTAGTCCCAGTCGCTCGACCTGCCTTGCATTGCTTACTCGCTGCCCGTAATGTCGACGACAACAACGGTGGGATTTACCATCCCCGTAGACGTTGTGCTCATCGTTTTAGAGGACCTGGAGTTGGACGATCTCATTAGCCTCAGTTGCACCTGCAAGTTCCTCTATGACGTCGTAAGTGCGACCCGCTACCGTCTACTGAACGGTCCATTGCTCATGTCTGTCAGGTCAACGAGTTTGGGTGGCTGCTATATCTCCGAAGGCATGAGAGGCAGTCATTCACTCTCGCCTCTGCGCGGAAGCGTTGGTCTCCGCTCGCTCAAGTGAAATACAATACTCTCGCTGACCGTGCGTGGTCGCATTCCAAGTTTGTCGCACGACCGCTGTCCCGGGCGTGGTCGGGGAACTTACAGCCTGTGCTAGCGGTGTCTTCTTCAAGACTGTTGGTCGCCGCTGGGGGGATCATATACTCATATGCCATTCACGATCCATTTACCGAGGGATACGCAACCAGATTCACGTACGAGGGTTCCTATGCCTTCACTTTTGGTCCCAGGACACTCGATTGTGACATCACGAACATGGTTTTCATCGATGACGGTGGGGAAAACCGCATTGTGAACATTGGTTTTGACGACGGTTATGTAGAGCGTATCGATCTTCCACCACACGATAGTTCAAACTTGCGCCAGCGAGTTACGCTGAGACGCGCTCCTGATAAGGCACTTCACATCCATGAACGAGACACGGTCGAGAGCATGTCCTATTCTCGGAACAGCTTTTTGTCATTGTCTTCATGGGGTTCAGTTGCTCTAACAGACCTATCGTCTCCTTCTACGACCACTACAACTTTTCACCTGGGCATTAGGAGCTGGTCGAGCCATTTGTGTATGACTGCATCCACCCCTTACGCTGCTTTCGGCATCACATGCACGGCCTCTCCAACTCCCCTCTTTCTCCACTACATCCTTCCGTCTGGGTTGTCCCCTACTGCTTCGCTGACGCTGCATTCCCCTCATCAGCGGCCGTCTGCAGTATATGGAATAACGAGGCCTCCACCATGCTCACCTCTCGGTGACTCAGATCAAATAGTTGTTTCCGGTTGGTACGACGGTGCAGTTCGTGTGCATGACCTACGTGCACCCGAGCAAGCGACCTCGGCCGCCGGTAGACCCACTTCCCTCAAGCCCGTGCTCACATTACAAGACCCTTGGTCTCCCGAACCCGTCTACTGCGTATCCTGTGGCGGTGGATCGGCTAGTTTTGTCGCCGCAGGCACGGCACGGCACAGCGTCGTCGCTTTTTGGGACGTGCGTCAGCCCACCAAAGGGTGGAGTGTCCATGCACCGGGGAATGATTCGTCGCCCGTCTATTCGCTCATCCTAGAGTCGTCCCGGTTATTCGGAGGTACTCAGAGCCGCTCCTTCGTTTACGATTTTGGGCCTGGAGTCACGAAGGACACGTACCCTTCAGTCCCTCCTGCAAGCCACAGGGCCATTGACCGCCACCTTAGGCCCATGAACGACGGTATCGACTACTACGTTCTGAAGTACAATCACAACCGTACAGGTATACCTATGTTACGTCCTGAAGTACTCCCCACCACGGGTATAGTCGTGTAGTTCGTCAAGGTTGGCATTTTCAGCTTTTTCTTCTTAATTTTTCATTTTTATAAGATTCTTTCTGGTTTCCATTGCAAAGATGTTACCTACACATTTGCGCTATTATAGAAGATTAACAGGGATCTCCTTAGTACTGGGTTACAAACGGGCATGAAACAATATGAAGATAAACAGATGGGAGGATCGTCTGCATGATTGATATAAAATCGTTAAGCCGAACACCAGAAACGAAATTATACCAGGACAACAGCGGGAGAAAAAAGAATCATAGACTAGCAACCCAACATACCAAGTGCAGGAAAGACAAGAGGATCGAGAAAAATATTTACGCCGAAGTGGGCTGTTGCACCTGCGAACGTGTCGCCCAGTTGAAAAGATGCCGCATATCGCCGGTGGGAGGAATGTCAGCCGGCTGCTTGGGCTCAACAAGCAGACTATTTCACCGGATATTAACGGATATATTAAGCATGTTGTCAGAAGGACTACATACCTTCTCCTGTAAAGATCTTCGAGATCGCCATGATGTTTGGAGTTTTCAAAGGCGACATTCAGGTAGTCCTGAACCTCGGGAATTTGTTTGAGGTTGTAAGGAACTTGAAAACGTTGCATGTCTAGGCAGTTCGGTTCAGTACAATGACAGACAACTTGGTGACATGCGCTGCGGCAAACCTTGCACTATCCTCGCCAGTTTGTGGTACTTATTGAAGTTAAGTAGCTTCTTTCCAGATGGACCATCGCGATATGAGGGGTTGCCTTCCCTGCAGAAAGTGACGTCCGTGAGGTACAGACCTGCCGGCAGCAGTTAACTCCTGTACGTCAATACTTTTGCGGATAACTCACCCAAGAAAGGCACTGCGGGCGGTGCCGTGTTTCGAAGTCTGCTTCGATACTCGTGATAATTACGGCTATGGTCAGCCAAGCGTCTCAGAGACTCCAATTGCCCTTTGTTCTTTTGCGGAACACCCTGTAACGAGACGGAGTAAATGAAACGTCTATTTGCGTGCAAACATAACTTACCGACCAGGTTTGGTGTAGGCGGGAGATCGTCGAAGAATCCAGTGCTGCTAGAATAGATCGAGGGGTGCTGAAGTTGTTTAAAATTGTGCACCTCTGCGGTCCATGTTAGTATTGCCCATTGGTGAGCTATGAAATTCGTCCTTACATCAGCAAGCTTGATAAAAAATTTAACAAGAGTTGTGCGCTTCTTCAGGTCATGCTCATTCAAAATGTTCTCGGCCACCCATCCAGTGATGACGGTGCTCAGAGAGGATACAGCTTTGACGTGGACTGGGGGTTTCGCACCCTCCTGCCCAGTCTCCAAAATTTCCTCCGGTTGAATAGCACAGTACAACTCGCACTCCATGATTGTTAGTTGACGCGCCAACTCGAGAGCATCGAAATCCGTAACGGAAACGGACTCAAAATGTTTGCTACGCAAAGCGGCCAACAACGTCTTTGTCATGGTAGGACGGGGAATTTCCGAAGGTGAGAATGTCGGCGGGTTGATGGACATGCCTGGATCACGAGCTCGTTCACTTTTGGGGCTGATAACGTCGGAGTTTGCGTCTTTCCGAATGTCAATAAGAGTAAGAATACGCTGGGACGGCCCAGGGAAATAAGGTTGGAGCACCTCTCGGGTGAACGTAGCAAGATGTGGCAGAGCAGGATCGTCCACACCAGACCGCCAGTATAGTTCCAGCCAGGTTTTGACAAAGTTCGACACCCGAAGGCGGATTGGCATTTCCTTGTATCGCTGCCATACGAGCACATTCTCTTCGGACATGTTGGAGGGTGGAACGACATTGTAACGGTCGATGATAGCCTGCACGAGTTCGACGGGGGAACAGAACAGACGGAAAGTAAGGAAAAACACCGCAGAAAAAGCGGCATCCACAATGCTGTCCTGCGGTGTCATCTTCTCTACCAGGATACCGAGGGAAGCAGCTACAAGGTGACCATCACTGTTGTATATCACATCCAGGTCAGGCCCCAGGCATTTACGCTTCACCTCAAGGGTGATTAATGAACCCTCATCGCTTCCAACGTCGTCTACCAAAGTGTCAGGCGTCCGCCGATGGAAAGCGTCGACATCGTCTACGAGTTGTACGCAACACGATGAGGCTGTATCGGCAAGAGCACCCAAATTAGTCCCCGAGTCTGCCTCCGAGGATTGCTCATCAGGGGACGTGAGTGCAGTGTCCTGGGAGCCGTCAAAAGATTTAGAAAGGGTGGTAATATCAGAAGAATCCGAAGATGTTTCCTGAACTTGTGCCAAAAGTTCAGGGGGACGAACTGATTGAGTGTGAGGATGAATGGTGACATCTTCATCAACAGGGCCCTGACATAAGCCGCTAAGAGCAGAGGCGGTCCCCGGATGTGAAGGGAATTTGCTCGGCGTATAGGGCGCAGGGTCGGAGTGCGACATGGTAGGTAATGCGATAATGAACTGCTGCTGGCTAGATGTGCGACTGAGGCACATCTTCACCGCAGAGAAGCAATCAGCACCAGCCTTGTGTGCTTCGGTAGCGGACCGAACCAGAGAGTCTCTCTCCGCATCATCCGTGACATCAGGAGGCAAGGGCATTGAGAGCTGTCGCACTGATTCCGCAAGGGAGCTCGTCACGTTGCACAGGCCTTCCTTTGACAACTGGAGATTGTTTACTTTATGAGGAGGGATGCCCGGGTGCCGTACGACAGCTTCGACGATGGTGAGTAGCCCACGGGCCGTCTCCACTATTTCCCGCACTAGGTTGTACATATGACCTGTGCTCGAAGCATGGGATGAGCGAGAATGAGAGAAAGCGTGACCAATAAACGCAGAGACCGCAGAGAGATATCCATCACGGGTACGCTTTAACGCTTCCATAATTTCCGCGGACGTTGTCGGTCCAGTGGGGAAATGGGAGGTTAAAACCGCCTTCGGAGACTCGGCGGATGAGAAGGATGACGACGAGGAAGTACTACTGATAGACACCCCAGGCTTATGACGACTGCCTGCTGTCCGTTCGTACAGCTGGTATTGCTCTCTCTTTGAACGAGTCCTAGCAGCCCAATGAGAAAGTAAGGGTGCAGCAGATGAATCCGATTCGCGATATGTCGCAAACCGCCGCTGCGATCGGAGGTCGCTAAGGCTCTTTGTACGCGTGGCTGTTTTCAACAAGTTATCGCCGTCCTGCTGTGACGAAGGTTTCGGAGGGGTGGCAAATCTTGGAGGGGTAGATAGGGGCTCGGAAGTCTCCATAGGAGTAGCCTCCACTGCTGGAGCAGGTCACAGTGCTGTCACCGCACTGGGAGACTTGCGCCTTCTCTGGTAGTTCGACTCCGCATTGCACCGCGACTGCCAGAAATCTTCGTACCTGAGAGAACACTTGGCCGCCAAGTTTGAGCATCCCCTCTATCTCCGCGTCGCGAATGTCCTCATCGTAGCTTTCGTCTGACGCCTTCTTCGCCTGAGAAGCCAGAGCGGCGAGAACGGACAATATATTCTTACGTTCCACAGCAAGGATAGGGAACTGTCTGAGGAGGGACGCATCACGTTGTAAGCATTCCATGGCGGAGAGGATGGAGCGAACACAAGATATGATGCACGCCGTTGCTGGCTGAAAGTGCACTATACGGTTGGATCTGACGGCGCTCTGGAGTAAGGACAGGCTGTGAAGCAAGTTCACCATCAAAGGTGGGCAGTATGATGTTATGTCAGAGCCGAGCGCTTCCGTCACCAAGGGTCGATGATCTTTTCGTGAAGACCCGCGCGATGGGGTGGTGGCCCACGACACTGACGACATTGTATGTCCGTGCCGCACTTTCTGCCGCTGCTGAAAATTATACGAGCTAGTTGAAACGACGTAAGTGAAGAGTCACCACGACTTACAGGAGAGTAAGTGCGGGGCAAGTCCTCGGCCAGAGAAATCACACCCTCATCAGCACTGACATAGTTGCTCGGGAACCACCCTCTCTGTCCATCCAATTCACCATCCCACCAACCACTTGTATCCTTGTTGAGCACGTGAATGACTTGGCCAGCACGGAAAGATAAACAGGTGGCATTTTGCTGCTGTGGGATAAAATCATGAAGAGCTAAAACGAACTCGGACGCGGCTGGTTGAATCCGCATCGTCTCGTCGGCAGAAGGGCTAGTAGGATTGGATACAGTCACCTGAGTGCTTTCAGGTTCCTGAAGTGGTAAATAGTGCAGAGGACGAAGAGGCGGATGAGGAGGGAGCGGGAGATTCCACGGATAAGGATGAAGATGTAGATGCCAGCGATCCGCTACGTGCACGAGTCCAGGTTTTGCGACGTATGAGAAGGACCGACGGATCGCTGGTGCGACGCTAAGGTAGTACCTCGATGTACATTTGTGTTGATATGAGGACGTGACGTGGACATGATAGACGATTCTTCTGCTGTGTTTACGCGAGTAAAAAGGGAATCTTATAGGCGTCTGTTGGTGTCCTCTGGTATGAATACGAGCTAGGACGGGAGTCGTGTCCGAGCGGAACGTACCAAATATAATTTCAAAACGCGGAGATCCCGCCAGTCGGCCAAACGCCAATGGCGGTACGACCGAGAAAAATCGTGTAACAAGGAATATCCACACTACGTGGCACGGTGGACGGGCCAGCAAGACCTCCAAGCGCGACAGTACGCGGCGGCACAGCAAGACCGCGGTTCGGAATCGCTGTCCACTAAGAAACTAAGGATACAAGCTCGTCGCGGTCGTCGCCGTTGGTGGAGTCGAGTCGAGTCGTCGTCCTTGACGCGTTCAACTTGGTGTCAACATATATTGCATGGCTTTTCCTTTTCCCGGCATGTTCGACTAGTACTGTCTGAGATCGGCAACCCATTCCGAACATGCTCACAACAATCCAAAACAATCCTGCCATCTTTCTCATGCCATACTTGGAACTGATATCGGCTGTCAAGACTTCACAGCTTCATGGACGTTTGGCGCAACGCACACACGATTGGCAAGGGGATCATACAATATGTATCCAGGTTGCTAGGAGCACGTAAGTGTTTCCCTCCAGAACTCATCCCCTGTCTTGCCATGACGTGACGGAGCCCTTCAAAAGCCTAAAGTAGTGAGTGGCCATTTCCATTTGACGTTGATCAGGTTTGAGACCAGTATTGTCCAGCCAAGACATGGACACAAGTTCCACTCGCGATCTTGCGACCTAACGCCTTTCTACTATGGGAAGGCCCAAAAGTCGGACAACGCGCGATATTCTGTTGTACATGAGTTTCACCCGCTAACCTTCTGTTTAGACTCGGGTATCCGTATTGCCCTCACATGCTCTTCTCCTTGCGCACCCCTCGCTCGCTCCCGAAAATATCCGTCGGGCTTTGATTATTCGTCTGACTCCAAACCAGCCAATCACGATAAGGAGGAAAGCCCCCGCCACTGCCGCGCCTATATACCCAGAGTTGTCATTCGCCTGTGAACCCGTCAGCTCTTAAGGTTCCGGAAAGGACGTAACACATTCCGGGACATACTCGTTGCCATGCCCGCCACCACTTCCCGGCCAGTCCTCCCCCATCCGCAGCCGATGCGGCCTGTCGACACCTTGCACACTCCTGGCCAATTAAGCCCATGACCTCAATGAGGGCAATGCTACAAAATGTTCCGAGCTTGACGTGCGAAATCAGAATGTGCCTTACCTGAATGCGAGAAGAATGCTCATGCTCGTTAACAAAACACTGAGGTTTGACATGGTATGTCGCTTGGCGCGAGTAACACGATCATCTTTTCTTGCGACATTGTTGCCGTCATCTTCGGCGCCCCCAAACACCCCTGCAATTGGATTGGCAGGAGTCCCCTGCTGTTGGGCCAAATGGGTGGTCCGCTCTGGCTGCGTTTGGCCAAGCATGCCATTCATGTCTACATCGGGTCCGCTGGACACACCACCGTCATCCACTGCATTTGCCGGTATAGTGCGCTCGAAGATCTTCCACGAATGTTCCGCGAAACCAGAGTACGAGTAAAGCATCATGACCGAGTTCAAGGAATCTACCAATGTCATGCCGCCCGTGAATAGCAGCTGGGAACACGTCAACACCCGACCATCCGCCACCTCGCGGCTGATCTTACAGGTAACACCAAGACCTGGGATGGTCGTATTCTATTATCTCCGCCATTCTGTTGCGCAAGGGCCGACAGGGCGAGCAAAGCGATCGAAGATGCCGTGTCGAATCCTGACAAATGTTGGCGCCAATCAATCATTTGTAGTAACCAAATCCCCCACCTAATCCAAACAAAACTCCAACGGGGTACATCTAAGGGTGTTCAGATATCCAACCAAAGTAAAGAGGTCGGTAACACACTTTCCAAGGACGATTGACGAAGTTAACAAGGGGCCCGAGTACCCGCATCATTAAGGTATTCTGAGTTTGTGAGTCCGCACCCGTCGCTGCATCTTTCCCATCCGTGTGCTTGACCTGTGTACGACAGTGTGTAAACTGGCAAAACTTCATTTCAGAAACCGATAAATGAAGGCGTACTCGGCGCTGACGTATTATTCTCCATAGTATAATGGAGTTCCCAAGGCCCACGATGAATAAGAATGAGGCGCTTATGGCAGTGCCTATGTGACGTTTGAGATGAGCAGCCAGCCCAAGGACGACTCGCTCACCGATGACTGAAGCGAGATTATTAAAGGCATTTAACTTATTGTACGCGCTGATGCTAACGACTATGGCCAGGTTCTTACGTTGCACGAAGTAAGCTGACCCACGGCAAAATCAGTGTGATCAAAGAACGTACTGCCGCAATCACAATGGTACTGTGCCCGAGGGAGAAAAAGAAACCACATGTTACTGGAAGCTGCCCGTGGCTGATAAGCGTACGAGTAGCATTGTCAATGGCACTTGCACAATATAGGGTGAGCAGGCACTATGAGTGGTTGAGCGTTGCTGTGAAGCATCATTATCCAACAACGCACGGTATGTCAGATTTAATGAACCAGGGTACCTAATGTGATCAGCATCCAACGCTGTGAATGGTGCGGTGGTTACTACATTCTCATACTGTCGTGCTAGTATTCTTACCGTGTCTGAGTCCAATCGTCTGTCACCGTACAGACAGAAAGGGAGATAATACACTCATAATCAGTACTGTCAGTGTAGACCTCGGAAGATGGAATTTCTCACCCATGCTAACACGGAAAGACCGAGCAATGAATGCCACTGTGCCGCTACACCCCAGCACACTCCATTGACTAGCAGCAAAAGCGAGATCAAGACGAAGGAACGCCCGAACACTGTGAGGGGAAAGAGCAATTTGGACAGTCTGGTCACTCTGCCCATTGCAACTTTGTACCAGTTCCGCACCCACATCATCCTCCACAATCAGATCTTCGGGAGAGAATGAGTACCCCTGAAGGCCTGACAGTTGAACGTCTATCTGCGTAGATATCACCCTGTGATAAGGCATGATAAGGCCTTGGCTGGACTCCTAACCATGAAGATTACATATTTTCATTCCTCGCCAAGTCCAAACTTTATGGCTTTTACTTCAACCCCCCTCAGCGCTTCATCTTCATCGATCGTCTCCAATGATTCACTCTAGGCTGGGAAGGCGTGAAGTTGCATGAGGGTCTGTCAAGATGCTGGCGCTGACTAATCAGATCCTGCAGGCAACTTAACCTGGTGCCGAAAAGATGCACGGAACGCGTTAATTCTTTTGCCTGCACCCGACGAGTTCCGTGGACGAGTCCACGTCTTCTTCTTAATCCCATGGAGGGAGTCATCACATTCTATGACTTGTAAGTCTTGCCGCTACCGCAGGTCACCTGAGTCACCAACGTACAGGTCATGTTCAGTGTTCACTCTTTGTATCGAACGGTCATACCGCATCCCGAGGACCGTATACCCTTCGAGCCACACCATGCCTTGCATCTCTTGGCCGCTCTTCTGCCAATGATGTACATGGCCTATCTCGCTCGACGCCCAGACACATTCCTTCTCCGCATTATGCTACTCCCATTGGTCGTATTAAGTATACTTGGAACCTTCTTCCGCTTCGCAGTTCTTGAAGTAGGATACGGTACAACCAATTGGGGATTAGGTATTCTATCTCACTCTCGGCTGTGGTCAGTGGGGAAGGTACTAACACGTCAGTAGGATCGCTTGCTCTGACTAGTGTCGCCAAGGCCATCGATTATGCTTGGAGACCTGAGGGGATGCTCAAAATCGGAGAAGAAAAAACCTGGTGTTTCCATCAAGTCTCCAAATAGAAGGACTGGTAGCGGATCTTCAGGCGACCCCGATGCCTTAACAGCGACGTCGTCAGTATGGCAACGCCGTTTACCAGCGTGGATGTACGACTCCCTAGAACTTCTTCTCACCAACAGAGGAATCGGTTGGAAATTCGGAGCCGGAGTGTATATCCCAAAGGAGCATAGGTCGCTTGAACGATCTGCATTCCTTTCCGAAACTCTATCCTCTTTCCTTCACAGCTTCCTCGTCTTTGATGCTTGTGAATCGTTTATCAAACTTGTGCCGGGTCTTAACACTCCCGAAGGAGGTACTATTTTCAGGCCCGAGTTGCCTATCCCCCAGCGCTACATTCTTTCCACTGCAGTTCACATCGCCACAGGATCCGCCATCGTAGCAGGGTTTGACTTGTATTACCATCTTTCTACACTTGTTGGGGTTGGGTTACTCTCCAATAAACCGTCATCGTGGCCTCCTGTCATGGACCATCCTTGGCAATCTGACTCCCTCCATATATTCTGGGCAAAACGCTGGCATCAGATCCTTAGAGAGACTTTCTTTGTTTATGGTGGCTTTTTTGGGGGACTTGTGGCTGGAAACATCGGTACCGTGTTCGGGACATTTATTGGATCGGGCCTCTTTCACGAAGCCGGAGCTTATGGTCTCGGACGCGGATTTGATCCTCACGTCGTATTTTTCTTTGCGCTGCAGGCTCCACTGCTAATCTTGGAGAGAATTTGGACGCGTAGCACAGGACATCGTGTCAAAGGTATCTACGGACGGCTATGGGTATATTTCTGTATCGTCATCTTGGGACAACCTTTAGGTGGGTCACTATAGCTTCTGGCTAACGGTGCCCAACGTTTGACGTGGTGTTGCCTAGTGGACTCGTGGCACAAAAGGGGTCTCGGTGGAGGCTACGTCATCGACCCACGCATCAGTCCTATTCGTCTACTACTTATACCATTCCTTCGGTGGTTTACAGAGTTATTGGGTCTTCATAGTGTGTCTGTCCTTCTTGGTTGATGATGCGCCTCTTTTCTCCTTGCAACGCTATTATTGCGGCTATGATCTATGGATATCACCCAGGATACCATGAGCTCCGCACCGCGGAAACGACTTCAAGAGAAAGAGCCTTAACCTTTATCTACGATAAATACCTCGAGTTCCTATGCTTCATATTAGTGTGGCACCTAGTAGCAATCTCACTTGGCAACCGATGAGCACATTGTGCATCTTTATTTAATGACGGAGACATCTAGGTCAGGACGGCTGCCTCGCCACCCCACGCCATTCGAGTTTGCCTGCCAGGTCTTATCCCCTCCAACACTCACTTTCTCCTAGACTTCGACCGTGCTGGGAGAGATGCCATATGGTATTGGCCAATGCATAGTTGGATAGGCGTGATTTTTCGAGGCTAGCACGGCGATTGGCTGAGGACACAAGGCACTTTGCCAGTTGCGCAATGCATCGGAGGACATGGTATACTAAGTACCACGTCGTTAACCCAAGTACTGTCCTTACGTTTCTTGCCAAGTTAAACCCGCGCGCTCGTAGAAAGAGTCCAGCATCGCGAACATTGGTGCAACAACGACGCAGGTGAAATTCGCATCTTGAGATTTAGGTGGCCGGTGTCAAAACGTTTTACTTTTTATTGGTGCCATTGAATCGACTGCGAGCGCCAGAAGAAGGCACCCCTTCTCTGACATTATCAACATCCATTTGTCCGAGAGTATGCGTCCGATTTTACAGGTAAGTGAGGGCGAGGAAATAACTAATTCGCTACCCACCCATCAACCCCATAACCAATTTCTTCATTCAGTTACTTCGGCTCATTCTTACATACCGACTCGGACTAACCATATGTTGGTTGAGTCGAAGAAGTTCGTGCATGCTGCGTTACATAGTTTCATACAAACGCAAATGACGCACGAGGTACTTACGTCGGAAATGTTGCATTATGTACATAGTATAAGTAGATATACCAGCTGCAACTTTCCCGCACTAAGTACCCGTTTCTTTTTTCTTTTTTTCTGTGGTGCCTTCTCGTGCGTATGGAGTGGGTTGTCGTGTTCAGCGAGTTGTGAGTCGTGACTCATAATAACCAGGTTATTTCAATGATTTGCTGACGCTGAGGTCGTGCTCAGCGCTCATGATGCATGGCAAACAGTTATACCATGTCCAGAGGACCGGATACCCTTAAGGCCTCGCCATATCTTGCATCTGGCGGCTGCGGTTCTGCCATCGGTGTCAATGGCCTACCTTGCTCGACGTCCGAAGACTTACCACCTCCGACTCATGCTACTCCCACTCATAGTATTAGTCACATTGGGGACTTTCTTCCGCTTCATAGTCTCCGGAGTGGAACACGCCCCGGCTAATTGGGTAATAGGTGCTCGATCTTACTCTCAGTCAGGGTGGAACTTACTGACACATGTGAGTAGCATCGTTTGCCATCCTTATCGTTGGCAAGGTCATCGATTGCGCTTGGAGACCTGAAGGAATGCTCAAAGTCGGCGAAGAAAAGCTAGATGTTTTCATCAACTCTTCTAACCAAAGCAAAGCCCAATTGTATGATGCCCTTGAACTCATATGCACACAGAGAGGAATCGGTTGGAAGTTTGGAGTTCGAGTGCACGTCCCAAAGGAACATAGGTCTCTCGAACGATGTGCATTTCTTTGGCAAACTTTAGCCTCCGCTCTTCGAAATTTCGTCGTGATCGACTTCTGCGAGTCATTCATCAAACTCGTACCAGGCGTTGGTTCACCCGAAGGAGGTACCATCTTCAGGCCCGAGCTTCCTATCCCACAGCGCTACATTCTATCTACCGCGGTTCACGTTGTCACAGGATCCATGTTTATTGCGGGTTTCCAGTCGTTGTACGATGTCCTTACGCTAATCGGCGTTGGCTTGCTCTTCAACGATCCCTCATCGTGGCCTCCTCTCCTGGACCACCCTTGGCAGTCGGACTCCCTACACGTATTTTGGGCTAAAGGCTGGCATCAGGCGCTGCGCGAGACTTTCTTCATATACGGTGGCTTCATTGGAGGAGCTATTGCTGGAAATGTTGGTACTGTTTTTGGGACGTTTATTGGATCAGGCCTACTTCATGAACTCGCTATCTGTAGTCATGGACGGGGGTTTGACCCACAAGGCATGCTCTTCTTTGTACAGCAGGCCCCACTGCTAATCCTAGAGAAGCTATGGACGCGTATCACTGGACACCGTGTCAGAGGCATCTATGGACGACTATGGGTGTACTTCTGTATTGTCATCTTGGGGCAATCTTTAGGTACGTCATCGGTTTGTCGTCAGCGATGCCCTACGTTTGACGTGTGAATGCTTAGCGGACTCATGGCATAAAAGAGGTCTCGGTGGAGGCTATATTATTGACCCACGCATTAGCCCTGTTCATACACTACTTATACCATTCCTTCGGCGGTTTACAGAGTTCTTGGGTCTCCACAACATCTCTGCCCCGTTTGGTTGATAACGCCCGCCTCTTTCTTTTTGCAAAACTACATTGTTGCTATGATCTAGGGATATCCCTAGGATACCACGAGCTTCACTCCACGGAAACGACTGGAGCGTTAACCTTCTTCCACGATAAATACCTCGAGTTCGCATGCTTTGTATTGGTGTAGTACCCAGTAGCAATCTCACTTGGCAACCAACTCGCGCACCGGTAACGACTCGGCAGAGACAGGTGAGTACTTGAGTCCCGTCATGCCATGATCTGAGTTTGCCAGCCAAGTCTTCTACTCAGAGTTCACATCCCCTCCAGCACTCACTTTCTCCCGGACCACCTTCTAAGGGCCTCTTGTGCAGCTTCAACCATGCTGGGAGAGATGCCACTGGCCAATAAATAATTTCATATTCCGAAGCTAGCACGGGTGATTGGCTGAGGCCAGGGTCAAGAGCGACAGTGGTTTTCCGGCATCAGACACTTTGCCAGTTGCACAATGTATCGCGGGACAAACTAATGGCATAATATAGGTACCACATCGTCAACCAAGAAGCATACTGTCCTTACGTTTGCTACTGAGCTGAACCGACGCTCGTAGAAAAGGAGCCCAGCACCCTCCAAATTGTATATGTACCATCACGAAGTCATCAGTGCGACGACGACGCAGAAGAAAATTACTTCTCGAGACTTATTGGTGGCAAACGCTTTCCTTTTCGACCGCGAGCACCGTTTGAAGACACACTTCACCTTAGTCCATGAAAGCGGCTGTAAGTAGCAATCTTGACATTCACTCGTCCCGTTACATGCGTCCAATTTTAGAGTTAAGTCGGTTTATTCCGGAAAATGAGCAAAGGCAATAAAGCAATGCTGATGACGTCGGCACCCAGCGATCACCCTCCACAACTGGATCTCACACCGGGTACAACCATGGTAATGACGAACAAGGGCGGAACGTCTTGGATGCGCGATACCTGAGGTAGGTGTGCTCAACAACGAGTAATTGCCCAACAGCGTTTCGCGCATCAACGTTGCTGAAGTTATTCAATTGGTTCCGCACGTTCATACGATGTGATTATGGACCGGCCCGAACTCCACACGAGAGAGGTTGGTTCATTATGAATTCAGGAGTGTATCCCGCGGCTACAATGATGCGTTGGCTGGGAGAGGAGAATGACCTACATATGGCAGGATGTTGCCCGTGGCTGACCAGTGTATGAATGGCATTGTCGAGGTGACTGTGTGTAATGCAAGGTGAATCAGCACTAGCACTATGAACGGTTGAGAAGTAGATCTGAACGTCATCATAATCTTCAGTGCACAAAACGGCAGAGCCCTTCACAATGCCTGATATCGCTGCTGTGCACTACACTAGATGTCTCACTGCGATGACAATCTTACGGCATTTCGATATCGCCACCGTATGAATGGAGTGCCAGCGACATATGGAATAGTGCTACCGCCACAGTCGGTGAGTATAGGCACCCACCTCTAATAGGTGTCAGATGGAATTCCTCATTCATCCCAAGGTTCCAGCAACACACCGTGCCAAGCAATCAAAAACCGATATCGTAAGGAAGGGCAGCCCATGAAATACTGCCGGGGATGTTTGGACAGCCCAGTCGATTTGTCCACGGCAAATAACGGGTTACGCTCCCATACTATCGTCCATAAGCGCTGCGGAGGAACGCCCGTATCGAGATCCCGAGAACAACCAATACTATTCCTTACATTCTCAACCACACTGTTCTGGTCACTTCGGACCTTGTCCTCGAGGTTCCGTAGTGCAGCTGCATGGAACGGAACGACTCAGGTGCTTACATATCGACTAACCATACGTTGGTCGAGAAAAATTTTGTGCTCTCCTGCACTAGTTTCATGCAAAAGACATAAAAGGTGCGCAGGAAATGTTGTAGTCATACCCGTTGTTTCTTCCACCTGCGCCCTGACGGGTCGTATTTTTATACGTATGGGGTGGGTTGCTGTGTTCAGCGAATTGTAAGTCATGATTCATATATCCAGGTTTCTTGAATTCTTGAATCACCGACGCTAAGGCCGTGTCCAGCGTTCACGATGCATGCCGAACAGTTATACCGTGCCCAGAGGACCGTATACCCTTGAAGCCACAACATCTCTTGTATCTGGTGGCTGCTGTTTTGCCATCCATGTACATGGCCTACCTTGCTCGACGCCCGGAAACTTTCCTCTACCGCCTCATGCTACTCCCACTCATAGTATTAGTCACACTGGGGACCTTCTTCCGCTTCAAAATTCCTGGAGCGGAATACACTCCGGTTAATTGGGGAATAGGTGCCTAATCTTGTTCTCAGTCAGGGGCGGAGCCTACTGACGTATGTAAGTAGCGGCGATTGCTATCTTTATGGTTTCCAGGGTCATCGATTGGGCTTGGAGACCTGAGGGAATGCTCAAAGTCGGCGAGGAAAAACTAGGTGTTTTCATCAACTTTCCCAACCAAAGCAGGGGCGGTACATCAACAGACGGTACCAATGATTCAAGAACATCGCCATCAATATGGGAACGCCACTTACCAAGCCGGTTATATGACGCCTTGGAACTCTTCTGCACGCTGAGAGGGATCGGTTGGACATTTGGAGTCGGAGTGCACGTCCCAAGGGAACACAAGTCTCTTGAACGATTTGCATTCCTTCGCCAAACTTTAGCTTCCGCTCTTCGACGCTTCGTGGTGCTTGACTTCTGCGAGTCGTTCGTCAAGCTCGTGCCAGGCGGTAATTTACCTGAAGGAGGTACCATCTTCAGGCCCGAGCTTCCTATTCCACAGCGCTACATGCTATCTACCGCGGTTCACGTTGCCACAGGATCCATGTTTATTGCGGGTTTTGAGTTGCTGTACGATCTCTTTACGCTAATTGGCGTCGGCTTGCTCTCCAACGATCCATCATCGTGGCCACCTGTTATGGACCATCCTTGGCAGTCGGACTCCCTGCATGAATTTTGGGCGAAACGTTGGCATCAGTTGCTGAGAGAGACGTTCTTCGTATACGGTGGCTTCATTGGAGGAGCTATTGCTGGAAATATCGGCATTGTTTTTGGGACGTTTGTTGGGTCGGGACTACTTCATGAACTCGCTATTTGTAGTCATGGACGGGGGTTTGACCCACAGGGCATACTCTTTTTCGTACAGCAAGCCCCATTACTGATACTGGAGAAGCTATGGACGCGTGTCACTGGACACCGTGTCAAAGGCATCTACGGGCGATTATGGGTGCTTTTCTGTATTGTCATCTTGGGCCAATCCTTAGGTACGTCATCGGTTTCTCGTCAACGATACCCCACGTTTGACATATGAATGCCTAGTGGACTCGTGGCACAGGAGGGGTCTCGGTGGATGCTACGTCATCGACCCACGCATTAGCCCTGTTCGGCTGCTGCTTTTACCATGCCTTGGATGGTTTACAGAGTATTTAGGCCTTCATCGCATCTCTGCCTTGCTCAGTTGAGGCTATCTTTCTGAAATTCATTTCGTCAACTTAATTTCCTCGTCACTATGTATGTGATATGCAGAGACTCCTAGGATGTAATGGATCATTTGTTTGGCTACTCACGAGCGCAGTGGAGATCTCAGTACAAAGATGGACGGACTACGATGCCGACTCTCCAGCCATTTGTTGCCATCCAAGCTCATTCGCCCAGTTTCTCCACATCCTGTCCAGTACACGCAATTTCTCCCACCGTCCCAGGCTGGGATCCTCAAGGTCGCGAACATCCTCTAAGAACCCTTCGCGCGGCTGCGACCGTGCAGGGAGGGATGTCAGTGCATAATTGCGGAGATGTGTCAGAGATAGGACAAGCAATCCCGAGGTTAGTGGTGGAATGACATCTGAGGACCGATCTTCGTCACCGTGCCTGCCCGAAGACCTTGGTTGGAAAAGAAGAAGGCGCTCGATTCTCCTACGTGGGAGGATAAATTACACGCTACTGCTGTGAGATTAAGCACGCACCGCACTGCCAACCAGACACTCTGCCTCTTGCGTTTACCGCCATATTTTGCACGTTTACCGAAAAGGAGTCGAACGAGGGAGCCCCCTACAGTATATACAATCGCGAACGCGGGTGCAACACCAACGAAAGCAAAGGTCAGTTCTTGGGATTTGAGCAATTTATCGATCCCTCCTAAAGCTTGATCAATGTCGACCTTTTCTCGTTGTTAATACCTCGATGGCGAGGATCACGGGAACTGAAATACCTTTGCTTTCTGTACCTGTATGAATAGGGATCTCAGCAAAGTCCCGGTCAAAGCTGACTTGACGGGGTATTTGATATCTTCTTCGTAAATCTTAAGGAGCGGGGTAAAATCACCAAGTCGTATCTGCTGTGAGAGAGTAGCAAGTTGCTGTTGATCATAACCTAGTTTTTCTCCTGCCAACGCAAGACTCATCCTCTCGAGAGACTACCAAAATATTCAGATGGAACGTGACGACTGGTGTATGCCCAACTCACATCGAAGTCGGCAGCTATGGACTCCGGTCGGACGATCATAGCTTCATCTCCACCGGCCCTGATAGTCCGGTAGACCCCATAGAGGGGTTCTAACAACCAGTCCTCAAGGAAATTCTTCGAGGTCTCGATCGCGTCTTGGGCCATGTCGATTAGTGATGCTCGAGATGCGTACAAAATTTTGAGACAGTACAATGTTAGCGGTGGTAGGAACAATAACCGTGGCCACAGAAGAGTAAGCTTCGACGGACGTCGAAGGTCCTCGCTATTGAGGTACGAAGAATGACCCCCTGGTTGTGTAACAAAGACCGCGTTGTATAATCCTTCAAGAAGCGAGGGCACGCTATTTTCCAAGAGTCTGTCGGACGTGGTGGGGTCGACGGCGTTTGAAAACTCGAGGAGAAACTCGCTGTCGACTGAAACATCTTCCTCAACATTCGGGGCGTCCAACAACCAGGTTAACTTCGGCCGCAATCCTAGGAGCTTCCCGAGTACTTCAGCTCGTTCATTACGAATCCTCTCGTTTTCACGGCGCTTTATGTAGCACTCCTCGCGAGCCAAACGAAGGGGATAAGTCACAATAGCAATAAACTTCGATGTATAACGGCAGAGCGTATCATGCAAGAATTCAAAGTACGTCAATGCAGGGCGTCTAGAGTCAATGCGGAAGGATCCTGCAGAATGAGAGCGAACCGAAGTAGGTGAATTGGCTCCAAGATGAGGAAAGAATGTGGTCATGAATACGCTAGGTTGCCATGGATTCTTAGGAAAGAAAATACTGCGAATGCGAGGAAGATGCAATGCCGACGTCTGAGGGACGCTTTGATGGATTTTGAGTACTTGAAGCACCTTCAAAACACGATGAGGAAATGCTTGAGGATGTCATTTAGATATACGTGAACCGAGAGTGGTCCGTCAAACTCAGCCCAGTAACAAGGAAGAAAGAAACTCACTCTGCAATAAGTATAGTGCAGCAGACAGATTAGATTGTTCGGTTTCTGACCACCATTCGGAGTCTTCTTGTGCGGTGCTGGCCTCGTCAAGAAACAAGTCCAGAGATCTGGCGTACAAACCCAGCACGACTTTCTTCAAGAGAACGGCTCGTATCTCATCGGAAGCTTTGTCGCCTTGATGCCTGCTCACGAGAACTTGATCGCGCAAAGCAGTTAGAGCCTCCCAAATGGCATCTGCAGAGAAGGGTGGGCTAAGAGTAGCGTCGATGTCCCTGAATGCTTGTTCGACTTGTTTGTTTGTCCCGGGCGAGGATGTCTGGAAGCAACCATGCGAGAAGAGTGGACCAGCGTAATGTGCGGAGAACCTCAACGCCATCAAGGCAGACACTACGCTCCAAACTCGAGTCCAATTTACCTTATGACTTTGACTTTATTTGGCCATTTACACTACTTAGCACAAGTGTCGCTGGTTACTCTCATCGCTCTCGCCAACACACGCGTTGTGTCGTTACTTATTTCTTGAATACGCGGATCTCAGCAGGGGGCAGAAGGACGAAGATCAGGTCACCTTTTCGAAGGGTGACAACGAACAACTCGTGGTTTCACTGAAACATATAAAGCACCACAGACTGAACGCCTACCACTAATTAATGGGTCGCTAGCAGTGGATGCGTATTCTGCATGCGATGAGGGCTGCCAGACCACTTCACTGGTAGCCGTTATTCCTAACATGGCCCACCCTCATCCCCGAGTGGGCCATTTAGGCGTAGGTTAGGACGCACGGAAGGATAGCCCGGACGGTGCAATTCGGAGGAATTCGTGACCTGGGCTTAGCTACATAGAATAGGTAGCCAGCAGTTAGAAGATGCCACTGCCGTTGCACTCGTGAGCTCTCAGTTACCTTGTCCACTAATCGTCGTGCCATATTACTTGGCCAGCGGCCCATCGATCTCCCCACATCACCCGCTTGTGATATGCCTTCCTCATTTCCCGGAACTGTCTAATAAATTCGTCCACATCCGATGCGTCGTTCAATCTCGCCGATGATTGAACGAAAGACGACGCCAGCGTTTCCGACGCGTTGTCCAGATCGGTTGTTGCATGACGGAGACGCATCAGGAGAAATTGAGGTGTGAATCGCTGTATTGGAGTTCATCAGACATTGCGCGTTTGGAGAGGGGACGGCGATGAATGGGTACCTGATAGAGTTCTTTGTGTTCGCGCTCAAGGACTTTCCATCGTGCCTCGAGTGCCTTCGCTTCGTCGAAAGCGTCTTTGGTCTCGGATCTCAACTGGTAGAGTCTACCTTGCAGTGACAGGTTTGATCCTCGACGACTCCAGAGTTAATGCACGACCGAAGAAGACAGAAAGCGAACGTACGAGCAATGGCCTCGTTCGCCGTAGAAAGCTCGGCCTGTGACTCGTAAAGCTGTTTCACGGGAGAAAGAGAGTGGAAGATGCTTTGAAAGTATCCATGATCGTTCAAAAGATCCTCCAGGTCATCTCGGCTGTGCAAGTCTGGTCAGACGATAATCGTTATGAGCCTCTGGTACATACGATAAGCGGGACAGTTCCGGGAACTCTTGCATGAGAGGTGTTGTCGCCATGCTAGTACTGTTGCTAAGATGGCAGATCGGTGCCAAGAGTGCCCTTTGCCAGTGACCGTCATGACGTCGTCCTTCGTGATGCCAGGTGAACACGTACCGGCACAGCACGTCAATCTCAAGCTCGGACCAGGCCTATCAGAGCTCTCGGTTGCCCGAGGCTCAGGAAAAGGCTCCAGTTCACGGCAGCCGGTCGTTGCAACACGGGCGGGGATACTAAACCACTCTAGTAATAGGAGCAAGTGGTGGGTAGAGGGCAATTCACGACGGGTAAGTCAAGTCATACTCTCCACTTTACAGGGAAGTGTATCAAGTGTATCGTCAAGTACGTCCCAGCACCCCAGGAGAGTGTCATAGGTGTAGTCAGTGGACGTAGCGGAGAAAATTGGCGGGTGGATATTGGTGCTGCACATCCTGCATCGCTAGATGGCCTGGCATTCGAGGGTGCTACCAAAAGAAATAGACCTAATCTCAAGGTACGCCCCCCAACCATGCCCATGCGTTCAGTGTTATAGATAGTCTTACAGGTGGGATCAGTGCTATATGCCCGAGTGTCACTTGCACACAAAGACATGGAACCGGAATTGGAATGCTTCGACGCTCAGACACGTAAAGCGGATGGTTTTGGCGAGCTAAAAGGCGGTTTCGTCACGCATTGTAGTTTGCAAATGAGCCGATTGTAATCGTGCCACCAAGCCTCTCTGGCATACCGTACTGATGCTCTCTTACAGGCTGCTCGACCCGAAGCATTTCTTGCTTCCTCTCCTGGGCTCCCGGTTTCCACTGGATATTGCCGTCGGCGTGAATGGGCGGATATGGGTCAGTACCAAAGAGGCGAAACAAACCATCGCTGTTGTGCGATGTGTTGAGGCAGTCGATCCCGACGGCGGGGGTATGGATGAGGTTTCTGTCAAGAAATTCCTTGGTGAAATGGAACTTTGATCACGCAGTACAGTTGAAAAGTTAGGTAGGCGCAGTAATCAATCGATGGCAGCGTACATCGCCAAGTTTCGAGGACGTGATCCAGAAACAGGGGGCGAGTGGCACATGCACGCAGAATCGTGCCCTAACCATGAAATGGGGCCAGTCATCGTGCAAGTGATCAGTACAATAATCGCAGTGCACAGTACTATACAATAAGGTAGAGAAGCTGTTGCTACTCATCTTCTGCTATGCGAGCTCTCTTCTGTGCTCTCCTCCCCAACCCCTGAGAGTCGTCGTCGCTCATCGTTCCAGCACTCCTGCGCATAGCCCGTTTGCGCCTTTGGTACTCGCGGTCACGGAACTTTTTCTGTTGAGCAGCAGTCAGTTCTTGCGGGCGGGGTGCCGGAGGGACGACGACGGTCGTCAAACCGGGGTTCGTAGTTTTGGGATCGTCGGGAGCAGGGGTCGTTTCTTCCCCATCTCCAAGCAGTTCTAGGGACTGCAAAGTCAGATTAGCTGGGCGGTAAGGCAAAGTAGCAGCGAGCATACCTTGGACCATGTCCCACTACTGGTTGAGAACCATCTATCACCCTCGCCAATCTCGTGTTTCCTGCGTGCTGCTGCACCTTGGGTGGGTTTCAGATACCCGTCAAAGCCGTGGATGATGTTTCCAGTGGTGGCGGTATCTGTGAGGTAGGATGTCTCGAGGTTGTAGATGGTCAGTTCCATCTGAGCCTGGCGAATGGGCACGTCAACTTCTGCAGCACGACACCGGCCATATAAGAGGAGCACACCAACTGTCGGTCTGCAGCCCTCCTTTTCGCGAGCATCTTGACGAGCTCCTCCTTGACTCTGTCATAGCGGGCCTTGTCGTCTGCATTGGCTGGTGGGTCTTTGCTGGCCATGGCTTGCTGTGGCCGTGGTGTGTCATTGGCAGGTCTTCCTATTTGGGGGAGTGACGCGTTGCTTGTCCTCAACCACAACTACTCAAGATGTCCTCCACAGAATCAAACCCGCCTCCGCCCCCAAACAACAACCCAGAGAAGCAGCCAGAGTCTGACCAGCCCGCGTCTTCTGCACCAGCACACACCACTCCTGATGGCGGCGCAATGGACACCACCCCAGATCGTCCTCCAGAGGACAACTGGGACGACATCCCTCCGGAAATAATGGCCTTGGGGACAGACGAGATGCTGACAAGAATACGACTCATCGAGAACGACATCAAGGTGTGTGCCCAACTGTAAACTGTTTACAAAAACCCTTGGCTTACGTGGCGATTCAGGTCATGAAGTCAGAGACTCTTAGACTACAGCATGAGCAGAGCGTCATGAAGGAGAAGATTCGCGATAACGGGGAGAAAATCAAACAAAACAAGGTCCTCCCTTACCTCGTGGGCAACGTTGTGGAGGTATTCCGTCTTACAGTCACTCGCTGAGCTATCCCTTACCAACGATTTATCAGATACTAGAAGTGGATCCCGAAGGCGAAGACGACGGTGCGAACAGAGATCTGGACTCGATGCGCAAAGGGAAGTGTGCGGTCGTGAAAACCTCGACGCGACAAACCGTGTTCCTTCCCCTCATCGGTCTCGTTCCTCCAGAACAGCTCAAACCTGCCGACCTTGTTGGTGTAAATAAGGACTCTTATCTCATTCTGGACCAACTGCCCACAGAATTCGACTCGCGCGTAAAGGCAATGGAAGTCGATGAACGGCCAACGGAGACATATACAGACATTGGTGGTTTGGAGAAACAGATCGAGGAGCTTGTCGAGGCTATCGTTTTGCCAATGGAACAAGCAGATAAATTCAAGACCCTGGGTATAAAGCCACCCAAAGGTTGTCTCATGTACGGTCCACCAGGTGAGCCCAAGAGATTCGACCGTTACACTCATTGATCTTTGTTGTAGGTACCGGCAAGACGCTTCTCGCCCGAGCCTGTGCCGCACAAACGAAGGCTTGCTACCTGAAACTAGCGGGACCCTCGCTAGTGCAGATGTTCATCGGTGACGGCGCCAAGCTAGTGCGCGACGCCTTCGAGTTGGCAAAGGAAAAGGCACCCGCTATAATATTTATTGACGAACTCGACGCCATCGGTACGAAGCGGTTCGATTCCGAGAAAAGTGGTGACCGTGAAGTACAACGAACAATGCTGGAGCTTCTCAATCAACTTGATGGTTTCTCCAGTGATGAGCGTATCAAGGTGATTAATACGATGAAAGAAACAACCCTCTTCCAGGACTTCCATATTAACTGTTACCCATCCAGGTCATCGCAGCTACAAATCGAATCGATATCCTTGATCCTGCACTACTTCGTTCGGGGCGTTTAGATCGCAAGATCGAATTTCCCCTTCCGAACGAGACTGCTAGAGCCCGTATTCTCGAAATCCATTCGCGTAAAATGACCGTCAGTCCCGATGTCAATTACGAGGAACTTGCCCGCAGTTCGGATGAGTTCAACGGAGCACAGCTTAAGGCTACGTGCGTGGAGGCTGGTATGATCGCTCTCAGGGAGGGTGCTATGAAGGTAACCCACGAACACTTCTTGAGTGGGATTGCAGAGGGTGAGTGTCTTCCTGCTTCTTCTCGACATGTCTGACATACCTAACAGTGCAAAGCAAGAAGAAGAACGACCTTATGTATTTCGCGTAGTTCTAGTCCTTTCACGGTGATTCTTTCTCGCTTTGCCCGAATGCGATTCACATTGTGCGTGAAAGTTGAGATGGTGAATTTACACGGGCAACCACTAGCTGTTTGCTGAAGAATGTCGGACAACTGGCTTCACACGTACTCGGTACAAAGCATGAGCTCCAAGATGAGTGGGTTTGGCATTTTCACCAAATATGCTCACCATGGCCATGTGGAATGTGAATACTACTGTAATACAGAGCCTGAGTTGTGCAGATAACCGTAGAAGTAACTTAAGCGCCCCGCTACTGGGTCGCCAGTTTAAGAACTACCGGCGGTGACGTCGCAAACGTACGTAAAACATAGTCTCTCGACACATCCGAGCTCGATCCCGACTTTCATTTTTTCAGCACCTGAAGCTGAACGTGTTCGTGGTAGTCTCCTCTCAATGCAAGGAGCCCATCATGGGTACCAGCTTCACTGACACGACCATCTTTGATGAAGTAGCTGTAGGAGATCAGGTCACTCCGGGAAACACGAGAGGGAAACTCGAGGAGGGGACACGTACATGCAGTCTGCATTCTGGATAGTGGACAGACGGTGGGCAATGGCAATGGTCGTCCGCCCTTGTGCTGCCCTATCCAGTGCCTCTTGCACGACCTTCTCTGAGGTAGAATCGAGTGCAGACGTTGCTTCGTCCAACAGGAGAACCTTGGGATTACGAAGAAGAGCCCGAGCGATGGCAATTCGTTCTGTGGGTGACGCACATAGTTAATGATCTTCATGTAGCTAATATAGGATAGGGGAATCTCGCTCACGCTTCTGACCGCCCGAAAGCTGTGAACCCTTGCTACCCACTTCAGTTTCGAAGCCGCTAAGGAACAAAAAAATCAAAATGGAAGGGGGAACGTCGAGGCAGCTCCTTACTTTGGCAATGACTGGATAAAGTCTAAGATATTAGCATCCTCGGCATACAGCCTCTAGTCTCCTCTTGGGTAACTTCGGAAATCGGCTTGGTCGCACCAAGCAAGATGTTAAAGCGAATAGTACCAGCATAAAGTGTCTGCAAGAAAGACATCAGTCATACTGTCACATCGGCGTCTCGTTGACACTGACAGGTTCCTGCGAAACCAGTGCAATCTGTTTCCTATACTCTTGGATGTTGAAGTCGTTGATAGGTTGACCATCAAGAAGGACCTGACCGACTAAAGGGTCAGTAGAAACGCTCGATCAATTGAATGCTGCAAAGGCTGTCAACAAGCTAATTGCGTGCAGCGCTGAAGTACACATGGGCTCACACAGTACTCTTACCGCAAGCCGCTCGCACCAACCAACGCCACGTAGGTACCTGCTGCAATCGTTAGGTTCAGGCCACGAAGGACTGGAACCGTAGATCTTCGTGGGGTAAACGGAAATGGACGTCTGCCAAGCGAATCTGACCCTCAACGATTCTTCCCTTGAATGTCTTCCCTTCAGGAGTTTCGGCGTCGATCTCAGGGGTAGAGTCTAGTAATTTGACAACTAGCTGCACCTGCAGCACGAGCTGATGACACGTCGGGTACGAACATAAAGACAATGCCAGCCTGTAGAGCTGCGAAGGTGACACCCTAACGTGCAGGTTTATCCAAATAAATCCTAATAAGGAATTCAAAAAATTTGCGTACCATGAGAGCGGTGAAGAAATCGGAAGTTGATACTTCCAAAGTGGAGATAAGCTTGGATCCGTACCAGAAGACGAGGGCGACCACCCAGAACGTAGAGGACTGAGAAAATGCGTAGATCAGATTGCTCCAGATCCCACTCCTGTTTGAATTCCTGAGAGGCTTCCTCCAGACTGCTTGAGTATGATTTCAGGCAGTCATCTTCACGGGTAAGCGAGGCAACAGTACGAATGGCACCGGCGGCCTCGCACGCCATCTTGGCAGGAATCATCGTGCGCAGCCTTGTTATGCTGATCTTTGAGGACAACCACGCACTAAAAAGGGTCAGAGCATCTGGCTGGTAGGCTTCATATTGGCTCACAAGTCGAATGTAACCTGCAAAGAAGACAAGAGGAATGCAAGCTGGGAAGCACAGGTCAGGGGTGGTACGTGCGGGAGGGCGGTATAAGTAACCAACCTATTCCAACAACAGCGGGCTTCCATGCGTAGACAAAACCTATCGCCGAACCACCAATCAAGGTCGTAGCAGCTTGAATGATACTGTCCACGGCTATCAGTACAAGTTACGTTATATATTGAAGGTTGGGTACGAACGCTCCAAGGGTAGTTCCAGCTAAACCGTTGATCTTTTGTGGATCATCATTGACTCTAGATGTGAGGGTACCGGTCTAATGTAGAATCAACCAATATCTACGCTGGAAAAAGAAGTAACAGTGTTCACATTATTCTCAACTCTGTCGAAGAACTGGACTGATAAATCTTTAGAGGCAAAGTTTTAGCGTCAAGCCGAATTACTCACTATCTTGGCGAAGGATAGCATGGAAGCTGATGGTTCGGAGTTTCGCTGTCAACTGGGACGCAGCTACAGTAAAGACGTAGCTTTGAACCGCAATCACTACGGCCGAAAGGATAGAGATGATGAAGAACCTGTTCAAATCGACATTTAACACTCTGATGCCCATGCTGGCCTCGGAACACTTACCACAGAGCGTTCATATTACCGTCATGGCGCCTTTCAGAAGGGTCAGGGAGGGAGAACCCGGAAATCGCCTTGCCTGCCTAAGGGTTACATGTATTTCAATGGCAGAAGCAATACCGGACTTACCATAAATGATGGCAAACACCGGGAAAACCATACCGCTCGCTGAAGAGTGTTAGTATCAACAATTGCCTGTCACACCGAGGACCTACTCATCGCAGCTATTGCGCCGATGACATACATACGATAACCCTGCGGGTTAAGACTTCCAGTGCGCCTGAACAGATACAATAGGTCATATGAGTTCTCGTCAACTTGGGCTTTTCCTCTCCCTTCGATCTTCGCGAAGTTTGACGTCACCGAATGAAGTGTATCGCAGTGGTCGAGCGGAACTTCATCCTCAGTGAATTTTTCCTTGTCCGCTATGCTACTGACCACTGCGATGTCCGTATCGCCTTGCGCTTCTTCGGTTTCCCGGAGTTTCTGAACTTGAACGAGGCGCGTATACGTTCCGTTCCTGCCGATGAGTTCCTTGTGTGTTCCTTGTTCCAAGACGACACCTTCTCCCATGACGAAGATCTGGTCGGCTCCCTTGATCGTCGACAGTCGATGAGCGATTGCAATCAGTCGTTCGTCCAGCGGATGCTTTATCAAGAGCATCCTGCACCCCACCCTCCGACCGTGTATCGAGAGCGCTAGTTGCCTCATCAAGCAGAAGAATTCGTGGGTCAGAAACGATTGCGCGCGCGATCGCCACGCGTTGCTTCTGACCACCAGAAAGAAGAAATCCACGCTCGCCGACCATAGTATCGTAGCCTTGGGGCAATTTACTGATAAAGCCATCGGCGTTGGACTTGATACAGGCGTCCTTGATCATTTTGAACTTTTTGTCTTCTGATGCATGCTCGAAAGGAGTGCCGATGAGGCCGTAAGCAACGTTAGCTCTAATGGTGGTCGCGAAGAGCGCAGGTTCTTGGGAAACCAGGCCGATCTGTGAGCGGAGCCATTTTATGTTCAGGTCGCGGATATCCACCCCGTCGAGCTTGACAGTACCTCTGTGAGGGTCGTAGAGACGCTCGATAAGTGAGATAATGGTCGACTTTCCAGAGCCGGAAGCCCCAACGAGTGCCGCTGTTTTTCCAGCTTCGAAAGTGATATCGATACTTTTGAGAATCGGAACGTCGGGTCGAGCGGGATAGCTAAATCGCACGTCCTCTACAGTTAATTTACCGACGACCTTTTCTGGCTTCAGTCCGTGCGGGCTGGCAGCATCAATGTCGGGTACGCGTTCGATGGTCGCAAATAATTTTGCTGCAGCCCCTTGGGCATTAGTTAAAGCTGCGAACACTTCAGAAAACCCAGCTCATAGCATGTCGCACATACTCGCCTTGTGCTTCTGGGGCCATCATGGCCAGAGAGAGAGAACCAAGGAGGATGGCCATGAGGACATTAGTGACCTGACCAGCAGTGGCTGAAATGGAAATGTGAGTCTCTATGGTCAGCTATGACACTGCGATGGGGTCTTACCATGACCTTCGTTCACTAGGGTAGTGCCGAAATCGAAAGCTACAAGTTATTTGTCATAGTAGTGGAAGGGCACTATACACAGCCTCGTACCAAGTGCATGGGCAGCATAAATGACGAAAACGCAGACTCCCAAACCAGATCCATTCGAAATGGCAGACTTCACATTGGTAGTCCGAATCAAATCTATCTTCTTATCGAAGAGAGCACCAAGCACTTTTTGCGAACTAAAAGCCTGTGCCGTTCGGATGGGAGAAATGACTTCCTCGGCGATGGTACCACTCTCAGCGACATACTGAAGCGTCACCCTTCACCCAGACATATTAGAACAGCACCACAAATTAGTTGGACGCAAAGGATAACTCACTGCGCATATCTGGAAACAAATTTGTTCATTACAGCGCCGGTTACCCCTATGCACGGGAGGATAGATGACATCGCAAGAGCCAGCCGCCAAGACTGAGTATATGCAAGAATCATGCCAACAAAGAAAGCACTGAGAAAGCTGACCACGAGAGCGACCTTCTCCGATATCCCTTGTTGGACTAGGTCTGTTCTGAATGAGCAAGCGCACAGAGACACGGGTTGCTTAGGACGTACGGGTATCAGTTTGAATGCGAGTGGCCACTTCACCAGCTCCGATGTGATCGAAATATGCAACGTCCTGTCGGAGGATGGCTTGAAAGTATTTCTCGCGAATGCGCTTCGCGTTGATCTCGCCGGTGTATATCCATAGATACATGTAAATCCAAGTACACACAGCTTTACCGACACCTCGAACCAACGTCAGGTGTCGTTGGGAATATAATCAATGAACGATATACCGATGTAGGTCAAGTAGGAAGCATCCTGAGCAGCTCCCTTGCGGAAATCGCTCGCTGCGGAATCAAAATTCTGCTTCGCAGAGGAGATTGCAGTGACATTTCCGGATAATTCTGCCGATTGATAAATCTCCAATGCAGTGGTAAAGGTAACGAAGTCCTGGATCAACCTTCCGAAAACCAGAGTCATAAGGGGCTAACGCTGTGTATCAGTGAATGTGTGAAAGTCGAACATTAATGCTATGCCTGAGCGGCACCTGCAGCGATGGCACTGACAATGCCAACGGCATTCAGTGACAACTCAAATGGAGTAGCATAGCTAGTACATACGTAGATGAGGGGAATATCGTTCAGATAGTATAACACGCACCGGAAGAGCTGAATGAATCTGACGGATGGTGCAGGTTGCTCCACTGGTTTAGCGTCAATACCCACGCATTCTGTCTTCTCTTGTTTGCCTTTATCTTTCTTCCCCTGGAAGAAACCTTTGAACCAGTAGGTGGAAAGGTACTTGTTGTCATTATCTTGGATGGAGGAAGGTTTCCCTGTAAGGAGGATGGTACCCTTGTTCACCATGATAAGTCCGACAAGGGAGAACCCCAACGGAAGTTGATTTGGATGGCTGCGAAGTTGGGAAAGGTAAAACCAGGGAGACCGTCCATTATATTGGTGGGGATAGGCCCCACGCGGCCATCAGCAAATGCGTAGGAAGCCTAGCAAATCCCGAAAGAATCGCTGGTTCTACCACACGGTAGAACTTGCCCGATCGGTTTACGGTTCAATACATATCCCAATGACAACCAGGCGCGTCCACTGCCGACTGCGTCACCTAGCGTCGGATATGTGAATTTCCTCTGTTAGAGTATGATAGATTGTAGGTCAATTATCACAGGTGGGATTCAAAATAGTGGTGACTGGTGTGAATGCGGTACTCCAGCGCACGAACTGCATAGGTCCGATTTTGGACGAAGATGCGGAGCCCCGACTGCCACGCACTGGAGAGGACGGTACCACTCACCTACACTGGCAGCTTCAACCCGTAGTTACCGGTCAGGTTTCCCGCTTAAAAGGATCTTAGGAGAAATATCCATGGAGTTCCCTATCACTCGACACTCGGCAGAACTGACTTTCCGTGGCATGAACTTGGTTCCAGATTGCAAGGCAAGAGACAAAACACTTGCAAACAGGCCTTCCAAAATAGGTAATAGTAAAGTACAGCTAGGCCTTGGTAGCAATGACCCAGATGATTGGATCTTCGTAGGTAATAGAGATGTATACGGTTTGAGTTATCAATTACAAGTACAGTAACTCAGATGGGGAGCCATGTGTGATAGGTATTGCTGTGGACGTGGTCATAAAATCCTGTAATCCTGTCTATACGCATCGAATGTCCTGCCGAATCGTTTATGTCTTTAGGACCTGCAGCTGAACGTATTCATAATAATCTCCTCTCAATGCAAGAAGTTCATCGTGGGTACCAGCTTCGCTGACACGACCTTCCTTGATAAAGTAACTGTGCGGAAGCAAGTCAATATTTTCCGGTGTAACACGATAGAGAAACATAAAATGTGACACGTACATGCAGTCTGCATTCTGGATAGTAGACAGGCGGTGGGCAATGGCGATTGTCGTTCGGCCTTTTGCAGCACTATCGAGGGCTTCTTGAACAACCTTCTCCGAGGTGGAATCGAGAGCAGACGTTGCCTCGTCCAACAGGAGGACCTTGGGATTGCGAAGAAGAGCCCGAGCGATGGCAATTCGTTCTGTGAGGATGCAGTTAATCACCTGTAGATAATACGTAGGTGCAGATAACGCTTACGCTTTTGACCACCCGAAAGCTGTGAACCCTTGCCACCAACTTCAGTATCAAAGCCGCTAAGGAGTAAAAGGTCAGAATGGAAGAGAAAACGTCAAGGCAAGTCCTTTACTTTGGCAATGACCGGATAAAATCTAAAATGTTAGCATCCCGGCATGCGGCCTCGATTTCCTCTTGGGTAACTTCGGAAGTCGGCTTGCTTGCACCGAGCAAGATATTGAAACGGATGGTACCAGCATAGAGTGTCTGGCAAAAAGGCATCAGTCACACTGTCACATCATCGTGTCATTGACACTGACAGGTTCCTGCGAAACCAATGCGATCTGTTTCCTATACTCCTGGATATTGAACTCGTTGATAGGTTGACCGTCAAGGAGAACTTGACCGACTACAGGATCGTAGAAACGCTCGATCAATTGAATGCTGCGAAGGCATCAGCACTATTTGGACACAGCATAAAATGCATGTAGGCTTACACAGTACTCTTTCCGCAACCACTCGCACCGACTAGTGCAACGTAGGTGCCTGGTGCAACCGTCAGGTTCAGGCCACGAAGGACGGGAATGGTAGGCCTTGTCGGGTAACGGAAATGAACGTCTTCCAAGTGAATCTGACCCTCGACGGTTCGCTTCTCGAATGTTTTCCCTTCGGAAGCTTCAGCGTCGATCTCGGGGGTGGAGTCCAGTAACTTGATAATGGCTGCACCTGCACCACGCGCTGAGGAGATGTCGGGTACGAACGAGAAGACGTTCCCAGCTTGCATGGCTCCGAAGACAACACCCTGTCATACTCTGTATTCAGATAGATTCTAAGGAGTATCCGAGAAATGCATACCATGAGAGCAGTGAAGAAATTGGTAGTTGATATTTCCAAAGTGGAGACGAGCCTGGATCCGTACCAGAAGACGAGGGCGATCACCCAGAACGTAGAAGACTGAGAAAATGCGTAGACCAGATTGCTCCAGATCGCACTCTTCTTTGAGTTCCTGAGAGGCTCCTCCAGACTGCTTGAGTATAATTTGAGGCAGTCATCTTCACGGGTAAGCGAGGCAACAGTACGAATGGCACCAGCGGCCTCGCATGCAAGCTTGGCAGAGTCATCGTGTGCAGCCTTGTTCTGCTGATCTTTAAGAACAACCACGCGCTACCAAAGGTCAGCATGTCGTCCTGGTCGGGTTTCGTATTGACTCACAAGTCGGATGAAACCCGCGGAGAAGACGAGAGGGATGCAAGCTAAGGAGCACATGTCAGCAGGGAGCACGTAATGGATGACGGTACAAGTAACCAACCCATTCCAACGAGAGCTGGTTTCCATGCGTATGCCAAACCAATGACTGCACCACCAATCAAAGTCGTGATGGCTTGGATGATACTGTCCATGTCTATCAGCATGAATCCATGCGACTTATGAAGGGTTTGATACGAACGTTCCAAGAGTAACTCCAGCTAAACCCTCGACCTTTTGTGGGTAATCATTCACTCTAGATGTGAGCGTGCCCGTCTAATGTACCATTAGCAAACATCCCCGCTGTAAAAAGTGATTGCAGTAATCACATTGTTCTCAACTCTGTCAAAGAAGTGAACTAATGAACCGTTAGTGGGCGAATTTCGGAGGCGATCAGAATAACCGACTATCTTGGCGAAGAATCGCACGGAAACTGAGGGTTCGAAGTTTCGTTGTCAACTCGGACGCAGCTAGAGCAAAGACATAGTTTTGAATCGCAATAACCACGGATGAGACTATAGCCACGATAAAGAACCTGTTCGCATTGACACTCAACACGGCTAATGCGCAGGTTAGCATCAGAACACTTACCACAGAGCATTCATGTTCCCGTCGTGGCGCCTTACAGAAGGGTCAGTTTGGGAGAACCCGTCGATCGCCTTGGCTGTAAAAGGTTGGTTACACGCATGACGATGGCAAGTCAGGGACTCACCATAAATGATGGCGAACACTGGGAATACCATGCCAGTCGCTAAATCATGTTCAGCATCCACATTCGCTTGTCGCCTGGTACACGAAGGACTTACTCATTGCTGCTAATAAGCCGATGAGATATAAACGATAACCATCCGGGTTCAGGCTCCCAATGCGTCTGAAAAGATACAGTACGCCATACGAGTTCTCGTCGACTTCAGCTTTTCCCCTCTCTTCGTTCTTCCGACGGGCCAGTTCTGACGTCACGGAATGGTGAGTATCGCGGCGGCCGAGTGGGACTTCATCTTCAACGGCCTTTTCCTTGTCTGCTGCGCTGCTAACCACTGCGATGTCCGTGTCGCCTAGCTCTTCTTTGCTTTCCCGGAGTTTCTGAGCTTGGACGAGGCGCGCGTACGCTCCGTTGCTGGTGATGAGTTCCTCGTGTGTTCCTTGTTCCAAGACGACACCTTCCCCCATAACAAAGATCTGGTCGGCTCCCTTGATCGTCGACAGTCGGTGAGCAATTGCAATCGTCGTTCGTCCAGCGGATGCTTTATCAAGAGCATCCTGCACCACACCTTCCGACCGTGTATCGAGAGCGCTAGTTGCCTCGTCAAGCAGAAGAATTCGTGGGTCAGAAACGATTGCGCGCGCGATCGCCACGCGTTGCTTCTGGCCACCAGAAAGAAGGAATCCACGCTCGCCGACCATAGTATCGTAGCCTTGGGGCAATTTACTGATAAAGCCATCGGCGTTGGACTTGATACAGGCCTCCTTGATCAGTTTGAACTTTTCGTCTTCTGATGCATGTTCGAAAGGAGTGCCGATGAGGCCGTAAGCAACGTTAGCTCTAATGGTGGTCGCGAAGAGCACAGGTTCTTGGGAAACCAGGCCGATCTGTGAGCGGAGCCATTTTATGTTCAGGTCGCGGATATCCACCCCATCGAGCTTGACAGTACCGTCGAGAGGGTCGTAGAAACGCTCGATAAGCGAAATGATGGTCGACTTGCCGGAGCCGGAAGCCCCCACAAGAGCGGCTGTTTTTCCGGCCTCGAAAGTTAAGTCGACGCCTTTGAGAATTGGAACATCGGATCGAGCGGGATAACTGAATCGCACACCCTCTAGGGTTATCTCGCCGACGACCTTCTCGGGCTTGAGTCCGTCAGGGCTGGCAGAATCAATGTCAGGCACGCGCTCGATAGTAGCAAATAATTTTGCTGCTGCTCCACGGGCGTTAGTTAAAGCTATTGAGGCATCAGAAAACCCGGCTCATAACACGTAGCATACACTCGCCTCGTGCTTCTGGTGCCATCATAGCCAGAGAAAATGAACCGATGAGGATGGACATGAAGACGTTAACAACTTGTCCAGCGGTGGCTGAAAGTGGAACGTGAGTCTTTAATCAGCTACGGGAATGTGATGGGGCTTCACCATGACCTTCGTTGATCAGAGTTGTACCGAAATCGAAAGCTATAATTCGTTTTTTGTCAGAAACTGCATGGTGACGTACAAGGAAGCGTACCAAGTGCGTAAGAAGAATAAATGATGAAGAAAAAGACTCCCAAACCGCACCCATGCCAGGTGGCAGACTTCGCGTTCAAGGTCCGAACCGAACCTATCTTCTTGTCGAAGAGAGATCCCAACATTTTTTGCGAACCAAAAGCCTGTGCAGTCCGGATGGTAGAAATGACTTCCTCGGCGATGGTACCACTCTCAGCGACATACTGAAGCGCTTCCCTGTGCCCCGACTAATGAGAACGGCACAACAAACCGGTCAGACGCAAAGGATGACTCACTGCGAGTATTTGGCCACAAATTTGTTCATAACAGCGCCGGTTACCCCTATGCATGGGAGGATAGATGACATCGCAAGAGCCAGCCGCCAAGACTGGGTAAACGCAAGAATGAAACCAGTGAGGAAAGCACTGAGAAAGCTGACTACGAGGGCGACCTTCTCCGATATCCCTTGTTGGACTAGGTCTGTTCTGAATGAGCACGCGCACAGAGACGCGGGTCGCTTAGGACGTACGGGTATCAGTTTGAATGCGAGTGGCCACTTCACCAGCTCCGATGTTATCAAAATATGCAACGTCTTGTCGGAGGATGGCTTGAAGGTATCTCTCACGAATGCGCTTCGCGTTGATCTCGCCGGTGTATATCCATAGATACATGTAAATCCAAGTACATACAGCCATGCCGACACCTTGAACTAACGTCAAGAATCATTCGGAATATAACTGATGAATGACATACCGATGTAAGTCAAGTAGGAAGCATCCTGAGCAGCTCCGGTGCGAAACTCGCTTGCAGCGGAATCAAAATTCTGCTTCGCGGAGGATATTGCAGTGGCGTTTCCAGATAACTCTGCCGATTGATAAATCTCCAACTCAGTGGTGAACGCAACGAAGTCTTCAATCAATCTTCCAAAAACCAGAGTCATAAGAGGCTGGAGCCGTGCATCAGTGAACGGGTGAAAGTCGAACCGTGATGGCATACCTGAGCGGCGCCTGCAGCTACAGCGCCGACAACCCCAATGGCATTCAGGGACAACTCGAACGGAGTAGCATACCTAGCACATGGATAAGGGAAGTAGCCGACATGTAATATGATACGCACCGAAAGAGCTCCGCGAATCCGACGGATGGTGGAGGTTGCTCGATTGGTTTGGTATCAACATCCGTGGCATCCACCTTTTCCTGTTCGTTCTTATCTTTCTTCCTCTGGAAGAAGCCCTCGAACTTGCGAGGTGAAGACTTGATAGTGTGAGTGTCTTCAATGGAGGGTTTCTCTGACAGGACCTTGTCTCCCATGATGGGTCAGACGACGAAAGGCGGCAAAACCTGCACACAGGAATACAAGTGGTGGGCTACCTGGGTTGGCTGTGAGGCCCCTGGGCATGGGACAGTCCATTATAAAGTAGGTGTCAGCCGGTCATAAGCATAATTTGTAACGGGAATTACGGAAGTGGTCAAGTCACCACGTCCGAGTCCAATCTATTTACATCCGTCACCACGGCACGCGTTTCTCAGCGTTTGGGATGCCGGTGGAACGCGCACGCATCCTCCGCCTGTTACAAGCCCGCTCTTCTACACGAGCCTTCCGGGACTCGAATTTGCTTTTAGGCAATTACTATCAGTGTTCGTATGTTTAGCTCATGCCAAAGAGATCCACCTATCAATACCCCCCGAATGTCGCGCGTGGGCATCCCGTCGGTGACTCTGCTTCCGTCGGAACTGCGAGCGAAAACAGCTTGGTCAAGGTAACTTACCGATCAAGTTACCGCTCGGGCCAACGCCGCCGGCTCCTAAGAGACACGCCACTCTACGCTGACCCTGCATTGCAGACTGTGTGGACTGATCACAGAATGTTAGTTCATTTTCTGGTTCAGTACATGGGTCGACACAGCCACTATCAGGCACGCTCCTTTTACTTCTTACCATCCGTTGGACTTGGCAGCTTACTGCGGCTATCGGAACGTGCAGCCGCCCCTCGTTACGAATCAAATCATTGGCAAAGCGTGTGATCGACCCAGCGACTTCATGCATGCTAACAAGGCGACGGATCACATGGAATCATATCGATTTTTTCCAATCGAGTCACTATGACATCGATGGCGTTGTTCGTTGCCGAGTCAAGTGCGCGTCTCACCGGCCCCGCTCCCATTAGGATACCGGCACCAATTCACTCGAAGTTGACGGACAGGACGGAGTGCCTTAATCAGATGCAGTGGGACTCCTTCCACCTGTGTGAGAGAACACAACATAGTGTGGTTGACGATGCCTCTACGCCAAAGACTCAAGAACAAAGAAGGTCAGAACACAACAGAGGAAGAAGAATGTTAGGTCGAAGACAACACAATGAACGAGTAAATAGGTAAGGGAGTGCACGAGTATACTGGGGTACTGCATCAAGCTGGGGCTCTGGAAGTACGATAATACGATAAGCATTTAGGTACTCTGAGTCTATTGTGCCATAGGCATCTCACGTGACTAGTCTGCGGAGACTGAAAATGTTCGGGAGTATCCGACGCGCCGAGAACTTCCGAGCCCGGGTGGAAATATTTTGGTGTTTGCAGAATACGGGTGATTGCTTCATTTTGCTGCTGTCTGAATGGTCTCCAGAACAGTTTCGGTGTCGCTGGGTCGTGTCCTGAGGAGTGCAACGCGCAAACCTGTAAGGGTCATCAAATCATGAATGTGAAGGGGTAAAGCTGATGGGTTTTTTTTGTGCAGCATCGTTCGCTGCGGTCATTCGCTACTGCCGTCCACGTCCCGGTACCCATTACACAGACGACCACTCTGCCCAATGGTCTGACAGTCGCAACGGAGTCGCATTCTCACGCGCAAACAGCGACTGTCGGCGTATGGATAGACGCTGGCTCTCGTGCAGAAACTGACAAAACCAATGGTACCTGCCCACTTCTTGGAGCACATGGCTTTCAAGGGTACTAACCGGAGAAATCAACACGCTCTCGAGCTCGAGGTAGAGAACTTGGGTGCTCATCTTAACGCGTACACGTCCCGCGAACAGACTGTCTATTATGCAAAGTCCTTCCGGAAAGACGTACCCACTGCTGTTGACATTATTAGTGACATCTTGCAGAACTCAAGGCTTGACGGCGGTGCCATGGAACGGGAACGGGATGTCATTCTACGAGAACAGCAAGAAGTCGACAAGCAGTTGGAAGAGGTCGTCTTCGATCATTTACATGCCGTGGCCTTCCAAGGTTTGTTGTTCTCCGAACTGTGTTTCCTCCGCACAATAACCTTGTGACATTTAGGTCAACCTCTTGGAAGGACAATTCTTGGTCCCAAGGCTAACATCCTGTCCATCAAGCGTGACGACCTTGCCAATTACATCAAGACCAACTATACCGCAGATCGTATGGTGCTTGTTGGCGCTGGCGGTGTTGATCACGATGAACTCGTCAAACTCGCCGAGAAACATTTCTCCTCCTTACCCGTCTCTCCCAACCCAATTCCTCTCGGTCGTCTTGCTCATCCTCGTTCTGGCTTTGTTGGTTCCGAGGTCCGCATTCGGGATGACGAAATACCATGCGCACACAGTCGCTATCGCAGTCGAGGGTGTTGGCTGGAGTTCTCCCGACTATTTCCCTATGCTGGTGATGCAATCAATCATGGGCAACTGGGACAGATCTCTTGGTGCTGCACCGCTTTTGTCATCACGCCTTTCTCACATCATCTCTTCGAACAACCTCGCCAATAGCTTCATGTCGTTCTCGACATCTTATTCTGATACCGGCCTTTGGGGCATCTACCTCGTTTCTGAAAACTTCATGAACCTCGATGACTTGGCCCATTTCACTCTCAAGGAGTGGACTCGTATGTCAATGGCCCCCACAGAGTTCGAGGTTGAGCGTGCCAAGAGTCAACTCAAGGCTGGCCTCCTCCTCAGCCTCGACGGGACCACTGCTATCGCTGAAGATATTGGCAGACAATTGGTGACCACGGGCCGTCGCATGACCCCGAAGCAAATCGAGAATGCGGTTGATGCCGTCACAGCTGATGAGATCAAGCGGGTCGCTCAGAAGTACCTTTGGGACAAGGATGTACGTGACAAATCCTAGAGTATTCGTTTGTATTCTGACCGTTGGCACTGCAGGTCGCCATTGCTGCTCTTGGGCCCATCGAGGGTCTCCTTGACTATAACCGCATTCGCTCAGACATGTCTTCTATGATCTATTAAGGCAGTGTCTCGGTGTCTAGTACTTCTACTTGGCATTCACCAGGTATACAGTGATGTCCGCTCAGGATTCTGGTTAGATGGCGGAATAAAATTCCCATACCATTTCGAGGCAGCATGCAGCATATGTAACGAGTGAGAATGGACTGCGAAGCAGCTGCGGCCCTCAAAGTATTATAGCCTTCCATGATCCCGAAGTTCTCCAGGGAATACAGTGTGACGTACCATCAGGAGCGTGCTGTGTTCATGACTCGCAATTAGTAACACTAAGCAACTATCCGCTCTTACGGGAACTACCAGTTCCTTAACTCCGAGTTGCATCCCAGTGCAGAGTTACACGACCACCGGGGACCGTGCACGTCCATGGCATGTTGGTTGACGTAAACGAGTTCCCTGGTGACAAAACGATACCATTTTCCGAGGCGGCAATGAAACTGTCGAACGCCACCGTTCCACAGTCGCCAGGATGTGACTCTAGGGGAGGCGAAGGTAACGGTTCAATTTCAGAGGAAACCAGCAGGGAAAGTGAACGTTTTGGGGTGGAATCGGAAATGGTGCTAGTCGTGACATTAGGGGTTTTCGGCAGGTGATACAGCTGTTGAACGCAAGTTGTCAGCAAGTGGGTCGTGCGGATGAGCAAATCAAAAGACACCGCGATCCAGCGCAAGAACGAGGAGCGAAAGAAATTGTGCAGTGTGGTCTACATACCCGGACAGTAGAACGTTCTCTTGGCGCCATGTTGGTGTCGAGGGCAATAGTCCCTCGAGACGGGTCCCCGGAGCTAATGCGGTGCACCTGAGAGAGCTAGAAGAAAATCGAGTCTAAGAAATGTTAAGGGAGGGAGAAAGAAACTCACTTTATCATTTTCGATAACTCCAACGTAAAAGGCGCCTTCCTTACCCGCCAGGGTGGTGTTTGGGCAGAAAGAGAGCCCTTTCTCCTGGATAGCCGACAATAGGAGACGCGTAGGGTTACGGGAGTCAATGGAGAGTATAAGATTTCCCTCTGAGCTATACCATGGGGCATATTAGTGAGCGCGGTATCAAATATGAGCCATCTAACTAGCGAACAATGTCACACCTCGTTATCGGCAAGGGTGGCGTCAAGGCCACAAGGGGGGGAAATGTAAGATTTAGTAGTGGTGTTGAGGAGGGGATCGCGATTCCAACGGCGCCGCTCGAGTGAACCCGACCATTGTAAAACAACGTGAAGGGACGACCGGTAAGGAAGGGGGTGGATGAGGCGAGGAGCGCAAGCTGGTAGACGCAAGGAACGCAAAAAAACAATTTAAGATCCGCCGAGGTGGGGAGAAAGGGTAAACGTGGAAAAGGGTATGAAAACCCACCAAATGGTGCGGGGTGTTTTAAACATGTATGTAGATCGGAATGAACCTGGGTATGCACGAACCTTGTGTGCATTTGGGAATGCGTTCTGGAGCCCCCTTGAAATACCTTCTGGTGACTTGTCCGAGAAGTAAATGATGCTGCCGATGGTCGGAGGTCTGTGTACTATTGTTGGTGCTTCTATGTCAGGTTCCTATTTTGTGAGGACGTACTCAAGATTCCGCAGTTTTTCGGGCAAGGAATCTGGCTCGGACTTCAGACCTGAAGACGAGGGGACGGACCACACTTTCTCCCAATCTATTTTTCCGTCACTCATAAGGGCGCTACCGAGCATGTCCGCAGGATCCAAATTAGTGCTATCGTTGTCACTCGGGTGGGCACCACTCTCGCTGAAGCTTCTGTTCCGACCCGCATGCCATCTTCCGACCTGAGTTTCCGGAAGGCCCGGAATCGTAGAGCGGAAAGGAATACCGTCCACGAGAGCGAGTGAGACGGAACAGTGGGCTGGACGCTGACCACTGAGAGGTACAGGTGCAGCTATACACCCTACGTGCACTGGGAAGTGCTTTGTTAAGGAGGTAGCAAGTGCAGACAGCTGTCCCTGAGTCACATTGGACGAAGGTGCAAGAGTAAACAAGAGCGTTTTTGAAGAGAGCTCTGATAAGCAAAGATTAGAGAGTTCTGTGAGGAGAGCGGACGGACTTCGTCCGACCAGCGTGATGGCTTTTTGCATGGACCCCTCGCGAGTGCGTATATTATTCCTGCAACTTGGAAATATCAGTAGAGCAGTCAGTCACCCGTAGCGATGTCTACCAATGACCCCAGCTGTTCGAAGTACTTACCAGTATTATGATCTCGGCATCACGAACCAATTTGAAGTTGGCAAGTGTAGTCTTTACCAGTGGTCACGTGCGCGACACTACTCATTAAGCTAATCGAGTTGGAGGCAGCCTCGGTGTTGCACTCATTCCTCGAAAAAATGACAATCATTACGCGGGACAACTTTGAAACCTGCTCGAATTCCCTCCAGGCGACTGCGCTCGATGCCACCAGCCTGGCAGCCTCGTCTCTTCCACCTGACCTAGCCTTCCATCGTTCCATGGACCAGTCACTGGCTCATGATCTGGATTCACTCTCCACTCGCGTACTTGAACTTCACAAATCGAATAATTCGGCTCTCCAATAAGGACAATGCCGCAAATTTTGGTCGTTTGGAGGATGAGGAGGATGTTGTTGACGAATTCTCTCGCAATGTCGTGGATGCAATGGAAGGCATGTTGGAGAGAACGGATAGTGCTCTCGATGAATTTTTGGGCAGGAAAAAAGCACCTGCTATCCAGGTGCCTGATACCCTACCAGATTCTCGCCGTAAGAACGAAGCAAAGGTATGTTCCGACTTGTCTGCACTGGTGTGGGTACTGACTCCTCGGCTTTTCCGAAGAAACGAGTCCTTCCCCGTGGAAGATTGGATCCTACCATTACACACGCATCTCACCTTCCAAAACCGCAACTCAAATTTAGATATCTGCACCCAAATACAGACGAATCTCCATATATCCCCGCCGCACTCATCGCTCACAAATGGTGTGCAAAAGTACCACTGGGATATATCTTTGAGGACAACTTCTCTAGGAGTGAGCAGTCTATTCAGAATGAGGAAGATGGGGAGGCAGAGAAAAAAAAGCGAACCTTGCATCCCTACTACTACGAACTGATGCATCCTGCATACCCTGACCATATCTTCGATCCACCCTCTAACCCAGTGCGACCATCATCACTCGAAGGATTATCAAAGACGACGTCCCCCTCCCGCCCGTTCACCTTTGTCGCACACTCGAAAGATTTCCTTTCTTTCGCCAATGCTCTGACATCTGTCACAGAATTGGCTGTGGATCTGGAGCACCATTCATACAGGTCTTATAGGGGATTTTTAGCCCTGATGCAAGTTTCAACGAGGCAGGAAGATTTCATTATCGACTTACTCGTACCAGATATACGAGAAGGGCTACGGCAGAGAAAGGGAAAACCTCTTGCTAAAAGTGAGGACGAAAAGATGGCGAATGACGCTGGTGAGATCGTTGCAAGAGTTTTTGCCGATCCCGCAGTTGTGAAGGTATGCAGACACGCCTTACTGAGACTTTTTCGGTCTTGCCTTTTCCCTCTGACCAGGATACTTACATCTCACTGCACCTTTTCCAGGTATTCCACGGCGCAGACTCTGATATCGTCTGGCTCCAACAAGACTTCAACATTTTCGTTGTGGGCCTGTTCGACACGTTCCACGCCTCTAAGTTATTAGGTCCGATCCATCGTTGGTGACCGCATCTCTTGGCTGACACCCGCGTTTTTCACCTGTCACGGTAGAGCTCTCCAAACATAGTCTCGCCAACCTTTTGGAGACATATTGTGAATTTGTGCCAGATAAGAGGTATCAACTTGCTGACTGGAGGATCAGGTATGTGCCCTATATCGCCTACACCGTTCGATCAACGGTTGAAACTGTTCGCTCTGTTCTCAACGACTGAATTGATGATTAACACATTCTTACGTCAATCAATCCCTCAATTGCATGGCATTGAACAAGACCTCTTCCAGTCGAGATGCTGGCCTATGCACAATCTGACACTCATTTCTTGCTCTACATATATGATAGACTTCGGCTTGCTTTGGTTGAAAAGGCGACGTCTCAATTTGCGTCAGACTCGTCACCAGATTCAATGCCCACCGCAACAGGCAGTGGAACTGACCCCTACACGTTTATCCGCAGTGTTCTCGCCTGCTCCGCTCGTACTTCTCTGCGTCTTTACGAAGTAGAAGCGTACGACGCGTTAGGTGGTTCTGGCTCCGGTGGATGGGACACCTTGGCGAGAAAATGGAACAAGGTTGCTTTGACGGCTTCTGGAGGGCTCGACCACAACTCGAACAACGGTAATGGCATTACCAGTGCGTCAGTGGCAGTGTATCGTACCATACATCGTTGGAGAGAGGACGTGGCAAGGGAAGAAGATGAGAGCACACGGTAAGTGGATGTTACATTACATTCATTGGTAATTGGAAATCCATCGTTATAATGTGACAGGTACGTGCTTCCAACGCACCACCTATTCCTCATGGCAGAACGCCCACCGTCATCATCATCGGACCTTGTCTCCCTCTTTGATCGAGCAGGTGGCGGTATTGGGGCCGTTCCACCTGTACTGAGGCGACGCACGGGAGAGTTGGTCGATGCAGTGAAATCCGCTATTGATAGTGTGGCTGTTACTTTGAAACAGTCAACGGGCCCGGAGGTTGCAGAGACTGCAACTGGAGGGGTATCGGTATCCGCTGACGTCTCTTCCACCGTACAAAGTTCGAGGAACAACAAAATTATTTCGACAGACATTGAATCCCGCTTATGGTCAATGCCCGCCTCTTCGCCGTACTCTGTCACCTCTCGCTCCATCCTGTTTTCATCTACACGAGCAAAGGCATATGCATTCCATCAGGCCATAGCTTACACTGCAGCACATAGCACGTTGTTGGGAGACACATCACGGGTGAGTGTGTATCTCTCGATCCCAACTGTTCTTTGTTCTACGAGTTTCATTCGTCGTCCCTTTTTCGCGTGCTGCATTGTGTCGCATCCTCCTGCTTTGCCTGCTACCTTACAGCACATTCTGCACGAATTTTGCTTCTCTGCGATTTGCCAATGCCGCAATATATATAGCTCACCTCATTGTTTCCTTGATGCTTAGATCATTGAATCGCGAAGCTTGAGATCCACGTTGATGCCAAACGCGACTGACCGATTCAGGGGCATCGCAGAAAGGATCCATCGCACATTGGTTATCGCCCCCGTGGTTTCCGTACCGACCGCCATTGCAAAAGTATGTTGTTGTATGCATGGCCTTTCTGAGCCAATTGTAAAGCATCCTCTAATTGCGCGAATGGCCCAGGTGGAATCCACAGTTACTAGCAACACATCGGGGCCTTTGAACGTGACGCTTCATGAAACGGGGAAGCCTACATCAACTCCCTGTGAACCTGCAGGTCAAATCGAAACTCCGTTTGTTCCCGAGCACCAACGCCAATCGCGCTCATCTGTCCACCCTTATGCACCTATCGAAGATGACACTATTGTTGTCGTTGGGCAGGCCGGCGCAAGGCAGCGCAAACGAAAACGCGAGAGGAATAAGGGCACGATATCGCAAACGCGATCTGATTCTGCGGCCGTGGGCGGTGATCGGGAAGCTGAAGTGGAAGCATTCGACTACTCCAGTGTTCCCAACTTGCTGGATGGAGGGAACAAAAAGGAGAGGACAAGTGAGGAGAATGACAGGAAAAAGAAGAAGCCGAGACAAAGTAAGGGTAAGTGTCATTAAACAAGTGCTTCCTCCGAGTCAAGGACAGATATGGAGTGTGGCGTCGGCACCCCAACGACGCTGCGAAACCAGTGGTTCGCCTGTATGGATTGCTCAGCTCTCTGTTTTCATTCGCCAACTCCTGGACTTTACTCACATTCGCTCTTTTTTCAGATTCCAGACCGCCTATGCAAGCCAATATTCGAGCCGGGCCCCGGGACCAGCGAGAGGTCAAGAGTGGCAACAAAACCCACACTTTCAAATGAGATCATCATCGTTTCTCTGGAGCTGTAGCAGTACAATCGGGGGTACTCTGTATGTTATCCCTGATGCCCTTGGAACCACTCTGATGCATGTATCGCGAGTGTATGTCCCGCATGTGATGGAGCCATTCGTTTCCATGGGCTCAATTCCCCGAGCAGGATTTGCCCCGCCTGCTATTTGAAGACTTCCGTAGTACATTATTCACCTGCTGTACGTGAGATGGGGCCGAGGTAAGTCAGCGATCTTCGGGGGTCAAGCCTTGCAGTGGCGACAGAAGGGAGGTGTATGGTGCATATTCTTGGATTAATCCCATGTGCACTAATTTCCGTTAACACTGACAATGTAACTTGGACCTGACAACTGCGTGAATTTAGATTGCGTTGTCCACGAGACGTTCGTATGCGAAGTGATGGCTGGAACCCTCAAACCAAGATGATAATATAGTCCTCTACACCTCAACGTTAATTTCTTTGGTTCTCAGTACATCGGCTTTTCTCCTATGCCTTTTCCCGATGAGTCAAAGAGCACCCACCGACTTATCAATGCCCCGTGACTCCGGCGCCGTAGCCCAAAGGAAAGAGGTATGTGTAGACTTCGAGCAAGTTCCCGTCGACGACGATACACGACAGTGGAGCCGCACACGAAAGGTGAGGAGGTCTGCAACCTTTACATTTCTCCTTATTGCATTGCTAGAGGATCACACTGGATTGTTTCCGTGGCGACCATGTCTTGGGCGACACTTTATCTATAATTTTCGGCTGGAGTGCCAACTTTTACAGCATGGCCGCTTGTGACAGGTCCATACTGGCTGCCTATCATATTCTTGTTCAACGATACATTCCCCCGTGAGGGCAGCTTAACATATTAGGAGGAGACTAGATGAGTAGGGAACCTCGACAAGTCAAATGCTACTCGCGACACGCTGGCAGACGCGACGGCCAAATGAATGGAGGTCGCTGAAGAGCAAGCCTCGAACGAAAAGGTATTGGAGTCATATTGAACATGAGAATCACGACCATGAGGTAACAGAAATGAAAATTTCACCAACCACCGATGTGACGTGCGAGATGGGAGGCAGCCAAAGCTGTCAACAGTGCGAGTCATTATGTCTAGTCGCAAGTCGCTTTCGCAGAATGTATGTAACATACATGTTACGCACCGATGACTGTCCCGGCGTCGTGTGTATTGCTAGTTCTGTAGAAAATTGTTATGCTATCTTATGAAGCTGAGGAAAGAACCTATCGTGTCAAGGGAAAAGACGGGAATCCACATATACACTCGTAACTCACTTAGTAGAAGCTAATGATTTTAATCGAGAGTGATAGCGGGCCTTATCCCAGAATCAACTCAAACACATACATGACACCTTCCTGTTGACCGGACATGCCGGGTATAAGCATACGGAGTTACATAGTTGAGCCCAAATCGTCGGGAAGAACAAGAGTATCAGAAGAACGGTTTGACTAACTCTGCAGCAATGTTAAACAGTTGCCCAAAAGGAGAGTTCACTGTAAAAAGCGAGTGGAAACAGGACAGATCCATCGACGGGCGAATTGCGCAACCTGGCTTATGTACCCCCGTACTTGATAGGAATCCTTGTGTACCTACTCGTCATACTGAACCTCCTTATTTACAGTGATGTGAACACCGGCTTTGGGTGAAAAGGGTGGCACTGGACCACTTTCCTCGCGTATGCTGTCGTTTTCCCCTACGATAGGAAGTACAACCTTGGCGTCTGCTGGTGCATCCACAGAGCTTTTGTCGACGTCCCAGCCGCCTTCGATTTTGTCAGCCCCACGCGAACCAGCTCCAGTTTTTGAATGCGTATGGATGTCGCCCAGTGTATATGTTGGAGCGCTGCGCCCTCGAGCAACACCGACAGCACTTGCCGTCATGCTACCACTGACACCGCTGCCTTGGCCACTTCCCGTGGTGAAGGTCCCACCATTCTCAAGAGAACCGCGGACACCCAGGATAATGCGCATTGTCATCGTGGCCGTGAGCACGCCCGCCATGCTCGTCACGATGGTTTTGATTGGATCATTAGGGCCGGTAGGCGTCATGATGAAGTAGAAGAGTACGTTGATAAGGTTGACGAAGAAGATAGTACCGTAAAGGTTGAGATTGTCACGTAGCATGAGTCGCCATGGAGTGAGCGGACGCTCCCCGAGGGTTCGCAGAGAGCGTGACACAGCAAATGAAAAGGAAGCGCCGTACAACAATGTGGGGATAAGCCAATAGACGGCTACCCAGCTCTGATTGTTGAGGGGACCGGCAATACAGCCCTGGCCATCAAGAAGTTTGACAGAGCGATAGAAGCCACAGCACACAGCAGTAACGACCGCCTGAACAAACAACAAGCCAAACATGATAGAGCGCACACGGTTCGCATGCGAGTAGATGGCGGAAACGCGGATGACGTGCGCGGTGGAGGCTGCGAAGAGCAGTATCGCAGTGCAAATGGGCTCATACGGCCAAAACCTGCGACAGTCTGTGTCCTGCTGCACTGACGTAGAAAAGAACATCACGCCTGTCAGGAGTGGATAGATGAATCAGAAATACGGTATATTCTACAGGAAGGACGAAAAAATTGCGATACGAGTACACTCACCAGTAACCACGAAATCAGCTATCACCCAGGTCTGCAGGAAATAATAGAGCGCCTTCAATGGAGGCCATGTCTTCGTCCGGCTAAGCTTATAAGATCTAGGCGACAGAACTAGGGTGTCCCATGACAAGACTGTGAGCGTGCAAACAAAAAAATACTTCTGAGCCGAAAGGTGAGCGGGGAGATCGAGGGACGCTGGCAACTGGGGCAGGGTGCTGTTACTCATCGTGGACGCTGGAGAGAAGTTGGAACAGAGCGCGTCAACGCTTTTGTGACACATTGAAATGGCTGTACTGGCATCAGTTGTTTCATTATGTAATCGTATACATTTCCATTTCCGGGGCCCGAGCCTCGCAGCCCCGATCTCAACGGAAAACGGTGTGCGTTGCCTTGAATGAAAGGTACGTATGGACATGCTCAGATCTATACTTCAGGCCACCACTCAGAAAGTCGATGACTGCAATTGACATTCAATGATATGCATGAGTCCTTTGTGAGATCTTTTCTTTCCACGCATCACCGCCTTGCACTACCCGATCACCGCCACCATCTACTACTCCATCGGTGAAAGATGCCTGGATATCGAGCTTCTCTCTGCTTGGTTGTTCATATCAATTTCTGATCAAGCTACTGGTCTGTTCTGAGACCCTACAGCCTGATGGGAATCAGTGCATAGAATGTTCATCATTCTCTATGACAAATAAATATACACCGCAAGGATCTCCTGTGCTACGGACTACTCATGCTGATGCGGCAGATACGTGCTGCATAGGGTATTCGAACGCCAATGACTCCAGGAACGTGTCTTCCGCGACAGGAGTCGCTGCATCCCGTATATGTAGAATGAGCTGACAACCTGCAATAACTGTTCCGGCATGCGGGAAACCTTCCGGTACTTCGATCCACTCTTCCTAGAACCGGTTGCACATGAGATTAATACAGGAGCTGGAAGTGATTACGTACGGAGAGCGTACCCTCACATTACCGCGTTCACGACGCTCACCAGGAAGATGCTAACAAGATTCGTGGACATTACTATGGATGAAGTATAGGCGCTTACGTTATGAAATATACCACATTGCCCTTGATCAAGACATCCAGGAGACGAATTTTGTTAGTTACCGAGGTGGGATTCGCACTGTTCCTTGATCGCCGAACACCTGCCCAAGCAGCAAGTGCACACAATATGCACTCGAAACTCAGTATCGGTAGCCAGAAGACGTAAAAACCGTTTGATACGCCTGTATTGGTACAGAACTTCAATCCAGGTATGAGTTCGATGGTGGCTTACTCGTGATTTCAAGCGTCAGTATATGCAGTGAAAGGCAGGACACTAACTTCCTGATGTGAGATTTGCGGTGACGAGAATCGCGGACACAGCCAGGATCTCTGCTACAAATGCGGAGCCCACGAGTAATGAGACCCTTCGCGAGCGATCGTACAACACGTAGAGACGCAGTTGTAGAATGACTTGAAGGTAACATGAGTAATGCAATGTTCTTGGTCGTTAATACGAGAGTCTCACTCTGTACCAGCCACAATACGCAGCAAGAGGGCCAGCCTTGGATAGCCAAGAAAATACTACCTGTAGGTATGTCAGAAGGTCTCAATACAATTGCTAGAGTAACGCAGCTCACAGCTACGGCACGTATATGTGTGCAACGATGTGTTAGTGAAGATCGGAGCTCCTCACTGTCACTTACAACTATTGCAATCACTTAGAAAGGTCCCTCGCGTTTCAAGTGGCTCTCACCTTGCTAGAAACGTCGGATAAGAAGACTAAACAAACACCAGGTGAGTTCGTTGAATTTGAGCCGGTATTCCAGCACTTGACCGACCGATGGTATTAATCCTACGGTGCAGATTCGGATTCAAGAGCTCATGGTATGAGCATTTGAAATAAGACTTACAGACCATATATAGTGCCGAAGTATCGCACCTGGTGCGACCGCTTGAGAAGAACCCACACTGACAAAACATATAACGAGCGCCTACAATGAGATACAGAATCGTTGTGGTCGTTTTGGGTCGTTTCTGTGAAAAGCCATCATATTCAGGATACGTTCATCTCCACAGGAAATATATGAAATCCTTACCCATATATATTGAACCTTGGAAGCGTTGATCGTTAATCAGGGGTGGTAGGCAAAATTATACTACACGGAAAATGTACCTCTCGGTCGATACTAATCACTGCATGTTCCGTGAGTGATGAGTCTTAACCGTGTTCCGACAGTCGATGCTTACAGTAGTCGTACACCATAAGTGCAGACGGAACCACTGGCGTGTATTATGTTCAGGAAAATGACACGTAACAGCCATTGTCACCCACGTTGACACGTTCGAGTTAGCCGAATGATATATGCAAATTGGAGGAAATCTGCCGCCGTCGTGGTCGTCATCTTTTGGGGAATAGAAATGGAGAAGTCCAAAAACTGAAGATGTTATGAGCGGCAAGTCACAGACTACTGCTATTTCGGAGGTGGCGCGTAGATGCAATGGACGAACCAGCCGTGGTGGGACAATATAATCAAGAAAATGGAAGTTCTTGGGCACCTTCAGCCGAGGACTGAGAATCTATGTGGGTTAACCTGGTCAGCAGGCTCCAAGCAGTCAAACAGTAGGGGGAGTGTAACGCCACAGGCCATAGTCCTGATAACCGGCCCTTCACGTGTTCCATCAGAAGCTGAGCCGCAGCGGCAAGCTAAGGACAACGTCACCCATCGATAGGGTTTCGATCTGTACGAGATCACACGCTTGTCACCGCCGATGCCAATGTGTCACCGCGTTAACAACTTGAAGATCGACTTGCACGTCCCATCGGAGTCATTGACGGTTGGTCAAGCCAAATGAGCGGGTTTCGTTGCGGAATCGGCACTAGCATGGTGAAAACGTGATTAGCTGGCAAGCAGTAAACCGCTGGATACTACTCGGGTTAGTCGATATGCCGTGCCGTAACACGATATTCATTTCAGTGCTGATGCTGTCCGTGCAAAGATTGAGGTATGTAAGTATGTAGTGGTCGCTGTTGTTGTCGCTTTGGTAATAATATGTTGTGATCGGCGATGGATGGATGTATATCATGTTGACCGGTCAACGTTTAGACTGTCAGTGAGCTCAAAGGTTGTGGCCGAGTACCTCTCTGGGTGGTATGCATGACAATACATACACCACGCTAACACTCCAAAATGTCCAGTTTCGATGTTTGGAAGGGACCAAAATGTATGAAGTGGTCGTACAGTTGACGGCCATTCGCACGCATGGTGGGGATAAGGGAGCTTCGACAGGTGAAACCAAGTCCATCAGCTGACTACGCTTGACACATTGCGGGCTTACTGGTGATTGCGATAAACTACACACTGCAATGCTTTATCCTGCTTGATGCAAGGCACGATCGATGTATGTTTGACTATCGAAAGCCGAAACCTATGGGCCACTGCCAAAAAGGTATGGAGGTGTTCTTGGGTACAACCATACGTGGGTATACGTATAGTGACGCACGCGACGCGCGTCATAGCATTGAGAACATGTCAGCATCGAGGAATATGGGCGTGAACTTACATTGAAGAGGTAGGCCATGTTTGAAGGGGGTTAGAAAAGAATTAACATAGCCCGGATACCTTCCCGTACTACGTAGCCAACCTGGTGGTATCTTACTTGCCCTGCTCACCGTAGAACGAGCGAGATACTCCCACTATCGTGCGTACCCGTGTTGATTCAGACACACCGGTATGGTCCACACTGTCGAGTGCAGAGCACATTTACCCTGAACAGCGTCCTGACATGGCTAACGTCTACAGTGAGGCTGGGTGCATTCTTCAGGCCTCAGCTCTTGACTGGTGCATCGCGAATGTCATACCTACAAGCTGAAATGAAGTGGCGAGGTTGCCGGAGCACACCAACTACACTGAGAACGGCAACTGCGTGTTGAGCAATAGAGGGAGAGAACAGACGAAATTGGCTCATTTGAACAAGCAACTCACTGCACGAGCGACATCGTCGCTAGTTTCAATATTGACTACCTTGCTGTGGGGACAGTGATTGTCGTCGTGTAACACCCGGCGGTAGTAACCCGGGGATCAGAAGCCCCGGCAAGGCAGCGACTCTGCACAGAGGTAAATTTATAGTTGATAATAGTGGGGCATGACGAAAGCGAAAGGAGCTCTGTTGTCATGGGACGGTACTTGGTGGTAACATGAATATTTGGTATCATACTTCTACAGCTTGGCTTTCGGTCGTACACTTCTACCCAACCCTGCAATAGTATCCTCTGCCTCCTTCTCTATCCCCCTGAGTAGTTCTTCGCAACTTGGTATATCCTTAATAAGGCCCAACACAACACCAGCGCTCCATATACCGTACTCCGGGTCCCCGTTCTCGTATACAAGTTTACCTCGTGCACCAGACACCAAATCGCGAAGCTCCGAGAACTGAGCGCCACCAGGTCTGCGTTCCAAAGTGACGACCTCCGTAGCGACCGTATTCTTGAAAACACGAGCAGTGTTCTTGAGGGTGCGGAAGATATGTATCGTGTCCTGTTCAGTCGCCTTCACGATCGTGTCCTTAACGTTCTGATGAATTGGACTGGAAAGTGATAATGTCGACTTCAGTTGTAGGGTGGATCACAGGTCTAGAGACCTACCTCTCGATAGTGCACATGAAACGAGTACCTAATTATATGACAGTTAATTAGATCAGATCAGGAGAGTCAGGCTGTAGCTGTTTACCCATGTTCACACCCTGAAGTCAAGTCGCCTGAGTAAGGTCACTGAGACAACGAGACTAAGAGTAAAACGTACAGCAGCACCGAGCGCAAGGGCAGCAGCTAATCCACGGCCATTAGCAATTCCACCGGAGGCAATGTATGGTATCTTCAGTTCCTGAGCTGCCCTCGCTAGCTGCCAGGGTATGTAAGTTTTAGTGACAACCTCGGAAGACGCTCCAAGTTACCAAAACGAGACCACCAATGTCCTCTTCTCCTGGATGGCCAGCACCTTTACGAACATAATCAGCTTGTCGTATGCACGAGCGAAACAACATACATTCGAAGCCGTCAATACTGAGCACGTCGACACCCATACGTTCTGCGGACTGGCAACGAGAGGGAAGGGAGCTCTAACATGCAAGTCGAGAGGCTTAAATTCTGCGAACCTTTGCGTGTCTGATACTCGTACACTTGTGTATGACTATACACCCATGTAACTTGAAGTACTCAATAAGTTTGCCGGCTGTGTGTGTCAAGGTTAGTGGTGTGCTGTGTTCCGTCGGCTCTACTACTGCATACGATTGTTGCCTGCTGTCTCGAAGATTCGAACGCCTTCCTCTACAGCAGCGTGGGCATAACCCTCATAGTCCGGAGGATTGATGGTGGGCAGTAGGGTGATATTGACGCCGAACGGCTTGTCTGTAGCAGCTCTCGTTTCGCGGATGGCAACGCGGAGCGCCTCCGGGGTAGGCTGCGTGAGGGCGGTGAGGATCCCTGTTCCTCAACTGTTCATTCGAACCGGCTCTAGACGACACGACAATGGTGAACGCACCCAGCCCTCCAGGCATTGGAGACTGCTGCTACAAGCGGTGGTTTGCCAACCCTATTGACATCCAGCTCAGCAACTCGTTCAGGCATCAAAATGCGAGATCCACACCATTGCATTCCACCCTGAACAACCGGGCTACGCGAAGATTAAAAACCTCGTTGTGTTTGGTGGAAGCCGCGAACTTACATGCGAACACCAAGTAATTCGGTCAACGCTGTTGTTATCATCTGATCAAGACTAGGGTTCGACGTTCAAGCTTGTAAGTGGGAGGTCGGTAGCGAAAGCAGCGACTGTGTCACGGAACAGTTAGGGACTTTCGGGATTGTTCAATCGAAGAATTGACACATGTGATTTCCGTTAGAGAGGTTCAGAGTAGGCTGCAGTCGTACACGGCCTTTCAACCCCGTAGACACATGCAAGATAACGCTAATGGGTGCTACGTGTCAGATGCAATGACGGATTGTGGCCAGGTACTAAGGCATGCAGTTTGTACTATCATTTAACTGAAGTTGCAAAGATATTCAGTAACACTCAGATACTGTCTGATTTATTTGTTATTTTGCAATCGGCACAAGACTGATAGAAAGACGGAACTCTCAGCTACCTGCTGATACCTTACAGCTACTGCAGGACGATAGACCAGATCCGTGCAGCTTTAGTTGTAGAGCTGAGTGAAGTGAGCCAAATAATGCCAGTCAGTCATGTGAAAACGGGTTGATAGAGTTGCCGTGAGGTGAACTAAACTGAATTGAGGCAGATTAGCCGACCGGTTCAACTCACTTCGGGTGGCAACTTTGTCCGAGTCGCGACGTGTCTGGTACTATACACATATGCCTGGTTCATTAAGCCAAAGACCACAGGCAGATTACTGTTTGGACACTGGTATGTGTTGTTGTAGATTACTTGAGTCAATGCATGACCTACTTGTTTGCAGAAAGCTGCTGAAGTTCGTCCAAAGCACTAGTTGCCATCAACTTACCAACAGCCCAAGCAGTGACTGCATTAGATATGGTATAATCTCGCTCATTAGAAATGGGATCAGTCGTGAACGTCAGTCGGTCTTGCTTGTAGGCAAATTTGAGTTCTTGTAATGCTTCAAGTGTGACCGGAGCCAGTGCTGCGCTCGCGGAAACAACCTACGAGGTCTCACAACTGAGGATATAATATTAGTCTATACATTGAATTGTTGTTGGGATCGATGGCAAGCACCCAAAATTTTGCCTTGGTCAAGGCTCGTAAGTTATAACTGTGAATGCATACTTGTTCTTCTATACACAGGAGACATATACTAGCCAGGAGTAGGCTATCACACAGACTCCGGACAGACCTCGGAGACGAACAGAGTGCAATTCATCCCAGTTCGGATGTATCGAAGTTCAACAGCAACACTACAAGCAGCTGAGTGGGTCTACGACTCCGCGCAGAGGTAAATTTATAGCGGGGCATGACAGGAAGAAGCAGGTTCTGTATGTCATGGGGTAGTGCTAGATGGTAACAAGAATATTTGGTATCATACCTCTATAGCTTGGCTTTCGGTCGCACCCTTCTGCTCATCTCTGCAATAGTATCCTCTGCCTCCTTCTCTATCCCCTTGAGCAGTTCTTCGCAACTTGGTATATCCTTGGTGAGGGCTAACACAACACCAGCACTCCATATACCGTATTCCGGGTCCCCGTTCTCGTATACAAGTTTACCTCGTGTACCAGACACCAAATCGCGAAGCTCCGGAAACTGAGCACCGCCATCTCTATGTTCCATAGCGACGACGTCCGTAGCGATCGCATTCTTGAAAACACGAGCAGTGTTCTTGAGGGTGCGAAAGATATGTATTGTATCTTGTTCAGTCGCCTTCACGATCGTGTCCTTAATGTTTTGATGAATTGGACTGGAAAGTAATAATGTCGACTTCCATTGTCTACAAGGGTGGATCACAGGACCAGCGACATACCTCGATGGTGCACATGAAACGCGTACCTAATTATACGATGATCGACTAGATCAGGTCTGGAACATCAGGCTATAGTTATTCACCCATGTTCACACCCTGAAGTCAAGTCCCCTGACTAAGGTCACTGAGACAACGAGTGCTAAGAGTAAAACGTACAGCAGCACCGAGCGCAAGGGCAGCAGCTAGTCCACGGCCATTAGCAATTCCACCGGAGGCAGTATATGGTATCTTCAGTTCCTGAGCTGCCCTCGCTAGCTGCCAGGGTATGTAAGTTTTGATGACAACCTCGGAAGACGCTTCAAGTTACCAAAACGAGGCCACCAATGTCATCGTCTCCTGGATAGCCGGCGCCTTGGTGGACATAATCAGCTTGTCATGTGCACGAGCGAAACAACATACATTCGAAGCCGTCAATACTGAGCACGTCGACACCCATACGTTCTGCGGACTGGTAACGAGAGGGAAGGGAGCTCTAACATGCAAGTCGAGAGGCTTAAATTCTGCGAACCTTTGCGTGTCTGATACTCGTACACTTGTGTATGACTATACACCCATGTAATTTGAAGTACTCAATAAGTTTGCCGGCTGTGTGTGTCAAGGTTAGTGGTGTGCTGTGATCCGTCGGCTCTACTACTGCATGCGATTGTTGCCTACTGTCTCGAAGATTCGAACGCCTTCCTCTACAGCAGCGCGGGCATAACCCTCATAGTCCGGAGGATTGATGGTGGGCAGTAGGGTGATATTGACGCCGAACGGCTTGTCTGTAGCAGCTCTCGTTTCGCGGATGGCAACGCGAAGCGCCTCCGGGGTAGGCTGCGTGAGGGCGGTGAGGATCCCTGTTCCCCAACTGTTCATTCAAACCGGCTCTAGACGACACGACAATGGTGAACGCACCCAGCCCTCCGGCATTGGAGACTGCTGCTGCAAGCGGTGGTTTGCCAACCCTATTGACATCCAGCTCAGCAACTTGTTCAGGCATCAAAATGCGAGATCCACACCATTGCATTCCACCCTGAACAACCGGGCTACGCTAAGATTAAAAATCTCGTTGTGTCTGGTGGAAGCCGCGGACTCACATGCGAATGCGAAGTAATTCGGTCAACGCTGTCGTTATCATCTAGAGAAGACTCTAGGGTTCAACGTTCCAGCTTGTAAGTGCGCGGGTGGTAGCGGAAGCAGCGAAAGTGTCATGGAACAGCCAGGGATTCCATTGTCCAGCGTTGTTCCGAAAATCGAAGAACCGAGTACTACGGAGATGAAAACTTATAATTAAGGTTAGGATACGTAGGAGCTCCATCCACTCTATCATCTACGTGACGCTCTAGGGAAGCGGGTATGTGAAACATGGACAATAGCTAAACGAGAATGCGAAACGCCCTCTAGAGTTTCTCGATTTCAACACCAGAATCACTTGCATTACCGTCATTGAACTTGGGCCGGCTAGCAGCCAATCCGTGGGCGTTCTTGTAAAAGATGACATTACCCTCATCCTCCACGAACTATGCTAGTGGTTAGAACCACTTCCCCATAAGAACGAAAAGGCTGTACCTTGCATTCCTTGAACACGCGGTAGACCTCCCTCCACCCACCAGGGGCACCCTGAAGCACAAGCCCGGCTTGTTCCAGGCGCTTGTGGAGCGCAGCAGAAGCTTCCCAACTACAAAACAGACCCAACCAGTGAGTACGTTTAGGTGGTCTGTTACCACGAAGGAACATACGCATTATAGTGTGGGATCTTGCTGGACACGTGATGCAAGACATGGGTTTCCGAAATTCCATGAGTTGCGTGGGCCCCAATCCAAGCCATAATAGAGCCACAATCACCAAGGAGGTTGCGATCTAAAGTAGCAAGGGCACCGCGGACGAAAGTGAATTCAGGAGCGCGGTAGTGGGGAAGAAGGGGGTCGGTATGTTGGAGGAATGTGATCAAAACCAACCAGTGATTGACCCTTGTCCAGTCGTCAGCAGGGAGCAAGGGGAGAAATGATAAACGCACCAGAGGTAAGGGACGAGATAAAGGCGGAATACGGTTACGAAGCCGTATGTGCTAATTGCAGCAGCTACGGCACCAAGCCAAAGCAAGACTCCAATGTCCGATAAGATAACCGCACCGTACTGATGAGGCGCAAAGATAACTGCCTTCGGGTTGAAGTCTAAGCAAGGTTAGATGAGGACGAAGCCTGCGAGGATGTAGGGCTACTCACGGCTGGTACCCTTGGGATAGCGTTTCTGACCGGAAGCATTGCGGATCAGGTAAGCTGGCCATCCCCCGAGCTAAGACAGCATATCAGAACGAACGACTTCCATGGTGGGGTTATGGTAGCTAACTGACCAGATAACTAGCGGAGCCAAGCAAAGCACCAATTGGGGAATCACCGACGGCCTCCCAGAGCTCCCGTTTGACTTCGTCGCTAACACTGGAGCCCAATATATCTTCCTTCGTCGGGTTCAAGGCAGGTAAGCCAAGTTGTGAACGCGTTTTAGGCACGAAGACTTGGTCTTGAGTCATATGACCAGTTGAGGCATGGTGCTTGGCGTGACTGATTCTCCAAGAATGGTATGGAACACCCAATCTGGAATTCGTGTCAAACACGTGATTGACGATCACGAAAGAAAAACGCGTACGCGGAGTGAAGCACCCATCCAACGCTGTTGTTAACAAACTTGGATTCGGAGAACGCCTGGTGGCCACATTCATGCGCAATAACCCAGATACCCGTTGCGAACAAACCCGTCCAAAACCCGTACAACGCCCAAACGGAGAAGCGAATAGCAGAATAAAGGGAGGCGTAGGGCAGGCTTAGATACTCCGGCGTAATCAAGGCATCGAGATAGTTGGCAGCTTTATAAGTAAGGCCAATCACAAAGCAGTCCCATGCACTGTCCAAAGGCGCGTCAGATAATGGAAGCCAAGTGAAACTGCCAACGTACATGTACGTGGACGACCGAAGAGCCGACCGTTTGAAGCAATGTGAACTAGAAAACGGCAGTGAAGTTAGTGAGCCGTCCGCCCTTGGAGTATCAGGCAAACACTTGCGGAATGGAACTGAGTAGGTCTTTAATGGTGAGATCAGGTATAATGACCTCGTTCTGCTTGACAGTCGTCACACCGCTTGTCGGCTGGGTACCCATGATAGTCGTGGTCGTCGTGTCAAGGAATTTGCTCCAGTTCCTAGACCGGGAAAGAAAAGAAAAAAAGACGTGAGCTGAGTATTTTTACACAGGATGTCAGGCCTTTTATTGGGGGAAGCGGACTTGGCCGAATTAAATCACACGTGCTTGGCGAGAATTTTCATCTGGGGCTACCTCGTGTATAAGAGAGGCTCCCACCTGCAGGGTAACTATCATGGCTGCCGTGCATCAACTAGGACGCCAGAGCGCGCAATTCAGATAACAACGGCGGATGAAGATTGCGATGTACAGGTATCAAGGACTGATTATCAGATTCGGGTGTAAATAGAAAAGGTCTATGACTGGAGTCGGCGTAGGATGGCAGCACCGGATGAAGTACTGAATAAGTCTACTGCAGCATCTTCAAGCGAACGGCGAGACCGTCGAGAAAAGCAAATCCGTCCTTCGTTATTGTCCGTGTACTACTCTTATTTGTCACCACTCCAAAGTCTGCGACCAGCTTGGCTAGCATTCGGTTACTTTGGGCGGTTGCTACTTCCCTACGGAGTCTTGCAACCACACCCAATTTCACGTGGGCAGGCTGACTTCCTCCCGAGGCTTCTTCAACAGAGCTGCGAGTCCGCATCGGTTGCGCAAAAACCGAAGGGTCGGCGAGTTGTTTGTACAATGCGTCTAAAAATGCAAAGCCCTCTCGTGTTAGCGTCTTCGAACCTGTCTCCTTGAGGAATATGCTGAATTCGGCAATGACGCTGGACAGCATCACATTGTTGGTAGCGTCAAGTACAGAAAGCCTCAGCTTTTCGAGTCGGGTTGCCTTCTTAACACGAACAGGAGTTCGAAGGATCATTTTTTTGGGGGGACTTGGTTCGGTACTGCCGCCTGACGCATCGCCACTGAGATCAATAACCTCCGTTTTCTTCTCGAAACCTTGGGGCGGCTTATCCAGTTGCGGTGGGCAATTGTTCGTGCGCTCTGCGAGGATTGGCCTGTTATTAAGTTTGAGTTTGGCTAGATCATGCAAGACGTTCTCCATCTCTGATGGAGTGACCGCAGGTCGAGGAGGATCTAAACTGCGCAGCTGAGCGGGTTTCGTCTGATAAAATCATGATGAGGTTGATTATCTGTTGATGAACTGGCATAGCGACATACCTGAAGTGGGGGTGGTGGCCATATGAACTTATCAATGTCTGTGAACCCATTTTCACGTGCGAGTTCTCGAAACTCATCAATCCACCGCTCATAATCGGGCTGATCAGAAAACTTCAATCGACGACAGTATCTCAGAAACTCCTCGAACTCCGAGGACATGCCACGACAGAGGTCTTCCGGCCTAGCAGCTTCCTTGGCACACTTGATACGGCGGTGCTGTTCTTCTGTCTTGGGCACTCCGTTCCGTGTCCACGGAAGTCCCCCCGGTGTGAGCAGATGTATGAACATCAGCGCAGCTGCCTCCAGATCGTCCCTCCGCGAAGGTACTAAGATGTGATCATGGATACTCCTGATTGACAAATTGGATGAAACTGAGGATACTGACCCTTCCCTTTACAATGGACACCGACCGAAGTAAACCAGTAGTTGCCAAGAAACTCTCTCTTAACTTTGGAGTCTGGAATATGTCGACGGCTGTAAGGATCAATGTATCGCTTTGAGAACCCAAAGTCGATCATGTAAATCGTGGTTTCGTTAGGGGGGCGGCCCACAACACAATTCCCGAGCTGAATATCGCGGTGTAGGACCTCGCGATTGTGCATTGTCTGAAGACGTATAATCTGCCACACCAGTAAATCAGGATCGTCACGAGATCCACACAAGGAAGACTACTTGCCACTTGTATAGCTATCGAACACACGCTCCGCAGGTCCATAGCTCTTTTCCCACCTTTTCTATAAATATTCTCCAAGCTTGCCCCCAACAAGCTAATGACAAGGTAGTGCCATTTGCCTTGTACACCAGAAGCCCACAGCGTAGGCATACCCTCGGCTCCTTGAAGCAGAGGATAGATGTACTCTTCGTAACGGTTTGTGGGACATTCGTGGTTCACATCTTGGACCTTCAGCGCGACGCAATCACCGGTATAAACGTTGAAGGCACGGAAGATGGAGCCTAGAGGCGACTCCCATAAGTAATGTTGTAGACAGTCGAGGAATCGACTGCTAACCCGAGTAACCGGAACCCAGAAGTTCATCTAACCAGTAGTTCCCCAGTCTCCGGGGAATGTTGTTGCTCATGGTGTCAAGAGGTTTACCTTTACCGTAGTGTACTTGCCACGTCGCAATCGCCCGTGGAGGATAGTAGGGCCACACTCAGCGGATGCTTCAATTATCTAAAGTTGAAACGCGTGTTCAAGGGAACGCGTTCATCACGTGGTCGTCTACACGATTCAACCGTACACAGCTAAACCTAGGGACGAGTAAAACCACTACGACGCACTTGACATGTATCTTACATACAGCTTACAACTTTCAAACTACACTTACTGCGAAGATTTCTGGGTAGACAACATGGACAGGGCAGACCCTGCCTCCAGCGCGCGAGGCGTGTCATATTTATCCATGATGACCTCGACGAGTTGAATCTTGTCGGCCTTTGCAAATTCAGGGTCCTCCAGGAGTCTGTTGAGACTAGCTTTATCGCGAACAGTGAAAGACCTGGAAGCGGTGCCGTCGATGTCTCCGAAAGTCGTCAGAAGAGAAGTGTATTTCCTGCAAGGCACACGTTCAGCAAGTCATTGCGTGCTCAACGAACGAACTCACCATGTAGCAATGTCATTGTACTTCCTGTTGCAATATGGGCATCGAGAAGCACGATATCGTGGGCAGACGTACCTATACATTCCATGGAGACGCCTCTCTACATTATAGCCCTCGTTGTTGATAACGAAGATGATGGGCGTGACCCCGTAGCGGATCATGGTTGACAGCTCCTGGGCGGTAAGTTGCCTTGGAGTATTTCAACAAACCTGTCTACCGCAGGTAAGCAGGACGTACAGACTGCCATCCCCCACAAACAGGATAACTCGGCCCAACTTGAGATCACGAGCAGCGATAGCAGCGCCGAGGAGGCTTCCTGTAGCAGGAGTTTAATTTCGCCGAGAGAAAGAAGTAACCATGACCTACCAACGGTCCAACCGATGCTGCCATACAAGACCTGGCTTAGGAAAATGGCGTTGTCGGGCAGTGGAATATCAAAGAGACCAAAGCTTGAAGTACCTGGATGACAGTTAGATTGATGTCGAATCCATCATTTACAGCCTCACCAGTCTCAGCAATGATGATATCTTTCTCCTTAAAGAACTGCCCAACGCGGGGCCAAAGATAAGCATGTGAAATTCTTGTGTCAGCCTCTTGCGGGATCACCAGTTTATAATGCGGCACTATCACTCGATCAGCGCCCTTGCGATATTCTTTTAATCGAGCTGTGAGTTTCGGGAGCAGAAGTTTCATCCCAATCCCCGGAAATTGCGCGTAGCGCACAAGTGTGTGGTCGGAATGCAACTGCAACACAATTGAGTCCCTGAATAAGATCATCATGCTCCTTCCTGACCTCGACAGTATGGGTTGGCGGAATACTGTAGGTAAACATGCCCGTGTTGAAGTCCGACTTCAGAGCGCCGATAGAGAGTATCAATTTGGCCTTCTCAATCCTATCTTTAATTCCCGGATCAGTCAGAGACCCCATGTAGATCTGAGCATCATAAGCATATCACAAGTAGGGGACTCGGACACCACTCACGCCCCCATAGCACTCGTGTTGTTCGCTGACGGCAGTTTTGCCCATTGGCGCTGCGAATACAGGGAAACCAGTCTTGTTAACTAGGTCCAGGACCTCTTCGCGGACTCCATAACGAATGGTACAAGCATCGACAAGAATGATAACATCCTGACCTGCTTCTTCGATACGTTTAACGATCGAGTCTATGACGTACGCCTCCACCTCGGGATCATTTAGCGGGGGGCTACGCAGAAGCGGCACCGTGAGACGTTTTGCTGGAATCTTCTCTCCTACGAGATCGAATGGTATGGTAAGGTAGACAGGACGAGACTTGGTGCGCGGTCAAAATACTTAGCTTACCGGAAACTACGGTGCACTTACGCGAGTTATACACTCAGTGAGAACTCGGTCAATTTCTGCTGGTGCATTGACCTTCATCATCAACGACGCTTGGGCGAGTGTGACTTGCTGGGCAGCCTTCATATATGCTTCAAACCTATGCAGTGCCAAAACAAATACATAAAATGCTCCCGGTGAACCACAGACCATACCTGCCATCTCCAAGCGTATGGTGAAGTAATGGCCGAGTCTTCAACTGCAGGGTGCTTGGGACACCGACAATGTGTACCACAGGAACCATTTCGGAGAATGCTGATCGAAGAGTTGAACGTTTTCGCGTTGCGCATGCGATTACAACCCACCTCCTGCTATGCCATTGATGGCGCTTAATTCACCAACACCGAAGCTAGGAATATCTAATTGGTGACCCGTGGCAAGTAAGCGGTGAGGGAAAAGAACCAACGTTGTAACGACAACCCCTACACTATGTTGTTTGATTCTGGCGTAACCGTCGGCCGCATACGCAGCATTAAGCTCGTTGCTGGAATGCTAAGAAAGTCTCCATCGACACGATGGACATACCTACCAATTTCCAACCCATTGGATTCTGGGGTGGTCTTCGATGTAATCCTGGTTGCCGCTTGGTTAGTGGGGGAAATACGACGTCGTTTCAAGTCGTACCAAAAATGCTGCGGGACGTAAGCGCGGAGGAATGTCGATGTAAAGCATTCACTTACGCATGTTGAAGTCTCCGGGAACACCAAAGATAGACTAAACACATAGCTCTTTGAATGCACCGTCTGCGAGGTGAGTAGCCAGCCACCTACAGTGACGCCAAGTTGTTCCAATCTCGTCAGGAGGTAATCGGAAACAGTGATGAGATCTCCTTCTTGTGTTGCTAGCTCATGCTGGACTGTGACGGTCTGTAGGTTGTGATGAAGTCTGTCGACCTGAGCCTGAAGGTCGTTTACTGTAGCGCTCATGTTGTCTGCGGATTGCTGGATGTGAGAACGAGAACAATCCAAAGATAACAGTATAGAAAGAAGCATATATACCTGCGCATGCCGAGCGCACAGGGTGACGATGTCAATGACGACATCCTGCCTGGTATGTCAGTCGACGTGGTTTGCACTCCTCATATGGAAGACTCGTCGACCCAGACCGTCAAGGACTCGTCTTTTTCCTGGCTCGGAATCAATCAAGCCCAGGGCCAGGCCAAGTGAGTCGTCTCTTGCCCCTGAGAACGGTATTTGTTCATTCACCGCTGTGGTAATAACGGGCCGCCGTTTCTTATCTGACACTTGTTTTGGTAACGTCGACCGGTCTCAGACGGCCTTCGTGTGTGCTTTGACTATTGCATTCGACTCAGGACTTCACAGGCCTTCCGAGTTAGGCCAGGAAAAACCGTGATCAAACAATCAGTCTTGTATTCAGACCAGATAACACGCACATTGGTTCAAGAGCACATAGTCAAACCCGACTCACGAATGCACCCGATTATCACTGTTCTTCGGCTCTGACTCACCAACAAATTCGCCAGTTGATCTGTGAATGATCGGGTCCCAAAATGTTGCATTCTCCGACTGCTCGCTCTGCACGTCCTTAAAGCCTTATCGAACCTCGCGAACTCATTAAAAACAAGCTGATCGGTAGTCCGGATAAAAGGTTATACGGATGCCTGATCAGGTTTTTCCCTGATTCACGCAAAATACACGTCAAAAACCGGATGGAGAATAATGCTTTTAGGTCACGCTGAAGGGTACTCTAACGGCGTTGTGCGAGCGCAGGCAGGAATGCTAGATAGATTCATGGAGTGCCATATTTTTGAAGATCGCATGCAGCATACCGTATGTCATGTAAACATCAATGAGCGAGCACCGCTGGGGAGCATGCAATGGAGAAGCAAGAGGGTGCGCTGGAGCAAGTGGGATACAACGTTTATTCCTCCTCCTCTTCCTCCTCCTCTTCGCCCTCTTCTTCGTCTTCGTCTTCCCTAGCAGCCTCAACGACAGCCGTCGCAATCCGATCCAAGTCTCGTTGACCATCCTGGCTAATTCTCCGACCGCCGTTGTCGGTTTGTTCGAGCACGCCGATTTTCTCGAGTGCTTGACAGACTTTCCGTTGGACGGAGGCAGAAGCCGGCGCGTGGTGTGATGGGCGGTTTCCGCGCCTGTTGCGGCCGCCGTGAAGTTTTGTCAGGGCGCCAATGCCGACGTCCTTACGGAGGTATATGTGCCGTGCAACGGCAGCTGTATTGGTTGATCGCAGTCTTAGCAGGGCCTCACGCATATAAAACGGGTAGGTTTTACCTGCACGAATGTAGAACCAGTCGGGATCATATGGTGCCAATTCCTTGTATGAACCGGTCTTGACGAGATCGACCCATGTTGGCACCTCGAGCTTGCCGGACCGCTTGAGGTGGGATGCGTATGCAGTGATAAAATCGTCCGCGCTGCATGCCAACGAGATCGGAGTCACTGATTTGAATTTGGTTGCTAATGACATCAACAAACCTGATATCTCTTACTCCTGGCATGGTGAAGAAGGGGGGCAGCGAGGCAGCGTTGGAGCGCGACGTAGGGCGTGTGTACAAGGAATTTAGAGTTTGCGGGGGAGTTTGAATCTGAGCGGGACTCTATGCAGTTCTTTGCTTAGTCATCACTGACCCCTGTCTGCGCAACCACGTCGTGTTCCGTGTTTCCAAGACACCGTCGCCAGCTGCAGCACACGGCAGCACGCCAACGGCGCTGTTGTCTTGTTCACAAAGGGCTCGTGCCACCGCCACAGGCCTTTGCTAACGCACGCGTTTCATGAAACTCTTTCATTATGTCTTTCGCGTTGCAGCAAGCTGGGGTGGTTTCTAGGCTTTCCAATTCGTTGGGTGTCTCCTCCGCTCACGCGTTGGCTGCGGTCTACACGACTTTGTATGTCGGCTCGATCTACCTGTCGAAAGGCGCCCGACTGTCGTTCTCCAAAGCCAAAGCGTACATCGACTTTGGTTACTCCAGGCCCAAGGAGATGCGCGAACGCTGGAGGGATGACCCGGACGTCATCCGGGCCCGTTTGGTTGCTGTCAGCATTGCAACCATCATTTGTTGTGTTATGGCGGCTGATCCCGTGAGAGAGATCGCAGGGAACGAGCTTGACGTATGTTTCTCCAGCCAAGTGCCGCAGCACTCTCTTAGACGTTGACTGGATGGAATTGTATCGCAGCGTGTTACCCTACTTCGTTTGACACTGTCACATCTGGGCATCACTTTCTCTGGTCTCCTTCCTTTCCTTGTGACGCCAGTCTTGTACCTGGGACCTCTCTACTCTCGCTTCCTGGTGGGGACCCTGCCATTTCAAAGGAATTGGACGTATGAGGACGATTTCGTTTCTGTTGTCTTTTCAGTCACTGGTATAAGGAACTATGTGGTTGTGGGTATACGGATCTTTCACCATTCCCAGACCTACCAACTGGTCACTCCAACAGGCTCCGATCACAGAGGAAGTCGTATTCAGAGCATGTGTCCTCAGTGCATATCACTTGGCGAATGCATCCAAAGCACGTATGATCTTGCTGAGTCCGTTGGCTTTCGGCGCGGGTAAAGTGTGCGAATGGCCAAGTATACATGTGCTGACCTTGCTGGAACAGCCCACATCCATCATGCATGGGAAACCTACAATAGGTATGGTCGTAGCCCTGCAGCTTTGAAGCGCGCTGCTATCGGAACAGGTGTGCTTCACCACCTTTTGGTAATTCCGCCTCATGACCTTGATCCACGGTAGCCTTCCAGTTCGCCTACACGACCCTCTTCGGGTTCTATTGCTCATATCTCTTTCTTCGCACTGGTTCTGTCTTACCTCCGATCGCAGCCCATGTGTTTTGCAATGTGATGGGTGTTCCACAACCTGGCTATGATATTGGCCAGAGACCTGACCGGAAATTAGGTACTGTTCGCTGCCACTGGTAACTGCCGCTCTAAGTGCTAATTTAATAGCAGCCATTATCCTGGCGTATCTTTCCGGTATATCTTTATTCGTGTATGTGCTCCAAAGGTGGACATACACCGAGGAAAGTTTGTTTTGGAGTTAGGAAACACCTTGGGGTTTGCAGCTTTGACCTTTGCTTCGGTTGTTGGTGCCTGATTACGGCGACAGTATGGGATGAGTTTGGAAGGTCATTGTTTTTTCTTGGGATAGAATGTCACACAATACCATGAGGAATAAATATCCTACTATGCAGGTGATGCAAAAGGAGATTTATCGAGCATGCCGCGGTCGGTTGTATCTGCACGACGGTTATAAGAAAATGACAGGGCTGAAGGCATTTGCGTCTATCGCAGGTACTTTGAAGTAGACTAAGCGTGATGCATGACATGCCACCAGACGAACGAGCTGTGTTGAATATTAAAGTAATGTGCCAATGCAAGTATCTGGAAGTAAGAAGGCCTGGAGCTGTATCGTATGCTAGATCAGTTATGAATGCACGCCAACCGCGATATTCGGAAAAATTGCAGCATCAGGATTCTCCAGGATGGCAGGGCGTTGTATGTAATTCTCTCGGTGGCAGGTCCGAGGGATCTGGGACTGCCAGGAGATTGGAAGGTGGCAGGCTGAAGCCATTCATGCACAAGCCAGCGGTCGATGGTCGGACTCTTCGCCATTTTTGGTTGGCAAGCCTCCGCCGCGCACGTGACTGTAAGAAGGTATCTTGAAGGACTCACTGGTTTGCAGGCTTGTACTAAGGAGCTAGGATGCCCCACAAACGTGCCAAACGGTCTACGAGGGAAAGCCAGAGAGTACTACGGTGCGCATTATTGCCCGCCGCTTCTATTCTACTCACAATTATTTATTTTTTTAGAGGTATCGACTTAGCCCCCGAAACCTCTCTTGCTCGGGAGACAATCCCGAAATCGGTCTCTCGCGTCCTTGATGCCGCTAGGATCAGGCAAGAATATAGGGAGAAGAAACGGAAACTTGATGGGTGCGAGGATGGCCCAGCACGGAAGAGAAAGCATCATGATGGCAGTGATCAGGGCGCCAACGGCACACCGAAGATCAGACCCGGAGAAACGATCACGAGTTTCAACAGGTGATTGCTGTCCCTACCGTCATTGTCGGTGTTATCTTATTGGCTGATGCGCTGCAGGCGAGTGGAACAATCAATGATTCCTCATATCAAGATGGCGTTGCGACAGTCGTCTAATCAAGAGCGCAAGGTTCGTAAGCAGGACGCAGCTGGCAGGCCGCAGCCAAGCGCTAGAAAAGAAGAAAGCAAGGAATGTTACAATTCTTCGGATAAGAACGTTCCTCTGCGGCACCCAACAAAAATCACCGGTTTCGCTATCGAACAAGATGGTTCAGCGGAAAAAAGCAAAGAGTTTCCAAAAGCTTCCACCTCAGCTCCGCGGCGCCTGAATGACATAGCTCAAGCACCACCTGAAATTACGAACGTTCCGCGAGGAGCACGTCAGCTGCCGAAGAAAGATAAGTCCTCGGGCGTCTTGAGTATGGCGCAGAAGGTGATGATGGAAGAGGAACGGGAAAGAGCAATTAAGCACTATCGGGAATTGAAGACGAGGCGATTGAGTGGGGTTGTGGCATGAAGCTCTAGCAAGCGGGAGGATGGCTTTTACGGTGAACCCGATAACTAGAGTTCCTCGTGTCGCCGACGGCCTGGTGGTTTCCCAGAGCCGTGGAGCGGGAAAACCCTCTTTGCCCCTATTCGGTTACGTGCTGTAGGTCGACCGCGTGGCCGAGTCATGACCGGAGCCCGAATAAGCCTCGTCTTACCCACCCCAGAACCCAGCCGGTCCACGGCCATCCACTTCTGGGTTCCCGTCTCTATCGGATCTGGTGTGAGCTGTGCCGTCTGAGGCGGGTTCCCTGGCTACGCAATCTAATTCCTTCGATGAACAGTCCTGCCGCCCATTTACTCTTTTGATTGCATTCCATCCTTTCTCATCATTAACCCCACGAGTACCCAGTTAACCCTAGGATGCACTGGATTCCACAATTACAGTAGTATGCGGTGTTTCTCTGCCGCATGCCATCGAAATCTTCACAGTGACGGGGGTTAACGTCCGCTTCGCCCCCCTCCCAGCACGTCCCTATATGAGAGACCACACAGTCATCTCTTTCGTTACTCCGCCATTCACGTACAAGCATCCGAAATACAGGGCGTCTCGTGAACGTTCCAGGGCGCTAAAGGCGACTTGATAACTGTTTCCGGTATGCCAGTAAAAACACCGGAATATAATGGTTCTCACCTATAACCTTGATTTTGGCTTAAATTGCCCCCCCTGGTCAATTCTCTTTTCGTGCATCAGCTAAAACTCCACATCCACTGTAGTTCTATCATATGGCTGATATCGAGAAGCAGTCACCGTCACAAGTCAACAAGTCAAGTCTCGACTCTTCATCCTCTCAGTGCCCTCTTCACCCCAGTTCGCACTCTGCAGAATGCTGCAGTACCCCTCTCTCGGATGCATCCTCGCCACATAACCAGCAAGCGTGGTTAACGGTCGCTGGGTCATTCTTAGCACTGTTCTGCTCCTTCGGTCAGATGATCGCTTTTGGCACATTTCAGTCCTGGTACTCTGGCAACCAACTTTCGTCTATGTCAAGCTTTAACATATCTTGGATCGGTTCATTGCAATTATGCGTTTTCTTTTTCATGGTAAGTCGATTCCACGCCGTTGTGCGGAACGTACTAATCACGCGCTGGTTGGTTTGCGAAAGGGTGGTCCTGTTGGGCGTATATTTGATGCTTGGGGCCCTTCACCACTCTTGATACTGGGCACATTGATTTCGGTGCTTAGTCTTGTCTTCACCAGCGTCGCCTCTCAGTATTATCAGTACCTGTTAGCTCAGGGAGTTCTGTTTGGACTGAGCGTCGCTCTGCTGTGTGTCATCCTTTCCTCGGTGGCACTCCGCAAATCTGAACTACATCTAGCTTCTATCCCTCGGTTTCTTCTGTTGCGACTCACTTTACCAACTATCGTGCTACAGCTATTGGAATTGCCTCGGCTGGATCTGGTCTTGGTTCGCAGCGCAATGGTTACCAGAGGCAGTACTTACTGATGTTTGATCAGGCGGCGTTGTGTACCCGATTATGCTCCGCTTCCTTTTTCGTAAAATTGGTTTTGCTTGGGGGGTCAGGGCTTCGGCACTCCTCTCTGCCGTATCAGGTGCACTGGCAGCATCCACCATCTCTGCTCGACGTGCGGGCAAAACGCGACCATTTTCGCTCCAGGATTTTCAATTAATCAATGATAGACGGTTTCTACTTCTCGTTGTTGGTTCGTTCTTTGTTTGTTTAGGTACGGTCTTCTTAACTTGCCGTGGCGTGTACCAGCTAATTTTTTTTTCTCATCACTCAGGCATCTTTATCCCCTATTTTTATATATCCGATTACACCGAATCCTTGGGCATCAGTTCCGATGTTGCCTTCTACGTATTATCCATAATGAATGCCGGAAGCATACTGGGCCGCATCGCGCCGGCTTGGTTGTCCGACAAGATAGGGCGGTTCAACCTTCTTTGTCCCACGGCATTCTTTTCCGGCTTCATTTGCCTTCTGTTCTGGACGTTCGCCGATAATTTGGCCGCCGTAGCGACTTTTTCTACAATTTACGGCTTTCTATCTGGGGCGTTTGTTTCCGTAGTGACACCTTGCGTTGCCCAGATATCTGACATGGAAGAGATGGGCACGCGCATCGGTGCTCTTTACACTTTTGTGTCTATTCCGTAAGTTCGTCTTGAATGTGTCCACTTTAGACCTGCCTAATTGTCCGCGTACCTCGTTCAAGGGCCTTGACCGGTGGCCCCATTGCTGGCGCACTGCTTCAATCACAAAAAGGATCTTTCGTGGCCGCCATCGCATTCGCTGGATCGAGCATGGTCCTAGGTTCATCGTTCCTGCTAGCTTCAAAACTCAGTATCGACCAACGGTTTTTCCATCGGGTCTGAACCGACGTAAACCACCTCTATAACTTTACGACTTGGAACGGAACTCCGCATTGCTTGCATGACACGACGATTTGGTATCTTAATGTAACTTACTTCCACACCCGAAAGGACCGTATATCATACCTATGACTCGAATATCAAATGAAAGGGAATGCTTCGAACAAGGGCGGCTCAGACCCTGCAAAAACTAGGGAGAACTAACGAAGTAACGAGATCTTGACGGGTACTACGGATTATACGATAGCGCTGAAGGATCACGAACATCTAACTAGAAAGTTTCTTCCTCGTCAACGGCCCCTGCATTGTCTGGAACTTCAAAGCCGTCCTGAAACGCAGTCAGTAAATCGTTGGAGCCGAATTTGACCCCACAAACCTCAGTTGAGTATAGGATCTGCTGAATGGCTTCCAAAGTTTTTAGCCGGGATTCATGATCGCTTGCTGCTGTTTCCTGTTTCTGCTGCGGCGAAAGTTCGATATCACGCTGCGTCGCAAGTTCGATATCACGTTGCACCAAAATTTCGATATCACGAAGCTATGACTATGTTCAAAACGATGGTAGACATTGGTGATTGGATCGCAGCATACCTTTGCAAAGTAAAAGTCCCTTTCCTTCTCTAAGCCCTCCATATGGGCGGTCAATTCTCGGTTTTGCGCTTGGAGGTTCTGGATGACTTCATTCGGTTGAGCGGATCCAGCTCGATGGCCGCTGATGGGCGTTTTTCCTCCAACACGGCCCCCAGTCCCCAGACCCGCAGAAGCGCCGCCGGTTCGAGAACTGGACAGTGGTGCGATCGTGGCGGGGGTATCAGTTGGCGCCCCTCGTCTGCGGGCGACTGGATCGTAACCTTGTCCGCCGTAATTAGAGTCCCAAAAGCGTTTCATCCATTGCAGGAACTCTAGGTTGTCCCTGAGATCGGATAAAATCGTGTTACCAATGTCTGTACTAGTAGAGCACCAAGCAAACCACGCACTGCATTTTGCATTTGACAAGTTTCTCGATGGGTATTGGCTGGAGAGATCATGCATGAGCCAAAACAACGCTGTAAAAGAATTGTCGCAAACACGCCTTGTCGATCTTCCTTGCCTTGAAGACGTTTTGCATCACTTTAAAGTTTGCAACAAATTCGTACTCGTGCTTCGCATTCATCTTGACTTTCGTCATAGGCACGTCCCCTGGCGAAAAATCGACGCGTCAGAAGATGATATTTTATCATAAACAATCAGAAAGAAGATGTTTCCTGGTGGCACGCACCATAGATGGAGTCCAGAATCTGGCAATAGGCACCACCAGTGCCGCATTGCTCGATCTTGGTATAGTTCAGTTGAAGAAGTTCATTAAGCCAAGCTAGTAGGTCTGAACGAGAAACGGCAGTCATGTTTGCGGATCAACGGCCAGATCTCAGGCTCAGAATGAATGAGGAGTTGTGATACGAAGACTGTTGAAGCAGACGACTGTTTTGTCCAAAGAACTAGGCGCCACTTTCAAAACTTAAACCCTGATCCCCGCGTATAGTGGCACGAAACGTCATCAAACCTGCGGTTTTTCATCGAGCAAACATATTGCAGCGACTGACTGCTGTCCGAGTAGGCCAGATTGACCATCACTGGACGTGAATGACGACGGGTGGTGCATGCTCTTGCTTTTCGTGGAGCCAACAACGTCTCTTCTTGCCTCGAGGACAAAAATACTGATTTCATTCAAAGAATTCATGGCCTCCATCTCTAGCAACGCCTTGCCAACTCAGGTCTGCAGGCGAATCGTGCAATGGACCAGGCGCAGTGGCCAAGCAGTCCTATGTCTCACCTGTGAAGCCTTGCAGCAAGAAGCAGAAGTTACAATGTACGAAATCATTATGTCGGGCAACATCCAGATCACGTTTCGCGTCTCCCAAACCGTCCTTTCTAGATTCCGTCTCGGCTTCTGTATTTTCTCTTTCTCTATCTTTCAGGACGGCGGGAGTTGCCAAAGAGTGCTAACAGGGGACCTTTGCAGCGTCATACAGCTGGTCCTGTCCAAGATGGCGCTTTACAGTGTCTCGTCATTCACGACCCCACCCACAGTAATGGTTGGGTATTGGGTGGTGTATCCCACATTCCCTTCCAATTCCAGGAAGCCCGGCTCTTCTTTTACTCAGATTCTAACCTTGTCAGGTTTTTGGAAAGCCAAAGTAAGCTCTAGAATCTTCACATTGTTGATGGCCTAAGCAATGACCCTTCCTTGTAGTTCGAGGTTGGAAGTCTCCCTGAGCTATAAATATTCCATTGAATACTCATTGCTGCAGAATATAACACATCATGTCAGAAAATTCTGACTCCCCCTTCCAATGCTGCCAAATTGGGACATTCTTTGGACCCCTTGCCACTGAGTTGGCTGCATATTCCAAATGCAAGGCAATTGGGGGGGTCATGGTGCTCGGCACACCAGCTGCTTACATGTGACTTGGAATGTTTCAGTTGTGTTGTGAGGCTGTTTCAAGGGCTTGTACAGTGCTTAGTAATATATGTCCAGTTCAGACTCAGACATATTGCTATTGATCAATGTTGTCATCCAATGTGGCTGATTGAATGTGTATTGTCTGTCAAATCTGTATCATCAATCTCTTGTTGTATTCTTTCCATTTAATAGACTGTTGATGGCACTGCATAAGAAATCTGGCTGAACATACAATATTTTGACAGTTGCTGCTGCATCTGCCCAGGTCCAGTACAAGTTTTGTCATCAATTTTTCTCTCCTCATGGCATATGGCTGCATACAGTGAGCTGTGCTTGGAAGAAAGTTAGGCAAACATACAATGATGAGTATGCAAATGCCACTGCAGAGGTGATTGAGCTTTAGCATAGAGGTTAGTCACTCTATTGTGTTTTGATCACTCTGACCATCATAATACTAACACTATATTGGTGCCTGTAGAGTGCAAGAAGTGGGAACATCACAAGCAGAAGCAGTTGCAGCTGGATGATGCTAGTGTGACATTTTGCAACATTCCACTGTCTCTGCATGTCCCTGAGTCTGCTACTAGTGTGGTCTTTGCTGGGGTTTTGGTTGATGATGTCCAAGATGGCTTTTGTCCAGCGGATGTGATGGGTGTTGGAGGGGAATCAAGGCAATGTACATGTTCTACTTTGTTTTGTCTTGACTGGCTGACTCAGTATTCAGGTTCAGGTTCTGATACCTCCATGGCAAGTGTCCCTGCCAGAGCTTCCCTTGAAGAGTCACTGACACAGCAAGCATTTTACAATTTTCTTTGCACAAACATGTGAAAAAAAATTCTTTTAAAAGATACTCTATTCTATCACATGCTCTCTGCTTGAACAAGTGGAAATAATCTTATGTATTGAATGGCTTTTCTGACAGGAAACATGGCACAGTAGATTTCCAATGTTTTGCTGGTGAAAAACAATTACTATGACTGACCACCAAAAACCAAAAACAATCATCAAAAAAAATATTAGTACTGTTTTCTGCATGTTATGTAATTGATTAATCAAATGTTGTAACATGAAATAATTTAAACACACTAGTCATTAGAGAATGTGTGATGTTACACAGAACATCACAAGTAAATGATAAATGTTTTGTATGTGATAATACTAATAACCTTTAACCAAGTCTTTCAATGTTGACCCACAAAACATCAGACTATTGGCCAATGTTTACTTCATAAACATGACATTTAAAACAATATTTGTTATGTGCAAAAACATGCTACTGAGATTCCATATTAACATGCTAAATATTTTTGATCAAATCACACTGATTTGTCTCCCAGAGAACATGATAAATAAAGAGTGTATTAAAGTGTCCTTTGTACCACAGAACATGATAAGTGGCATCTGTAACCATCAATGCTATCACTGCTTGTCCTTGCTCAACCACCCCATCACATGCTGTCACATGATCTCATCTCATGGAATAAACCTCAGTCAGTCATGATATGTGCCACCTGACTTTTTATACTTGAGTATTCTGTGTCCTTCGTTGTTTTTTCTTGCAACAACACATTGATGACACACATTATAATGTTCTGTGGTAGAACAGGATAGTCCAAAATTCATAATTGCCCTGACTGACTAGAGAAAGAGTAGCCTCTGATAGCACCCCCACCACTCATGAATGTCCCCAGTCCACTTTTGAAAGTGAAAGAGCACAAGGCAGTTCATGCAAGAAATGGGGAGTTCAGCACTGTATTTGCAGTAGGCAGCAGTCTGACAATAACTGTATAGCTCAGAACCTTCACAACACCTCTGCATATGACATGCTTACTTCACAGTCTATAATGCTCCATGGTGGAACAGGATATTGATATTTTATTACACTATTTATTTATCATGTTCTGTGGTACAGTTGTAGACAGACAAATACAATGATTTTGATTTTGGATTCCCATGACTTTTTGGGGGAAAACTAACACTTGATTCAGATGCTACAGGTGAAACATCAGTAGACCACTTTGTGAGCTGGTAGTCCTAGGGAATCTGTCCAGTGCTGGACAACTCTGGACAGCTCTGGCCAGCAAAAGTGATTTACTGATGAAATACATCAAAAAACAGTGGTCCAAAGTTTTTCCCATGACTTTTTAGGGTGGCCAAAATTTTGGTTAGATTGAATGTGGTACTTAGGGTGTGGTAACATGTTATTGACCCTATATAAGGTAGGATTAAGAACCACTTCAATGATCATCATGGCTTTCTGTGAGAGCTGATGGACATCAGGACCCTTCTTGTATTCCTTGGGGCATCTGAGTGACTGCTTTCATTGGGCAGCACACTTTGCTTCTCTCAGAGGTAACCAAGTCTCACCAAGAGGGTCATCACCAGCACTAATGGCAAGGTTGACCAACTGAGCACAGAGATCAGCCTCACCAACACCCATGACTTGGAATGTGGCATCATCATGTTCAAGCTCATCCTCTGACTCACTCTCACTGGCTGTAAACTTCAAACTGTCAAGTACATTGGTGCATTTCCACTCTAGTTCTTCATCTTCTGCCTCAGGGCTGGGAGCATGAGATCATGTCCTCATGCATTTGCTTGTGTGCTGATCCTTGTCAGATTTGGGTGTATCAGGGAATGATACATTGCCTGTTTCAACAACAGCTGAGCTCTGGTTATGCAGACCAGCCATGTTGCATGTTACAGTGGGTTTTCAAGGGCATTCCTGTGTCTAGGATCAGCAATTCACATGACCACAAACCTCAGACTTGCTCAATTTTTTCTGCTCCTCACTAGTGTGACAGCTGTACCTTGACATTGCAATCATACTGTACTAGGCTAATGCTACTTATTCCACTTTTTCCAGGATTTTTACAAATTCTTTTGGGGGCTGGCCACATTTTTGGGTCAAAATTTCAAAAACTTAATATAACAAAAATTGGCTCATGCAGATTGCATTGTTATGTCCTAAATATGCCTAGTATACATTTGTAACACCCTTGGAATGTTGTGCCATATTGGAATAATTCAATGAGTAAAATTGTCATGTTTGTCTGTCCACAACTGTCAAACAGGATATTTTGTGCATGACAGACCCACCATGGTCCTCATTGGAAGAACTGGATGAGTCATTTTATCAGTGATACATTGTACTGTTTTATGTGTTTCATCTTTTATTTTAGGATATAATTGTGGAATCTGTAGATAGACCTCAGTATGCTGACAAGCTACTGAGGGACTAAGTGCACAGCAGAGCAGAGCAGCAAGAGGCCTGATGATGCAGCTAGGGCAGAGATGCTGAAAGATTGGAAAAACAAGTCAAGCACACTGGAAGGGAGTGGTCAGCTTGTCACCTATGAAACAATGTCAAAGAGAGACAAACTTGGATCTGTGCACAAGGCAGTCATGCCCACAAATGAACCTAAACAGCTCAGAACCTTCACAACACCTCTACATATAACATGCCTACTTCACAGTTATTCTGTGGTAGAACAGGATATTTTAATACATTATTTATTTATCATGTTTTCTGGGAGATAAGATACTGTAATTTGACCCAGAACATTTGGCATGCTCTCAGTACCATGTTCTTGTACATAAAAATTGTAGTTTAGCATGTCATGTTTTTAGAGAAAACATTGAACTGCTGTTCTTTTTTTTTTTCTTTTTTTTTCAGGTGAACATTGAAAGACTTGGCCAAATGTTTTCATTTATCACATACAAAACATATATCATTTACTTTTGATGTTCTATGTAACATTACATGTTCTTCAATGATCAGTGTGTTCAAATTATTTTGTGGTAAAGTATTTGATTAATGTATTGCATAACATGTAGAAATCAGTACTAATAATTTTTTTGATGATTGTTTTTGGTTTTTGGTGGTGGGTCATGGTAATTGTTTTTCACCAATAAAACATTGGAAATCCACTGTGTCATGTTTTCTGTCAGAAACACCTTTCAAAATTCAACATTATTGCCAGTTGTTTCAGCAGAGAACATGAGATAAAACAAAGTATCTTTTCAAAGATTTTTTTCCCCTATGTTTGTACAATGAAAAATTGTAAAATGCTTGCTGTGTGAGTGCTCTTTGTGACATATTTAAGACCAAGTTTCAACCTTGTACTGGCTGCCTGCCAGTTGTTGATCACATTTCAGCTTTCCATCACACCACACCTACCCCACAACTTCAAGATGAAGTGCCATGGCAACCATTCCTCTGTGAAATGGATTTTGATGACATCATCACTCTACAGTCACTGCCTGTGGCAGTGCACTAGCAGTGGTGCAGTTGCCACAAGTCACATGATTATTTGCAACTAGTTGTACCACCAGTCCTAAGGTAGACCTCAATGAAACTTGACCATAGTCATGTGAGGTGATATGGTGTGACACTGTGCTGCTAAGTCAATACTAAGTCTCCAGCAGTAGTGCACAGTGGCAAAGTTGAGAAAAAGCAATTGTTATTGGTATGCTCAGCAGAAATGCTCAATGCAAATACAGTGTATTCATAGTGTCCATGGTATTAATTGAGAGTACAAGGGAAAAAAAGCTTGTGAAAGATGATGACTGTAATTAAGTGGTTGAGGGCAGTGTGTGAATGGCATCAAATTCTTCCAAAATACTTGATGGGAGGATATGGTGACCACAATATTGCTTTATTGCCCAAGCAGCTTGTCATCCAAGGTATGTGTCCATGAATTGAGATGATCAGATTGAGTTGGACATGTGACTCATGTTCTCTTCACCTAGTTGCACTGAGGTCCTCCCTTTCTTCTGTGGTGGATATTTGGACCATTGGGTATGGCCACACCATTTTCATGCTATTGCTGCTTAATGACATCTAGTGTATGCTATGGTGAACTATGTCATCCCAATTTGGTACTATCCTCTAGCTGAGGCACTGATTTTTGTGCTCCATATCCATTTGAAATTAATTACAACTACAACTCATGTACAGTGCTCCAATACAGTATACTATTAAGTGTATATATGTCATATCTATGAAACACTGCAGGGGATTTTCAAGATATTGAGCTGATGAGTTGAATTGAAAATACAGCCCACTTGCAGAGCATTGTCACACTTCATCATGTGACCACCACCACCTCAACATGAGCCCTCTCCTTGGAAAGCATTTCAGCCAACCTCACCTAACCATGAGGGAGCTGTCAAAGGGCTCAAGCTTTTGGAATCTGTGGGGTGACAGGAGCATAGGGGATTGCATATTTGCCCCTGGACTCCCCCTGCTCCATCAACACTGAAAATGGCTTCATCAATGATATTGGATCCTTTTATGACACTTCCTGTGAACATGATGCCTTCCCCTCACTCCCCTGCTCCTGTAATATGGTCTGCTTGGTCTCCCCTCCCCTCTCGCAGACAGGGGGATGTCCTGATCATACTAAGATCAAGATCCCCAACTATTCCTGCCCCCTCTCCTTGTTCTCAGTCTGTCACATCCTGGCACACAGAGTCCCTCAGGGAAGGGACAGTAACACCTCAGGACCATGAAAGGACAAAGGAAAGGCTAAAGATGACTCCCATAGTAGAACAACCCCACCCCCACTCTCTGATGAAGCTGCCCCAAGCTCTGCTCATGTGCCCAGACAACCCCCTTCACCCTTCCCTTTGCTCAACCCTGCTGATTGTGCAGCCTATCAATTGCTCACTGCTGTTGCCAGCTCAGGGGTTGACAAGCAAGGATTATCAATCCCAGCAAGTGACTTCCTCAATGTGGTTTGGTTGCTTACAAACTTCAATGAGGGGGACAAGCTTGACAGGGGGTCACCAGAACAAGACAACTATCTATGGATGTTGTCTTCAGTCTACCAAGCATCAGACATAGTTGCAGCTATCACTGACAAACTTAGGGTTCAGACCCTGACTGGAGGACACCCCCTGGTAGATCAGCTTCTTGTTGGAGTGATGGAGAGGTCCAGCCAGGAGACCCAGGATGCCATTGTCAGAGCCACATATCACCTGTTTATGGCACATCAGACACAGGCTTTCATGGTGCCACCCCTGTTCCAGAACTGTGATTACATGAAGAAGCAGGGACCACTGTCATGTGGGATGACTTCTGGAAGGAGGAAGACAAGGTGTGGGAAGTGGAGATCCCAGTTGGTGGGCTTGACAAAGGCAAGTTGTTTGAACAAACTACATCTCTCCTTAATGGTGCCACCCCTACCCACAACCATCAAAGCAACTGGGAGGTGCTGTGAGTCAAAGTGTGGAAAGGTGGTGGAAACCAACCAAAACCAACAAAAAAGATAAATATAAGCAAGTGGTGGTTTACCTCCACAGAACCTGGAGGGTCAAAACTGGGGGAATTTCAATGGCAGGTGCTCCTGGCACAAGTCAACAATGAGTTATGCAAGAGCAGATGAATAAATGAAGACTTGGCAGGGGGTGCTGAATGTAGTGAAGGTATTCAGCTGAAAGGACTCCTAGCACAAGTTGATGATGAGTTATGCAGGAGTAGAGGGACAAGGGATGACTGTGAGGGGGATGCTGACTAGAGTGATGAGTTTCAATAGAACATGCTCCTGGTGCAAGTCAATGATGAGTTATGCAGGAGTAGGAGGATGACTAAGCAAGAGTTGCTGACTAAGTGTGGATAAAGCTTCAGATAAAGGATGGAGGTAGATAGACCCTTGATGGAGCCTCAACTACCAAGTATGATGAATGGTGACAGATAGACTCTTCTGAATGAGCCTCAACTGTCAATGACAAGTTATGCACTGAACTGACTGCTGAGTGACTTCTGGATTGCTTGGGTTGTGGCTAAGTACATGGGGGTTTATATATATGGGGAGTACAGCCTATGACAAACAAGGCACAAATGCTTGGTAAGTAATGAGTAAGGACTGTAAACAGTGAGTAATCCTGATGAGTAAGCAAGAAATGAAAAGTAAGCAAGCAAAGAAGATTGGTAAGTATTGGCAATAAACAAGTCAAGGATAGTCAAAATATCACAGAATGAGTCAAATAATGTCAGAAACTGAGTAAGCACTGTCACACACCAAAGGTGTTTGGTGAGGTGGAGATGGATACTGCTGATGAATGGAGATGAAGACCATAGCCCTCGTGTGAAGAAGGACAGCCAGAAACATCAGCAGTAATCCCTCACACAAGAACAAGTCATCAATGCCAAAGAAAAGGAAGGAAGCAAGTTAAGCACCCATAAAAATTCTTAAGCACCTGTGTACAGCATTCCAGTTTTTGATGCATCTCCACCAATTCCACAGTTATTGACACCATTCCCACACTTGCTTATAGTGCTCAGCCTCATGATCCTACCTTCCAAAATTGGAAAGGATTTGTGCACTCCACACATTTCTACAGCATGCCCTCCACAAGATGCTCATGTCACTAATTCCTCTGATATGGCCACCTCCACATCAATCATTTCACTTGTCCCCTTTGCTAGGGACCATGGCTATGTATATCTACCAGGAGTTCCTACCAGCTTCTGTCCTGAAGTATCCTGGTACATCCCATCCTCATCTGCCCCCTCTCAGCCCATCCAGCTTGCACAGCACATTCTTTTTGTCAGTATGACCTCTAGGAGGATGTTCTTTGGTCACCTCAGGTCTGTCATTCACTTAGAAAGGTCTTATGTGGTTGTTTCAGTCTCTCCAGTCCAAGAAGCATATGGATCCTTCCTCCCTGCTCCCTGCAATGTCTTCATACCAGTCTCATCCATCATTCTTCCAAAATTGTGACAGCTACAGTATAATCTACTGTTCTCCACTCCCCCTGATCACATCCAAGATGAGTATGATGCACATCTTGCCTCCTTATTGCAAGATACAGCAGAGGATGCTCCCCCTTTGTCCTCTCTTCCAACAGAGCCTCATTCATGAAGTTTCTATTTGCTTCACTGAGAGGACAGTTAGGGGGGGAAAGTTGTGATCCCCTATGCTCCTGTCACCCCACAGACCCCCAAGGCTTGACCCCTGTTGACATCTGACCCACCCTGTCTGCTTTTGGATGTACTATATCAGCATCAGATCAGCACTGCCTCTCTGTCATCCCACCTTGGCCTAGAAGCAATCTCTTTGAGATGTGACATGCACAGCCTCCCCCTAATGTGGTTCCAGTGTGCTTTCCCAGTTCATGACATTACTTGACTTATACCTTGACATTCTGACTGTCCTTGACTCACCTGTTGCCAATACTTACCAATCTTTTGGCTTTGCTTACTGATCCTTCAACTTTTTGGCTTGCTTATCCTTACCAATGCTCACCAATGCTTTCTAAGATGATTACCCACTGCTTACATTCCTTACTTATCACTTACCAATCACTTACCAAGTGTTGTACCTTGCTTTCCAAAGGCAATGCCCCTGTACTGTATATAAATCACTGTACTTAGATAGCTGAATAAGAAGAAGATATCAGAGAGCCTCTCTTGCTTGCATTTTATCATCACTCAGTAAATCATTTATCAGCTTTGATAGTTGAGACTTTATTAAAGGTCTAACTATCATCTACTTTGCTTATCATTGTCTGTCATCAATATACTTCACTCCAAGTCCTCCCTGAGCTCAGTGCAGCTCAGATCATCAAATTAAGTCTTCATTCATCCTTCTGTAGGCTGACAGCAGTCTACCCCATCACATTCTATTGCATTCTTGCTCCCTCTTTGTCAGGAGCACCCCCAACCCTCAGCACTCATCTTTGAGTGTTGTAGCTTGTAAAATCCCTCCTGAATAAAAGGTTCCACCATCTAGGTACTGCATAGGCACACCACCACTCACTCTTATTGTCTTTTGTATTGGTTTTGGTTGGTTTCCACCACTGAACCACACTTTGACTCACAACAGTTGCAGGTCATCCCCTGTCACCATCTTGTACAGATCTTGGAGCCAAAGTACAGTGGCAATCTTCTTTTTCCATGCTGCCCAGTTATTAGAGGTGAGCTTCTCTGTCTTGACTATCTTCATCTCTCCCTCTTGTCCTCTCTCTCTAGACCTGGCTCACCCTTTCCCCTTTGACAATGCCATCACTGATGTCAAGGACCCATCAATGACTGGGCTCAACCTTACTGGTTGTGACAAGGGCCCTGCAAGTGTGGGCAAACATATAGGAGAGCTGGGCATTACCTGCAATGTCCTTGGGGCACTAGCTGAAGCCATTGGTGCTGCAGGTGAGGACCATGTTGGCTCATTGGTCTGTGCATTAGGGGGTCCATCCCCTTTGGGCATCATGCTTCATGGAATGCCTGGTGCCCTTGCTCTTGACATCTCTCTTCCCCCCCTTCTGACAGATAAGCAGGTGGATCTTCTCAGCTCTATGTTGGTGGCTTGGCAGTGAGGTCAGTTACAAGCGGGTGTGGCTCATAACCTGATGAGAACAGTATGTGCATGGAGGCTGACATGGGAACCACCATTTGATATCTTGTCTGTTGGGGCATGTCTGCCCCTACTCCCACCTTTGTATTTTTCTTTACTTGCCCCCTCTTGGGGTTATGATGTGTATTCCATGCCCCTTGCATGTTGTTAATTCCTTATTTGGGTGTGACAGTGGATTGGTGTTCCTACAGAGGGAGTGGAGATGAAACTCTGGAGGGAACTCAGAGGGAGTTGGAAGTGGGGACTTTATTGTCAATATCCATACTGATTACATTGGAATACTACATGGCCTTGTATACAATGTAGGTCAAGGGTGGGGCAGTGTAGAATGCAGACCAATAAACATATAAGAGGTTAGCAGTACCTCCAACATAAGGGACAGAGGACAGCAATGATGGGGACCTTAACTGAGACAAGGGAACTACTACAATGAGGGAGAGAGGGTAAATACTGAAGGAGTGGAAGAATGGAGAAAAACCAACACAAGGGCAGAACCCTATCTGGAATGCAGGGTGGCAAGTCTGACATTCCACTGAGCTGACCAAGGCCTTGGAGGAGGCACAGGTGAGCAGAGGCAGTTGGAATGTGGACAGGGGATCTTGGAGAGGTGCAGAGATGTGTTGGGAGGGTTGGAGGAGTGCAGGAACACATTGGAAGAGGGCAGAGTAGGTGTTAGGGGCTTAAGCTGATGTCATGGTCATGACAATCAGACCCATTGACATCTTTTTTTTTTTTTCTGATATAACAATGATTAGAACAGTTAGAAAAAGTGTGGTTTTCCTGGTATGGTGGCATTTTAAACTGCTTGGGGATCATCAACACAGCAGGAAATTAAAACTTTACTATATTTGACTTTTTTATGACTTTTTATGACTTTTTTGTGACTATTGTGACTATTTGTGACTTTTTGGGAAGGAATCTACTATCTGTACTTTTTTTTGACTATATACAGTGTTTTGAAGAATGAAAAGAGAACAGATTCTATTGAGACAACTAAGTGATGATATATCTAAGCCAAGAAGACTAGGAAATGTATGAAAATTCAGAGATATTGAGCCATTGGTGTGATGCACACTGTCCAAGAGAAAAATCACAATATCTCTTTGGAACCTCCATCAATTTGAATGTATGTGGTATCTACTGAAAGCTATGAATTAGGTGGTTTGAACAAGACCAACATCAGTGAGAGCAGTGCAGCAATGCCTAATGGACATGGGTGACAATAGTAGATTCCTTCCCAAAAAGTCACAATAGTCACAAAAAGTCAAAAATAGTAAAGTACATTTATTCCGAAAAATTTGCAGGTGGCTGTGCTCACAGCCACTGCAAATGCGCTGACAAAGCAGAAGGTGCACATATGAGAAAGTCATGGTTGGGTGACTTGTGACCTGCATGCAACCCTTTCCCAATCATTGGTACTCAATTCAATTCTACTGAAAGACACTGTACATAGGCCATGTAATTATGCATGAGATAAATGGCTATTCTGCGAAGAGACCCACCCAAATTTGCTAGATGAGTGGTGTTCAGGGGCAGGAAGTGGTCACATGATTGTGCCTCACATGTGGCATGTGCACTTGGTGCTTGGCTGTGTGTGTGTGAATGTAAGCTTGCAAAAAAATTGGCATGGGCCACCCTCCTGCCTGGGAAAATTTGCTTATCTGGCTGCAAATTTCCCAGTGCTAAGTGACTTAGCACACTTTACAATGGATTTTGCACTTTACAACCTGTTCCTGATGCAAATTTCCCACTCTTCATTAGCTAAGAGCATAGATAAACATGTGTAGGATGTGAACAGAGTTCCTTGGCACCCTCCAAAGCCACCCTGCCTGAGCCATGACAGTGTGATGCCTGGTGGGGCCCACCCAAATGCTTGACCACCTTCCCTGCCCCCTGCCTGAGGGCAGCATTTCCTTTTAAGGCAGCTCCCATGGCATCGCCACCTGCAAATTTTTTGTGCTAAGTATTATTTTCCTGATGCATTGTTAAGTTCATGACTGGGTTGAGGGTCGAAGGCTGAAGGCTGAGTGCTGGGTGCAACAACCCTTGGTCTTAGCTCATGTGCTAGACCCTTGCACAAGCTGGGTTGAAGTCAGAGAAAGCTGAGGGGGGTCAGGAGCAAAAGCTGAGAATTGTCTTGGGCTTAAGCTAGGAACTGAGGGGGTGAGCTAGGTTGATATTCAGACTGATGAGCTAAGTACAATCCACATAGAGTTCATATACTGAAGACTGGCAACCTGAAGGCTGGGGTTACCAGTGAGGGACTAAATAGCAGTGCAAGGAACTAATTAAAAGTCAAGCAAGAAGGCAGGGGTTGGAGAGCTGAAGACAGACACTGCCTTGGCACAAGTGAGGGCAGTACAAAAGCTAACTAGAAAGGTATAGTGAGGAACAGAGTTCATTTTGGTGTTCAGCATTGACTTGGCATTCAGAACTTAATACTGAGCTGTGGTTGTCTCAGCATATGACAGCATCCCCCTCTTAGGGTCAAGCCCCTGAGACCCACCCTAAGGTACATGAGGTCAGCAGTTGCTGTGCCAGTAGAACACATGTTCCCCAGGGTTAAAAAGGTGTGCCTTTGTGAAGACTTGTTTTCTCCCAACTCCTTCATCATGTCTTCTCATCAAGCTTCCCCACATGTACCCAACAACCCATCTGGTTTCCAGAGGGCCACTATGCCTGAGCTCCAGACTACTAGTGATGGCAAGGAGGTCAACATTTGGGTGAAGATGGCCAAGCACAAATGGTGCAAGGCATTGAGGGAAGAGGCTGCCTGGTTGGAGGTGGAAAGGCTTGAGAGAGTGTGACTGGAGGCTGAGCATCAAGAGCAAGAGCAGTTGGAGGCCAAGAGACATGAGCAGGAGTGGCTGGAGGCCAAAAGGCATGAGCAGGAGCAACTGGAGGCCAAAAGGTGGGAGCAGGAACAATTGGAGGCCAAGTGTCAGGAGCAGGAGACCCATGCCCAACAGATGGTGGGAGAACTGAAGGGTAAGGTGTGGGTGATGAGCACTGGTGTTGTGAATGCCATGTCATGCCAACAATGCAAAAAGGGGCAGGTACTGTGTACCTTCAGTCACATGCAGCAGAGTAAGTGAAAGAAGAGGATGTGTGACAGTGTACTAATATGAAGGTCAGGTGTGAGTTTCCTGAGGGGGTGGAGCCCAAGATTGAAGAGGTTGGAGCAAAGGCTGGGAAGAAGAGAGTGCCAGAGGATGCCATGTTGCCAAGGGCTGGGGAGAAGATGAAGGTCATTCAGACCAGGTCTGGGGTACCCAGTGAGTTGGAGGCTGGCCCCTCAGGGGTAGGTGTGCCCTCTGCCACTCCCACTGACCCCTTAGTTGCAGCAGTCAACAGAGGATTTGAGTTAATTGCAGTGGCTATGGATTGTCAAACCACAGAGATGCAAGCCAGGAGGGAGACCCAGCACTGGTTCAACAGTTGGCTGGGGGACCTGCTGGGTGAGTTTGAATTTGTCCTTTGCCCAACCCCCCCAGCATCTGAGTCCAGTGAGGAGTTGCACTTGGATGTGGCAGATCTGGAGCTTGAGAGCCTCCAGTCAGATCAAGAAGGAGTGGGGGTGGAGTTGGACAAGGGGATTATGTGCTGGCCCAAGGACATGCATATGAAGGGTCAGTGGTCCAGTTTGGAGAGTGGGGAGGAATGAGAGCTCCAGATGAGCAAGGGGGACATGTTTGAGGGGGACTCCAAGTGACAGTGCCAGTTAGGACCAAACACCAATGTATGTACTATATCATCAATGCATCTAACTGTTCTCAGTATAATAAGGGACACAAAAGTAAGAAAAAGAGAGAAGGAAAGGAAAGATATGTTTAACTAGTGATTGGTCCAGGTTTACCAGGATAGGTGGCATGGAAAGCAGCAAGTAGGTCCTCAGCATTGCCCAGCTCAGTGGCTGGCAGCCAGGATGTCTCCTTGTTGGTGCCCTCATAGCCAGCCCAGCATACCAGGTACTGTAGCTTACACCTCTGTCATTGGTCTACCTTTGAGTTGAGGATCTCAGTGATCTTGTACTCTGGTTCACTGTCCACCTTGACTGGAGGTGGTGGTGGCCAGGTTCAGTTCAGGATGGTGTTGGGGTGTGCCAGTTCTAACTGTGACACATGGAACACTGGGTATACCATGCACATGGAGTCTGGGAGGCAAAGGGTGAATGAGTGAGTGCTGGGCTGGGCTATTACCAAGTAGGGGCCTAGGTTCTTGTCTGCAAGTTTCTGTGATGTTCTTGTGGTCTGGAAGTACTTGGCTTTGACATAGACCTGGTCACTGAGGTTGATCTTGGGCACTGGTAGCCTTTTTGCATCTGCCAGACCTTGGTATCTGGCTTGGGCTTGTGCCATCTCTTCTTGTAGGAACTGGTGTAATTTGTCTAGGTCCATGGCATAGTCCCTAGCCCATGCCAAGGATAAGTCCCTTTCAGGGAAGACTGAGAGGTTAGGGTGGTAACCCTTGTTGGTGAAGAAAGGGGAGACACTGGTGGTAGCACTCAGGGCATTGTTGTAGGCAAACTTGGCCAATGGAAGTAACTCAGCCCAGTTGTCCTGTTGGTAGTTGCAATACACCTGGAGGTACTGTTCCAAGGTCTGATTTGCTTGTTTGGTCTGGCCATCTCCTTCCAGGTGGTATCCAGAAGTGAAGTGTAGGCACATATCCGGTGCTTTACCCAAGGACTAGAAGAAGTGTGGGACAAATTCAGAGCCTTGGTCAGAGGTTATATGTGCCAGAACACTGTGCTTTGAGAAGACATGGAGTAGGAAAAGTCTAGCAAGTTTGGGGGAGGTGATAGTGTCATAGGTGGGTATGAATATAGCCCACTTGGATAGTCAGTCCACAACCACCAGGATAGCAGTGTGATCACTGGATGCTGGTAGGTGCTCAATGAAATCTGTAGAGATGGAATTCCATGACTTTTCTGGTATCTGTCAAGTCTGGGCCTACTCTGACCAACTCCAATGCTAGGCAAGGTCTGGGGAGAGGTTCAGAAGCAAGTCCAACAGGAAGAACTGAACTCCAACTGGCAGAGTGTTGGCAGGAACAAAGTCTGCCAAGATAAAGGTGGAGCAGAGTGAGGGCATTGGGTTTAGCTCATGCACTACCCCCTTGCATGATCTCAGCCCTCATATTTCAGAGGGAGAGTACAGATGGACAGTTGGAGATAACTCCAACAGACAGAAGACAGAGACAGAGGGAGTAGGAACTAAGTTGATATTCATACTGCAGAACAGTGGAGTACAATACATGCTTTTATACTACTATGGAGGTATGGTAACTGGAATTGGAACTGACATACAGAGACTCATAAAACTTCAAGTAAAACTTCCTAGACAATGAATGAAGGGTAGACAGAGGACACATGAATGGGTAACACAGAACATCCCAAAGAGGAAACAGTCCAGGCACTGGGCCATGTGGTGCATGTGCTGTGGAGTACCTGACCACATGCTGTCAGGGAGAAGTCTGAAGGGTAGTCACATGACTCCTCAGAGAACAGCCTGCATGGTCCAGTAGGAGAGCAGTACAAGTCTGACAGCAGTTGGAGCAGAGATGACTCATAAATGTCAGAGGATGGGTGGAGTTGGTGCAGAGTGAGTGAATGACCAGCAGAAAGGGGTGCAGAGCAAGTGAGGACTTAGGATGAATGCATGGTCATGACAGTGCCCCCCCTGAAGGCCACCTGTATGGGATGAGATCAACATGAGTTGACCATTTGAAATTATTCTGATGCCTTGAGGATAATGGCTCTAGCTGCAGCAGAGCTCTGTTGGAGTCTGAAGAACTGCTTAAAAACATGTGCTAGGGTTCTGAACCCTTGTCCCTTCCCCCCATCATCATGTCCTCCCAGCACCAGAGCAAACCCCCCCAACCAACCCCTGGCCATGTCTGCAATTACTCCCAAGTCACAGATGAAGACCTGGTCATCCTCACTGACAACTCCACTGACACCGAGCAGGAGAAATCTGCAGAGAAGGCATGCAAATGAGAGGAGACCAAGCAGAGAGAGAGTGTGAGTGAGGCAGAGCACAAGGCCAAGCATGAGGAGGCCAAAAGGTAGAAGGCAGAGGAGGAGAGGTTGGAGGCAGAGCAGAGGAAGAGAGCAGAGGAGGAAGAGGAGGCCTGAAGGAAGAAGGCAGCAGAGGAGGCAGAAAGGTAAAGGCAGAGGACCTCTGAGGAGAGGGCCCAGGCCAGGCAGGATGAGGCTGCACAAAGGTGAGTGGTGGAGTACCATGAGTCAGGTGGAGCTGACTCACAGCTCTATTTTTCTTAGATTATGTGGCATGGTGTATGATGTCAACACTGCCCAGAGGGTCCCTGCAACCTCTGTGGTGGTCACCACAACCAGGCAGCCCCCCTGCACTCGCTGTGTAGTGAGCCTGACAGTGGGGCAGTGCAAGCCAGGACAAGGCAAGACCAGGGCCTGCATGCCCTGCCACAAGAAAAAAAAGGTGTGTAGTTGGATGAGGGAGGATGTGGTGGCAGGACCATCATGGAAGAGAGTGGGGACAGGGAGTTCCCAAGGAGAGAAGAAGAAGAGACCATGAGGGAGGGGGAAGGAGAGAGTGATGGTGATGGAAGAGGCAGATGACAAGTGGGAGGTGGGCAGAGAGGAAGATGAACCCATGACCCCACTCAAGGGTCCCTCAGGTGCAGGAGTCCACATGCAGTGGGTGGAGTGGGAGCAGGAGTGGCAGCTGCAGGCCATGGAGAAGCAGGCCAAAGTGCATGAGACTGCTGTGCTGGCCTTTGAGAGGATGGCAGACACAGCAGAGCAGATGGCAGTGGCTGCAGAGTGGACAGCCAATGAGTGGGTGTTGTACTGTGCCTGGGTAGAGTGGGCAGAGATGAGGAGGGAGGATGTGCAAGAGGCCAGGATGGCTGAGCTTGAGTGCACAGGTGGTGGTTGGAAGAGCAATCAATGGAAGAGTAGTGTAGATTTCTTTCTCTTTTTTTTTGTCTTTTGTTTTTAGTTTGTATATTTTGTATTACTATGAAATAGACTTGTGATTCTGAGAAGGGAAACAGATAAGCAGAGAAAATTCTAAAGTACTTAAGGTAGTTCAATAAGGGGTGGAGTCAGCCCACAGAGGAAGGTTATGTGGGCAGAGTCCTATGGCAGAGGTTGATATGGGCCAGGTTTGTGCAGATAGCATTTGTGGAAAGCAGAGACTATGTTGGAAGTGTGATCCAGCTCAGTTGCAAGCAACCAAGAGGTTTCTTCATCAGTGTTCTCATAACCAGCCCAGCAGACTAGATGCAAGAGTTGACAGTGGTGGCGATGGTGGTCCACCTTAGAGTTGAGTATCTCTGACACTTCATACTCAAGGTCACCATCAACACCTACTGGTGGAGGCAGAGGTTGTTGTCAATTTGGGAAAGGGTTAGCCACTGTGGCTTTCAGTTGTGAGACATGGAAGACTGGATGTACCCAGTGCATAGAGTCAGGGAGCTTAAGGGTGACAGAATGCATACTTGGCCTGGCCAAGATGGTGAACAAACCTAAGTACTTTTTGGAGAGTTTTTCTGAAGGACAAGTGGAGTGGAAATACTTGGCTTTGACATAGGCCTGTTCTCTGACCTTGAACTCAGGCAGAGGTATGCATTTGGCATCTGCTGGACCCTCGTAGTGCTGCTGAGCAGTGGACATTTCAGAGTGGAGGAAGTCATGAAGGGCAGAGAGCTCAATGACATAGTTGTGAGCCCTTGGAGAGGTGAAGTTTTGGTCAGGGACCACAGACAGGTTTGGATGATATCCCTTGTTAGTGAAGAAGGGAGAAACTCCAGTTGTCACACTTGGTGCGTTGTTGAAAGTGAACTCTGCTAGAGGTAACAGCTCAGCCCAATTGTCTTGTTGGTAGTTACAGTAGACATGAAGGTACTACTCGAGGGTCTGGTTTGTTTGCTTGGTCTGGCCATCACCTTCTGGGTGGTAACCCAAAGTGAAGTGAAGACACATATCCAGGGCCTTTCCTAGAGAGTGGAAGAAGTGTGAGATGAACTCAGGACCTCTGTCAGAGGTGACATTAGCTGGTACTCTGTGCTTGGAGAAGACATGGGTAAGGAAGAGCTTAGCAAGTTTGGCAGAGGTGATGAAGTCATGGGTGGGGATGAACACTGCTTGTTTTGAGAGGCAGTCCACTACCATGAGGATGGCAGAGTAGCCATCAGAGTTGGGGAGGTGTTCAATGAAGTCCATGGAGATGGAGTTCCAAGGTCTCTCTGGGACAGGGAGTTGCTTCAGTGGACCATAGGGGCAGTGCTACAGAGTTTTGTTCTGTCCACAGGCAGTGCAGGAGCTGATGTATTCTTTCACATCAGAGTGGAGATTAGGCCACACATAGTCCCTGTGGACAAGTTCTAGGGTGCAGTTTTGCCCAAAATGGCCTGCTAGAGGATGGTCATGCTTGAACCAAAGCACTCAAAGGCAGAGGTCATCAATGTCAGGGACAAAGATGTGACCATCAGGGCAGAGTAGAATGTTGGAGTCCAGGGACCACCAAGGCTTAGTCAGAGTTGGAAGATGGCTGGCAGAGACAGAGTTGGATGGTAGGGTGGAGATGATGTTGGAATGCAAGCACTCAACATCAAAGACCATGGCAGTGCAGAGCACAGGTGCCATGAGGGTGGTGGTACAGAGGGACAATGTGAGTT